AACGTTATTCGTCCCGTGTCAAACCACTGCATAAGCCATGTCACCCTCCATCCAAACCCTGACGCGAGGGAGAAAAACGTGGCAACGAGTAGAATCTCTGTGACGGTAGGAGATAGAGATTCCACGAGGCATCACGCAGTCAATCAATGACCCGATGTCCGTACTGAAAACGTGGCAGACAGCGGGCAGACAACACAATGTCCTGTGCTAGCAGTGTCTCAATAGTCGAAACGCACCAAACCTTCAGGCTCGCACCGCATAAAGCCACCACTCAGCATTGGCTGCTGTGATACTATTGTGAGGGTTTTCGAGATGCCCTATCGACAGGGTCACGACTCGCGGAAGTGGAAAAGAGCGGGAAGGGAAGGCTCTTCCTGCATGGAAAGATCTGGATCGCCAGCCGCGATGCAACGACTTAGATCTGGAATTACGCCAAATTCGCCGTATTGAAGGAATCATCGCAAGTCATGAGCCACGCGGTGGACCGGGATCAAGCCCCCCGATCCTCCCTTGGGGGCTGAAGTCCAGGCGCGACGCTATTGACCATTCGCCCTTCATTACGGGAACTCGGGGTTCGTTTCCTTTGCCTAAACGGGACGCAGATGCAGCTGATGGCTTGCTTGCACACATTTGACGTCGGCCAAGGATGCTGAAGACGCGACTTCTGCGTAATAGCTATCGTGACGGCCCGGAGGAAGTCATAGCCGTACAAGCTCAGCACGCCGTCGCAGGCTTCTTAATCACTTGATGCGCGAGGCAGCGCGACTAATACTTGACCGCAAAAGACGGAAATTTCTTTTACTCGGCTTGGCTCGACGGTCACCGAAGCTGTCCGCTCGAGCCGAGTCCTAGCCTGCAAGGACTAGAGGCTGGTCAACCCGGCAAGTGCATCACGTCCCGAGGGAGGTGTACTAGGTGACAGGGTCTTGAGCTATCAGAATTTTGGTGGATGCTACACCTATACAGGCAGCTTTGCTTGGCCCGGGCAGTCCGTCGAGCTGATAAGAAGTGCCGTCGGGCGTTGCAGGCACGTGCGGCTAGACCGTGAGACAGCCAGACAAGGGGATTTCAGAGCGAGAGAGTGAATAGGTAGTGAGCGACCGAGGGAGAGCAAGGTACGAGGAAGGAGACACCGATCAAGTTCCATTGCAACGGCACACGGCCAAAACCGGCGGGAGTAGAATTCCAGAAAACCGCCCAGTCCGGACGAAGGAACCCGACGACTTGGGGCTAAGGTAAAGGCAGTTAGGAATGTGCCAATGTGCCATGGTGCGTTTGACGGTGCGTTTGATGGTGCGAACTCTACGACGTTTCCCCCAGAGAAGCGGCGGTGGTGGGATGAGATAGGCTGAAAGTCAGGCACTAGGAAAAAAGAACCCTAACAAGTTGAAGGGCGGCGGCGTTTGCGGACTTGTTGATCGACCGCCAGGCTGACACTAACATCGGCCGGGGACCTAATTACCCTTCTTCTGCGTTGTGAGGTTGTCTCTATCGTAGGTAAAGCAGGTAGGTATTGCTTTCCCTTCCTTGGGATAGGTAGGCTACCCCGTGGGATCCTGACACCCCCAAAGCGGCGAGGCTTGCATTGGGTTATTCGATTATTCCAACACACACCTAGGTACCTCATGTGAGGAGTAGCTTGGGAAGGGAGCCTTGAGTTGCAGAGTCAGGTCATCACCACCTTGGGCAGCTAGTAAGGCAGCTCAAGGTAAGGTCAGGTAGACAAGCTGGCAAGGTGAGGACGAGGTAAGGCAGCTTGGGACAGGTAGATGAGGAATGTGGATGGGGGGGGGGGGAAGAGGTGACGGGGATTCTGTGCTTTACAAAGCAACTCAATAATTCCCACGCAAGCAAAACCCAATTCAGAGCTTGGCCCTTTTTTTTTGCTTCCTTTTGCCTGTTCGCTCCCATCCCCCTTCTGCAATTGGACTTTGGGCTCCTTTCTCTTCAGCCCTTTCATCCCTCCCCTCCTCCCCAAAAATCCTTCCGGCTCCGGCCAGACTCCCACAGTGACGTTTTGACACACTCCTTTGCCCCTCACTAAAATAGCTGCTTTCTTTCCCCATCTGTTTCGCGCTTGACGAAGTAACCCCCACTTGGGATTAACTCGGGATGGATACCGTAGGATGGGACGGATAGGACTGGCGTGTAAATCCCGAAAGAAAATAGGCCTGAGAGAAGAATGGATTGCAAATAAAAATTGTGTGCTTGTGGAAATGAAAATATAGCAGCCCGTGGAGTAATGATACCCGTTGTCTTGGCTCTTGGGAACAAGTCGCTGGGAGTTGCAGTCCGGTTCCCTTCACAACCCTCGCTCGTTCTCTGCAACTCCACCCCTCATCCATGCTCGCTCCCATCTCCCCCCCATGCCGCCCCCCCTTGTCCCGGTTGACTCTTCTGTCTGCTTCCTTTAACCTTTGGAGCGAAACGGTGCTTTCGAACTGTAGCTGCTGCTGCTGCTGGGGGGTTCAGATCGTCGTATCAAGGAACGACCTTCGACCGTTCGTCAGCATAACGATGACTCGAGCCGTTTCGGAGGGCGAGAGCTTGCCTACAGGCGACTCGTAATCCTAACGTTAATCACTGTCGCCAATCTGGGCCATCATCGCCTGCCAGAGCCGCTGACACTGTTGCTGCTGCTTGCCGTACTGGCCTTCCATATTGCACAAACTGTGCATCGCCCGCGAGGCAAAGAGACAAGTCAAATCCATGGGCCAATGTCCGTCCGCTCGTCGTCCCATTTGCGTCAACTGCTGCACTCTCCGGCTTCTGCAACGAGTCTTTTCAGACGGTCATCGTCCATCTGTTCCTGCCTCGTCTTCGCTCGTCAATCAAACTCCAGAGCAACACCCAAGGAAAGAGCCACCAACGCCTGGATCCGATTCAGCCCGGGCCGAATACACCGAATATACGGACTCTCGTCTTTGCAACCGCGCGGCAAGAGCCTCCCGACCTGCTTCCCTCTACGCGTCTGTTGCGAGAGAGCATTCACCACCTTGACCGTGGCGTCGATCCTGCCTTTTTATTTTCCGGGACTGTAGAAGTTTCCTTCTTCTTCCACCAAGGACCGGAAGCTCTTAGAGAAAGACGAATTATTCTCCAACAAAATCTCGGATTTTCGGGAGTTCCCCCGCTTCGACGAAGTGCCCTCTGCCGGTCCAGGCTGCCCAATCTCGACCTGCTGCTTAATCGGTTCCCAAGGTTGCGTGCTTCTGGGCGTAGCTTCTAGGAACGGTTGGCCAGCACCCGCAAAAGTCCAAATTCGGTGCTCACTTCGCCAGGGATACCGCAAAAGGATCAGTGCAGGTGACAACCGCCCACACGTCTCCTTAATCCCGCATCCAAGATTCCCTACCATGTCATCCCGAACCTCGATCACGCTGAAGGAACAGGCTGACACGTACGATATGGAGAGTCAGCCTCCTGTCTCGAAAGGCCATGGCGGCATTACCCATTTGCTGACCGTCCAGGATGGCGATCAAGACCGGAAGGAGACGAGACGAAATCCGAAATGGTATCAGCGACTGCTAGATGCTGGCGTGGAGGAAAACGGGATCCAACCGGTGCCTCTAGACGAGCGGACCAATACCAACTACAGCAACCTCTTCACTGTATTCTTCACAAGTCTGCTTTGCTTGTTGCCGTGAGTACTTTCAACAACTCCAATGAAGCTGAAGACCTTTGGTTTGCTGACAGCTTGCGGTAGAATCCCAACCGGCGCCTTAGCCACAGCCCAGCTCGGACTGAGTCTGAGGGATGCCTCACTGGTCATCATCTTCTTCGCTTTGTTGACCTGTCTGCCTCCGGCATTCATGGGCATTGCCGGCTCCCATACCGGACTCAGGCAGCTCGTCCAAGCCAGGTACTCCTTTGGGTAAGTCGATGTCTCTGTGACACACAGCTTGATGCGTAGACTGACGATTCGGTGGTTCAGGTACTATCTTGTTGGCATTCCTCTTCTTCTAAACGCCGCGACTGTGACCGGATTCTCTCTCTCGTCTTCGATTGTTGGCGGCCAAACTCTCGCGGCTGTTAATCCAGGACATATCGATGTGAAAATCGGTATTGTCATCGCGTGCCTGGTGAGCTTTGCAGCTTCGTTCGTTGGTTACCGCGCGCTCCATATGTGGGAACGCTGGCAATGGCTCCCCAATCTCGTTGCAATTGTCATTGCCGTGGGTTGCGGTGGGAAACACCTGTGGAAACAGGCCGAGACGTCCCCTCCAACAGCAGCTCAGATACTCAACTATGGAGGTCTGATGGCCGGTTACTTCATAACCTTTGGCGGTACTGCGTCGGACTTCACTGCCTACCACAACCCCAACAAGACGACCAAGTGAGCAACGCCTGGTTCCAAGTTAGTCACACTGCTAACGATTTTCAGGCTCAGGATCTTTTCCTATATTTACCTAGGAATCTTGACAGCTTCTGTCCCGCTGCTTATCTTGGGAGCGGCAATCGGAGGCGCTCTAAACAATGTCCCTGAATGGAAATCGGGATGGGATACGTATGGCATTGGTGGCGTTATGGCAGCTATGCTGGCTCCTGCTGGTGGCTTCGGCAAATTCGTACTGGTCATCCTCGCACTGAGTGTTATCGGCAACATCGCGACGTCCATGTACTCCGTTGCTCTCTGTATGCAGCAGATGCTCCCGGTTTTCACAAAGGTCCCTCGAATTGTCTTTGTCGTTGTTGCGCTTGGAATCATGATTCCTATGGCAATTCGCGCTGCTGAGTCGTGGGCTGATTCGCTCGAGAACTTCTTGGGGTTGATTGGTTACTGGGCCGGCTGCTTCGATGCCGTCATTATCGAGGAACTGGTGATATTCCGTCGAATGGACTACAGCTCGTACGACCCTGCAGCGTGGAACGTTGCTCGACTGTTGCCTTCTGGACTCGCTGCCCTTGGAGCGAGCCTATTGAGCTTCGGGCTCATAATACCAGGGATGGACCAAGCCTGGTACACTGGTCCGATCGCGAGAACAACTGGAGATATTGGCTTCGAGTCCGCATTTGTCCTGACGGCGATGTTCTATACACCCTTGAGATGGTTGGAAATCAGGAAGCGAGGACACGTCTAAGATGGCTGGACGTTGGAGCGGCAGAGTAAAGATGGAAAGGGGGGATATACCCAGGCAAGCGAGGTATGATGAACCGTCATTTTCGTTAAGCGCCCCGGTGGGGGGGAAGCAGGGGCATGTTGATATCTGCAGGGCCCTGACAGGATAGGGCAGTTTCGACAGTTGACCAACAATGGCACGGGTTCTTAGGCAATACGGCGGGTGCGTCGCGGCGGCGTCTTGCTTGACCATTCAACGGTGATCGGCCAGCTGTAGTTCTCCATGTTGGCCTCTGAGGTTTGCCGCTGGTATCACAAGATGTGATCAGGAGCCTGTCTAGTGTGAGCTGATAGCCACTTCCGTATTGACCCTGCCATTCAGTTGAAAGGGAAATAGTCACCTAGGCATCTAGACTTGGTTGACCGGAAAGAACTATATCTTCACCGAACTGGTGCCACGCAACATCTGTGAGCCTGGCGGCTGGCACAGGCATGCCCTCGGTATCCTGGACACGGTCGGGGGATACAACAACACCGCCGCGTCCAAGCCAAGTCGGCGCAATAGTTACGATGACTCTATCAACGAGGTGCTGGTAGGCAGGGTCTAGAAGCGAGTTGATTACCTGCCCGCCGCCTTCGATCATGACGCTTTCGAGACCCTCAGCATGGATAGCAGAGAGGATCGATGGCCAGTCGAATCGCGGCTCGGTCTTCCGGGGTTCGAGGATGACGAATTTACCGCCATGGGCCTCCAGAATTGCCTTTCTTTCCGGATTGACGGCAGACGGGCCTACTAGCACGAATGGTGCCAAGCCGTTGTTGGTGCGGGCGACTTCGAAAACTTTGCTGTGTTCGGTGAAGTCCCATCGGCCACGAGGGTCCAGGACAAAGGGGCGCGGCTGGGCGTCGATATTTGCACCGTCGATGCGGCAGTTCAAGCCCGGGTCATCGGCGAGGACAGTCCCGACGCCAACGAGGATGGCGGCATGGTGACGACGAAGGTGGTGTGTCATGGCCTTGGACTCGGAACCCGAAAGGCGCGTACGCACGCCAGGGGCGAGGGAAAGGGAAGAATCCAGTGATGTTGCAAAGGTTAGAGTAACAAAAGGACGGCCCTGGGATTTCGCTGACTGGATGGCAGATTCTGACGGTAGACGAGGAGCCAACCAGGCCACGTCTGGGCCCGGGATCTGCAGAGTTTCCGCCATTGTCGTTGAAGTGGCCTTTTCCGTGGGCAGAAGAGCGAATTTCTCCGGGAACCAAGAGGGTTGCACGTACGGATACGGGTTTACGCAAGTGACAACTCCCTGCGTAGCGCAAGAGGTGATGCTGTGGCTATTGCAGTACCGGCCAGGTGGACCCCAGTCGTCTCAAAGCCTAGACTGTTGTCCCTGTTCAAACTGCCAACGGCGATCAAGACAGGCTACCTATCGAAAGGGCGGTCCAAGAAGCAGTATCGCTAGCTATGCTTTCCTTGTCAGGAAGTAGGATATTTGCAGTAGCGATATTGGCTGATTGACTAAGGTAGATGCTCAGCAAAGCAGTCTCACCAGTCAGTTGACTGAGACTAACGGCTGAAAGTAGTCGGGATGAAGTTGAGCAAGGACCCGAAACCCAATGGCCTCCAGAAGGCTTGAGTGACAAAGCCTAACCCTAAAGGGGCACCAGTTACAACTATTGGGACGAGAAAAGGTTACAGATGCCTGCCGGAAGAAAGTCCAAGCAGCTTGGATGACAGGGTCGTTGTTGAAGTCAGCAGTCACAAGACCGCAAGAGGCAGTCGTCGTCGTTCTCTTCGTCGACAATGATTGTCACCTTGATAAACCTTGAGTGAGGCGATGACCAAGGATGCAGTGATAGAGAGCAGACGCGCGGTCGATGACAAGAGTTGCGGGGGGGCAGAGAGCCTGAGATGGCAACAGTCCAGTCGTGTCGATGTACCGTGACCAAGTGCGAGTACCCGGCACAGGTCTGGATGTATTCGTACCGTCCTGGGGCGAACCAAACAGGATTTGAGATGTTTTGTGCTTTTGGACTCTTGAGGAGAGATCGGCAAGATGTGGATGCCCTGGTGATCTGATTCGAAGGCTGGTGTTTCCCTACGCCTTTGGACTGGGTGCGGCGGAGTTGTCCGCAGAGATGGTCCTTGCTACGCCTACCGCCACTCAGGTTGAGCGTTGAGTCAAGGGCTACCACAGACGCGATATAGTGTCGAATGACAAGGACACGACGAACAAGCCGAATGTCAGAGAACGGCCGAGAAGCCGGTTGAATGTTTTGGACGAGATGTTTGATGAGTCTCTTTCGACCCGTGCAAGTAACACGTCGTCGAAAAGAGATTTATGAGTTGACTCAGGAAAGCTAGCAGTTTCTGTGTCAGAGGAATCAGGATGGTGTGGGTGGGCGGGTGGATGGATGACTGTTTGTCTGGTTGTGAATTTTGTGGTAGAGGGGAGAAAAAAAACCCCAGATGGAATTGGACCGGACGATGCAAGTGCTTTTCGTGTGGGACATGCAGCGGAGGGCGCGGGCGAGCTGGAAGTTTGAATGAAGTTGACGGGAAGGTGGAAGACAAGGGAGGAACTAATCAGCTGCAAGTGCAATGTTGATGAGGGCCAGTGCCAGTTGCAATATGCAAATGCAGGTGGAAAATGCAGATCAGGCAGGCGAAGTACCTGGAGCTGAAGTTTTTGACAATGTGTGGGATGATTTGGGTTGGTTGATTCGTGAAGCCAGTGCGCGGCGGGTTGAAGATGAGGTCGGGTGGATGAAAATGGGAAGGGCAAAGATGCAAGTGCTTGGTGGTGGAGTGAGTGCTGGTGTGTGCAAAGAGGCAGTCACGATGGATGATTGGATCTCGCACCTGCCCTGGTGTCGACACAACCTCTTTCTCCGAATTCTCCAATCTCCAACGTTGCGCGCCAGGCCAACAACACCCAACAGTAACACCTCACACACCTCAGACCCCTACCTACTAGTCGTTTGCCGCCTCACCCCCCTCCAAAGCCTCAAAGGGAAAGGGAACCCAACGTGCAACGTGAGGTGCCAACGTCTTTTCGTTCCTTCCCCTTCCAGATCACCAAATCGCAAGTCGCGCATCGCTCATCGGTATCCAATCTGGTGGACCTCAGAATAGCCGACAGCCCCACAACAACGTGCGTTTTCCTCGGGAGGTGGACACTTGAATGGATCCTCTCCAAGGGCCAACTCGATGATTCCTCACTACCTTATTAGCCCCGCCTCTTTGGGGACCCTGACTTGCCTTACACAGTACTGGGACGATCCAGAGACAGTTCTCCTCTGTATCTGTACACGGTACGGATATTACCTATACCATACTATCTATACAACTCAACTCCAGTCTCCAGCTCGACAGGGCCACCGCAAGGCAGAGTCAGGACTGGACCGCCAAGCCCATGGAGACTTCAATCATCCAAGCCTTGGAAACACCACGCACATGGCCGTGAGGCTGTGACGGCGCGCGCGCAACGTGTCCTTGGACCCAACTTTCACACAGCACACCACCCACTCTGCCGGCACGGCGGGTATCCATCCATACTTGGACTGTGGACATACGAATACACCCCACGAACCTGACTGACCAAGAGCCAGGAAGCGAAAGAGAGAGAGAGAAAGAGAAAAAAAGAGAGGACCACTTACACTAGACAGGCACCTAGCCTCTAGTTTCCGAACATATCTCTCATCTACGGAGTACCTGTGCGGATAGTACCACCACCACCTACCTCATTTCCCCTCGAGTCGTACGGAATTACGAATACATGACAAGAGTCCAAGACACGACCAACAAATACGCTAGCTAGACAACGGTTTCCGAGGCGGGCCTTTTCCGCCGCATGTGTCGTCCATCACCCCTCCGATATGGCGGGCGGGCGGCTGAAGTCGCCTTTGCCTTTCCCATGGCCTCAATCCCATCCCTGGCCCGGCCACTCCTCGGCTTACACCGCCCAGGGCTGCCCCTCCTGACCGTGAACTCTAAACTTCGGTGTTACAGTGGGGGGAGGGGGGGGGCATGCGAGGTCGACTTGCAGTCTGCGAGTTGCGGGCAGGCAATTCCGCATACACGGCACCATCGAGCACTAACCACGGCTCCGAATCCTCTGTTCTCTCACCTCGCAACCGCCGTGCCAAGAAAAGGCGTCATGGTCCAAGGTCATGGGTCTCTCCTAGCAGCATAGGCTTTTACGAAATCAAGATTCGCCCGCGTTCCGCCCCTAGACTGACAGGCATCTCTAGCCTCTGCCGCCTGCCTACGTAGCCTTCGGGGCTCTGGACTCTCATCACTGACGATAATCCGGATTATCCCTACTTGCTTTGGCATCCAGGCCATGTAAGACGAGATGCCTCACTTTTTAGCCTTTCCGGCTTTCTGGTTTGGTCTGCTACCGGATACTCGCAAACTTGGGCAGAGCTCGCAACACCCAGGCCATCACCTGCAGCCGCCGACACGCCATTTCGGGCCACTTGGGCCGTACATTCCTTGGAACTCCCAGGCTGCCCTTGCGCTTCGCATAGTTACGGGATACTCGCTTCCTCCAGCACCCAGTTTGTGGAGGTTATCCTGAACTCAACCGCCTATCACATGGCATCAAGTGGGCAAGTGGGCTTCAGCATGCAGCATGCAGCATGTAGTTGCACTGGTAGCTGCAATCGTAGTTGCAGTTACACTCACGGTTGAGGACCGAGACACTACACTATCTTACGCATACTTTGCCAACTGCATCTTCCTGCTGTACAACCTTACACCGGCCGGAGTTGGACTACTTCTCGGGCGGTTGCAACACAGCACACGCGACGAAAGTCTGGAGTCTCCCGAAGCCACTTTACGCGACTACGCCCGCCGCATGGAGTTTGGCGACTGTTTAGTCCACAAGGTTAGTACCCATCGCTTTGCCTGTTAGACTCTCCTCGACCTTAACCTCGACGGCCTTAGCCTCCCACTTCGTCACACCCATCACCCAACGGACTGTATTACTGTCTCCTTCCATCTCATCATCCCGCTCTCATCTCGTTTGCCTTCATTGGCTCGGTCGTAACTCCGTCTACGTCTTGGAGCATTTCATCCCGCCTGTCTCTGTCGTCTCTGAGGCACCATCCTGGTTCCCGAAAAGTGCCTAGGCGCTCCGAACTGGGCTTTTTTAAGCACCCCTCTCGTGCACGGAACTACGTTGACAGAAACGCTGCCTCACACGCCATCAGACTCCTTTCACACCTATTTTCTTCGGATGTGGGGAGCCTTCGCAGCGGTATTGGCTTCTGAGGGAGATACCCTAGGAAAGTTTGCTTGCCCAGGCAATCTTCGATCACGCTCGATTATTGCCCATGTTGTCGAACGGGCCGTCAACGAACCCCCCATTACAAGATGAGCCCACCCGAGAAGTCACGCCATTATTGCAGTATGTTTTGCCTTGCGTTCTATTATCAAGTTGAACCTCACGCCCAAAGCCAAAAAGAGAGGCAGCCTCCTCGTCCAAGAGTTATCGGTGATCGGTCGCATCGTTGCGGCGGGCGCAGTTAGATAGCTCGGCGCCTTCAGGGGAAAACTTGCTCAGTGCTAACAACGCAAACTGATGACCACACAGAATACGAGCAAACGAGCTTTACTGCAAACAGAAAAATCACCATTGAAGCGACCGATATGAAGTCAAATAAGGGGGGCAGGTAGAAAGACTCAACGCCAAACGAGCCTCTAGGCCTAGGCCAGCCTGAAAGCGGCTTGTGTCAGAGGCGATCGGCAGGGGCCTCTCTTAAGTGCGTGCCTAGCGCAGAGGGACACTGCCCTCCAGACTCTGGGTAATCCGTCGTCACAGACTATTCGTGGACAGTAAGGGTTGGACCGCCCTTGCATCAACCTCCCCACGTATGCAACGCACTTTTGGTACCGAGACAAGTCATCCACATCCGAATATTATACCTGGAAAGGCATACGTCGGCCAGTATCAGCCCGAAGAAGCTGACGGGCTTGTTTCGTGTCTCACTCTGCTTGGGGCCGCCCGGCGATGGCGGAAGCGCAATAGCTCCGCGACTACAGTACGATGTTGCCCAAACGTCTATCTGTACACCCAGCGAGATCAAACGCTGGAAAGCTATCCGTACTGCGGATACAGTGCGCAAAGATCCGACGATCACTCACTGCCGAATCCCAATCTAACTCCCATCTGGGGCTAGCGATTGCCGGCCGCGAGTGGATGGTTTATCTTTGCGCGCCACATAGAGTCCAGTCATGGCCTTTCTTTTGTCAGGGATGTGACACCTGTCAACCGGTCGCTTTCAACTCCTTTACTCTATATCGGTACTCCGTACTCCGTACAGTCAAGTTTTCTGTACGGATACTTTTCAAGTACATGGCCCCATTCGCGGCTCGCCATGGAATCTCGCCTATGCCCTGCCCCCTTCTCCGCCACATTGGGTCACGAGCAGAATCTACGGAACATACGGGAGTGATGGTCCAATCCGCGTGCCGGACATGGCCGTAGCTGGCCTTTTCGTCCACGATCTCAGGACATCTCACGTCGTCAGAAGCAGAATTGTGTTGGAAATCGAACACGGGATCCTGGCTCGGATATCGACCGACTGATCTTGCTGCACAGCGGGTGCCCCAGATGGGAAATGGGAATTAGCCAGCCCGGGCCAAATTGCGGTCATCAACTCGACCGTTGTGCGAGAAATCGGGCCTGCTTTAACCTGATATTTCCCACTAAGGCCGCCTTATTGCGCAAAGGCGACTGATGGCCAAAGCTTACATCGACCCATTCTCAGAAGGCATTGCACTAGTGTTTCGCTCTTCTGGTGACATCCTGAGATCTGGCCAATACCCGGAGGTGTTTGTTCAGTTTGAGTTGCAGCAAATCGGTGTTCGTGGTGGGGGGGGGGGGAGAAGGGAGGGGAGACGAGGCACACCAGATGCCCAGGAACCCAGTTCCTGTGCTCCCGCATGCCGGCAGGCAATGGGCGGGACGTTCCCTCGCCCGGCCATTTGGGAATACGTACCGACTGGAAGTACCGCTGGTGCCGAAAGAGATCTGTCTATCATTGTGCTCTGCGCGATCGAACGCTGGTCCGATTGATCTCTTTTAGTGTCATCGGATGCAAGGGCCTACTCTCGAGCCAAAGTTAGTTGTGCCGTCAATACTGGCCGGCTGCGGACGCCACAAATGTCGTATGTGGAACATGGCATTTATCACTCGTGATGCCCGTCTACTTCTGTCTGTAACAATACGGCCGTTGCGTTTCACAACCCTCATTGAACCGCTCTGAGAGAATGCCAACAACTAGATTCGCTCCTGTTCTCGCCTTTCTTCATACGATAACTAAACATGGGAGCCATTATTCCCAGCTCTGAGAGGTATCCCATGGCCTCAGACCCCGTACTGACGATGGGCGCCTCTGCCCAGCACGCCTTTACTACGGAGTCCTATCCGAACGATCCGTATGCCTATCAAGTTGGATTTGGGAACAGATTCTCTTCTGAAGCCATGTAAGTTGACATCCCACCATTCTCGGTCAAGAGTCTGAGCTGATCAATAAGCCCCGGGACTCTGCCTCGATCATGTAATGTACCGCAGAAAGTGAAGTACAACCTCTATTCCGAGCAGCTCAACGGTTCGACCTTCGTTGCCTCTCGAACCGACATTCAAAATGCTTGGTTTTACCGCGTATTCCCATCTGTAGCCCACGGAGATATCACAAAGATGCCACGAAACCCAGATGTAAGTCATTTTTCATTCCTTGGGTCCCCTACCTTCTGCCGTAACGCAACTGCCACTAAAATGGACTCACCCCTGACTTGTTTATACCCTCAAGATCGAGTCAAGATTCACATCTGGGAATGAGAATGTTGAGTTTGTTCCCGGAGGACTCTGCTGGAGAGCATTCCCCGTGCCGAAGGCAGGCGATCCGACCATCGACTTCGTCCAGGGGCTCAAGACGATAGTTGGAAACGGCGAATCAACAACCAAAGACGGCTTGGCTGTACACGTGTACGCCGCAAACTCTTCGATGAAGAAACGCGCATTCTGCAGCAATGACGGCGACATGCTGTTCGTGCCTCAGACTGGCAGGCTGGACATCCAGACAGAATTCGGGAGGTGGGCAGTCACCGGTTCCAGTTGGTGACCAAAATTCCGTTGACAATCTTTCCAGAATGATGGTACGGCCTGGCGAGCTGGCGGTGATCCAGAGTGGCATCCGCTTCAAGGTCGGGTTGCCGGATGGTCCGGCCCGGGGTTGTGAGTCATTTGACGGTTGCCATATGCATGAGAAGGAACATTCAGCTGATGGGCTTAGACATCCAAGAGATATTCGGGAGCCGGTACGAGCTGCCAGAACTAGGACCGCTCGGAAGCAACGGGATGGCTTTGCCTCGCGATTTCGAGTTCCCCGTCGCCTCCTTTGACATGGATACGTCAGAGTGGGAGAGTAAGTTGTCTGCCTTATCACTTTTGCCAAGACGCAACTGCGCTGACTGACGCGGTGTGTTAGTCGTGTATAAACTGGCTGGCAAGCTGTGGTCCTGCAAACAGAATCACACGCCCTTTGACGTGGTTGCATGGGATGGCAAGTAAGAGAAACGCCCGCTCCAAGACCCATCCCCCCCCCCCCCCCCATTTTATTCTGTTCAGGTGCTGACACTGTCTGATAGCTACGTGCCTTTCAAGTATGCCGCCGAAAAGTTCGTCAACGCCGCCTTTGCGGACAAGGACCAAGCCGACCCTAGTTTGTACACCGTCTTGACGGCGAAGTCCAAGATGCCCGGGGTACCCGCAACGGATGTCATGTTCTTCACGCCAAAGTGGTCTTCGGCGACGAATACCTTTCGACCTCCCGTACGTGTTGGCTCTTGTTCGGGGGTGGGTGACGCGTGCCGTAGCTAATAGCGTGGCAGTATTACCATAGAAACATGTCGACGGAGGTGGTGGGAATCGTATACGGCGATTACAAGGGCACCAGTCGCAACTTGGAAGCTGGTGGCCTGAGTTTTCAATCGAGCTTCATGCCTCACGGAGGTATGAAATCCGGGAGACATCTTCCTTCAAACATGAGACTAGATACTAATAGGGGGCCTACAGAAACACATGAGGCGTTTGTGCAGGCGACCACCAACGAACTGAAGGCCCAACGCGTGGGAGAAGGATACCTCGGTAAGGACAGCAATGAACCGTAACACCAATCGCCACGACTGACATTCTCGTTGCAGGTTTCATGTTCCAGATCAGTACTCACTGCGCAGTGACACAATACGCCTTGGAAAGAACCGGATTGCTGGAAGGTAAGGAGAAAATTTGCTTTGAGAAGGGAATGGGAGTCACTAATAAGCCGTTGGTAGTACCGCCGGCATCTCTCTGGGACTCGATGCAAGGTCACTTTCTCGAGCACGCCGAAGAAGTGAATAGCGACTTGCGAAGACGAGGACTGCCGACCCTCGGGGCTACCCTGGGCCATTGAAAGTGACGTCGATCCATCATCACTGAAAGCGGCTTTTTTTTTCCTTTTCTTCTCTTAAGCCTCGTCTCTTCTCCATTTGATCCGAAATAGCGAAGCGATGCACAGCGATAAACAAACCTTTGCCAGCGGTTTCTGAAAGTTTTATATATCTTTTTCAAATGTTACATGATCAACGATTCGGTTGTGGGTGGTATGTTTGTCGAAAGGATTTCCTCTTTTTTGCTGTAGTCTCTTGGGCGGTGACACGAGTGGAGGCGTGTTAGTGAAGAGGGATGGACGCTATTTTAGGGGGGGGGGCTTGGGTTAGTTGCCAGCATGCGGAGGAACCCTGAGCATGACGATAATCTGAAGAAGAGAATTGATCTGGGCAGTGGAACAATTTAGGATATATATACCTCCGATGAAAATTTGAGATATCGTGACTCGACCTTGAAGAGTCGTGCCTGGTGTTGTGGTGTGGTGTGCCGGTGAATTACCGGCTTCACTGCGGGGTACCTTGATTTGGTCACAATCTCTCCGAAAATTTCACCAACATCCGATATGGTGTAGTGGCCAACATGATGCCCTCTCATTCACTTGAGAGGTTAGGCATAGCCCCGAGTTCGATTCTCGGTTTCGGAAATTTTGCCCTTTATTACAATGAATTTCGTTACTTTTTTTGCTTCTATCGCACGATTAACTGGTTGATTGATCGATTCACACAGTGAGTGTTCTGCTTGTATTGTTGATTTCTTGTCTCCATGGATCCTAGAGTATCCACAACGGGCGTTTTCGACCCTTCCGAGGTGAGTAGTAGTAACTGTCCCTTCCCTCGGATTTATTCTCTACGGCTGGTGCACATTTCAACTACCTATTTATCTTAGAGAGTGATTGGTTTCCTTTTTTTTCTTTCTTTTTTGGGTGTCGTCTTTACTCAGGTTCCAGCTTCATCCTTCCATGTTACTTATCTAGAGCTGGGCTCTGGCGAAGGTAATCTCCCACCGGGCCCGTAGTTGGATTCTATGTATGTTTGAGGCTGTGGTATTTTCGGGAGACTTTCATGACCAGGAGCATAGATACTACAGTTACTGTCTGACGCTGCGAGCTGCTTCTGTAAGAACCTGTTGCCCCCCCCTGTGGAGTAAGGTATGTGGAGTTGTTGATCCACGATGTTTTGAGCGAGTCTGAACCATGTACAGGCAACAAGAGGGAGGCTATACCATATTGTCACCCGTTTCTACGTTTCTGGATCCTCTTGACTACTTACTGCACCCTTTTGGCTGCGTATTTCTTTCCTCGAACTCCTAATCTCTATGTTTCTACTTGTATCTAGTACCTACTTAGTATGCAGATAAGCGAGTAACTGAGGCGATATTGTGGTACTACATGGGTCGATGGCGCGGAAGGCTAATGATTGCTCACCTACAGGATTCCTGTCAGTCGTGCAATCGGAGATCTGGAGACCGAGTCGTACGGGTACACAAGAAGCTCACTGAGTGAGTAGAACCTAAGTGCTAATTAATGTAAACCATATTCTTTCAGTGGCGTGAGGAGAGACTTCGATACTTGATGCGGGCTGTTCAATGAATAAGCTACAATTAGATTAGATTACCACGTTTACATGAAATTTGAACTCTATGAAAAATTCAAGTTGGTGTGACTGTTTTTAGTTCAGTCTATAGGGGGTCTTATCAGGCAAACATGATATCCTGCAAACCTGAGTTAAGACCAGCGCTTGCCATGAGATTACCAACCTGTAACTGCCTCGCTTCCAAAACGTGATGCATTTCCCCATGAATTAAAGATGGCGGCGAGGCCATGAGCCACTTAGCTCTCTCTCGACGGTATTGAAACCTACCAGCTACCAAAACGGAGAAGAGGTCGGAGATGGCCGGATGCTTCACACAGCCCCGGGGCCCGGGCCGAGAATGTCGGCCGCCGTGACGGTAACAGTGGGTCTCCCTTATTCTTCGTCGGCGGAGCACCGCTGTGTGATCCATTCCGTCTGCCAGACCCTTGTTAGACGCCTTCTTTGGTGACATGCTGCGTCGCCAGGGACCCGAGCAGCCCGAGCGGGTCTGCTCTAGCACGCTTGATGACCGCGCAGGTAGATTGCTGCGCCGGTGATTGGGTGCATGCCGCATCGGGACGGCGGCAGGCACTGTCTTGGTCCCGTGGGAGGAGCTCCTGTTGAAGTGCGGAAGTGGAATTGGGCGGGTATGCTCGGACCAGAACGAGCAATCTGGATCCATAATAATCTGTGTGAGACCAACCAATGAAAATGCAGGAATCCAGTTGCCTCAGATGAGGGATATTCCTGGCTGCATCTGGAAAGGAGAACTACAGAACATAGACAAAGAAAATGATCACGAATAATCCACGACAGCTCCAGCCTCCAGCAGCGAGCAACGGCGTGATCAGATGGGGCGACGTGTAGAATTATACTACTTATATACTATATACTCTCCCTCTCGGATCAAGCAGTCTTACTAAAGCTTTACGTATTTTAGTAATCTTGGTTAAGATGACTAATTTAGCTTTAAAATGTTATAAAGGCTTAAATTTAAGCTTTATAAAAATTTATTGATTTAATATAACATGGTTTCCCAGTCAGCCGCGCATTTCCTTATCGCATATTAAATTGCATATTTACTTAATTTCTTTGAATAATAACTAATTAGAAAAATTTCAGTATCTTCATAATATATTTAAAATATAACTAACGTGGTTCATCAGTCAGCCGGCCGGACCAGTCAGCCGGACGTTTTTCCCCACGTCTACAACAACATCTAGTATTTCTCAACCACAACGCATTAAATCAATTATTAGTTATCGTTATTAGAATCTCCTGATGATTCGACATCTTTGAAACAAGTTTGTATATTATGCACAGTCTTACTACACGCACTACAGCGTCTCTAAGTCGGCTGGGCTCTCTTTAATATACCCCCCTCCTCATCCTCTCGAGGTGCCGGACGTTTACCTTTTTGTTTCTCTTCCAGCAAACCCTGAGATTCCTCTATACTAAGTGCCCCTCTAAGCTGCACATACGACCTTTTAGCCCTCCGACGCTTAGCAAGTGCTACATTCGTATCCTTAAGGGTACGAAGCCGATTAGTTAAAATAGTGATTGAGTGTGCCATTGTCTGCGTACCCTTTGATAATTGCTCAACTGTAGCAATAATTGGTGTCGTTGAGCTTCCTTTATGAGCAGAGATCCGGCTTTTAATAAAGTTGGACTGCGAGACGGCTTGTTGTAGGTTAGAGGGCGTTTGCGATTGCCAAGGTGGTGGTGTTGAAGGGTTGGCCATAGGAGGTGTAGGCGTCTGTAAATGCACATCAAGCTTTTTGATGACATAGTCTGGGTCCCATGGTGAAATTCCAGCGCCTTGGAAAGCAGACCTGATGTTTTCCTCATTAAAAACCTTGTTGTGGGCCTGGTGGAAGGCAATAAAGAACTCAGACTTGGTAATGTGATTTATGGAGGCTCTGATAAATAGGTTGATTTTATCACCGTATGCGCGTTTCAAAGGCGAATAAAGCGCAATATCCAATGGCTGTAATAAATGCGACGAATGTGCAGGCATACTGACCGTTACAATATTGTTCTACTTACAGTAATCGTCGAATTCGGCCGATAAATGGCTCTCATGGCCGTCGATAATGAGCATCCGGTAGACGCCCTTAGTTCGGTTCTTAGTATGTTTGTCGAAGTGTTTAATCCAGTCAAGACCCGTCTGATTATCCGTTCATCCATTAGCAGTGGGCTTGATGACCCAGTTGCCCGGAAAACCTAATTCCGTGGTCCAACTAGCAAGGTGATATGCGCCCTTAACAATCACGAACAGAGGGATGCACCGCCCGCTTGAATTAACATATTCAATAACTATAGCCCATTCATGGTTACCCGGCTAGACAGACTTTACTTTACCACGTCGATCGGTGCATATTACCACCATTAACGCGGTAATTATGCCCATTATGAAGCCAGTCTCGTTGAAATTATATAGGTCCTCCTCTTAGATTCCACACTTGGTCATTATGTTACATAATAATACAAACCACTTTAAAATAACCTCTAGGTCTTCTTAAAGAGCCCTTTGATAATCGTATAGACGATTAAACTTTGTTTTCAAAGCAGGCTATGAGTCCACAAACCGCCTAGCCTATCGCTTACCAACAGGCTTGGCATTACGCGCTCGCAGCAGGAGATTGGCCATATCTTCCATACCGCCAAGGTACAAAGGAAATCCTCTGGAATCCTGTTCAATAATATATTATAGAAGTGTTTTCTCTTCGATCGGATCGAGTTTATATCGTTAGGGTTGAGTTAATTCGCGTTGCGGTCGGTTATTCATTTTATCGGCTAAGGTACTCTTCGGGATACTGTAGGTCTTTACGGCATGCGAAATACTCAAGTTACTACCTATAGCGCGTATTGATCGGATCGCTTCAATCGCAAGAATGACTTTATCTTCTTGGGTATAGATTGGCATTATGATTGTTGAGATTTTATGCGTCAAAGGTTTACGTGGTTTGGATATAAGTGTGTTTAGAAAAAAACGTCCGGCTAACTGATGAACCACGTTAGTTATTAATAACATATAACGTACATGATAAGCGAGTGGGCCAGACAAGCGAGTGGGCCACCCAACCACGACCACATGACATGAAGGAGCAAATATCAACACCCACCTCATGGATTCAATCGAAACTATTCAGAGTCCTCTTCCTCAGACATTTCCTCATTAAATCGATATGTTCGCGCATTATAACCAGTGTTCCCGTAGACGTTATATCGTCGTTAGCCCGTCTCAGTCCTCGGTCGGCGACCACTACTCCGGCGCGTTTCCTCCTCTACCTAGGCTATAGCCTCTCTTTACGACTAAAGGTCCTCTCCCTCAGCTATAGTAAGGCTTCCTCCTTATTGGAGACGGTTTTTTTTTTTAGCTCTCCAGCGTCGACTAAATAGGTTATTCTCCTCTCGAAGGATCTAGTTCTCAGATCTTAATAAGGCGATCTAGTACATAAATCCACGAGCCCCCTTAGATAGATACTCTATAACCTTGATAATTAAAGTTAGTGAGCTATTTTGATAACGGGAGATTCGATTCTTAATAAGTTCTGATTAAGAAGATGCTTTCGTTGGGTTGTTTAGTATCTGAGAAGTCTATGCCGGTGGTATTATCGGGAAGGATCCTGGAGGCGTCGGAGTATATAACTTCATATTAAGCTTTGAGAGCATACTCTCTGCACTCAAAGGCACAATTCCTGCCCCTCTGAATCCTCCCTGGATGTTTTTCTCCGTGATCGCTTGTGTGAAAGCCCTGTGAAACGCCGGGAAGAAGTCCTCCTTGGTAATATACGTATTACCCCGACGCATCTTATCCTCGATTTCTCAACCATACGCCGTTTTTAGAGGCCTAAAACATCCAATATCCAAGGGCTAGAGTAGATAAAACGAATAAGCCGGCATATATAGGGTTACGATATTATTCTTCTTACAAAAAATCTCGAAATCCGCGGAGTGGTGACTTTCGTATCCGTTGACGATGAGGAGGCGGTATTGACCCTTTATACGCGGTCTTATATACCGTTTGAAGTGCCGAGCCTATTCTAGACCTCTTTTATTTATTATCTATCTATTTTTAGACGTTACGATGACCTAGTCGTATAGGAGACCGGATTCCGTGTACTAGGTAGAGAGGTGATATTAGCCCGTAACGATGATGTACGGCGGAACGCTATAGCCCGACGGGCTGATAGCCTGAATGACCGTAACCCATTCACGATTGCTAGGCTGCATCATTTTCGTGTTTGAACGCCTTTCGGCACTGGTCACGACCATGCCGGTTGAGATCTGGCCCATCATAAAGCTAGTCTCGTTAAAGTTGCAGATGTCTAAGTCTACGATGCCGTACTTCGCGATTGTGTTCGCCACAAGCAAGAGCCACGCGTTAATCGCGCCCGGATCTTCGCATTAGGTCCTCTTATAGTCGTACTTACGAAAACGACGCGTTCGCAACTCTGCTTATCGCTTTACGAAGTTCGAAGCCCATCGCTTCCCAACATAGGGCGCATCACGATCAGCAAGCAATTGATTCGCCATTTCTTCAACACCATAAAGACGGGGAGGAAACCATCTGGCGTCCAGGTCGAGGATATATTTAATCAGCTTCTTCTCTTCTAGCAGCGTCAAATTCCGTGAGTTAAGTATACTATCACGTCATGATAACGTTCCCTCTAATCTACGGCCTAAGGTAACGCGACTAATATTATAGATCTTTACCGCGGCCCGAATACTGAGATTTCGGTCTTTCTGGGTAGCCTGAACCGCTAAGTTTAATTGGGTATCTTTGTTATGTACTGTCATTGTTTTCGATGGAAAAATGCGTGTTGTGATGATGTAGGTGGCACGATGGCGGTTGGGTGGCCCACTCGCTTGTCTGGCCCACTCGCTTATCATGTACGTTATTAAATTATTAATTTTAAAATCATATTATTTATATATTAGAAAGTTTTTTAGGTTTAGTATTTTTATTAAAGCTTTATATATTTTAGCGATCTCGGTCGAGATTATTAATCTAGTTTTAGAGCACTATAGAGGCCCGAGTTTAAGCTATGTAGAGGCTTGCCAATCTAACACAATGCGAACGCGACCTTTGGGGATGGCGACTGACCTCTCATTGGATTGCTAGGTCTTTGCCGGGGAGCCGAAGGGCCGGGGGGGTTGTTGGTGTCATGGTGGTTGGGTGAGCTTGACAGGTGGGGAGGAGGAGAAGGAGAAGGGGAGGGCGGATGGATTTGAGACAGGGGCAGTTTGGGGCTGGCGAATGTCACAGGTGCTTGCTTTAGATGCTAGGCAAGTAGGTACTGCTTGATGCTGTGTATTTGTTTCCCCTCCGTACCCGGATATGCTTGTCGCCTTGCGTCGCGCATGGAAATATTGGATGAAGGAGGGGAAGAAGGCTGTCGCAGGAAGCTTCATTGGACTTTTCTTCTTCGTGCCTGAACCACTACTTTATTGATCTTAATGATCTCTAATTGTTGTCCCGTGTTAGTCGCAGGAATCATGTCGGTTTGTTCGCGAATGACGGGGAACCTCCGTCAAAAACGGAGACATACGGATCCCCATCGCAATTACACTGCAAAAAAGGGACCCAGCAAAAAAGTACATGGCAAAGACAAGCTTACGAACACTCCAAGACCCCAAGACCCCCCAAGACCCCCCCCCCGCGGCGCGCGCCCAGAGACTTGGTGCGCATAAGCCTATTTCAGGCTAGAGTCACGAGCAACCCGCAAACTTAACGCCGCCCGCTAAAACGAAAGAGGCGCGAAACGAGTCGCAGGCGACCAGCAGGTGCAGTTACTTACTGTGGTGAGACATGTAGGTAGGCACGTAGGTACCTTCACCGACAAGGGTCAGGCAGGTTGCCTCCCCCAAAATCGCGGCTTGGCTCTCTCCCGTCCAATCCATCCACGCACGCAACGCACGTCCTTTCCGGGTGGTGTGTTCATTCCCTCTGTCTGTCCAGTGTGTATGTGTGCGTGGCTCTATCGATACCCGTTCCTTAAACTCCTCGCACCGATTTCTTCCCCTGCGCCATCCGCAACTGCATTCTTCTTCCTCCATCCTCTACATACGTAATCCCGCCTCCGAGCCCTCCGCCGCCTCCGTCCGACAAAGGGGAATCTCGCCGCACCGCTTCGAGCAAACGGACTTCTTCCCTTCTTTTTTTTATTTTCTGAAATCATCGTCGAAAGGCAAACCGAAAAAGTAATTTACTTCACCTCTCACCCAACCCGCGACACATTCGAACCGTCGCGCCTAGCACTCCCATCTTCCTACAACACACTCAACAAACAACAACAACCTTCCCTCCCACAATGGCCGACCACGACAAGCCCCCCGCGTACGGCGGCCCTCCCCCTCAACACCCGCAACAAGCCTACCAGGGCTACGGCTCCCCGCCTCCCCCCGGCGGCCCAGGAGGCTACGGCGGCCCTCCGCCCGGCCAATACTACTCCCCCGGCCCGGAGATGAATTACGGCCACCAGCAAGGGCCCTACCCGCCTCCGGGACAGTACCCTCCCGGGCAATATCCTCCCCAGGGACAGTACCCGCCCCAGGGCCAGTACGGGCAGCAGTACCCGCCGCAAGGCGGCTACTACCAGGACAACCGCGGCGGCGGCTCGGGAGGCGGCATCATGGCTGGTCTGCTCGGTGCGCTCGCGTGCTGCTGCTGTCTTGACTGCTTGTTCTAAGCGGCTGTTCGAACGGGTCGTACTGGGGCCTAGGGCCTACTTGAACGGAGCAATATTGCGATACAAATCACACGATACCCCCAACTAAACTACCTTGCGAACGAAACGTCAAATCAGCACCACATCTGAGTGGATGGTGAGAGGAGAGAAGGAGGCCTGAATGGAGTGTGGTGGAGACTATCTTGTCTGGACACGATGCGATGCTGAGATACGCATGGCATCGCGTGGAAGAGTACACGACAGACGATCCCCCCGCCGGTTGTGATAGGTGGTAAACCAGAGCCGAAAGGGCCGGGCCGACCTTGCGCTTTCCATCATCGTTGAGCCATGGAGGGGATTCTTGCATGTCTCGCACGGCGTCAAAGGGACGACGGGGTTTCTGAATTCCTCGAGGTGGAATTCGGGAACAGCTTTTTTCTTTTTGGGTCTGTGGCTTGAGAGACGGGTATGTTTCACAGGAGACAAACCCCCTTTCAATCGTTTTGAGGGCCTCCATGTCCCTTTTGTTGTTGTTTTTTTCAAATCCAATGGGATCCGGGAGTTTCGATAGCTTTTACCGCATAGCATAATATCATCACGGATACGCCATGAAACTTGCTGTCCTGTTTTCTGAACTCAAATTTGTGTGACTCGAGTGCCTATCGGCAAAGCTCAGTTGAGCTGAGCTCTCGAGTGCGGGGTATGCTTCATCGAGAGTGGCTTGGCCGAGGACGCAAGCATCCTAGGCTCAACGCCAGGGAGACTTTGACGCTACATGTGTGAAGAGGTATCGGAGGGCAAAAGTGAAGGCCGAGAACTCCACCAAAAAATTAAGAGATTCAGGTATCTACAAAGTGTGTATCAAATGTATCTGCCGTTCCAGTTTCTATGCTACGCTACTGAAAAACTCGTCAAAGTCTCTTTGGATGTTGGCCACGCAGTCGTTTGTATAAATCATCTTTTGCACGTCGGGCGAGGCCCACTTATCCGGCACAGCGCCGGTCTGCCTGGACTCGGCAAACATGCGATCGCGCTCCTCCTTGGCCTTGCCCTCGCCGAGGTGCAGCTGCTTGCCCGAGAGGAAGGCCATGTTGACGAGCTGGGAGGTCCAGTCGCGCCGGGAGAGCTCGTATGCCTTGAGGCAGCGCCGGAGCGTCGCGGGGGACGTGTCGGGCGCGCGGGCGAGGACCTCGGCGACGACGGAGCCGTCTTCGATGGCCATGGCGGCGCCCTGGCTCAGGTGCGGGAGGGTCGGGTGGCAGGCGTCGCCGAGGAGGGCGACGGGCCCGTCGGTGTGGACCCAGGTCGGTAGGGGCTTGTGCATGCGCAGGCGCCACTCGCAGACCTCGCCGTCCGGGACGAGGTTGAGCATGCGGTGGACGAGGGGGCAGAAGTCGTGGAAGACGTCGAGCATGGCCTTTTTGGAACCCTTTGTGGTGTAGGTCGCGTTCGTGGCGACGGCGAAGTTGGAGTCGGGCTGGGTGGTGGAGAGGTTGTAGATCGTGTGGGAGGAGACGGGGTAGGCGATGATGTGGCGCTTCTCGCCGATCCAGCGGATGACCTCGTCCGAGTCGAGGAGGGCGAGGAGTTCCGGGTCGTCGGCGATCTGCTCGCGCTTGAGCATGATGCGGTAGGCGGCCTGGCCCGTATCCTCCTCCCCGCCGACGGCGCCGATGGACTCGAGCAGTTGAGCACGGATGATGCTCTTGATGCCGTCGCAGGCGATGAGGACGTCGGACTCGACTGAGTAGGCCTCGCCGTCGCGCGGTTGCAGGGTAAACTTTGGCTTGGGCGCAAAGGATTCGACCGATAGCAAAGCCTGTGAGAAGTGGAATGTAATAGCGGATTCCTTCTTGCAGGCGTCGTACATGCCGCTGGCGAGGGAGGAACGGTGGCCGTTGCAGTGGGGGAAGCCGTAGAGTTTCCGAATGTCGGGCATCTCGACGTGAGCGAGCTCGACGTTGGTGGCGCCCTCTATAGTGATATGTCAGTAACCTTTTTAACTTGGCAAGGTGAGCGGGTGGTGCAGAAGTCCTCCTTACGTCGGATGCTTGAACTCTTCACGTCTGTACATGTCTTCTCGATCTCGGGCCAGCAGCCTAGGCGATCGAGTACGCGAACGACGTTTGGCGGCATTTGAATGCCGGCGCCGACGAAGCCGAGGTTGGAGGCCGTCTCATAGACATCGATGTGCTTGAATCCCTTCTTGGCCAGTGCGAGTGCGCAACCCAGGCCGCCCATTCCTAAGCGGATTCGTGTTAGTGAACGTGGGTTCAGAGAATGTGAAGCTGACAGCTAGTACCTGCGCCAATGATGGCAATTTTCAAATCCTTGGGGTCTGCCATTGTGTCTAGTATGGTGCTGTAGTATTCGTTTTAAAGGGTATCGAACTGCAGAGCTCAATTGTACCAAGGCTTTTGGGAATGTCGTCCCAAGGGCTACTTATGAAGTAGACAGCACGGAGCCTCACATGGAGGGGCATGTGGGGGATCGGAGGTAAGCTCGGGGTCCATTATTAGCTGTAGAAGCGGGGAAGCGATCGAGAATGAGGGGGATGCTGCGATATTCCCTAACTCCCCTTGGTCCTTTGATGAGCTGGTAGAGAGCCGGGATCGCAGGACGGGAAGTAAATACGATTCGTCGGAATTGCCATTGGCAGACGAGCCAACTGCCGGTGCGCCGACGGTGCTGTGGGGGTGATGCGAACTTTAGGATACTGCCGAACCCCAAACCCCAATTTCGGGCGGTCAAAGTTGCTCGAATGTTTATCCAGTGTTGGTAGGTAGTGGCGGTGGTGGTTGACGGAGCTGTCAGATGTCGTGTCAAATGAACTGGCTTAGTCACCGGTGCGCGATTCGGATGTGAAAGTCGGCATGCGTGCGTCCAGACTCCAACGCAGACATATGCAGGTGGCCCGTCTGTGTGGAAATGTGGTTCGCTAGCTTCATCGTTGACAGCGGCGATTGTGTCTGTGTTGTGGTGCCGTATACTGTGGCTTGCTAACAGGCGCCCATCCGGGTTTGGAGGGGAAATCCCCGCAATCGGCCAGAATGCGGAGGGAGGGCCGAAATCTCGTCGTCATGTTGCGAGAGAAAACGGCACGGTGCCCCGGCGCCGGGACTGTTATGATTTGCCTCGGCCGCTTAAGGGGTGGGAACCCCTGGTGATGGCTTGCTACCCTCTGTCACGCTCCCAATAGCACGATCCCGGGGTGGGCAGGTTCGCTCCGATATCTGGAGGCCGGGAACCCAAAAGCGACAGCTAGAAGAAAGCAAGGGCTTGTATGGGTGGACGGGTGGACGGATGACGGAGGAGGTAGGCGGTGGCATGTGAAGCCAGTTGTTCATGAATCCTTGTCAAGAGCAGGATTTTCCATCGTGGGCATCATTGCCAGCTCCCTCTTTTGGACATTTCAGATGACGGCTGATGTTGTTGTCGGAACATTGTGCCAAGAAATGGGATCCTAATGGACCAGTGCGGTACGCGGAAAAAAGACGCCCTCGTTCCCACTGGTGGTCAATAACCAGCTTCTGCGCTCATCTGCCTTGGCAACGTTGGTGACGCAGGGTGGCAGACCAGACTAGACACCATTTTGGATGCTTTGTGGCGTAGACAGCATGGTGTCGCTTTCTTGTCATCGGGAGACGTGAATGGACAGCGTCTCGGCGAAAGCTTCGTTTTCCGAGGCGCAGGTCGTTTTGTTCAAGACCTTCAAGCCAACTCGATTGGGATACCCCACGATTCGAAATGCTAGAGGACGGCGCGGACAACGGCAACGAAAGGGTTGGCGAATTCCACAGCGAGTCCACCATGGATATTCAGAGTGGCACAGCCACGCAACCTCGCCCCATTTAGCCACGATAACGTCTCTCGGTAAGCTTGTCTATGTGGATAAGGTTCATTGTCGATTCGCCTTGCTCGCACAGGGATGGCCCGGTCGATTGATGGTTCACGAGCGGCAAATAGCCACAAGCGTTCCATTGTGCAGTGTTCATGTTGTTGTTTGTGTCCGTAGTATGTACGAGGGAATAAGAGATTGTTTCGCCAGGCTGAGAGGAATCGACAAATGATGATGTTCTCAGGGGTATTCAAGTCTTGGACCTGGGAAGCAAGCTGATTTGGCTAGCGAGGAGCGTCTTTTCGGTTGGTACTTGGCACGAAGCGCGCGCTGATCTATTTCTGAGGCATGCGTCAGAACAGCGCGTCAAGGTGGGGTGGTGAAAAACTGCCCATGCTCACCACATCTGTTGAACAGACTGGACGACGGAAGGGCCAAGGGTCGTTCTGTACGCACTGTGTGTATGTATACCTATTATAGCGGGTAAATTAGCGATTGTTGACATGCGAATTAAGATGGGAGAGAAAAGCACAATCTTACAGCTACAGAGAAGGCACGAGAGGCAAAGTCGGATGAGTCTGTGAGAGGCAGCCGTGGACCGTGGTCGAGGTCCCCTACCTAGGTACGTACATTGTAGGGAAGACGGTACGTACTCTGGCGACATCTGGTGACTGGCAGATGATTGGCCAAGAGTCATGGCGAACCGCGGCGGGATTCCACTTTGTCCCGCAGGTTAGCAGGGGTCTGTTTCGTTTCAAGCGAACAACCAATGAAGCCGCTGATGTCACCAGTTGCAGGGCTCCTGAAGCGATGGAGGTATCCCCAGGGAAAACCAGCAACAGCGCACCCAGCGATTGACTCTGGGGGGCCTGCAGCGACTTGAAGCAGTAAAGTGCACCTGCAGTACCCCTGTCCGAGCCCTGGTCATTGTTGTATCTGCACCTTGTCGGCCAATCAAAGAAGCACAACTACTTCGGTCAAACCCTTTGGCTGCGATTCCTTGGCACTGGCTCGCCTCTGGCCTCTTACTCTTGACCTCTGTCTCTCTTTCTCTCGTCGTTTCTTAGCCCGGCTAGTCTACCTTAATTACTTGACATCTGCCTCTTCCCGAAGCTGGAGAATCCGGTAATACGATCGGTCTTGAATACGATAAACAACGTAGCCACACGTGGTAATTTTTCTGCACAACTATCCGACACGAACGAAAAACACAGACTTCGACACGACCACCATGCCTATTTCGTTAACATCGTGAACTATTCGCCTCCCCCCCACGTCTTTCCTCCCCAGGCCGACCTCGACCTCATTTCGATCTACCTTTTTCCCGCCAAGACTACCTCCTTTCCCAACAACTTCCTCACAACACCCATACAAGCACGACGACAACATATTGTTGTCGAGGCTGGTAGCCACCCGGTGATTCGACACATCGGCACCTCTTTGGCCAACTAGTGGACGATGTCGACGACTCCGACAGCGACACCCTCAGGCTCGGCCACCCTGACGGGCACCCTCGCGTCGTCTCTCGCCTCCTCGCTCTCAACCGCCCTTTCCACTACGCTCTCTGCGACGTTGAGCTCCAATGGAACCATAACATCAACATCGAGTGCCTCGGCAACATCAGATACTGCCGCAGCTACTTCATCAGCACTCAATGTCGCAGGAAGCGAGAAATACCAAGGAATCACGCTTGTTGCCTTTCTCACTGCCTTGGCCACTGGTTTGGTGGTTTTTGCCATCCAAATCCTCGCCTTCCTCATCCTGAGAAATAAGATCGCGCGTATCTTGTGCGTGTACCTCCTTGACTCTCCCTTGCTCTCCAACACTGACAAACCGTAGTAAACCAAAAACATACCTCGTCCCTGAACGCGAAAGAACCGATTCACCTCCAAGTGCACCATGGAGTCTAATTAGCACGCTGGTTAAATACGACGATCGAGAGATCATCAAGAAATGCGGATTGGACGCCTATTTCTTCTTACGATACCTCAGAACTCTTCTCACCATCTTTATTCCGATTGCGGCCATCGTCATTCCCATTTTGACTCCGCTGAACTACAACGATGGCCAAGGCCACAATCTCGTCGACGATGCCAAGGACGAGACCACCAATGGCACCAGCTCTTCTTCAGCCCGTCTCATGGCCAGAGACAATACCGCCGATACGTCAGTGCCTACTGGTCTGGACACTTTGGCATGGGGTAATGTGGGTAAGAACCACACCGGTCGATACTGGGCACACTTGATTCTTGCATTGCTCGTAATCATTTGGGTCTGCACAGTCTTCTTCTTCGAATTGCGCGTTTATGTCAAAGTTCGTCAGGACTACTTGACAAGTGCCGAGCACAGACTCCGTGCTTCTGCCACGACCATCCTCGTCAACAGCATTCCTTCCAAATGGTTGACTGAAGAGGCTCTTATGGGTCTGTTCGATGTTTTCCCCGGTCAAATTCGAAACATCTGGCTCAACCGCGACCTCACTCCACTCCTCGAAAAGATCCAGCAGCGGGAAGACGTCCATCTGAAACTCGAATCCGCTGAGACGGATCTTGTCAAAGCTGCGAAGAACAAGCAACTCAAAAGGAAGAAACAAGAAGAAAAGGCTGCAAGAAAAGCGTCCAAGTCCAAGGGCCCATCAAGGCAGGAGCAGGCTCTCAGGAGACAGGCAGAAGATGCCGAGGCTAAAAAGAGGGCCGAAGCTGGTCAAGGTGTTAGTTCCGGTGAACATGACGAGGTCCCTCACGATATCAGCGCCGTCATCAACGAGAATCGCGACGATGCAAAGTCAAGACGCTCAAGCACTTCATCTTCGAGCTCATCCGAAGATGGTAATAGACCCCAGTCTAAGGGCTTCGGGCTTGGCCTTATCGGCGATGGTGTCACCAAGGTTGGGAAAGGGTTGCTTGGCGGGCTTGGAAAGGCTCAAAAGGATATCAAAGAATTCACTGAAGATGTAGACGACACCGTGGAGACTACAAACGGATTCGCCATGCTACACCCAGACAACCGTCCGCGCAAAGTTCAAATCCTGACCGACAACGAACGACCCGCCACGCCCAAAAGTACAAAGGACACCACGGAGCAGGTCGAGCCGCTTGCCAACACTGAGACGCACAAGACTCACTCTAGGAATGTCTCTGCCGTCTCTCAGGAAACTGCCGATCCGAACTACAAGCGAAGCTACGAGCCATTTGGCAATGGCAATACCGTTCGCAAAGTCAGCGACCTGGACCACATGTACGATAGGGAAACGCGTAAATTCTGGCAGTTTTGGAAAACCCCCGCTGGCGGCTACGCGTCTCCTGTGCCTCAGGGATTCGACGGTGGAGAGTACCCATTCAACCAATCATCAAAGGACAAGACCATCTGGCAGACGATCAAGTCTTACATTCCCTTCGTGGGTGACGATGACCAAATCCCCGTCGATTATCCTGAGTGGAATGCTGTCGGAGGCGAGTACAAGAACATTCTGGACGATGACGCAGAATGGCGCAAATGGGTCAAGGAGAAGAACAGGCCGACTCACCGACTTCCGCGCTGGGGTTTCCCGAACTGGCTCGCATGGCTTACATTTGGCCCGAAGGTTGACACAATCTACTGGTGCCGCTCTGAGCTGGCCCGTCTGAACGTCGAGATTGAAGATGATCAAGCACACCCAGAGCGGTATCCCCTCATGAACTCCGCCTTCATCCAGTTCAATCACCAGGTCTCAGCGCACATGGCCTGCCAAAGTCTCATGCACCATATTCCAAAGCACATGTCACCTCGAATCAACGAAGTCTCACCAAAGGATGTGATTTGGGATAACATGGCCATGAAGTGGTGGCATGAGTCAATCAGATCTGGCACCGTCACCATCGTCATCGCAGCCATGGCTTTCTTCTGGGCTATTCCCATTGCCTTCACGGCGTCAATTGCCAACATCGATGGCCTGGTTGACCGCTTTCCCTGGCTGGACTGGATTAAGAAGGCACCCATCGACAAGGTCGCTTCTGCCATTGCTGGTGTCTTGCCAGCGATTCTGCTCGCCCTCCTGCTCTTCGTTGTCCCTCATATCCTCGAACAACTTGCCCTCTTCCGGGGTGTCAAGACGGGATCACAGAAAGCAGAGTTTGTCCAACGATTCTACTTCGTCTTCCTTTTCATCCAAGTCTTCCTCGTCGTATCCATCGCGTCGTTCTTCACCGCGTCAGCCGAAAAGTTAGCCAAGAACGTCGAAGGCCTTACCAATGTCACGAATATTCTGGACCTACTTGCCGACAACCTACCAAGAGCGTCAAACTACTTCTTCTCCTACATGTTGCTCCAGGCATTGTCTGTCAGTTCCGGTACATTACTTCAGATCGGTGCTGTCTTGGTTTGGTACATTCTGGCCAGGATTCTCGACTCCACAGCCCGCGACAAATGGAAGCGAAACACGACCTTGTCCAAGATTGCATGGGGTCAATTCTTCCCTGTCTACACCAACTTTGCGTGTATTGCACTTGTCTACTGCGTCGTTGCCCCGCTCATTTCGCTTTTCGCGGTCCTGACGTTTGGCCTGCTGTGGTTTGCCCAACGCTACAGCATGCTTTATGTTACGCGGTTCGAGAGCGACACAGGCGGCGTCTTGTATCCCCGCGCGATCAACCAGACGTTTACAGGCCTGTACGTGATGGAAGCTTGCTTGGCAGGCTTGTTCTTCATTGTGCAAGATGCGCAAGGCACGAACACCGCCGTGCCGCAGGGCATCATCATGCTGATCACCATTGGATTCACGGCCGTGTATCAAATCTCGCTCAATACGTCCTTTTCGCCGCTGTTCCGGTATCTGCCCATCACTGTCGAGGACGAGGCAGTCATCAGAGACGAAGCATTCCAGCAAGCACAAAATAAGCGCCTAGGACTCGGCGGCGAAGATAGTGACGACGCCGACGAGAAAACGCCCATGAGAAACGGAGACGGCGCCGGATCGGTCAACCGCGATATCGAAATGCAAAACTTGAACAATGGGGCGCCAAAGAGGAAGCCTTCGACCATGCGTAAGGTCAAGGATGTCGGCCACTGGGCTAAGCGGGAAGGCAAGAACCTGCGCAGCAAGACCTGGAAGATGGGCCCGGCCCCCGTACATACGGCGGCTGAGTACCGACGTCAGCAGCGAAATAAGGATCTCGAGGCTCAACGGGCACTGGGAGAAGCGTTGTATGGCGGGTTCCACGACGAAATTGAAGACTTGACGCCCGATGAGCGTGATGCACTCGTTAAGAACGCGTTCAAGCATTACGCTCTTCGGGCGCGCGCACCTGCAGTCTGGTTGCCTCGTGACGATATTGGGGTGAGCGACGACGAGATCCGGCGTACGAAGGAGTACAGCGAACACATCTGGATCAGTAACGAGGGCACGGCTCTCGACAGCAAGGTTCGCGTGGTGTATGGCGCCAACCCGCCCGATTTCTCAGAGATTGACATTATCAACCTTTGAATTGTGTATTTGAATATGTAATGAAACAAACGCATATACCCAGCCGGCGTTAAGGGGAAACATTAGCATTAGAGAAAACAGAATAGCGTTAGTGGTTTATGAGTATTGGAAATGCAGCTCTTGAATACTCTGAAGTAGCATTACTACCACCACCTCCTTCTCACGTCAGAAAGCATCGTGAATCTAACAAAGACAAGAACCCAGAAAGAGGAACATTGGACGACTACCTAGTGCTTATAAATCATCAAAGACCAATGACGTTGGAGACTCGAACGAAGATTCAAAGGCGCATAGACGACGCATTCCCCGCATCCCCTCCTCACTTCCGCTTATAAGCCGTTGATCTATCCACTACCAAGCCAGTCGAGGAAGGCCAAAGTTTCATCTTGAACCAGCAGGTTGCACTTACTCTGAGACTATTTTTTCTTCAAAACGAGGACACAAGGAGCGGAAAAGATGACCAAGACAGGAAAAGCAAAGGCCGTCGTGAACGGCACCACGCTCGCCGAGGCGACGGAGTGGGAAGAGGTCGAGGGCAACGTCTACTTCCCGCCCTCGGCGGTCAAGACGGAGGCGTTTGAGAAGACGGAGACGACTACGTTTTGTCCTTGGAAGGGGACTGCGAATTATTACTCGGTTAACGTTGGAGGTAATTTTTCCCCTGATGTATAAACTTATTCGGAGTTCTTCTCACTCTGATTCCCTTTTGTATCTCTTTTTTACGGCGGCTGACGATGGACTGGCGGGTGTGTTTAGATGACAAGTTGAAGGACGCGGCTTGGTATTATCCTACGCCCAAGGATGGGGCTAAGGAGATTAAGGACCATGTTGCCTTTTGTGAGTACTTCCCGTGTTGCTTTCAGGTTCCTGCTGTGGGGAGTTACTTTGGAAGATGGGCTAATTGTGTGATAGACAAGAGTAAGGTGACTGTTACTGTTGAGTAGGAGATCTTGGATGTTGAGAGAGAGCTGAGCTACGTGAGCTACCAAGGGGGATGCTAAAGACCGTCAGACATCGAAGGTATTAGGCAGATCAACAACTCAGAGCCGTATCCCTTCTCAATCTAGTGACTCATATGTATTGCTCCTTTAGTTCGGATCGACGGGATGTCGTCGGCGTGCCCCACTTTCAAAATATACTATCATGATATCTCACCTCAGGAAGGAAAGAGCGAGGGTATGGAAGTCACAAAAACAGCAAAAAAGTGCCCAAGATGAGGATCGAACCCAGCGCCAATTCAGGCAGCGATGAAAGTAGTCATGCGCGCTGCATCCAGATAGCACAGACAGACGAGCCAAATGTCCAAGAAATTTAGGAAGACGAACGGAGAGATGATTTATATACCCTCTGGGTTCGGTGCCTTCCTCACGCATGTCACTCGCTCCTGGCTCGAAGTTTCCCAAGATGAAAAATAACCAACTTTTTGGACCTGGGTATCCGCCCCTTCTACGTAAGCCATGACCAAAAGAAACAATGCAAACCTTATCACGATGCTACCCGTCTAGACCTCAACAATCTCATTGTCGTCGTCGTCATCGTCGTCATCGTCGACCTCCTCGACATTTGAGCCGTTGGTAAGCTCCTTGGGCTTGGATTCTGCCTCACCCTCGCCCTCCTCCGGCTCCTCATCTCTCATCAGCACTTGCACCAGACGATCGCAGGCATCCTTGACGCCCTCGTCGTTGACGCGGGAGTGGTTTTCGCGGATGATGGGGTACACGCTAACCCGCCTTAGCAAATCGCGGCCTCCTCTCGTCGTGGTGAAGAGCAGAAGCGTCTCAATGTGCGTCTGGATGATCTTGGGGTCCGAGTCGCGCTTCTTGTCGGGGGGGAGGAGCTGCAGGTCGGGCAGCATGTCCACGGTGTCGTCCTCGTCGTACTCTTCGTTACCGGTGATGGGAAGGAGGATGTACGGCAGGATGTCGACCTCGTCATCGTCCATGAAGGTGGAGTGGAACTGGATCTCGAATGCGACGTTCTTGATTGTGCTGGCGACACCTTTTCTGCGGATCTCGGACTGGTGCTCGGTAAAGACCTTGAGCTTGGTGATGGGGATGACTTCGTCGTAGTCTTGCCGAGTAACAAAGTGCCGGCGTACTTCAGCGTGCTTGGTGAGATCTGCAAAGAGGTAGGCGAGATAGTCGTAGTCAGCATCCTTGTTATAGGCACCCTTTTCCTTGACGAAGAGGTCGACCAGCTGGTTGAGAACCAAGTCGTTGGACTTGAGCTCCGCTGGTGGTGTTTGCTTCTTGGTCACGATAGTGTTGAGACCGTCGAACTTTGCCAAGTTGGCAAGAAGCATTGCCATCAGGTTGGCATTTGCCTCATCGGGTTTCTGTAAGGGGGTCAGCAAAACACATAGTCCCTTTACTGGAAAGCTCTATGCCAAGGCAAATAGTTTGACATACTACTACCAAGTCCAGCAGAATATCAATAAACTTCTGGTCTGTCGCCACGTTTTCAAGAACATCTTTCTCGGCAGTGAGGTTGACGAGGATTGTCAACGCATGTTCCGCAATTTTCTGGAAACTGTCAATATCGGGATCAGGTGAGCGACGGAAGGCTTGGACCTACAGGGTGATCTCTGACTAGGAACTTGAGGTGCTTTACGGGCGTCAAGTTCTCTGTCTTGAAAATTGACGGGTCCGCCTGTGAGTAGCCAACGAGGTTCTCGATGGCAACCTTTCTGAGATTCGCATTGGGATGAGCGATGAAGCCCACGAGCTGTCACATCATGAGACGAGTCCAAAAAAGTGTAGGCATTTCTGATCGAGTAAGCGTACCTCTTCCAATTCTGTCGGCATTTTGTGTTTGTTTTCAGTGGTTATCGTGAGACAAAAGGTAGAATTGCGTAAAATATGTCAATTCCCTGAAGCCTTTCGAAGAGTTGTCTCAATTTCACTGTAAGACAGACTCGCGGAGTCACTTGCAGAAGCTTTTTGGTGGGGGTTTGGTGGCGGGGCATTGACTCTGCTCGCCGATGAAGTCAACATCAGGGGGTTTGATTGGACAAAGGACCACACAGGCCCCGTAACAAACCGGTCCAGGGTTCTGGGCACTAATCAGGCGCGGGGCAATCGATAAGAAAATCAAAAATTTCTGGCTCACAGGAAAAAAAAAAAAAGAGAGGCACCGCACCGCTTTATCCCGCCTGTCAGTCGCACTCCGCCACGACCATTTCTGACCAAGTGACTCTCAAAAATGGGCAAGGCTACCACCCCGACCGACCGCCAGTCGCGGAGACACAACCCTCTGCAGGATGATATCCTTGCTACAGGTCCTTTGAAGAACAAGGCGCCGAAGAAAAAGAAGGGCAAGAACACGGACGAAGACGACAATGGTGAAGGCTTCGTCGATGCGACACGGAGTCGCACCATTCTCAAGCTAGGCCGAGAGCTTGCCGAGGAGGACGGCTCCGCGAAGCCAGAAACCGCAGCGAAACCTACTGTCGACCTTTTCGGAATTGAATCGAGATACGGTACCGATGTTGGCGACGAGCAGGCCTACGACGACGAGGAGGCCTGGGGCGAGGAGGACGAGATTGTTGAGGAGATCGAGGTCGACCCTGAAGACCTCGAAACATACCGAAAGTTCTTGCCCGAGGCCGAAGATGACCCTGCGGCGATGCTGAACCAGCACGGCTGGGGTAGCCAGGGTCCCGACGACGAGATGGCCGGTGGTGGCACCAACTTGACGGAGCTCATCCTGGAGAAGATCGCGGCGCACGAGGCTGCCGAGGCCCGGAAAGCAGCTGGCGTCCCTGTCCGCGATGAGGATTATGAGCTTCCTCCGAAGGTCATTGAAGTGTACACAAAGTATGTACCTTGGGTTTGCTCTCACCGGAAGACTGTTGCTAACCGTTCGCTAGGGTTGGGCATATTCTGTCGCGATACAAGAGCGGCCCGCTGCCGAAGCCCTTCAAGATTTTGCCGACTCTGCCTCATTGGGAGGACATTATTGAGGTTACGGAACCCCAAAAGTGGACGCCGAACGCTGTTTACCAGGCGACGAGGATCTTTTCTGCGTCGAAGCCAATCGTGTGCCAGAAGTTCATGGAGCTTGTTGTCCTGGACAAGGTCCGCGAGGATATCTACGAGAACAAGAAGCTGAATGTGCACTTGTTCGATGCGCTGAAGAAGAGTCTGTACAAGCCCCGGGCGTTCTTCCTCGGCTTCTTGTTTCCCCTTCTTTCCAGCGGCTGCACGATTCGTGAGGCGCATATTGTTTCTGCTGTGCTCGTCAGAGTGTCAGTGCCGGTACTTCATTCCGCCGCGGCCTTGAAGGGTATCACCGAGATGTAAGTTCTCCTCTTCTTCGATCTGTGGCGTGGTTCTGTGCTAATTCGACTCTAGTGCTGCTCAGGAAGCTTCGGCGGGTACCGAGGGCGGTGGTGCGGCCAACATCTTTATCAAGGCCCTGCTGGAGAAGAAATACGCTCTTCCGTACCAGGTTATCGACTCGCTCGTCTTCCATTTCCTGCGATTCCGAAGCGTGGACCCTGCATCTATCAAGGAGGGACAGTCATTCTCTGGAGACATGGTCAAGTCGCTGCCCGTCGTCTTCCACCAAAATCTTCTGGCGTTCGCCCAGAGATACAGAAACGACCTGAGCGAGGACCAGCGTGAGGCGCTGCTGGACTTGCTGTTGACCCACGGCCACCACTCCATTGCGCCTGAGATTAGGCGAGAGTTGCTGGCTGGCAGAGGAAAGGGAGTGGCTGTTGAGCAGAGCGCCGCATTCGACGGCGATGATACGATGCTTGTGGATTGAACGACACATGAAAAAATTGGGAAATGGGAAATGGAGCTTGGCCAACCCCTGGGCATTAGAAGGCGTTAGCAGGTCTGATTTGATACCCGCAATCCTAATCGAATGGATTCTGAGAAGCTCCTGACATCTTGATATGTTGACCCACGTTTCTCTGGACTTTCCACTTGGCAGGAGCTGCTCCACTCGCCTTGGTAAGGTAGGTGCCCCATCCTGCCGTAGACCGAGATCAACGAGGACCACCACGTGCCGCCTTCAGCATTCAACTTCCCAGGCCCTGCGACAAGGCTTCCGACTAACCATCGTTCTGAAATCTTTTCTCTTGATCACCTATCGAGTATCTCTATGATCCTCCCTATAACCTGCCTAGCCCTACTCATTCGGCCGACCATTCACTGCACGAATCCCTAGCAAGCCGTCCTCGGCCTAATGGCCTCTATCTTTGCACGCAACAAACATGATGCAGCGACAGGACGTCAGGGATCTGGGCCTGGTCTGCCGATGAGTATCGCGGCATTCGATGACCCTTTCCAAGACCCCGTGCGTACTCGCACACGGTCGTAAGTCTGCCAGGTGCTAGCAATGACAGCTTCCGACACTGACCCCAATTCACAGACCGTCTTCGCAGTCTTATCCCGTATCCCGTCGCGATGTTCAAAGGCTGTCCTTCAAAACGGCGCTCCGAATCACTTGTCCTGAGGGATCGCAATTTGATCCTGGAGATAGCTGGGATGGATCCAGTTCGCCCAAGAGAGGACAGTGTGATGGTTACTTTGGGTCGCTGCCAGGAACACCCACTACGCCGCAGTCGCTGCCCCGACCCAGCACCAGGTCAACTCCCACTCAGCCGTCTCCAAGAGACTGGCCAATGACTCCGCGGCCTGGAAGCTATCACGACCCCCCAAGGCCCCCCAAAGAAGGATGCGAGTAGGTCTGGTTTCCAGAAGGATATTGGGCTGAGCGAGAGATCATCTCTGGGAAAGAGCGCCAAGGCAGCGCGAACAAGCGTTGGAGATTCGGCAACAGATCCCCTAAATTTCAAAATGTCAGCAGCACCAGTGAGCAAGAGATGCTGCCTCCAGATGTTTCCCCGTCTACAATGTCCGCCCTCGGCTCCAATGGGCCACTTAGCCCCTCCTCGGAGGCGTTTCAGACTCAGCTCTTGCAGAGTTCGTTGCTTCACGCAGTACGACCTACTTTGGACCGGCTGCCGAGCATTCAGCGGACCATGAATCTGCCGGAGGAGAAACTGACAATGATACCCCAAGAGCCTCCACCAGAGCTGGCGCAGCCGTTGGAACCAGCTAGCCGCGCAAGTTCTGGTGCTCCGTCGATAAGCCAAAGCATCCAGAGCCGGAGAAGCATCAAATTGTTCTCTTTGTTCAAGAATATGAATGTCAGTACATGATTGTTAACTTGAGCGGGGTGTATTCTAATGTCGGGCAGAAACAATCGTCCGGGTCAATATCAGAGTCTCAGACCTCCGAGCAACTCGTTGACGCACCAAAGAATGTTTCAATCTCTCCGATGTCCAAAACACTGACTTGGTTCACCAACAAAGAAGACCAAAGGTCTACGGCAACAGGCATAGGCTGGTTCGGCAAGGCCCCTTGGCACCGAAAAGACTCCAATGATACCATCAGCAGTGCCACAAGCTCCGTGCGAGACGTTTTGGCCGGCAAAACGCCACCTGTCACGCCTGATCCCGAGGGCTTTCTGAGTCGTAGGACATAAGCAATCGTCGATCTTGACTTAAGCTGACATCAAGATACAGGCCAACAAGACTCTACACTGACGCCATATCCTGCTGGAGTGAGTGCATCCTGATCACCTTTAAGCAGGAATTGACTGACCATAATGCCAGGAAGCAACAAGGGTGAGAACTCCGCCAACGCACGAGGACACTGCGGATGGGAAGCCACGAGGCTTTTTCACAGACATGGTACCACCTGGGGAAGACAGTGATACCTGGGACGCTGCTCAACCGGCCAGATCTACAAGCATTAAACGAAACCAAACGAGATGTGACGATAGTCTCCCGAAAAGACCCAAAGAGTGGTGGGAAGCGAAGCAACGAACACAACCCAAGCGGAGACTAACAGGACCTCGCAATTTCGAATTTGATCTCCCGGAGCACCTACCCAGCAGTCCAATGTGTCCGGCGAACCCTAAACACTTGTCAGGTGGTATTGGTGTTTGTGTTTATCATGGAAGAGGGAGAAAAGAGTCTACACTCAAGTTGGAGCATAAAATGAGTGACAGACGCCAAGGATCAGAAGTGTCAATCACTTCGGAGACCGATGAGAGATCAACGTGGGACTGATGCCGGCTTAGGCTTCGTTCATGACCTAGATGAAATCAAATTAACGTATTCTTGCAGTCCTATTATATCTCTTGAGCGCCACTCGAAGTAATTGATCCCCCAATTCAATAATATCTAGGAAATTATTAGTCAAAGTTGAGAGAAAGCAGCCTGAATCTTTGAGGTGTAAAGAAGGCCTAATTGTGGCGCAGCTGTATTGATGTGCGATTAATATGGGCCATGAGATGTGGCTGAAAATGGTGATGGCCAGCATGTGAGGCTGAACTTCTAGCCCCAAATTTCGAGGCTGGCAAACACCCCGTCGCATCTACACAATACCTTACAACCTAAGTCACGCTCAATTCGATCATCCACGCCTTTTGGCCATCTGTCCAGGCTTCCAGAAGCTCTAGAAGGGCCCGAAATATATCAGCCTCATCGTTTTCTCTACCCTTCATCATGGCTGCTAACGAGCAGGATCCATTGCTCCTGCTGCGGCAATCCATCGCATCCAAACGACCTGCAGTTCCCACAGCTTCAGCCGATGCTTCTGCGACCGAGGTTCCTCTCTCGCAAGCGACCCATCTACTCTTCTCACACCCAGCCCCCGTTTCTGTATCGCTCTCTACACCGACGCGTTTCATTTCAAGCGACCGCCCGGTCGATCTGCGATCCATCTACTTCGCCTGGCTCAACAAGGATGTTGCGATTCCCGAATACAACGCGAGCGCGACTCGCCTTAACGAAGAGCTGGGCAGCCTGGGCACTGTCCAGAACCTTGCGTTCGTCGAACGTTTAGATTTGTTTACTTGGCTGGAAGGCGCTAGTGAGGAGAGTGAACACATCAAGCCTTTGGCTGGCGACAAGGACGGCAAGGAGGGAGCTAGTGCGAGCGCGTCCAAAACTGCCACAGCAACTGCGGCGAGTCGAGCTGGACGAGGCGCTTTGGATCCTAGACTGGCGGTCATCTACAATGGAGAGCGCAAGATGGGGGATCGCAACTCTGTGTTGCGCGGCGTGAAGCACACGGTGAGTCGCGATCAATCTGGCAACCAAGTAACATATGGCTGACTCGATTCTTCTCAGGATTTCTCCCATGTCCGCAAACTCGCTGTTCCCTTCATCCAGAAGAAGCCCAATGGCTCGTCGAACATAAGCACCAACCCGTCCCTCGCGCTCAACCAGAAGGCCCCGACGCGCCGGCCAGACCCGATTATCCTCCTCTCGCCCTCTGCATCCTCTCTTCTGCGCCTGTCTAACATTCGCTCCTTCCTCGAGGGAGGGCGCTACGTGCAACCCGACGGCAGTGCTGCTGCGAGCATGCTGCACGTCTCCCGCGTCATGAAAGAGATCGACCCATCGCGGCCCATGCGTTTTATTCTCGTCGAGGGCCCTGAGCAGTTCAAGCCCGAGTACTGGAATCGCGTCGTTGCCGTCTTTACCACTGGTCAGTCGTGGCAGTTCAAGAACTACAAGTGGAGCTCTCCTCCGGATCTGTTCCGTCGTATTTTGGGCATCTTCATCGGCTGGCGCGGGGAGCAGCCGCCAGACAGCGTCAAGGACTGGGGTCACCGCGTGTTGCAGCTCGGCGTTGACCGCTGGCGTGACGGAACTGGTGCTCAGGAGGCGGCGAAGTTCAGGGACAAGGAAGCTGCGGAGTCGATCTGGAGGGCTATCGAGGCGAACATGAAGAACAGGGGGTGGACGAAGACCACTGCGCCGACCCAGCTGTGAGTTTCCGCGAGGGAATCATTGAGGAAAGCTCACGAAGATGGTTGCCATTGATGCTACGGGACCGAGGCCTGGGGTACCCGACTTCCATATAACATCCAAAGTCTACTATGCATGTAAAAGTAAAACACAGAGGGGCTGGGAAACAACTTCACAGCGATGGCGTTCAAGGACTGATTTGTGCTAGGCGGCTAGCAGAGGGGACAGCTTTGGGGCAGCGTTTAAGGTTTCAGAGACTAGAGTGACTACCACGACATCAGAGTCTCGAACAGGAATATTCGAAAAGTATCTAGATTATCTGTGTGACAATAGCGAGGAGATGCGACCCAGTTCAGAAAAGCACCCATGAGTACATGTGTTATGTACTCTTGTAGGTCGAGATGAACGGAGCCGCCCAGCTAGAGATGAGAGAAGGACCTACCTATGTCTATATAATCATCTTGAGATCATATTCACCACAAGGCGACCACTGATAGAGATCAATGTTGCTGGAGCAGGGCAACAGAGCAACTGGGCATCCCATATGACCCTTGTCTGTCTAGATGGCGGGGGCGGGTCCTGATCCTGACGTCGTCTAGCACAAGTGTTTGATCCCAAGGCAAGGTGGTCGTCGATCATCCCCTCCCACACGTTGTTGCGTACATTTGGATGGGGTTCAAGCTTGGGAAGAAATAAACCGGCTTTGTGGCGCGGGACATATGCTGTTGCAGCTCTGGAGGATGTTTACGTAGGTTCGGCCGGCGCAGCTAGGACTTGGTTCATGCGGGGGAGGCGTCCGGCGCGCTTACTGCAGATGAGCCAAGCTGGGAGTCGGGGCAACGGTCAGGTAGGTAGTTCTGTGACGACGAACTGGTTGTTTATGTTTATAATCGCCTCAACTTATTGCAAAATACTTGATTGACTAGACATAGGCAGCTCATACACACCAGCTGGCTCAGATAATCTTGAAGAGGCGTCATAGGCATAGGTATATGAGGCGCAATGGGGGGTTCTGAGGCCTTCTTGTTCCTCAGCTCAACTAGCTCCAGTCGGAGATTTTCAAGCTCCTTCACTACCTACCTTAGTGTTAGCTTAGGCCGGTGCGAGTTTGCCGAAGATTGGATTCGCCTTCAAACGTTTTGTCTCTGAAGATTTGAGGATACCCCCGTGACTGGAATGCATCGGCACAGAAGCCGTCGAATCAGCAAAGTGTCCACAGCATACGAGGTACCTTGGGCAATGTGGGAGCTTCAGCCTTCAGCCTCCAACTCTTCGTTGGCCCAGACGATGCCCGCGCATCACGCCTGCCGAGATTCCACGCTAGAATGGTGGCTTAGCACCAGCTGGATAGGCTGACTAAAGAGAGGTTAGGCAACTCGGGTGAGGCTTGAGGCGATGATATCCCCACAATGAGGGCGGCGTGATGCTAATCACGGCTACCTATCCGTAAATACCTACCTTGCGCTTTCAGTGCCTACGTAGGGACATGTGGCGATGATTGGGCTAGATTGTAGCTTTGCAAAGGTTATGTTGAATCAAGGATGTGAACAGCGTCAAGCGCACTTACACGCGTTCTTGCCGCCAGGAGAGGGGCAGGTGCCGTCCGTGTTGGTGGAGAGAAATAAGCAGGCGCAGACAGGCGGGCAGGGCAGGCAACGGTCGGGGAGCTCGAGGCAGCCGAGGATCCAGGTAGCCGGGGAGTCCCTGGAAACCCTTCTAAAAAACTAGACCCTTTTACCCCATCCATCCCTCCTTGCTGCCCGCGCAACCGAACGGACAGAGGTGGATTGGGACTGGACGGCCCGTCAAAAACAAAGGTTCAGTTGCAGATAATATTTGCTTCTTCCTTTTCGGTTTCGCACCTGCCGATGCGGCTCCTTTCTTCTCTTCTTGACGAACTACCCGCGAACCCCTTTCCTTGGAACAACGTCGCATTACATCTGCGTCTCTTCCATCTCGCGTCTCCCGTTGGGCACCCGCGGCTCTCGTCCGACATTCGCCCACGGCAGTCAGCTTTTGGCATCTGCGGCAGCAGCAGCAGCTTCCCAGTTTGACGTCATCTCGGTGAGTTGCTTTCCCACACACGCACGTCGCATCGCATCTACCCAATCATCACCGCGTCTTTCCTTTATGTGAGATGGTCTAGCAGAACGACGGTGAAGGACCAACCACTGTCGAAGACCTCCCTGCCCCTCCAGTCCCTTCGTCGACTGGTTGGTTCGACCTCTCAGCATGGCAAGTCCATCCTGCTTCGGATCGCTTCTCTCCCCCCCCCCCCCCCCCCCCACGGTGCCTGCTTCCGTCATCTAGCATCGACGCATATCCTTGCTGTGCAGTAGTCGCCTATTCAACATAACACTGCGACCTGCGTGGGGCAACAAACAGCAAGCCTTCCAGATCCGTGGGGAGCAGCTGCCGACCTTCTCCCCGTCATCTTACAACTGGGCGACTGCTACCCTCGTGTTACTTCCGCGACTGCTTACCTCGTCCGAGCCTACTGCCGTGCCTTTCACAACGATAACTTCCGCTTGCGCAAACCTTTAGTACTTTGTCCCGAACTACTCGTGACCCGACTGCTGACTTCCTTTGCTGTCTTAGTCCACTCATTCTTTTACTTTCCCCCCTTACAGACATCCATAACTTTCGATCGGCCTTCCGAAGACGAACCTCCGTCTGCCAACGTGGTAGAAACCGAAGCTGCAGACAGCTCTTACGACTACGTTTTCCGGATCGAAACAACGGTGCTTGGAGAACCCGATCATTTCGCGACTCTTGACTGTCACGTCAGTTTGCTCAGCCACCATCTACGCAGGCGACACTTCTGAGCTACGCCACACCAACACCTACCCGGCACAAGGCTGTGTTGCTAGATCCCGGCACCCTTCAACGCAGACGGGCGAAGCTACTTTCGATAACCTCAAGTGTGCTTCAGTTGGTCTACGACTCTACAACTCTTCGCCACAACGAGATATCCTGAACTTGGTATGCGTTTTGGACAAAAAAGCCAGCATTTCCAGAGTCTTTAGTCTGTCAAGCATCAATCCACCGTCAGGATGGGAGGTGTTGACATGAGCCGCGATTACTACGCGGACCTGGAGCTCCCGGCAGACGCAGATACCAATGAGATCAAGAAGCAGTTCCGAAAGCTAGGTAAGGCAAGACTGATCTCTTCCCACCGAACAAGTTGATTAACCCGAGCTAGCACTCAAGTACCACCCCGATCGAAACCCAGGCAGAGAAGCCGAAGTCAACTCCCGATTTCAGGTCATTCAGTCAGCACACGAAATTCTTACTGATCCTCAACAACGAGCCAAGTACGATGCCGGGCGAACACGATCGAGATATCCCACAGCGTCCGGAGTCCGAGGCAACCCCTGGCAAAACGCCGGTGCCAACTTTCCTCCCCCGCCTCGTCGTAATGCGACAGCTCGCAATCCGCCGCCGCCTCCGCCCCCCTCAGGAGCCAGCAGATATCGCAACTTTGCCTCGGGCACGGCTCCCACGGCTAAGACCCAGACGAGAGATGACCCAGAAGCGAAGCGGAATGCCTGGCACGCCTTTGAGAATATGAAGGGTCGAGCCAGTCAATCTCAGCCAAAGCCTACCAAGGCCCCCGAGACTCCAAAGCGACCAGTCCCCCGGACTCCTTCTCAGAAACAGAGGGCGGAGGCTTCTTTTGGGCGGAAACCTGGCTACACTCCTCACTCGCCAGTCCCTGCAGATGAACCTCCGGTGAACTCGTCCAACTACTCCACCTCGTCCCGGCACACCAATATTTTCGCAGACAATGCGCGCAGACAGCAAGAGGCAGGAGTGCCAGACCCTCTGGCACAATTTAGAGACAACTCAGATTCCCGCCAAAGCACTCCTTACATGTCACATGGCGGCGAGAAACTGAACCCGTTCGATGGCATCTCTGTGGGGCGAGCCAAAAGCACCCGGGAAAGCCCTCGGCCACCCCAGGAAAGCTACGGGCCCAACCTTTCGCCTGGCAGCGCTCGTCAGCGTGCCCAGAGTGTCCCGCGCCAAGCAAGGACTGAGCCGTCGAGCCCGCGCACGTCGACTTCGACGCCGCAAGACGACCGCCCTAACACGGCGACTGAGACTGCGTCCAACTCCCCTAAGGACCCCTTTAGATCCCGCGCAAGCGCAAGATATACCCCACCGAATACGGCTACTGGTCCTGCTTCGAACAGTGCGAAGGCCTCTGCTTCTCAGAATACCAATGGTGAGGTGATTAAAGTGTTATCAGTCGGCAAAAGCTAATACTTTTCGCAGGTGCGAGGAACACAAACACGCCACAAGGAGCTTCAATGTACGAAACATCTTTTTCCCCGGGTTCTTTTTCTCCTTTTGCGGTCCCGAACCTGCGGCGTAAATCAGCAGCCGAGGCTCGCACAGGTCATGCAACCCAGCATCCGCTTCCTGGGCAGTCGAGCAACGCAAAACTGTACGATTCGCCGTCTCCCAGTGGAGACAGGTCGAGAAGCGACTCACTCACGCCATTCGAGCGAAAGCAGGGTGAACTTCTGAGCAAGCTCGTCAAAAGACAGGCGCCAGACCTGACACCGCTTGGTCGTGACAAGCGCCACACGATTGACACTGAGCATGATACTACACCGAACCAAGCTGACAAGAAAACTACTAATAGCTTTAATTTCCCGATCGACGATGATACCTTTACCCGAACTGCTGCTCCAGAGCAGCCAACATTCAGCCGAAGGAGCACTGAGGAAATTGACACCAGCTTTGTAAACGGCGATGGTCCAGACGATTGGAAATTCAGTGCCGGCAGTCCGATCCAGGACCAAGCCGCCAAGGTTCGTTCGCAGTCCGGAAGCCGCGTAGGCCGTCGATCCCCGATCAAGCGCCCAAGCCTGAGACACCAGAAGGACATGTCGGGCCAGCCGGCAGGATCACCGTCTGCAGAAGGCAAGTTTGATGCTCAGGACTGGACTCAGCAGATTGGAGCCCAAAACTTCGTACCGCACAAGACGCACTCTACATCAACATCCCCTACCCGGGTTTCTCGAGTGAACTCTAGGAAGACCAAGGTCAAGCCGACGGCAGGAGGCAATGCAGGGCTGGTGAATGATGACTATGATAGTGACGAGGAGGCCGAGTGGAGAGGAAGGAAATCAATGGCGGAGCCCATCGGTGCGAATAGCCCGAATGCTATGGACATCGATCCTCCGCAGACTGGATCTTCTCAAAAGCGAGATCATTCGAACAGCGCGAGAAACATTCCTGTGGAGCCATCTCGACCAGAATGGAGGCCTGGCAATGGCTTGCAAGAAAATGGCCCGAAGCTACCTGTACGAAAGTCGGAATTCAACCCGAACAACGCCGGTTCTGAAGACAGCGAGGAGTTTAGGGCCAGCCTTGCCGATCTCAAGAACGTGGCGCCATTCGCGCAAAGCTCTTCAGGCCTAGGTTCCCTGAATGATCTCAAGATGAATCTGCCGTTCGAGAGTCAGCCCTCAGGCCGCGCTCCGATCGAGAAGGAGAAGAAACCGTCGCTCGATTTCCCGGTCATCCCGCAAGCACCCCGACCCCCGCCTACTTTCGCGGTCAATTTGAAGCCAACTGGCGGTGCCTGGCAGAAATACACCCAGGACTTCCAGAGTTACGTTTTGAGATGGGAGATCTTCAACGCTCAAGTAATTGAGCATTTCAATGCTCGTAAGGCAAACATCGCCGATCTCCGAGCTCGCAAGGGGTATTCATTCCTAGTCTCCCGCGGCGATGATGAGATTCACGAATATCTTGAGTGGATGGCACAAGACAAGGAGGTTCGGAGAAAGTGGGCTGTCGCATGCGAAGACCATGAAGCACGCATTCGCGAGTTCATGGTATACAAGGGCAAGATGGCATGAGCGGAGACTCTTATTCTACTAGCGCCTCCTATCTGGGAAGAATTATTCTGCCCTCGAAATCCTTGTTCTTACCTTACGGAGGTGTATTTTTCAACTTTGACGACAGCTCGGACTAAATGGGAAACGACACGGAACGATACCCGGCATTTGGGAGGATATTAATCACGGTTCGACCTTGTCTCTTGACTGGCACAATCGACCAGGCCGCGTTGCACATACACTCACTCGCCGACATCGTACACGGCGATAACCCTATTATGACTTAGACGAGGAGGAAGGCGTGTGTGTGTATACACCCCATATTTGCGCTACATTCTGCAGTTTGCTCTCTTACGTTGGGTTTTTGGGGTTCTTAGGCTCGATCCTTTGCGATTGTGCTGACCTACGGTTACCACGGTCTCGCATGGCCAGGCCTTGGTTGTTTCTTGCCTTGGCTACTATGGGTGGATCGGGTTGTGTAATATGTATCGGACACTTAGCCCCCTTTTGAGGCTATCCCCGCCAAGCTTGGTTGAAACTCTTCAACGCCAACTAGGTATGGGAAGATGAATAGACAACCAGCATCATTAGAATTATGCATTTTATCGTTTACACTTTGGTCCACTGCTCGTGAGTTTCCACCTGTGTTACTGTTTGCGTGTTGTTTCGGCAATTGTCATCCTCCGCCGCTCCTGTAGTTGAATGGAAAGGGATGTTTCGTGGAATTCTATGTCAAGAAGTCAGCTTCTCTGGATACTGCGTCAACGTCAATGAAGTGCGAGTTGAAATCATCACGAGTTCCTATGTATCTACAAACTAGCCCCTCTCCCTTCCTTTAGCTAAGACCTTTTGTTTTGTTTCATTTTCTTTCTACGGGTTGCTTATGTCGTCCTTTATGATCCTAGGCTCACAGCCACATGCCTTGTTTACTGTGTGTCTCTCCCAAAAAAGGGCGGAGACTTGGTCGTGCCTCGAGGGAGTGACGTTTCTAGATCTGACGATCCAGTGAAGGAAACGTCCAGCTACGCTTAGTCGTGACTTTGGTCCAATGAAACTTGCTCGCCTTTCTTCTCTTTTTCGAACCGTTGCTGAAACAACTTCTTCGTTTGCAATCATTACCTACCTATCTTTGAAAGGCTCGAGTCTAGGGGTGATCGGTTGCCGCCATACGGTATCGAAACGACATTCGAATATTGCTCTACTTTGCCTCTACTCGCCTACCCGTATTTTCTCTGCTTCCCACCGAAACTCATGGCGAAGACTCTTGGTGTGCGGAAGGAGGCAGTGGCGCTTCCTCCGCTGAGACCCGCGAGACCTAAGCTGAAGACGAGCTTTGGGGAGGGGCCCAAATACTTCGCTAACGACATGTGCTGGCATCAACATGGGCACAACTTGGGGATCTTACTGAAGCATCTAAGCTGCGACATGTGAGTTTGAGGAGTTCTCTATGGTTCTTTGATTTATTTCCCTTTCTCTCACTTTGAGGATCTCTTATGGAAATTGAGATCTCATCACTGGGATCTACACTTGTTGCCTGTTTTGGTTCATCGAGAGTGGTGAGGTCTCTGAGCGAGTTGACTGCCTTCCTTCCTCTCGTCTTTCTATCTCCTTCTTTCCTCCGAACAACTTGCTCTGAGAACGGGACCCCATCCGGTCTCACTGTGAGCTCTAGGCAGTTCTGAATTCCTCTGCGACGGTGGAAACCTTTGAGGAAAGAGACGCCTTGAACCTGCCTTTCACTGCCCTTCCTTCCCTTCCTTCCCTTCCTGATTTCCACCCACAGAGGCCTTCATCCCCATCCATCTCTCGCATAAAACCCAGCTCTTCCACCCTCTCACTCAATCCTTCTCACTTCCTCACCCTCATACTTCTTTCACACTCGCACACTTGTCTTCTCACCCAAATACCATCGCACCTCAGCAACAAAGCTTAGCTGTATCAGCTTCATCATCCTTCATCACTCATACTCTTGTACGTGATCAGTCAATATTCATACCTGAACACTTCACCTACCTCACTCAGACTCCTTCCATCATTATCACCGTCGATTTAATTTATCACCCCACATACCTTCCTCCATCTATTACCATCATTCCCACTTTCCTCCCTGCCTTACCGTTTTCCCTCCATTCTGCTCATCTCCTCGTCTCTCTTACCCTCCACCTATGATCTCGACATCAACCTCATCTTCAGTGACTGACAGAACCAATCATTTCTAGAGCACGAGAATACCATCCTTTCAACATGGCTGACACCAAGGCTACTACCGCTAACGGCAGCGAGGCTGCTCCTGCTGGTGCTCGCGTCGGTGCTTGGACCGATGCTGCGCGCGTAAGTCTGGCACTTTCACTTTCACTTTTCATGTGGCTGACATTCAGACATACAGTTCCAGCTTGTCCTTCGCGTGCTTGCGACTGTGCTCCCCGAGGGCAAGGGCGTCGAGTGGAAGAACGTGAGCATGGAGGGCCGCACTACGAAGGCCCTGCAGGGCCAGTGGACTGCTATCGTCGCTCAGATGCGTGAGCTCAACACCGGCGAGAACGGAGAGGCTCCTGCCCCGAAGCCCAAGACTCGTAAGTTCTCTCTCTTCCACTCATGTCTTTAGTCCATTCTGACATCTCTCCAAGCTCGCAAGACTGCCGCCAAGAAGAAGGCCGTCGCTGCTGCTGAGGATGATGAGGAGGCCAACGGCGACCAGGAGGGCAGCGAGGAGACCAAGGCGGTCGCTCCCAAGAAGCGCGCTGCTTCCACCACCGCTGGTAAGTGTCACCTCCGAATACTCTTTGCTCAACGGGCCATATAACTAATTCATTGCCAAACAGACGGAACTCCCAAAAAGCGTCGCACCCCGGCTAAGAAGGCGGCCCAGGTCAAGGCCGAGGAGGCTGAGGCTAAGGTTGAAGCTGATGATGAGGCCCAGGCTGAGACCAAGGATGAGAAGGATGGCGAGCAGTAGGTTACCTTATACTTACTACCATCGCTAAATGGCCGTCTCATTCGACATGGCTGCGGTTGGCTTTCATTGGGTTCCGCGCGAGGAATGGATATTGCTCTGAAATGGCTTGGAAGGGGAGACACACAATGTGACCCAGTGCTCTTGCATTCACATACGTCTCTTAGGTAGTTCAGGCCAACAGAAATCAAAAGGGATACTTTTTACTCTCATATCTTGGCTCTCTTGCTGTCCCCATCGTCTTAAGGCCTCACGCTCCTTCGGTGTGTCTTTTCACTGTGTCTCCTCTCTGAATCCTCTCCCGGCGCGGCAGCTGTTGCTCGGAAACTGAGAGAATAGACAGCTCGGAACCAGATGTGGCTGGAGGGCGGTGGCGACGAATACTTGTTCGTATTGGGGAACAATATCAACCGACTTACCTTAGGCTGGTGGGTGGTGGTGAAGCCCCGAACCTCGCCCGACAATCGATAAACCGGCTGTCCAACGAATCAGGTCGCCGAACATAGACTCCCATTCAAGGTGCATCCCGGCCGGTCATTCGAGCAGGACGTTGTGAGACCTGCATATTCTTGCAGCCTGGAGTTCGGTCGTTGGTGGTGTGCTGCGTGAGAGCATGATCCATTCCGTCCCATCTCGACCTGCGGACCAGGCACACACTCATTGACGTCTGCCGTCAAGAGTGTTAAAGTGAACTCTGCCAGAGTGCCAGACCGCCTTAGCGAACTGTACGGACCTCAACAGGGACGCTAGTCTCACATTACATCAGCAACCGGGGAATTAGTGGAGAAATAGCAGGGATGGACACCCACCCGGTACATGCACCCATTAAGCGGGCTCTTATGCATCTAGCCTGGTGATCTCACCTGGGTGACCCCCATATCGGACAGATCCTGTTTGTTTGCCATCGTCCCGCACCTGAAATTTTTGACGACAAACGACGTTGGAAAAGGTGTTCGCGTTCAGCACAACTTTTCTTAGATTGCCTCCTCTCCCACACTCATAGGGGATCACATGCGCAATAGCTTCAGGTTCTGTCGCACTCTACCCTGATAGCCCAAAACAACCAATTCCCTGCCGTTCATTTGACAAAGGCATTGTTCATTTTCGTATCCACAGCTGAAGGTTGCCATCCTTTTCTTCCACCTTCTCTCGCTGGATGCGCTCCGTCTTTACTAGAGGCAGAGGGACTTGCTTGAGCCTTGCATCCACCCCGGCAGTACTAGCACGACGACCTTGGACAGCATCCATCACCACCACCACCACCTTCACTCTTACCTCCCCCCAGCTTTTTCGACGCCAACTCGAGCTCCTCCCGTTCGCACAACGCGGCTACTCCCGTATAGCTCGAGCCATTTCTCCCAGAGACACCAGCTATAAGACAACGCGACGAACCATCTGCGCCCAGACTCGCCGCCCTTTCTCAGCCGCCGTCGAACCTAACCCTTCGCCGACGCCGCAGCAAACCGAGCAGTCCTCTACCCAGACCACAACGACCGAGACCGCAAACATGAACGGCAACAGCGCATCACCGCGCTCCAAGCGCAAGGCTCCTACCAGCCCCGAGGGCCTGCGACCCCACAAGCAGCACCGCGCCCTGAACGGCAAGCTGTCTGCCGGCGACAACACACCCGAGGTTGAGCGCGTCGAAGAGAGTGAGGAGGACAGCGAGTTCGATGATGCCGCGCGGCTGAACGGCATGCTTCCCATAACGCAGGAGCCGGAGGCGTGGCAAAAGACAATTGAGAATGTTGTCAGCAACGTTGTCTCGATTCGCTTCTGCCAGACATGCTCCTTTGACACGGACGCGGCGTTGACGAGTGAGGCGACTGGCTTTGTGGTGGACGCTCAGAAGGGGTAAGACAAGGATTTCGCTGTTGCAGGTCACAGGGAGGTCGAGGGCTGACGAAGTGGACTACAGATACATCTTGACGAACCGACACGTGGTTGGATCCGGTCCGTTCTGGGGTTACGTCGTCTTCGACAACCACGAAGAGGTTGATGCGTACCCCGTCTACCGCGACCCCGTTCACGATTTCGGTATTCTTCGATTCGACCCCAAGGCCGTCAAGTACATGAAGCTGAATGCGCTGGTGCTTCGCCCGGACCTTGCGAAGGGTAGGCATACACCTTGATGGGTAGTCTTTTCAAGGAGTGGATCCGCTAACAGCTTGACAGTTGGTGTTGAGATCAGAGTGGTGGGTAACGATGCCGGAGAGAAGCTCAGTATCTTGTCTGGCTTCATCAGTCGTCTGGACCGAAACGCGCCAGAGTACGGGGAAGGATACAGCGACTTCAACACCTGCTACTACCAAGCCAATGCTGCCGCCAGCGGTGGTAGTTCTGGCAGTCCGGTTGTGAACGTGGACGGCTTTGCCGTGGCGCTGCAAGCTGGTGGACGATCCGACGGTGCTTCGACAGATTACTTCCTGCCATTGGACCGACCGTTACGGGCCTTGGAATGCATCCGCCAGGGCAAGCCTGTCACAAGAGGTGACATCCAGTGTCAATTCCTCCTCAAGCCTTTCGACGAGTGTAGACGTCTCGGCCTTACCCCAGAGACGGAGGCTGCCACTCGTCAGCATTTCCCCAAGGACAACAACATGCTTGTTGCGGAAATCGTCCTTCCCAAGGGACAGTCTGACCAGAAGATCGAGGAGGGCGACATTCTCGTCAAGGTGAACGGCGAGCGTGTGGGCCAATTCATCCGTCTGGATGACTTGTTGGACTCAAATGTTGGAAAGACCATCCATCTCCAGATTCAAAGAGGCGGCGAGGATATTGAGGTCGATGTCGAGGTTGGTGACCTTCACCAGATCACCCCTGACCGCTTCGTATCCGTCGCAGGTGCCAGCTTCCACAGCCTGTCATACCAGCAGGCCCGTCTATACGGTGTTGCGTGCCAAGGTGTCTTCGTTTGCGAGGCGACTGGCTCTTTCAGATTCGATAACGCGGACAATGGCTGGTTGATTCAAACCGTGGACCACAAGAAGACCCCTGATCTGGAGACCTTTATCGAGGTGATGAAGACGATCCCTGACAAGTCCCGCGTGGTTGTCACTTACAAGCACCTGCGTGATCTGCACACTCTGAACACCACAATCATCTACGTCGACCGACATTGGTCAGCAAAGATGAAGATGGCTGTCCGGAATGACGAGACTGGACTTTGGGACTTCACTGACCTGGCTGATCCCCTTCCTCCCAAGGCGCCTGTTGCTCGCTCCGCTTCGTTCATCCAGCTCGAGAATATGAAGCACACAGCTATTGCCGATCTGGTGCGCAGCTTCGTCCACGTCAACTGCACCATGCCTGTTAAGCTGGACGGCTTCCCTAAGAATCGGAAGTGGGGCATGGGCTTGGTGATTGATGCCGACAAGGGTCTTGTCGTCATCTCAAGAGCAATTGTGCCTTACGATTTGTGCGATGTGACAATCACCATTGCGGACTCAATCATTGTCGAGGGCAAGGTCGTCTTCCTCCACCCTCTGCAGAACTATGCCATTGTGCAGTACGACCCGGCGCTGGTCAATGCTCCCGTTCAAAGTGCGAGGTTGAGCACGGACAACATCACCCAAGGAGCTTCTACCAACTTCATGGGATACAACAGGATTGGAAAGATTGTCCATGCCTCTACCACAGTCACAGAGGTCACCGCCGTGGCTATCCCAGCCAACTCTGGTGCACCCAGATACCGTGCCATCAACGTCGATGCCATCACTGTTGACACGAGTCTGAGCAATCAGTGCGGCAGCGGTGTTCTCATCGCTGACGATGGTACGGTTCAGGCCCTCTGGCTCACTTACTTGGGCGAGCGCTCCCCTTGCAGCAACCGTGATGAGGAGTACCACCTTGGTCTTGCTACGCCCACTCTGTTGCCTGTGGTGTCTCAGATCCAACAGGGCATCGTTCCCAAGCTGCGCATGCTCTCCGTCGAGTTCAGAGCCATCGCCATGGCTCAAGCTAGAGTGATGGGCGTCTCTGACGAGTGGATCGGCAAGGTCACCGAAGCCAACAAGACACACCACCAGCTGTTCATGGTCAGCAAGCGAACCTTTGAGCGCAGTGAGCAGTCAAGCGCTCTGCTCGAGGGCGACATCTTGCTCACGCTCAACGGCAAGGTCATCACCAAGGTCTCCGAGTTGGACATCATGTATTCTCACGAGGTCCTCGACGCCGTCATCGTCCGCAACTGCGAGGAGATCCACATCAAGGCCCACACCGTCGCCGCCGACGATGTTGAGACCGACCATGCCATCTCTTTCTGTGGTGCCATTCTGCACCGACCTCACCACGCCGTCAGACAGCAGATTAGCAAGCTGCACAGCGAGGTGTATGTCTCGGCCCGCACTCGCGGTTCGCCTTCGTACCAGTACGGTCTCGCGCCCACCAACTTCATTACCCACGTCAACGGCAAGGCGACGCCCGATCTGGAGACCTTCCTCGCTTCCGTCCAGAAGATCCCAGACAACACCTGTAAGTGGCTTTTCTGCCGTGTGTTCTCTTGTTTATCAGCTGACCGTGCTTTCTTTTTCTGCAGACTTCCGACTGAAGGCTGTCACTTTTGATAGTGTACCTTGGGTCATCACCATGAAGAAGAACGAGCACTACTTCCCGACAACGGAATGGACCAAGGACCCGTCGGAGTCTTGCGGCTGGAGACGGAAGACGTACGAGGGCGGCAAGACGTATGATGGCGAGGGCCCCGACGGTGTGCTCGACTCCGTGCTCGCCGTCGCTGAGGACGCTGAGATGGTTGACGAGCCCCCTGCCCCCATGTAGAGCACACGACCTCCACACTTCCACATTCATGAATCAAGAAAGACTGTCGTACTAGGCGACGACAGCATTGTATCCCCCCCGGACTCGGCATCACGAGATCCGGGTCATTTTAATGACAAAACACCATTCACACACACATCACTGGGAAAACTTCTAGACAAGGACAGGACAGGACACGGGCAAAGGGGCTGAGGGATTCAAGGGCATGGGCTAAGGCGAAACGCGAACGCGCACGGCCGTGAGGACAGCATTCTCAACTGGATGTTCTTGTATTTACATGTATAAATAGGGGCTATAGGGAAGGGGGGAGGGTCATGCTTTCCGATGGGAACCTTGTCCTTCCTTTTTTTCCTAGACTTTCTTCTTTTGCTTCGATTCTCTGTTGAATACCCGTTAGACTTCGTGAGGGAAGTCTGTTTATCATCTCAATACGTCTTGCATTCTGGGATATGCCGTGATGCCTCTCTTATGCGGGTTGTGATTCTTGATAGCAAGTCAATTGTCACGAAATAGGAATGGGATCAGCACTCGTCAGGCACCTTGCAACGTGCTTTATCACGTGGATATCATATTCCTTCAGTATGTAGACTGCTCTCTTTTCTTCATTCTAGATGGGTTAGTTCAAGCCACTTTAACCCACTTCATATGCCCATTGCTTTTTGCCATAACTCGTGACAAAGGAGCTGTATGAGATCATCGAAAGACTCAATATCATGACGGGGAAGCAAGATAAGATATCCTGATGACAAGACTGGAAAAGGTCGTAGCATGATTGGACGATACGATGGAAAGTCTGAACGAGGTTTCTTAGACCTGCCGACCCTCGCTGTGGAAGGCGGCGTTCATACAAGTTCTTCATGGGGTTGGATTTAGTCCCCCGATGAATTTCGTTACGACATATGTTTGCTGATATTGGCAGTTCTTCTTCTCGCCAGGAAAATTCACCTGGAGATACATCAAGATAAATTACTTAACTTCCCTGCATGTCCACAGGTTTTCGCCCTGGCTCTCGTCCCTGACGTACGATAATTAATGGAGACTCAGTTCTTATCACATGAGAGCTATAATGATCTCATAGTGGGAAACACGTGAGCTTGAGAGAAGGAGGCACAGTAGCTTGATTTCTCTTCTTTCTTAGGAAAACAGCATGCTTAGTCTCAGGTTATCAAAGCATCTTTCCCACGTCCTCGTTTAGCCCATCTCTGTCGTACGCATCTTGCTTCATCGCGATGGTCTTTCGAAAAAGGTCTCCTCAACATAGGCTCCTGTTGATAGACGCCTCCGCTTAGCACTCTGCTCAGGGCGTGTGTTTTCGTCGCCGACATTGAACGATGGAAAAGTGAGAGTTCCTTGTTCTCCTAGATCGACATTAAATGCGGAACTAGCGATATATGTATCTAAGCCACTTTCGAACAGGCGGTGTCGTATGCTCAGTTCATAGTTGTCCAGGCTGTCACTTGTCGAAGCGTAGGCGGAATCTAAGCTTGCGTGACTCGTAGGGTTTCACAACGAACTCTCCGTAGTTGAAGAAGCCGAGGTGACATCCTTACCGCGTGCCAGCGAGCGAAAGTGGCCAGAGAAAACTTGCTCGAATGTGCAGTCTTGCGGAGAAGGTAGATGAACAGATTCTGCGCCCAGACTTCTTTGAATGTCTGCGAATGTTTGGTCCAAAGGGACAATGTATGCGTCGCCGAACATATCTGCCGCGATCGTGTGGCCGAAAACGTCGTGAGAGGATGAACCCACAACCCATGCACCAGAGTCGCCTTCGCCAACTAGGGCACAGGCTCTGTCAGTGCTATTTCCATGCATCCCGGGATTCAACCAGACTTACCTTCGCCCACGTTCAATGTGAGAATGTACGCCGGTGTGAATGCATCAGATGTTTCCAACAGAATTCGAGCCGGCTCACACGAAAGCAAACCGGACCTACTGAATTCAGCATCTGCAATCATCTCAACCTCTTGGTAAGGCTCATCCCCTGAAAACGATCCAAGTTTGGTCGTGAGGGGATAGTTGATGAATCCCGATGTGTCGTTTTTTGGGCCCATATTTGAGCCGAAGAGAAGAAGCTCGTCAGATTTGACTAGAGCCCAATCGAAATCCGGACCTTTCTCTTCGGACTTATCCTTTTTTCAAGACCTGCCATGTGCGGAATTCTCCCCACACTTCAGAATCAGAGTTTCGTTCCCGTAAGGCTGGGACTAAGCTTCCGCTGCTGTAGTATTCGATGGAGTGGATGCAGCTTGTCGTAATCTCGTCATCGAAAACATGGCTCGCCGTCATTCCGTACAGTTCGCTTCAACCATCCATAGCCACCACCCTTATCATGCCGCTGAAGGTTGCGGTCTTGCCGACTTTCTCGACATCTTGGAGCATCAGAGAACATCCGGGAAGTTTCGGCCTCTCATATCCGGTCGCGAAGCAAACATTGATGGGACGTTGGTCTATTGACATGTTTGAACGCGATAGCTTTGCGGTTAAACGTGGTTCTCGACCCTCAACGATGATGCTGAGTCTCGGCGTCTGTTCGGTTGGTCCGCACATCTCTTTGATTATCTTGGTCTTATCGAAGAAATCATTGACAGTATCCAACAACTTTTTGGGACAAAGCACGACAATGTACTCGCCAGCGTCTTCTTCATTCGTCCCGAGTATCATTGTTCGAAATGACATCGGTCCAACTCGACCTCCGGTTTTCTTCAAGCGGGAGAGTAGCAATGGCTCTATCTTATCGATAACGTGGTTGAGTCGATCATTCATTGCCTTGCTTGGTGTGCCTTTGAACCTGAGGAGATTCTGGCCCCCCAACTTGACTATGATTCCTTTAGGCCTAGGTGGTTTGCTGTCTTGGGAGGCGTTAGGCTCATCTGGAGATGAGTATCCCGAATCTGTGGACTTTTGCGACATGGACGATGATTCTGCGGTAGGAGTTACGCGACCTGGAGCTGGCTTCGAAGCTCGTGGCTCCCGGTGTGTTTGTTTGAAGCGACTGATAACTTCATCGCGAGTGACGACTGCCGGAGATACTTCGGCCATGGTGACTGCACTGAAAGACTCATGCGAAGGAAAGAAACGTTCGTCTGGCTCAGAGCTGAGGTAAAATGGCTGGTACATATAAGGCGAGGTTGCTCAAGTACGGCCGGGCTTGCTTATGCCACACCTCGAGATTCGTGACTGCCACGTCAACAGCTCAGCCCCCCAACACTAAGTGATGCAATATGCATGCAACCACGGCGCCAGAGTTGTACAGACGACCCAATTACAGCCTTCAATCACGCAGCCTGCTTCCAGCGTGCGAGCGCCGCGGCTGGCATCGCCTCGCTCCATTCCTTCTTGATGACCTGGTATCCGTTTGAGAACCTGAGTTTTTAGTAGAAAACTTGGACTGCCGTGTCTCTTTAACCTGTTAAGTAAAACATCCTCTGGGTATCTTCGCCCATAATGGACGAGTGTGAGATGAAACATTCCCGTTGGAGTCGATCACAAGGTCGCAACTACGGCATCTAGGTGAAGCTCTGTGGGGTTGGAAAATATGCGTTAACGATGGAGACAGGAGCTCTACGCTGGAGATGACGAAATTTGAACCCTACTTCCAGTACTACAGAGAGACAACGGTATCCTACGTCTCTGATGCTTTCCCACCGGACGAGGTACAAGCTTTGCGATCGCATAACGATCTACATGACATTATCGCGTTGATCAAATCCAAACCAGAGGCTCAGAGAGCCGAGTTGATGGAAGAATACTTCTTGAAGAGGCAAGAAGACAAGAGCACCCTGCCGGAAGACGAGAATCAGGCCTTCAACCTTGCCATCAAGGCTATCCTGATGGTCAGCTGTTCTTGCGAGGGTCAGGCTGGCGGCAGCGATTCCAGCATCTGGGGGAACGAGCAATCTGCGCGGGATCTGGTATCAACTATGTTCCCAGTGAGGGACCATCCTGACCTCAATGAGCCTGACGATTCACTGCCCGATTTCAAGTCAGCCTTGAAAGCAACAAGGCTCAAAAAAGTCGCTGGACTGTCGTTCCGAGGCACAGATGACCTTCGAAACCACCTTCGGATGGATCTCAAGACTGGGGTGGTCGAGCTTTATCACCATACTGCATTCTGAAAAGAGTGTCTCAAAGCCTCGAAAGATACCAATGTGGAGTAAGAGGTTGAAAGCAGATGAATTGAATGCTAATACTAACATATCATTGGCCTCTCCTCCGAGAGAGATATTAGATACTATTACTGGGGTTCACGGTTAATGGACCTGTACGACGAACTTGAGAACCCAAGACCTCGAAGACCTATCTATGTCTGGTTGGAACGGCGAGGTAAGGCTAGGCACGTGATGCTGGCGACACTTATTGGAGTGATCATTGCGATCATTCTTGGGATACTAGGACTAGCTGTTGGTATTTTCCAGGCTTGGGTAGCATATGAAGCGTGGAAACATCCAGTGCAAGTATAAACTGCTGTACTTAGCTTTGCGAAGCACTTTTGCGAAGCAAGCACCCCACCTTTCCAAGGTTCAAGTTGCTGGCAAGCAGCAGCTGTGCTCCTTGAGGCAAGATCTGGTGTTGTTCACGGCGAAACTCAGAGCCACTGAGATTAGGGAATGATGGACGTCCTTGCAACGGCCCTCTATCGAATGTTTGAGGAGATCGTCTGCTTCTTTACTTGATGGTGGGGAAAGCTCTAGCTCAGGTGGGGACCATGTTCCCCGCGCTCCCTCGGGTAACCGGCTGGCTTATCAGTGCAGGCCTCATCTTCAATACAAGCGTTAGATAAACTTCTTCAAGTTTGAAATAAACGTGACCCTAGGTATTCATATCATACACTGGCTCTAATTTGTCTCTCTAACCTTAGTACCAATGGCGACGAGTCCAACTTACACGGCGACGTTACCAGTCGGCAACTCAACATCTGCGTTCTGGCAGTCCAAACCAGATCCAGTCATAAGCAACCACCAGTCGTAAGTCAAATGAGCCCAAATCCTGATTCCGCAAACGAGGATTGCGTTCTCCAGAGTGAAGAGTCATTGAGGCGTTTCCCATTCTTATCAAACATTAGTGCAATCCTGCATTTGACATGATGATGGCGAGCGGTGCTCGTCAGCGCCCTGCCTCTTCTTTTGTTAACGGTCCATAGTAGCGGACGGGCTGATGTTTGAGCGCTTCTAGCCATGAAATTCCGACCTCAGCAGATGTTGTCATCATCGGAGCTGGCATTTCTGGGGCCTTTATTGCCCATCGGCTGCTCACAGATCAGTCGCCCAACAGACCGAAGTCTGTGTTGATGCTCGAAGCCCGAGCCGCGGTCAGCGGACCTACAGGTAGAAATGGTAAGCAATCTCATGTCGTTCGCCTACATTCGGCCAAAGAGGGTTGAATTTGTGCCGTAGGTGGACATATCAAACCCGATTGCTACCGGGGGTTCACTGCATAGCTCAAGCTACATGGCTCTAAGGTAGCTATGGCGCAATGCACGTTTGAAGCAGCCAACCATCTTTATCTTTTATCAGAGAAAATGGCTTGGAAGACGAGATTGACCTCGTCGAGTATCGGTCCGCGGATGTGTACCTGACGGAAAACACCTGGAAAGCCGGACTGGCATCCTACAACGGCTTCAAGGAAGCAGGTGGTGACGTCTCCGAAATTACTGTCTTGTCAAAGGCCGAAGCCGAAGAAACACTTCGTATCACGAGTTGCTATGGCGCTATCACGTTTCCCGCTTCAAGTCTCTGGCCGTATAAGCTGGCTATGGCCATGATACGAAAGTCTCTTGAGGTTGGCCTTCTGTTTGAGACTAATACCCCAGTGATGGAAGTTTCTCAAGCCGACAGTGACTCTGGTAGTTGGACTATCACAACTAGTCGTGGTAACATCACTACCAATAAGGTGATACACGCCACCAATGGGTATGCCTCCCATCTACTGCCAGAACTCGATGGGCGCATCATTCCCCTGAAGGGTCACGTTGCGGCCATCGCACCTCCGCCCGCTTACGTTGACTTACCGCTATCTACTTCCTTTGCTTTCGTGTCCGATAGCAACTACGACTATCTCGTTCAACGTCCCGGCTCGCAAAAGTTCCTGATCTGGGGTGGAGGAGAAGGCGCACATCCGAACGGGCCTGAGGGCGGCTATGGAGATTGTGATGACTCCTTTACCGTCCCCGAGGTGCTTGACTTCATCAAAGAAGGGCCATCTCGGACTTCGGGGGCTGGAAAGAGTCTATCGAGAGTCCAAGTTCCAGCGGCGAAGATCCTGTTCCATTCGCTTGGAGCGGGATCATGGGGCTCAGTAAGGCCTGTTGCCTTTCATAGGAGAGCTACCTGGAAAGCCTGGCCAGTATCTCATCGGCGGTTATCATGGTCACGGTATGTTACATACGGTTTTTCAATCTTTCTCAACTCCACTTTCTGAGACAATAGTTCCGGGGAAACTCGAGTCGCCTCTCTTAAAGCGATCGTGCCCATGTCCTCGATTGCATGCTGACGAAGCATCATTTCTCCAGGAATGGCCCGCGTATTTCTGTCAACGAAAATCTTCTGCGAGCTTTTCCTCGGCCAAGAAATCGACTCCCGCGTTCCGTTGCCTTACTTTGATCTTGAATCCAGACTTAAAGAGCCAGTTAATATGTCCAAAGTGGGGCACATCTTGTAGTCCGCCGGGTGCTCGATGACAGGTCCCGCAGAACATGCGACTGCGTGTAAGTTGGTCTGATGCATCGCTTTCGCATTGTGCTTAAGCGGTATGCTTCTTCGCTAGGTTTACGTCTGAAATAAGAGATGAATTCAATAGCTTGATCGCATGTGATTAGATGAAACACCGAAGTGGACGCCTGGTGCTGTTTTAGCTAGCCAACGAGAGTTTCAAGCTTGAGGGAAACATCAGAGGATAGGAAATGGGGGCCGCAGTTTGAGACGCTGACATATGTCACACCAAAGGAAGTTAAGACGGAATCAAGAAGTAGTTTCAACAACCTATAAGTCAGAGGTTCGCCTAGCAACTTCCATGTTGCCTATGGGTGCCTTTTCTGCCCTGCACGGATGGGCTTGGGTCAGCAGTCACACCGCCGTGGGAAACTCCATCTCGTTCTCCGTCGATGGGGACTGGAGAGGCATTCCATCTCATATTCTGGGATCTTCCCACCAAAACAACTTTGACATGCCCAAGCTAGGAAGGCCCAAACGATTTTTTATCAACATGATTGATCTTCACTCTCAATGCCTGGTGAACGAAAGCAGACACACCTGATCGCGATTGCTATAAAGGTGCCATCGGTGACTCCAAGTATGTAGTTGGAAGTACCTCATCTCACTTCATAACTTTCCTCTAGTCTTTCAGCTTTCTTCGCCCACTACTCAGGCAGTAGTTATCGTCCTACAACTTTCGTAATCTTACTACTATACCTCGGATCAGCAATCTTCTTTATTCCTTCTATCATCAGCAAAAATGAAGTTCTCCACCGTCGCAGTTCTATTCTTAAGCAGTGTCGTGACTGCACTTCCCCAGCCCTTGGCTGGCAAGGAAGCCATCTCGGACCTTCAGGCACGAGTCGCCTCGAACAACCCCGGTGGCGACGTAGGCGGCGCTATCCTTGTCGACAGAGACCTTGAACAAGATGACGATGAGGGCCAGGAAATCAACACATTGGACACGAGAGAACCAAAGCAAGGTGGAAATGGAGGTGGTGGTGGCTCAAGCTTGATCGAGCAGCTCCAGAGCACCTTTGACCGCAACAACCCCAACGGAACCCCCACAGCACCCGGTGACCCGGCTGATCTCAACGGCGACGGTGTTATCAACGTTTTCGAGGCTGGTGCCCAAGCATCCTAGGCTTTATGAATGAGGGGTCAAAAGATTAAAACAAGATGTAAAGTAGTGGAGTGGTCTACGCTAATTAAATCAACTCGCTTAAAAGCATCGCAAGTTTAGCGACAAAGCTTCGTTTCTTGATCAGGTGTTCTACATATGGCCTTTCTTCAAGGACAACCAATCTTGTTTGTCCATCTAGTCGAACTTGTCAACAACGGAGTATGTTCAAAGGCCCTGTCTCGAAGGTATTGTGGTGACGTGGGTCAATGCCTCTATATCAGACCATCATTGATCAGAGCGCTCAGTGTAAAGAATCAGTCGTGGGAGAGGACACTTCCAAGCGGATTTGTCCATGGCGGTCGATTTGCTAGATTAGTGCGACTCTGCCTCCTACGAATACATGCCTAACAATAGCAAGAAAGGCCTCTTTTCAAGCAGTATTCCACGCGTAACTGTCGGTCAAGGGCGACGACGGAAGACCGATTCGCTCACGCCTGATGTAGATACCTATCTAGGTGCCATTTTGATTGAAACATCCCGTTTCTTTCCATCAACCGGAAAAGTTGGGCTGGTTCTTGTAAGGCTCTGAGTGCAATACTCTGGGATCCAGCAAGGATGCCTAAAAACTCTTCAAGGGGCTTCTCTTATTTCCACAACAAGGATGGAGGCTCTGTGTTGAAAAGGAAAATGCTATATTTGGCAAACTGTGCCCGCTGCTATTGCAGCCCTCGTGGCCTATTCAAATTGCACCCTCTATAGCTGGAACCGTGAAAAAAACACCATGCTTAGACAAAGAGATCATGTTTAAAGAATACATCGCAAGTACAATTCCATTATCCTCGGCTCAATGAAGAGCCTGCAAGCGCACGTAGCAGTCCTTGGGCTTATACGTGAAGCCTTCCTTGGGAGCGTAGCTAGACAGCTCCTTAGGGCAGGGCAGCAGCTGGAAGTTCCATACAATCATTGTGACAATCATGCGCATTTCTAAATATGCCAGACGTCGTCCATAGCAGCCTCGGGTACCGAAGCCGAACGCAAGCTGAGGTCCGGCCTGCTGGTCAAATTCGGGCGAGGCATCGTTGGGATCGACCAGCCAGCGCTCCGGTTTGAACTGCGTGATGTCTGCGTCGTCCCAGGCTCTAGCTTTCGCGTTCTGGCTGCTCTTGCTGCGTCTCGACTCGTCGACCGGGATGGAGGGCTTTAAGATGCTCTGTCCGCGGGCGGGCGAGAGGATGACGGTGCCCTTTGGGATGCGGTAGCCGAGGAGTTCCGTATCACAGACAGCCTCGCGATCAAGAAGAACGGCGGCACTTCCATGTCGAACGATCTCCTCTACAACAGCATCTAGATATGGGATCTTGGTTCCGATGATCTCCTTGATTGTCGGGTTCCGGTCCTCGGCAGCAGCGTCGGCAAAAGCGGATTTGAGGACTTCGCGGAGCTTAGACTGGGAGTCTGTGTTATCGCCCAGGAGCTTGACACCCCAGCCTAAGGTGGAGCTGGTAGTGTCGTGTCCTGCTATTATGAGTCCGTAGATCTAAGAATGTGTGAGATGTGGGACGATCAACGAATAAGAGCGGATACTTCAATAACTTACCTCGTCCATCATCGTAGAAGAGAAGAAGTCTGGTTTCCTCCCATCATTGTCGGCGAGCTTCTTTTCCCTCAAGACCATGAGTTCAACGGCAGAAGAGAGCCCCTTGGAACCCGTAGAGTTCTGGGTTCTGCCAAGGGCCTTGCCAATCTCCTCGCGGAGGAAATCGTTCTTAATCTCGACGGCTCGGCGAACAGCGGGTTGTCTCTCAACGAATTTCCACTTGATTCTAGGGACAGGCGATCCTTGGAGCTGCTCAATTGCATCCGCCACATCAAGCGATGCCTTGAGGTTCTCATCGATTTCAGCTGTGGGAAAGCTCATAGGCTGCTCGCCGCCAGCAGGCGTTAGTCCTCGGAGCCGGCGAATATCATCAGCACCCAAGCCTCTCACAAGCTCCATGGTGGGGCGAATAGCACTCCTGGCATTGGCACCAAATGAAAAGGCCGTCGTCGCATCAAGAACGGAGTAGTAGATGTCAGAGTCGGCCAGGAAGGGGCGACCCTCCGCAATGCGAGTCTTGTCGTTCCAGAGTTGGATGAGTTGCAAAATGCCGGAGTAGATGATGGGCGCAGCGTTCTCGTTCAGGAATTGAGGAGACATGAGATCTTGCAGGAGTCTGCGGTGGTGTTTCCACTCGCTGTTCGTCTTCATGATGATGTGGTGATTGGGCACAACTCCTGAGATCATGTCGCCCACGATACTTGCTCTGTCAAACTCCTTGCTCCGTCGCAAAAGCACATCCTGGGCCTCTCTGAAATCTGAGAGGATGAGCATAGGTTTCCCAAAAGGGCGGATGAAGATTTGGAAAAGGGGCGAGTTGTATTTAGCCGCTTGTTCGTGAAGCCATATCTGGAACGTGCCCGTCCGGGCTATGCCCTCTTGCAGTGAAGCGACATCACCAAGTATGCTTTTTGTTGCGACCTCATTGTAAGGAATGCCAGGAATCGGTTTGGGAAGAGCTTGTCTATAGAGGAAGTAGAGTAGCAAGCCCGCCGCAATGAAGAAAATGGCGTGGGGTGGTGAAAAGACGGTAACTTCGGTCGGTGTCTCCTCACCGAGTGATCGGTTCGGTAGTACAGTACCCAACATCTTTGTGAGACGAGCTGACGTTGTCTGAAGGCTGTGACTGGATAATAATTCTCTGAGACTGGATTGTTAAGGTTTGGGACTAGCCTGAATACCACTGCCTGTGACTGTTGGTCGCACCATGTCTTTTATATCATCGTTTCGGGAGCGCAATAAACAAAGCTGCAAGAATTGAGATTCAATTCTCCGTTGCTACTCGGGCAATAAAATGCAACTGAACGGGAGCCCAAGAACCCCCAAGAAACCATCATTCCATGAGGGTCTTCCAACAACATGATCTTCAAGATGCTGGTGTTAGTTCTGTTCCGGAGGCTGATGTCACTCGTGACGATCGTCGCCGACTCAAAATCCCGAGCTGTGAGGCCTTGCGGGCCAAGTTGGCGGGCTTTGGCACGGCGCATCACCTCCGCCAACGGTCGCTGGGCCAAGTGCTTCGCCATCACCACGTCTTGGCATATTACGAATAACCGCTCCTCAAAAATCCACAGCTATGCGGCTGACATATGACGTACGAATGGTGGATAAGTCAATCAGAACGTGCCTTTGGTTGCCTTGAGCGGGCTGTGGCGATCCTCATGCACCTAAATCCACGCCAAGACAGGATGTGATTCCCACGCTCGGCACTCACTCAACGCAAAGTTTGAGGATCCAGAATGTTGCTTTCAGCGAAGGCGTTTCAGATGAATACTTCGATGTGACTTGATCGTTCATTTCCTATTGAGGTCGGAGCAATTCCCGCAGTCGCCTCCCATAATCATTGCCATTCGGAAGTCTCTGTATTGTGTGGATGTGATACTTGGCGGGCTCTTCGTTGGTCAGGAAGACCCCCGAGTGGTGTTCAACCTCAAAAAGTGCCACCGGACTCTGAATCCGGTAGTAGAAAGAGTCATCTGGTCCGAACCCGCCAATCCAACAAAAGTGCGTTTCCGCGAGGTGCTTGAGTATCTGCTTCAGGCGGCGGCGGAGTGATTCAGAAGGCCACAGAGCCAAGAACTCATGCACAATAGCCATGACAAGTATCTGCTGCTCCTCAGGCATGTCCGTGACGACGACGCCTTCGTAAGGAATCACACGGTTGTCTTGGAAAGCTCCAGCCATGTGTCTCTATAAATATCTGTTGGCAACGTGTCTGCAGACAAGAGTAGGACATCTTACCTGATCGGCTCGGTTCCACCGACCTTCTTGCATTGCGGGATCTTTCATTGTGGGATAAATTTGAGCTGCCTGTTGCAGCTTTGGAGGTAGAGACTGCATCAATTGCAGGCCCAGCTGGCCTTCGTTGGCACATAGCGTGAGACCCTTGTCGGGGCCTTCGTCAATGGTCTTTCGCACCGTCAGCTATGTCAATGACCTAGGTTAAACTGAAGAAGCAGAACCTACATTTGGCTCGGCCCCGATAAATACTGGTCCTATCACCATTTGCTGACGAGCGATGAAAAAAATTCAAGCATAGATGATGACGAAATAGCATGTAACCCCAGGGCTCTGTTTCTGAGGGGACGCCGAACAACGTGAACCTAAACGTAAGCAATGTCTCAGTCAGATGGAAAAGAAAGGTGACTGCGGGATTCTTACGAGTAACTGTGTTCGTTCAAGATGACTTCTTTGCCACAAATTTATCCCAAGAACTTGTTCACTCTCATTGCCCCTCGGACCTTGGCAAAGCCGCCTGGGCTCAGAGATTGCTTCAAAAGACTTATGATGGCCTCGGTTTTCGGTTCTTCGAGGTCTTCGAGACGAACACCGCATTTATGTAACACAAACTCTGGATTACTCCATTTTCTCCTGCTCAGGCGACGGTTGCCAATCAAAACTCTAGTTCATATCATCTGGGGTGAGCGACGTACCAAGTCTCTGAGTCCAAGTCGTGGACTGTGTCTGTCTTTTCTGACGGACTGAGCGACTTGAGCACGCTGCGGGCCGCTTCGACCTGCTAGCAGTCAGCACGTAACTCAGCGCGATGTATCAGCTTACCTAGAGTTGAGCGTTGTCATTTACCATCATTTTCGTTGGCGCGCCCTCATCTCGAAGTTGATACAAGCCCTCTTTCCTTTTCCCATCGTGTGTGATGCCGTAGAATGGGACCTCGAGGTTCTTTCTCCAAGCTTCCCGAACAGTCTCAAGATGCGGGCTTTCCAGGATGGTTTCCGAATACTTATGACGATCACTGACGTCTATCCCTTCAAACCGCGACCAGTCTGCTTGTTGTTAGCGTTTCGCCACTCGGTATTGAAGACAACAATGCAATGAAGTCTCAGTGAATGAGTGCTTCCCTTTTGGTGGGACGTAACGTCTGTAGTCATGTGTGGTTGTCTCTGTTGTGTTCGCCATCTCAAGAGTCGGTCGCCTGAGGGTGCATTTGCTAGAGTGAATAGTCTCAGAGGATGGCCGAGGTCGGGTATGATTCTATTAGGGCCGCTTCCAACATATACTTGATTTTCGCCATAAACGTTTCCCCGCAGTAGATCCTAGAGCCCCTGCTTCCACGACGTGTGGGTTCGGGTTTCTCAGTGAACGGTGGATGTCGGAATCTCGGAACCAGACCTTGAAATCGACGATGAAGAGTTCGCCAAGCCTTGTGTCATCTTTGACAACCCAACTTCTGGGAGAGAAGGGTACTTGTACTCAAAGGCTTGGCTTCTATTCATTGCACAAGCGCGGCCATGTGGCATGATGGAGAGTTTGCGCTGATATTAGCCTAATAGCTCATGTGGCTAGCAGAATTACTGCTGGAATAGACTTTTGACACATGCTTGGTCAGACTCTCTACGGTGTTGTCGCCCACCACGGACTCCGCGGTATCAAACACTCAGTAGCACTAATGGGGCAATGATCTGGTGCTCGGAAAGACTTTCTAGGAAGTCCTTCTTGGGGAAAGATGGTATCGGGATGTGATACATGTTTGAGGCTGTCCCGGTTTTTTGGTCCGTTGAGAGGGGCACCGAACCGCGTCGGATTCCACTTTCCGGCATTTGTTCACGTCCGACCACCGCCTCGATCGGCTTCTTGTGGGGCCCGACCACCGTTGAGCTCCGACCAGACCTCCCGTCGGCACGAGAGCTTTGATCGTTTCGTTCACAAACCCTCTGCCCATTGACTTACTTAAACACACCGAATGCAAAGTTTGGCTCAATCTGCTGGTTTCTTCGACTCAATTCAGTCTAGGATGAGATACGAGTGGAGAAGGTGCCCCGATTGGGCGATTTCAGCCGCAGTTTTGTCTTCACCGAACTACACCTCCAATCTCTCATCATGTGAGTAAAAACCAAATGTGAAGAAAAGTCAAAGGTACTGGTACTGATTACAGACTGCAATATTTCCGGGACTCAAGGATTTAAATCCGGACCGGGCCAAGGCTCTGCGCCGTACTAAGCCTTGATGTACAAGAACGGCGTAGACAAATCGTAGCCTGATAAGCCAGCGTGATCGGAACTAGGCAATATTTATGGGAACTCAGAGTCAATATATGGATCTTTTCGGTGTATAAATCACCGAAGAAAAGAGTCCTGGATCTTTTACGAGGCTCTTCTGAGATGACTCGGAGCTGACGACAGTGCCCAGACGGAGAGTGCTGAGGTGGAAGGTCAGCCTTACACTGGCACCAGCGCAGTTTTGGGCTCGAGTGACATGTTCACGATAACTCACTGGGGTCGACGGATTCCATAGCCCCCATATTGTTCCAATTTCTGACATACGCTCAGCCCAGAGAGTCAGCATTCCGACATCACGCGAAGACGATAACAGCTGTTTCCGCAATTACGCTGAGAGCTTGGGCGTCAAGACCTCGATGACCGGGCGAGATGTAGCCCCCATTGGGGTCTGTTGCTGCCTTCGGTAATACTGGAAACTCAAGATGTTTCCTATTGCGGCTTCATTTCTAGTTGCCCCGGGCGAAGAATGATTCACTTGCTTTGACACATTGTCTGTGACCCTTGGATGTTATTTACTGTTAGCTGTATCCCTCGTGACCCAGGCAAAAAACTGATGTACTGTGAAGTGACACACGGTACGAGAATCCTGAATATTCAAATCTGATGTAGATGCTCTTCTCAAGCTGGAAGAGAGAGAGGGAAGCAGCATCATCATCAACCAAACTACAACAACCTTCGATACCATGAACAGCGAGTACACTATTCAAGCAGCCGTCCAATCTCAGGACAACTCAATGAGTACCATCAAAGATTTACAGGATTTGAGCAAACAACCTTCTACTCAAAAAAGCCATACTATGAAGAAAATCCTCAAGAGCGATGAGGCTCAGAAGCTTCATCCAGAATACTTGCGTTTGAGAAACTCATTCTGGAGCAAGGCTTACAACATCGGCGCCGCTACCGCTTCCTATGCTTCTGAACCTTTCAGTAAACTAAGCCATACATTCACTATGCTGAAGATGGGCATTCCCCGGGCTGTCCAAAACTTGATGCTGCCCACACAGCTCGCGCGCAGTCTACTCTTCCGGACCAAGGCCGATCCCTCTAGCGGGACTCTGACAGTCTGCGACAACCGTACCCAGCGGCGGTACGAGATTCCAATCGACCGAAACTCAATCAAAGCCCTCGAGCTTCAAAAGATCATTTCTGTTCAGGCTGATGCCAACTCTGTCAGTTACTCTGGTCTGAAAATTCTCGATCCTGGATACCTTAATACTGCCTGCGTCGAGTCGAACATTACCTTCATCGACGGCGGCCATGGATCCATTCATTACCGAGGCTACTCGATTGAATACCTCTTCGAGAATCACGACTACGAAGAGGTTGTCTTTCTCTTGATCTGGGGTCATCTCCCCGACGCGGTTGAGAAGAAGACGTTCCAGCGCAAGATTGCTGCCGGCTGTATTCCCCCTCCGCACGTTGTCCAAGTCATTGAGTCTTTCCCTCGAGATTCGTTGACAAGCACAATGGTCTTTGCTGGCATGGCCGCCTATGCCAGCCATGACGAAGGCGCAATCACCACACTCCAGTCCGGACGGCCAGCCTTCATGGGCCAGGCTGACAAGGTCGATGAGGCGCTCATCGGTTGCATCTCTGCCCTCGCCACTGTTGTTGCACTTGTATACTGCCGCAAGCGCAACAAGACTTTCACTCCTGCCGATCCCGAAGACTCCTTCATCGCCAACATGTTGCGCATGATGGGCTTTCATGAAGACAGCCAAAGTGGCAAGCCCGATCAGGAGATTGTCAAGTGCTTCGAGAAGCTCTGGATCCTCTACGCCGACCATGAGATGACCAACTCGACCGCCGCCTTCTTGCACGCTGCCTCGACCCTGACAGACCCCCTGGCATGCTGCATCTCTGGTCTTGTCTCTGGGTACGGCCCGCTCCATGGAGGCGCCATCGAACTAGCCTACAAGGCCTTTGAGGATCTCGGAACCCCTAAAAACGTGCCGATGCTGATAGCAGACGTCAAGGCCAAGAAGCAGCGTCTCTTCGGGTACGGCCACCGTATCTACAAAGCCGTCGACCCCCGAGCCAAGTTCATCCGCGCCATGATCGACCAGTACAAGGACAGGGTGGAGTCGAATACTCTACTTTCCATCGCGATGGAGGTTGACCGCGTTGCCAATACCGAAAAGTACTTTACCAGCCGTAACTTGAAGGCTAACGCGGACCTTTACGGGTGCTTCCTGTATACTGCTTTTGGCTTCGAAACCGACATCATCGTAGCCATGGCGTGCTTGTCGCGCATTCCTGGTGTGTTGGCGCACTGGCGGGAGGCGATGCTCGAAAAGGGTCCCATGCTATGGAGGCCGCAGCAGGTCTTTACTGGTCCGCCGCCGAGAGAAGGCAACTCGAGTAATTTCTAATGTCAGAGAAGACGGAAGGTTAGCCGGGTCATCTTCTTCAAGTCTGACGCAGCCATCTTCGAGGCGACAACGAATAGGAAAGATGCCGAAAGCCTTAGGGCTGCAGTAGACATGGGAGAGGTACCTAGCGAGAGTAAGACGCTTGCCCGAACCGGAAAACAATGTGGTCGGATGGAGTGGGGGCTTAAATCCGGAGCTCCTCCGTGCGACGTTGACGGTACGGCTTATGTGGCTACGGCATTCCACTTCGAGAGATTTTCCTTCCTTCGTATTTTTGCATTGAGTGTTTCTCGTTCATCATAGCTTACATCGTCTCACCTGGTAGATTAGATCATCGTTGCTGTCATTGCGTTATAGTACTTGCATTTCCATATAATTTCACTGCCACCATGCCACCTGACTTCGCGTTCGTGAATGTCAACGATTCGGGACGGACACAGTCCACAGATCGATCAGTCATTCGTAGCCGATGTATGCTCGGTAAACATCGACAAGAAGGCTCGAGGCGATCCAAACAAGCAGCTCGCAAAGCGCAGAGGGCAGCTGCTCAAACTGCGAGGGAGAATCCGGAATTACAGACGCTCAACCCTTCGCTTCCCCCCATCAAAAAATGGCTCTCCAGGACGAATAATGAGAAGCAGGGAGCTGGGAAAGAATCTCAGGTCCAGAGGATAGAAGGGACAGCTCAGGATGATAGCTCAGCACTCATGCCTCCGGTTCCTCGTCCGCCACCCAGCGACATGTCTCTCATCCACTTTGCAGAGGAGTTGGAGAGGCCCTCTCAGGAAATACTCTTCAGACGTAAGACAGTCCCTTTTCGTGCCGAAAAACTCACTTCATCTGTCTGACTGAGACCAGTGGTCAACTTCAATGCTCTCAAGGGCACCTTCTATCCCATCGAGCACTGCGTCGACCTCCCTCGCAGCGCGAATTCCGAAGCACTTTCATTTTCATGGATTCTCCAGGACAAAATCTTCCTGCATAGCGCCTTGTTCTACTCATCCGCTGTTCATGAACATGCCCAGCGTTGTCAGCCAGGACAGATGACACAATTCCATCTCCGACGCACAATCAAAATCCTCAACGAGACGCTTTCTCAACCAGACTCGCATCGAAATGAGGCCATTTTCCACGTCGTACTCACTCTAGCCTTGATGGCAGGTCTTTGGGGCGACTTCGGCAACACGGCCGTACACTTGTCAGGCTTGCGGCAGATTGTACGCCTTCGTGGGGGGCTCAGGTATCTTCGACGTCATCCAAAGCTTCATTTCAAGCTCGATCGGTGAGTGAATCTGCCATCTGCCATCTGCCAACTGTTATGAGTAGGCCGACTCTGACAATACGGCCTTGCTCTCTCGTGGTCTCTTGGCACGGGAGGTACATCTTGTTTCTTCAACGGCCCTGTCAGCTGGGAGTCATGCTTTGACGCGCAGTCAAGAGATCCAACTTTCGGGGCTGAGATCCTCTCCTGCAATGTTGTGCGTGACTGGAGGCTGGCAGCTGTTTGGCAAGACCTCAAGCATTTAGTGAACTTGATCAACCATCACCTCGCCTGCAATTCGCTGCTTGATGGCTCGCTTTTCCAAGACTCCTTGGGATCGATTCAAACACGACTCGTACATCTACAGGACGGAATCGACGACCAATTTGATGAGTGCCTTCGGCTAGGGATGTTGGCTTTTCTGTCAACCACATTGCAAATCCCAGGCGGCAGGTTTCCTTATAAGTATCTCGCTGAGAGTCTTAGGAGCATATGCCAGACTACCGCCAGTGGCACGTTAGGAAACGAGGACATCTTGTTCTGGCTCTTGATGGTGTGCGCGATCTCCTTCTTTGAGGCTGAGGAGGCCTGGCTGCGGCCTCTGTGGTTGAAATTGGGGGTAAAGCATTTGTCGTGGGACAGCGCGCGATCTCGGTTGCAGACCGTCATGTGGATAAATAAACTACAGGGGACACTCGGTCAGACGGTTTGGGCGAAGCTTGCTTTGATAGAAGTAGTGTAAACTCTTCAACTAGTTCTCCTTATTGGTATGTTAATTCATAGGTTGAGTTGAGCAGCGCCGTCATGCTGATCACCTGCGGACGATGGAGTTTTTGTAAACGATGCCTTACGTAAGACAAACATGGAAGGTAATTCGCTGTTCGGAAGTTATCTTTTCCGATTTCAGTGGAAGGAACCTGGAAAGTAGGCTGGTACCTTAGGTACCTCCCCCGTCTGGCCCCTGCCTTAGATAATAGTGGGTCTGGTCAATGCACCCCAGCTTGTGTCGCTGTCGCTGTCGCTGAGCCGGACCACAATCCAGAGTCCAGACACCTCCAGCCTTAGCTTTCCGCCTCTTATCCTTCTCACCACATTTCGTCGACTGCTATAAGCCTCATCCACTTGGAGAAAGCGTTCCTAGTAGCTCCACCGATTACAACAGACAATAGCAACTACAGTCTTCATACAGGAGTTTTCGGGCCTTGGTCTATCGTCTACCTTGATCGTCAGCAGTGCGATTATCGGTCTTGCTCGGTCTTGCTCCTCGGGGTACTTCAACATTCACCGGCATCCCCCTACCCCCGCATCAGCTTCCACTCTGTACTCAACAACAGAAAACAGAACATTGAATTCATTCAAGCTACTCACATCAAGTCTGAGGCTCGCCTTTAAACACCGACAAGATGGCTTCAAAGGATGATAAGGCGTTCAAGTATCGCCAGGAGATCAGCCAGGTTAGTGAAGATGCTGTCGATTTTCTTTCTTTCAATCTCGTATTGCTTTGCTCTTCTTTGAGATTTGCAGGCACATGGCAGCTAGCGACCTCAAAATTGGAAGCCCAGTAGAGGAAAAGAAGGGCTTGACACTTGCCTCCCGGAGTTGACCACGGCTCATCTCGACACTCATGCCCTCACACTTGTATGCTTGACTGGCCTCCACGATGGCCTCCGCTCCTTCCAAATATGAGCATTGGAAATCTACCCAAGGCGGTACCTTCCATCCACCGTACCTAGCATAAGGCTAGATATCATCATTACTTCCGCCACTGGTATCGACAGAAGCTGCTTCGAAAACACCATGCTCGTCCCTAGAGAGACACGTCCACGTCCATGCAGAACAGAAGGGAGCAATCGTTTGTGAGCTGGAGATCCCACTTCGACCGAGATGGTGGCGGCTGCCTCATGAGCCACCTCGTCGGATGTCTCGAAATTACTCGGCATATTTGAACAGTGTACCGAACCGTTGGTCGCCAACAACAGTGACGCCGAGTTTGAGACTCTCACGAAGAAACCGAAATACCACAGGCACTCCAGAGCAAAGGCGGCAGTCGCTGCGCGTGTTCAGCGCCAGAGCATGGAGCTATTTCAATCCGCCTTCGACCAAGTTCGTGGCATCGTGGTCAACTCCGGCTTCAAGTCCATCCTTGACCTCCCGTGCGGAGAGGTGCAGAAGCAAAGGATCACGCGTCCAGAGTCAAACAAGCCTGCTTTCGTTTTGCCTCAGCATTTGAATAACGAGGGGCCGTACGGCTGGTCAGATCGTTTTACTAACGTTGCGCGCAAGATGATGTATGTCTCTGGTGAGACCGCCGAACCGTCGATTGAGACTACTAGCATGATTGAGGACATTGTGCGCCAGCAAGTTATTGAGCTGGTAAGTTGTGCAAGCACCATAGATCTCTATGTCACTAATACTCCGCCAGCTTCGAAACTGCACTGAGCTCGCAGCTCGCCGCGGCGCGCGAGCCATCACGATTAATGACCTGATCTTCCAAATTCGCCATGATCAAGCCAAAGTTTCTCGTCTGCGTACATTCTTGTCATGGAAAGATGTCAGAAAGAACGTGAAGGACTCCGACGACAAGGGAGGTGAAGCGGATCTGGGTGCTGGCGAAGATCCCAGCGGTGGTGTGGTCCCTGGTGGCCCTGTCGACGATGCGACCAAGAAGAACAAAAAGGCCAAGGTTGGCCTGCCCTGGGAGCCTTCCTCATTCTACAGTCAAGAAGTCCCTGAACGTGATGACGAGGAAGATGAAGAAGAGGAAGAGATGAACTTCATCACCCTTCAACGTCTCCGCAAGGCCGACGAGCGCACTAAGGCCATGACGAAGGAGGAGTACGTGACATGGTCCGAATACCGTCAAGCCTCGTTCACGTACCGCAAGGGCAAAAGATTCAGAGAATGGGCCGGGTTTGGTATTGTCACAGACAGCAAACCTTCCGACGATATTGTCGATATCTTGGGTTTCTTGACCTTCGAGATGGTCCAGACCCTTACCGAGCACGCACTCAAGGTCAAGGAGCAAGAGGATCTGTTCAAGGCGCAGAGCGGCGGTGAGAACGCAGGATCAAAGAAGCGCAAGGTGACCACTGGTCTCTTCGACCCACCTAGCGAGGGGAGAAGTCCCATCGAGCCTCGTCACGTTCAAGAAGCCTTCAGACGCCTTCAGCAGCGACCCAAAAAGACTCGAGCCATGCTCAACGGTACGAGGCTTCCGCAGCACACCGCGCTCAACATTGTAAGTTTCCTCCCCATGAAGCAAAGAATACGCGCTAATCTCATCCTAGTTCTGAGCCCCATTCCTCGAGCGTACGAGCTGCTGGTTTTGTGGCTGCGTCAATCCAACTACAACTTCACCTTTGGAACAATGTAACGATACCCACGCATGGACAGGTGGACTTGGCGCTTTTGTTTTGTGAATTTTGTTTTTACTTATGGGCGTTACAAGGCAAGGTTTACATCGGATGGATAAGGTAGTCACCTCAGTGGCTCGACGAAGAGATCAGTTGACGAGTGCAGTTCTTCTCTTGCTGATGACTGTGACCTGTAGGCTTGACAAGGAACTGTAATCACGCTTTTCGTAAGGCATACATCATGAGCAAATGAATCTACTTTGAGAAGATGGGCAAGTAGCGAGGACTGAGTAGTACGTCAGGTGTAAGTGACATATCTCAGGTATGCAGTGACTCTGGGGCCTGCATGGCCCTTGCTGGATTCGCCCGCTTTAGAACGCACCCTGGTCCCTCCCACTTGGGCACGAACAAGTACCCCGCAGTGAGGCGCAAGCTCCAGCCATCCCACCAACCTGTAGCGATTAGATAAGGCAGACTGGACCCCTTCCGGACTTGCCCACTCTCCTGGGCTGCTTCAATTCTGTTGCCTTGTGTCCCGTTACTTAACATACCTTATTTGAGGTGGCATCTATCCCTTTTGACTCGGGCCTCGTGGCATCTCCCTCTTTCAAATCGCAACAGAAAAGTCACCAAAATGCCTCCTCAACCATCAGTCGTCGTGAGTCGCGCATCCTTGACATGCCCCGCTGACACTTATGACGACATGGCTTTGCTAACCGCGGCCTTCTTGCTCCAATAGACGAAGCTCAAGGTCCAGCTCAAGCTGGCCATTGCACGGCTGCGCATGGTCCAACAGCGCGATGACTCCATGGGAAAGACACAACGACGTGCGATGGCGCAGCTCCTCGAGGTGGGCAAAATCGACTCTGCGCGCATTCGCGTCGAGAACATCATTCGATCCGATATCACGACCGAGCTGCACGAGATACTAGAGCTGTACTGCGAATTGCTGATCGCACGCGCGGGGCTACTCGAGGGATCAGCCTGTGATCCGGGGCTGGAGGAGGCGGTAAAGAGCATCATCTACGCCGCGCCGAAGACGGAGATCAAGGAGCTGCAGGTGGTGCGAACGCTATTGGCGGAGAAGTACGGCAAGGAGTTTGTTTTTGCAGCGATGGACAACTCAGATGGTAAGGTGTCGGATAAGGTTGTCAAGAAGCTGAGCGTCACGCCGCCACGGGAAGAACTCGTACAAGGGTACTTGGAGGAAATCGCGAAGGCGTACAACGTGGACTGGCCGAAGCGACCTCTGGCTGACGAGCCGCCGGACCTGCTGGACGATGACGACGACGATAACCCAAGCGGGGGATTGGAGTGAGAATACCAGAGGGTCCGTTGGGAAACAGCTCCAAAGTGGCCAAGGAACAGGAGGAGCTGAGCAAGGCGACACCGCCGAGGACGATTGGAGGTCCCAGCAGCCCTCTGACTGTCACACCGCCAAGGATGACAACAGACAACGTCCACCCGAAAGTTACGCTCAACTCGCTGGAGCTGAAGCCTAACAAGAAGATGGACGCGGCGGCGCAGAAGAAACCAGCTGGAAAGGGTCCAGGAGGCAACGTACCTGACATTACGGAGCTGGAGAGGAGATTTCAAGCTTTGAAGCGATGAGCCTGATGTGTCTAGGCAAGGGGTGATTTGATACGAGGATATCTGGAGGGTATTTGAGGGCTTGTGTGCTTCTTGTTAAAGGTCTAGGCATGGCGCGGAATGAATTCATATTACAGGCGTCCTGCATCGACATGATCTCGTTCTCTCAATAGTATGGGGTTTGCAACATTTACCCCGGGATGTGTAACAAGTCCAAGTGCAGGTCCTGTCATCATCTTCACTGAGGCACGTCCAATAAGTGAGTAAGGCGAATCTACGTTACCGATTTCTTGTAATGATACATGAGGAAGGCAATCAGCGATTGAAGATTGTGCCCCGAAGAAGAGCTCCTAGTATCCCGTCTGCTTTTAGGGTTCATGTAGGAAGGGTAGGAGCGTGCCACTTACCTTGGCCGGGCCAGAAACAAATTTGAAGGAAGGAGGTCTTGTCTTGACTGTGCCTAATGAGTCCATCAAATTGGAGAAGGCTCGATCAGTGTCTTTGAAGGCCTTCCTCATTGAGCATATCTGCCTTGCCTAGGTACTACCTAGGTGGCCTCCATCCCTTTTTCCTCTCGTACCGGGGCCTGCTCTGAACGAGCTTTCCGTTCACAACAAATACTAGCTGCAGTTATCGGTTACCAAGCGGTCCACTAAATTCACGATATCCTCAACACATCACATAGTTGCATCTCAGAGCAAAGCGGCTACCGGATGAGCTCTTTTCCCCAATTATTCTGAAGACCTTTCCCCTATTCTCGTCACGATCTTTTACTTCTCCGTTCAAATTCTGCTCCTTTCACGGCGGATCTCCCTCTGTGTGCTGCCCCACGGCTTGGTTTTTCTCACGTCCAGCCAGCTTCTAGCCCCGGAAGGAGCGAGGGGGTTCCAAGGACGAGCAAGAAATTTCACGGCAGTTTCACCTCTGAAAGGCCAGTACCTCACTTGCTCTCTCGTCATGCTTTCTCTGACACTTCCACAGCGAACAAAGATGGCGGACTCGAAGCTCCTCATCCTTGAGATGCACCCTCGAGAGTTCTACAGCCTGGACCAAAGAGACATCGAGTGGGAGTTGACTCACCGATACTCAAGGGACATTGAAGACAAGAAGCCTCTGGAACTTTACACCAAGTGGCTTGCAAAGCAGATTCCTTTTCTGGGTCTTACGGGTCACACAGCCTCTTCCAGGGTCATTCGAGATGCTTGCGACTACCTAAGCACTAGGAAGTACGAAAAGCATCTCGTGCTCAACGCCTTTAATCAGCACAAGGAAGACTACCTCAGAGACCGACCCAAAGATACTCGGACCTTCAACCTTGCCAGACGAGAGATCGAGATTAACTACAAATTACGTAGTGTGCACCGCAAGGTGAAGAACTCATCTGCCCCAAAGGAGGCAGTCTTGGCAACGTGCCTGCCAGATTTGTCCCAACCTGCTAGGCTTTCCAACCAAGCAAACGAGCCGATCCCGGGGATCCGGGATTCAGGAAATATACACTCTGACCCTGAAGATTCCCATCTCAGTCGTCGACAGAAGCTCCTTGCCCAATTGGACAAGCTCAAGTCCGGAACACCACCGCCCGAGACTTCGTCTTCAAACGAGCAGACACCTCGTGCTGGTTACGTATGCAGACTCTGCGGAATACCAGGTAGCTGAGAATGAAGTCGAGAGAAAAGTCGTCGGAAAACTAACGAGAACCTTGCCAACACAGGTCACTTCATTCATCACTGTACCTCGAACTCCTCAAAGAAACCTTTCGTCCCAAAGAACTACGTCTGCCGCACCTGTGGAGAGCATAGAGATCACCTTGTCCAGGACTGTCCTCGGAAGCAAGCTACCACTTCCACCGATTCACTCCGACAACGGCCTCAAAACCCGCCGATGTCGAGCGAAGACCTGAGACAGAGCTCATCGAGAAAGCACAGTCACTCCAGATCTACCAGCAAAAGTTCGAGTGCCAGTGGCCCCTATATGAATGAGGAGCGAGCCCGACTTTTGCAAACCAGGCCTAGCAGACACCAAGACGAATCACCCGACTTCCAAGAGTCTGCTGTAGGCCCTTCTCGGTCTGGAAGCAACTCTAAACCAGTCGGACATCGCTCTCGTTCCGGATCCAGTCGCCTTATCGACTCCCACCTTGCGGATGATAGTTACCATCCAGAAAGACCCCGCCAACGCGTCGACACATACCGCCCCAACGACCCTCGCCAATCTATCGACACGTACCGTCCTGATACTTCCCGCCGTCTTGACGATAGATACCGCCCTAGTGAGAACCGTCATCTCCATCTTGCCTATCGCCCTAAGGAATCGGAGAGGATCGGTCATTCGGATCTCAAGAAATCCGCAGAGGAGATTCCAGCTAGGAACGTGGGCGAAAAAGAGGCGAAGCTGTCATCCCGCCTGAACAAACGGCGCACTGACGACGGTAGACTCTCTCCCTGGGACGACATCGAAAGACCAGCGAAGAGACAGCGACCGGCGAAGAGACAGCGGCACGAAGACCCTTTTGCTAGTGGCCTGCCCTGGGACGACGTCGATATATCTCCCAAAGAGAAACAGCAAGTTGCTCCCGTGGACCAGATTACGCAAAACCTTGGACCTGGCAAGAAAGACTTGGGCGTCGACATAAAGGCGAAGCAAGCTGGCGCATCCGAGGATATTCCCATGGAGACAGGCGGAGCTATGGACTCAGCCGAAGCTATGGAGCGCAAGAAAGTGACCGATACACAGTGGAAGCAAGCTGGCATTGAGGCGGATGACCTCCTTGCGGCGTTGGAGAAAGATCTGTTCTTCCAAGCGAAGCCAGATGCTGTCGAGGCCATGGTCGGCACTCAGCCGAACGGTGCAAGTATGATCATGCCGTCTTCTTCCCCGCCGCCTGTGACTTCCTACCGAAGCATCATACCCGATGTCCCCGATTGGGATGATTACGACAATGGCAACGATGGCGACGACGATGTTTACATGGAAGACGCCCCTGAGGGAATGGACCAAGCTCCAAGCAGCCCCATTGAGGTGGACCATTACTCTATTCACACGAAGGAGGCAATTGTCCCCTTGCAAACCCCGAAGCCTCTTCAGAGAGTCCCTCCATACGATCCTGCCGTCTTGGCCCTGTTCCGAGGCAGAGAGCACGATAACGTTTACCTAAACATTGCTCGCCGACGCACCGCTGTTGAGATGTATGAGGCTGAGGAGAAGGAGGCGGAGGAACCCCCTACCACTCCGAAGGTGAACGAGTAGCCTTGCATTCGAAGGCTACCCAGCTGCTTTCAACTCGCTCCGATCTGGCAATCATCGGCCAGATACTTTGAACTTGAACCCCGGCACTGATTGACCTGCCTACAATATTCTTACACATTTCCCGTCGACTTTGGAGCTGCGGATCTGTCGTTGACCAAGTAACCTTGGCCCACGATTGAATGCCGGCTCTTACACCTCTTCATTATTCAGGAGGTTGGGTCATGTTCTCCGAGCTCGGCCGTCGGCATTTGCTTCTTCTTTTCTTTCATACGCGTCTGGATTGCGTTCCATAGCTCGGGCGTGAAATGGCCTCTCAGGCCTCGCCCGAGTAACACTTGCTTGGGACTGGGAATCGGAGGACTTATCTTTGGCCTTTTGGGTGGTTCCGTAGTATTTTGCATTGGGCAGTCGGATGGGTGTGCAGCCTGACTGCATTTGCCGATGTGGACGTCTTTCTCACGTCCCGAAGATGTATCAAGGATGCTTCCGAGCATCTAGCCGTATCATCTCCTCGGAATTTTGCCCAGCAGGTTTCTTCAAGGACAGCTGGGTTGAGATTACAGGGAGAAGATGATGCACCGTTTTTTTGATTCCAGTAGGGGAGGTTATCCCTGAAATTGCTTTACATAGCATTATTTCCCACGAAATCAAAAGTTTGTCAAATGACGTTGCAGCCAGTCGCGTGCGTATTGCTCTTGGCGAAACTCCAGACTCCAGCCCACCCGTACGCCCATATATGACAGTGCAGAAGTCCGCCAGTCTCCAAACGTGATTAAGCCCCAGACCGGACGAGCGCGACCCCTCCAGTCTTCTACAACACCGGACCGTGCCGGGAATCCTTCACGCCGGACAGTTTACTCATTCTAATTTATCCAAGTGTTCTAACCTCGTCAAGACAACCTGCTTGCTCGTCTCCTCAATCTCGCCGGCCAAGAAGACCTCGTCGAGGATGGCGTAGACCTTGTAAAAGTTGAAGACGAGGTCGAGCTCGCAGACGTTGCCGAAGAAGGCGTCGAGTACCTCGACGAAAAAGTGGATGGCCTCGAGGAAGGCGAGCTCGTTGTCGTTTGTGTCGACGCAGGCGCAGAAGAAGAGGCCTGCGTAGCGGCGGTAGACGATCTTGTTGTTGCGGAACTCGACGAAGTTGGACTGGTATTTTTGGTCTCGGGGGGCGACGAGGCGGTGGACCTGTTTACGGGGAGTGACGTTGTTAGAGTAATGTCCATTTGAGGATGCGACGTGTTATTGGGATGGGAGCGTTCGTACCTCGCCCTTCATCTTGATCTTCTCATCGTCGCTGTAGGGTGCGTACCACTTCGCGAGACGGGTCTTGCCCCTGGATGGCGCGGGCGATATGTCAGCGGGAGCTTTTTCTCTACACGTTCTCTGCATCGGAGGCGACTGGACATACTGGCGATTCTGAATCAGGATGAATGAGAGCATTTTGGCAGCGTCGGCGATATTCGCATGTCGGACTCTTGTCAATGACTTCAGGTCCCCGCGCGCGCGTGCTTCAGGTTTCGAGATGTGAAGTCGGCGGCCACGGAGCTTCGGTGCGGGTACGTACCGGGGGACGGGTGCTGACAGCTTCGCATTCCATTCCTGCAGTGTTTCCTCTTCCCCTGAACTGTTTCAAGTGGGGACTGAGGCGTCAAAAATGGAAAGGTGTGGCACAGGCACGACAGGGTGGTTCATCTGGAGACTGGGAGCAATGGAGACAGGCACTGAGGACCTTAGGTTGTGAGGCTCAGGCCACTGAGGCCGCTGAGGCCAAAGGAACGTACCGCGGCTGCCTCCCGCGCACCCTTGTGGACGCTGGAAGAGCAGCTACCTATAAAATCCCCTCGACCCCACGCCCGATTTTCAGTCCTTTTTTTTCTTCTTTTCTCTTCTTCATCTGAGTGCAAGGGCTTTACGCGTATCAGTGAGGATTCGTCCGAGATCGTGTTTTTGCTAGTTGAAAACTATAACTATGACCACTCCTAGTTGGCTTCGGCCGGCTAGGGAATTTTTGAAACCCTTATTCTTCTCGATGGAGATTTGTTTTGCTTTCATTGCTTGCGGCCCCTTGTTTGGGTCGTGGTGAAGAAGGCTACTTGTGCTGTGTTGGAGTGACGACTACCTACCTCGGACGCAGACGCGGACGCTTGTTGGGTACTTTGGACTAGTTTCAAGTGATGATGTCGATGCCTGGCGGTGATTTTTAGACGATGTATCGTCAAATTCGTCTTCCACGGCGCTGCAAGGACTCGCTACATGCCCATCCATAGATAGATTTTAACATGATGATTTTGCCTGTCTAGACGGCAGCCATCTCCATCTCCATTGACATACCCTTCTTGCATTCCATGTTCCTGTCGGGTCAGAGTGATTGCCGACCTGGACATCGATGCTCTCCATCCTTTTTTTGCCTGCGTGGTTGATGGTGTTGATATTGATCTTGGCCTGCCGCCCCACCTCGGTCAAGACACCCTGATTGACGTGAAGACGAGGAGAAAGCGCTATCTGACATTGGCGATACCAGCCCCAGTAGACGGGAACTTCGCGCGGTGACCTAACACAAGTCCTCATCATTTACTGTTTGCGTAGAATTAGACCATCAGTTCCAGGATTTCACACCTTGCCCGACTGGTCAATTCCACGAGTGCGTCTTGAGCAGACCACACCGAAAATAATCTAGTCAACATGCGGGGCTTAGATGCGAATAGGGTATCATTTCTTCCTTTTCCATGAATCGGTAAGCTCCAGCATCTATATAGAAACCATGATTCTCCCCAAAAGCGCTTTCAAGCTCGCCACTTGAGATAGTCCTGCAATGATTGCTTCGCTCAACCCTTCACCCACCCAGGCACATGATCCAAGTCCAGGTCCTCTTCGTACTGCCTCTCCCGAATAGCCGTCCACGGCGTCGGCCACCCAGCCAACACGGGGCTCTTCTTCGTGGCGCCCATGACGGCGAACCTCCCCTGCGAATGCGCAATGAAGCCGTGCATGAAACCGAGCTGGATCAGCACCGATACGTTCATCTCCACGTCGTCCATCTCGACTGGGGAGTTGCCCCAGACCAGTCCCTCGTTGGGGCGCAGCTTCTTGGTTCCGCCGGGTGGCGGGACGAGCGTCGAGGCCGCGTCGTGGCTTACTGCTCTGAGGAAGGCGGGGGACGCTGTAGACGGTGCGAAGGAGGAGGGCGATTTGGAGGGGATGTAGCCTTCGAGTCGGTGCTGGAGGTACTGAGATGTCGCGTGGAGGTCTGCGAGGTCCATTGTTGCGGCGCGGCGGTTCGTGTTGGAGGGGTTGGCGTCGTCTTGGCCCGGGGCGTAGGTGAGGAGGAACGTCCTGCGGGAGAGGGAGCGCCATAGCAGAGGCCGGAGGCGGTGGGTGAGGACGAGGAGGAGACCCTTGTCGAAGAGGTACTTTTCGTGCTGGGCTAGCGTGTGTTGGAAGAGGACAAAGTCGCCCTTTCGGATCGCTTGGATCAGTGGTTGGTAAACGGGTACCAGCGAGGATGCTTCTGGACGAGAGAGCAGGAGCTGGGAGGGTAGACGGCCCAGCAAGAAGTTGCAGGGGACAAGGTAGCTGAGTACCAGGGCGCGATGAGATGTGAGGGGTGGTGGGATCTGAAGGTACGCTTCTTCGAGGCAGAGCGCCGCGCGGAGGAAGTGGCAGTTTGCGAGGTTGAAGCGGCCTAGGTAGTAGAGGAAGTTGACGCGCTGTGACGCTGGGTAGAATGATAGTGGTGGCGAGTTGGTGGAGATGTTTGTGAATATTTGTTTCGCTAGATGCGTTCTCCGGCACTGGGCATCAGTCCATCAGTCAACACGTTCGAGCCGTAGGCAAATTAGGGCACTAGGAATGGAGACAGAAGACGTACGGCGAAGAGAAGCTTTAGCACTAGGTTGGCAAACATGTAAACGCCAACCTTCTTGCCTTCCGGCTTGCTGTACCGCGCGCTGGAGCGGTCCGTTAGGCAGGTGGTAAAGATCTTTTGGATGATCTCCGCCGAAGATTCGGCAATCGACTTGCGGTCGTCGGCGTCGACGTTGCGGATGTTGCGCGTGAGGTCAGGACGCTTTGACAGCATCATTGTCAAACGCGAGAGAGACTCGCAGAGAGACATTGCCGTCTTGAGGAGCATGCCTCCATATGTAGGATGGGCAAAGGCGGTACTGCAGGAGCTATATGGGTGTTAGCCAACTGCTGCTTTCACTTTGAAAGGCACGTGTGAGGGCCACGAGGTCCGCGCCAGCATAGGTGATGAGGGATTCTCGTCGGTAACTCACTTCACCAGCCCGCTGAGCAGCGTATGCGCGCCCAAAAGGTCATCATAGTCGACGTCGCGCCAGAAGACCATGTAGTCCTTCATGAAAGTCACAAAGCCCGGCCACGGCGAGCCCTGGCCCTCGGGCACGTCGTCCTCTTCGGGGAGGCATTTCTCGATCGTGCTCTCAAGGGCTGTGCTGCTTGTTCCGTTGGCGCCATGCCGTGATGAGCGAAACTGCGTCCGTAGCTCATTCGCGAGGGCGTGATATTGCTGGTTTGCGTTGGGCTCAACGAGGAGCCAGTTCCGGAGCTCGTCAATGTTCTGAGCACGGACGAATGTGCGGATCTGGCTGAGGAATTGGATTAATAGGGACATCGTTGGCACGAAGTTTTGAGGCGCCGAAGATGAAGCTTCATGTGGGGAGGGGGGCGAGGCCGCGAATCGTGAAAATCGAGGCGAGGAAATCTTGCGGGTTGTGATGAAGGTGGAAGTCCAAGGTGTGAGAGCTCGAGCTCAGACGAGGTGAGGTGAGTTGAGGTGGATTCTTCGGTGTACGGAGAACAAGGGTACGTGCTCGGTGAGACGTTGGCACGGGGCTGGTCGGTGGTCACTTTTCTTAGCTTCAACATACTTTGTCCAGGGTAACATTTACTGATGATCTGCGTCAAGTTTTCTACGAAGTACATGGGATATTGTATTTCCAAAAGCATCCAAACATAATCTGCTTTTTTCAGTTGGCTCCTTCAATTTTTCACAGTTTTACGCCTTGTCATACAACGCGCCTCGAATCCCTTATGATCACCACAATCTGAGCGGAAAGTAGCTCCCAAGTTACGCATGAAGCTAAGCATCTTGTGCATGCCGCTTCCCCTTTCCATCCGGCCTAGACGCTGCCGGGAAGCCTATCCGCGACGACGAACACATGGCCAATCACACAGACTCGATGCGCTGCACGACGATTGCCGTGGCCGCGCCGCCTCCGTTGCAGATGGCCGCAACACCGTATTCGCCAGGCTTCAGCTGGTGCAGCAGAGTAACGATAATTCGTGATCCGGAGCTACCCAGAGCGTGGCCGAGGGAGATTGCTCCACCGAGAGGGTTGACTCGGGCACCCTCCAATCCGAGGATCTACGCCATGGCTGTCAGTCACGATTGATCAATTGTGGACGCTTCACATACCTTTTCGTTCGCCTTGATGACAGCGGCAAAAGCTTCGTTGAACTCCCACACGGCGACTTGGTCCTTGGTGATACCTGCCCTCTTAAGCGCGATGGGCACCGCCTTAGCTGGAGCGATGGGGAAGTCGATAGGATCAACCGCGGCGTCGGCCGAGCCGCAGATCTTTGCCAACACTCGAGAACCGGAACCGTATTTTTGCGCAATCTCCTTGCTGCCCAAAACAAGTGCACTGGCACCGTCGTTCAGCGTGGAGGAGTTGGCAGCGGTGACAGTGCCGGTGCCGTCGCGCACAAAGGCCGGCTTCAGAGTAGGTACCCTGTCGAACTTGACGTCGAGGTATCCCTCGTCAGACTCGATAACTGTGTCGCCCTTCCTTCCGGGTACGGTGACGGGAGCGATTTCCTCGGCAAAGGCGTTGGCTTTCCACGCAGCCTGGGCGCGCTTATAGGACTCGATAGCGTACTCGTCTTGCATCTCGCGAGAAATCTCGTACTTCTTAGCCGTGTTCTCGGCGCAGTTGCCCATGTGGAATTGATCGTAGACATCGGTCAAGCCGTCTTTGATCAGGCCGTCCTCCATCTTCACATGCCCGAACGGGGGCAAGCTAGAAGCGCGAGGCACATAGTACGGCACCCTCGTCATGTTCTCCATGCCACCAGCAATCTGCGCATCCGAGAGACCGAGCTGAATGTTTTGTGCAGCAAAAACGACAGCTTTCATGCCAGATGCGCAGACCTTGTTGATGGTGATCGCTTCCACGCTAGACGGGAGACCGGCAAAGATCGAGGCCTGGCGAGCCGGCGCCTGCCCAACGGATCCTTGTAGGACATTGCCCATGTACACGTCGGTGATCTTATCGACGGGGACTTTGGACTTTTCGAGAGCGGACTTGATGGCGACGGCGCCCAGCTTCGGCGCAGTTACACTCGTGTATGAGCCATTGAACTGGTGGCCGTGTTAGTTATGAGAGCTTCGTAGAAGCTTACGGAGTTGTTATTACCTTTGCTGTTGGTGTTCTTGAGGCACTAAGAATGTATGCGTCCCGAATCTCTTGCCGAAGCGCAGCTCGCGTGGAGAACTGACGAGAAGCCGCTTGCCTAGTGAATTGGCTCGGAAGCCTCGATGACTGCCTCATAAACATGGTGGTATATGTTACAATTGGTGTCCGGGGTTTCGCAGCAGAAATGCACAAAGTGATAGCGACTTGAGACGATCTTGCAGAAGGAAAAGGGAAGGAAGAAAAAACATAGGATGGTGGCTTAACAGTTTACTTCAGAGGGATGAAGCGAACATGTGGAAGGCGCGGGATGACAATACCCCAGGTTCTGCGGTCTTCCTCGGCTTAAGAGAGGGGGGTGTCTGAGAGGTACAAGGGTGGGGCCGAGCTTCCAAGTGAGGAGTGAGGTCACTTCCCCCAGGTCTTTGGGGGAACCGATCCCCCACCCCGGACCGTGGGAGTAGACCCAATTCCGCTCGGAAAGCTCGTCGGGCCAAAGGGGTGGAACCGGTTCCGGCTGTCTCTGCAACGATGTCACTCTTGCCTGCATTCTGGATGTCATTTAACCCCGGAATTTCGCGGCAAAGGTATGGATGATCGCCGTTATGGCGATGCTGCGGCGCAAATATAAAAGTTGAACGAGTCCAACTCCAAACTAAAATGCAGCCCGCCCATGTGGAAGAAAAGCTACACCTCGCTAGTTGCATGCGAGTTGATGCAACTAAGTATCTTTCAATACCTTTGACTGCCCTCAAGGTAAGGAACATACGACTGTCAGCAACATGACAATATAGCAAGTAGTAAACCAAAACCCTCCGAGTGTCTGTCAGAAGCAACTAATAAATGGTCCAACCTGAGGCTCAGACGGCGTCATGAAGAGAGGCTTGAGTCGTGACTGCCGCCGGCGTTTGTGTTGGAGGCCTTTGGGCCTTGAGTGCAGTTTTGTTATCGGGTGATTCGCGCTTGGTATCGCCTATCATGATTGGACCAAAATGTGAGACCCACCCATTGGCCCAAGCGGAAGGCGGTGGTGAAGGCGAGTGCTTCCCGCGCCATTCTTTCGGACTGTCGTCTGTGATCCATCCGGCCTTTCTACAACTCTCTCCATCACATATCGTTAGCGACGGAGATCCTCAGAATTTTCAGCTTGCTCGATACCCAGCGAGTATATCTGCAACGATCACCTACACTTTGAACCACCTCTCTGGTTCTCTTCCGTCCTTCATCGACGGCCGTTGCGATCCTCCGACCCCTCAGTCTTGGTAATCAGTCACCGTCCGCCACCATGTCTACCGCCGCCCGCCGTCGCTTGATGCGTGACTTCAAGGTTAGCTACGATCCTCGATATGCCGTTATTCTGTGTACGATCTTAACGCAATGAGTAGCGTATGCAGACTGATCCTCCCGCTGGCGTTTCTGCCTCGCCTGTCCCCGACAACGTCATGACCTGGTAGGCTTGGCCAAACTCCGAACCTGCCGGACGTGCCAACGGCGACTGACAAGGCATTCTCTAGGAACGCCGTGATTATTGGTCCCGCCGATACCCCATTCGAAGACGGCACTTTCAGACTCGTTATGCAGTTCGAGGAGCAATACCCCAACAAGCCCCCCGCGGTCAAGTTCATCAGCCAGATGTTCCACCCGAACGTCTACGCCACAGGAGAGCTTTGCTTGGATATCCTGCAGAACCGCTGGAGTCCCACGTATGACGTCGCGGCAGTGTTGACGAGCATTCAGAGGTGAGAGCTGTCCTATTCGGTGGATCCCGGATGCCACTCTACGAGGGACGGAGCTGTTTTTGGGGCTAACTTGCATCATTAGTTTGCTTAACGACCCAAACACGGGCTCCCCAGCGAACGTTGAAGCGTCGAACCTCTACAAGGACAACCGGAAGGAGTACACGAAGCGGGTTCGTGAGACGGTTGAGAAGAGCTGGGACGACTAAGTCGTCACGATTATCACGACGCATACATACGACTGTTATGAACGAGAATGTCCACGCCTTACTTCAGCAGGGTATGGCTCGTGTAGGAATAAGCTGCTGGGCTGCGAGGGGATGCTAGAGGGCCAAACGAGGGGCAGATTGACATGAGCTACGCCCAGGGCTGACCAGACATATGTCTTGATCTGCTTCGCATTAAGCAACTGGGGTACCCGATGAGGTGGGAGTGGGGGGATTGGGCGTTTCGGCTCGTGCTGTCCTCTCTAAGTGGCTTTTGGGGCGACCCCATGTTGCGATAGGCGTTTCGTGGACGTGCTTTGCTTTTCCTATCCGTTGGGTCACCCGTTGTCGGTGACGTTAGGTTCGTCTTCATCTGGCTTTACAGGGGAGTTCGTGGGAAGTGCATTTGGGACCTCATAAGTAGCGAAATACCAAATCTGTTGAACAACATGCGGCCCGTAGTTGTTTATTATGAATTCATTGGCGAAAGCGGAGCAGTCCACTATAACAAGACTCGCCCAAATGGCCATTCCCCAAAACCCAGTCCACTTGGTCAGCCGTGCAAAGTGCAAACTCTCGTCAGCAATCTCTGTCGCGTGCTCGGCCGGGTATTCCTCTAATTAGTGTGCAATGCACCGGGCCATCTGTTGTACCAACATGCCTGCCGTGATGGTCAGTGTGCTGTATCCGTCCATTCCAGCAGAGGAACAGGGGACTTTGCCCTTCTGGGACGGGGAGACCCCTCGGCTGTGCTTTGGGAAGGACGACGAGGTGGGGATGAAACGACCAGCGTGAAGTGTCCATGGCAGGATGGGATTGGTCTGTTTTTCTTGTCTCCATTCCCTCTACGAAGTACTGGAGGCCGGCGACCGGGAGGATGGGGCCTGAAGAGTACCTTAGCCTTAGGTAGTGACTTGTGACTCTGGGAACTGAAGGAACTGTGGGAAGGTACCCGTGGACCCTCCTTCCCCCCTCTGCACCTGCATTCTGTGCTTTGTCTTGCTACAATCAAATAATTCTACGCGATTTCTAGCGCGTCCCGTCATTTACATCTCAACCCCCCAAAAGGCCCCCCAAAACCCGTTTTCCGAACAATACAACCACTCATCTCCCTCTCCTCTCGCTTTCTGACCGACTGCCTTTCTGGCTGCTACTGCCGCTGGTTTGTGCTGTCGCTGTTCGTTTCTCCTTGCATCATCGCCCTGCAACACCTGCGATATGTCATTCTAGCAGCCTTTCCACATCCGCACACCGTCATTTCATCCCACCCGCCTTGTTTGTGTGTGTCCTTTCAACACAAACCCCCCCGTTGCCGAGCTGCGGCCGCCGAGCGCTTCGCAACCACACCCCCCTATCCTGCAGCATCTTGTCCCGATCGCAATCCCACGATATTGGCTTCGACCTCGCTTAGTCTGAAATACCGTCACCATGTCTGGCGCAAACAACAGTATCAAGGTCGTGGCCCGATTCCGTCCACAGAACAAAGTGGAACTGGCGTCGGGCGGCCAGCCCATCGTCTCCTTCAGCAGCGAGGAAACATGTACTCTCGACGTAAGTGCTTCTCCTACTCAGTGCTTGACGTTGCGCATGCGAGCACCCAGTTGACTCATATGCTTCTAGTCCAAGGAGGCCCAGGGCTCCTTCACCTTCGACCGTGTCTTCGACATGGAATGTAAGCAGTCCGATATTTTCGACTTTTCCATCCGATCGACTGTCGACGATATCCTCAACGGTTACAATGGAACCGTCTTCGCCTACGGCCAGACAGGTGCCGGAAAATCCTACACCATGATGGGTTCCAGCATCGACGACGAGGAAGGCCGAGGTATTATTCCCCGTATCATCGAACAGATCTTCGCCAGTATTATGTCTAGTCCCAGCACTATCGAGTACACGGTTCGAGTCAGTTATATGGAAATTTACATGGAGAGGATTCGCGATTTGCTTGCGCCCCAAAACGACAACCTTCCCGTTCACGAAGAAAAGAATCGCGGTGTCTACGTCAAGGGTCTTCTCGAGGTCTACGTCTCCAGCGTCCAGGAGGTGTACGAGGTTATGAGAAGAGGTGGAAACGCCCGAGCCGTTGCTGCAACCAACATGAACCAGGAATCTTCCCGTTCGCATTCCATCTTCGTCGTCACCATTACCCAAAAGAATGTCGAGACCGGATCGGCAAAGAGTGGTCAGCTTTTCTTGGTCGATTTGGCCGGTAGCGAAAAGGTTGGAAAGACAGGCGCCAGTGGTCAGACGCTGGAGGAAGCAAAGAAGATCAACAAGAGTTTGAGTGCTCTCGGAATGGTCATCAACGCCTTGACCGACGGCAGATCATCCCACGTCCCCTACCGCGATTCCAAGTTGACCCGTATCCTCCAAGAATCTCTGGGAGGTAACAGTCGGACAACCCTCATCATTAATTGCTCTCCCAGTAGTTACAACGACGCTGAAACCCTCGGCACCCTCCGATTCGGTACCCGTGCAAAGGCAATCAAGAACAAGGCCAAGATCAACGCCGAGCTAAGTCCCTCCGAACTCAAGGCCTTGCTCGGCAAGGCCAGAGGTCAAATCTCGACCTTCGAAACCTATCTCTCAAATTTGGAAGGCGAAGTTCAGCTCTGGCGTGCCGGAGAGGCCGTACCCAAGGACAGATGGGTGGCCCCCTTATCTGCAGATGGCGTAGCCGGGACCAAGGCCGAAGCAAAGGCGCCTCGCCCTTCAACACCATCTCGCCTGTTGCCCGACAGCAGATCCGAGACCCCAGCCATCTCAGAGCGGTCAGGAACACCAAGCTTACCCCTTGACAAAGATGAGCGCGACGAGTTCCTGCGCCGGGAGAACGAGCTACAGGATCAAATTGCCGAGAAGGAGTCTCAGTACAACGCGGCAGAAAAGTCTCTTCGGGAGACCAAGGAGGAGCTTGCCTACCTCAAGGAACACGATGCGAAGACTGGAAAGGAAAATGAGAAGCTGAACGGGGAGGTGAACGAGGTCAAGATGCAAATTGAGCGACTTACCTTTGAGGGCAAGGAGGCGCAGATCACCATGGATGCGCTCAAGGAGCAAAATGCCGAGCTAACTGCGGAGCTGGACGAGGTCAAGCAGCAGCTTCTCGACGTGAAGATGAGCGCCAAGGAAACAAGCGCCGTGCTGGATGAGAAGGAGAAGAAGAAGGCTGAGAAGATGGCCAAGATGATGGCTGGCTTCGACCTCGGCGCCGATGTGTTCAGCGACAACGAGAAGGCCATTTCAGAGGCTATTTCCCAACTGGAGGCCCTTCACGAAGTCAGCTCCACTGGTGAGGTTGTCAACCCCGATGAGCTTCAGGCTCTCAAGTCGCGCTTCGTCGAGATCCAAGGAATCGTAAGACAAGCCGAGCTATCCGTCTACAGCGCCTCCTCGAGCGAAGCCGATGCCCGGCGCAGAGCCGAGCTCGAAGACCGCCTCTCGGCTCTCCAGCAGGAGTACGAGGAGCTTCTGACTCGCAACCTCGGGGAGAACGATGTTGAGGAGATCAAGGCTCGCCTGGAGAGTGCCTACTCTAACAAGCAAACCACCTCCATGGAGCTTGTGGATGAGCTGAAGGCTGAGATTGCGCAGAAGGCCGCCGAGAACTCAAAGATGAAGACCCTTATCGAGGATCTCCAACAGAGAGTCAAGGCTGGTACCGCCGCGCCCATGGCGAACGGCAAGTCGATTCAGCAGCAGATTGCCGAGTTCGATATCATGAAGAAGAGCCTCATGCGCGATCTTCAGAACCGTTGCGAGCGTGTGGTTGAGCTTGAAATCTCGCTTGACGAGACTAGAGAGCAGTATAACAATGTGCTTCGGTCATCCAACAACAGGGCCCAACAGAAGAAGATGGCCTTCCTGGAGAGGAACCTCGAGCAGCTTACTCAGGTTCAGCGCCAGCTGGTCGAGCAGAACTCGGCGCTCAAGAAGGAGGTGGCCATTGCTGAGCGTAAACTCATTGCTCGTAACGAGCGCATCCAGAGCCTGGAGAGCCTGCTACAGGATAGCCAGGAGAAGATGGCTTCTGCGAACCACAAGTACGGCCCCCCTTGCGATCCACATTTCTGCCTGTCCCTCGATCCCTCAATCCCAATGTTCCCCTCTGTTCTGTGCCGTGCCATTGCTAACGATTTGTGCTCTGCAGGTTTGAGGTTCAACTTGCTGCTGTCAAGGAGAGACTGGAGGCCGCCAAGGCCGGCAGCACTCGCGGCCTGAACTCTCCATCACTGGGTGGCTTCAGCTTCTCTGGCGCCGGCAGCCGCATCGCCAAGCCCCTCCGCGGTGGCGGTGCTGATAACCAGGGACCTTCCATCCCCGTTATCAACAGCATCCAGCAGAACGAGGGCAGTACTGGCAAGAGAAGCAGTTGGTTCTTCTCCCAGAAGTCCTAAGTTGCGCGACACATGCCCTGGTTTACCCTTGATCCTTTGGGGTCCCTTACGTCGGGATACCGTCCAGGGAGATACACCCTCACCCTTCGAATAGACACACGACAAAGTACAAGTTAGATCACAGCTTGGTGCGGACTAGACCGCTATACCCCCCGCTGTGTTGACCCTGGCGGCGGCACTACTCCCTTGCTCTTTAGAGAGGTCTTTCTTTTACCTTTTTTCTTGGTCAGTATACTGGATGAGAAGAAGATGATGAACCTGGCAAAGATTCACATGCAAGCTCGAGCATAAATTACGGAAATGGCAAAGGAGAGGTTTTTTCCTCTCCTGTGATGTTGAATTCTTTTTTCTTCCTCCTTTTCTTTTGTTTGGGCAGGGTTCTGCATTGCTCTTGGATTCTGGCTTGTCAAGCACGTTTCTGGGCGGTCTTTTGTCTTGTTTTTTCTTCTGGTCAAAGGGAAGATTTGGGTGGCAGTGAATTGTGTAGAGGTGTGGGGGGAGGGGTTGAAGGGAATGAAGAGATCCATATCATGCGTGTGTGGGTGGGTGGACGACAAACACAAGACGGCCACAAACACACATGATGGATGAGAAGAACGGATTAGCTGACGAGGCAACACTTTGCCTTTTTTTGCTGCCGCTACTGCATTGTCTGGGGAGTTGGTATTGTTCACGAAAGGACCTCACTACTTATGAAACCCAAGACATTTGACGGTTTAATGACACTAGAAAGAAAGACTTTGCTTCTCACTCACGTTCCGTTGATAATGGTGATGGCCATGGTGATTCAAGTGATTCCAATGTTCAATTTCTGTTCTCTGTTTTATTTGGGGTATGGAGTTGTGACAAGAAGACATGAAGCAGCTACTACTATCCAGCTAGAGACGATTTGGAGCGTGGTAATGCTAATTCAAGTACAACCTAGGAGTCTTGTCCGCTTTCTTCCCATCAACGGATTTTTGCGAGCCGTGAGGGGATAACCGATTATAATTGCAATAGCCTGAGAGTTGAGACGTGGCGTTTGTAGATGTCAGATGCAAACCAAACATTTATTTGGCGAGCTTGCTGAAGACAATGATCTCGGGAATGACAACAGCGGCCATGAGCGCGAAAGTGGCAAAGGAGACGGCAAAGATCTTGACGTAGAGAATGACCAGGCGCTTCCAGGCGTTGCGGGAGAATCCGCTCCAGGCGTCGTCCATAGTAGCATAGCCCTTACCTCCGACGACGCGGGGCTCGACCTTGCCCTCGAAGGAGCGGTCAAAGGGGATGATGGTGTTGGCCTCCTCGGGGATGAGGGAGGCCTGGACGCGGACGAGGACGATGTGGGCGGGGATGACGATGATGATCTGGAAGGAGATGCTGATGAGGGTGATGACGATGCTCTTCCAGGCGTCGGAGCTCTGGGGCTGGGAGACGACCGAGTTGGGCTTGCCGAACTCGAAGTTGGGGAGGTCGAGGCCGAGGGCCCAGCCGACGGCGATGGGGACCCAGATGGCGACCTGCTGGGTGAGCCAGTAGGCGGCGACGGGCTTCGCGGTGGCGTCAAAGGTGCGCTTGAATGGCGGGAGGCGCTTCCAGAAGTACTCAGGGCTCGGAGGGGTGATGACGATGTGGACCCAGACGGTGGAGAGCTGGACGAGGGCCAGGGCGGAGAGGAGGGTCGCGAGGGAGGCGAGGATATTGGGGAGGAAGGAGGAGAAGATGCCATAGAGGAAGTCCGTGGCGAGGGCCTGGACGAGGTAGACGCCGATGCCGCGGAAGTTTGCGCGCCAGCCGCCGTAGGTAGTCAGGAGGCGGTTGATGGAGCGGATGGAGAAGGTGACCGGAGGCCGTCCCACTACCGTCACCTTTGTCTGGGAAACGGGGCCGTCGGGGCGAACCTCGGGGCCGGCGGAGGGGATGGCGCCTTCATCTTCGGCGAGGTTGACGGGGTCGTACGCGGGCGGGTTCTCGTCCTCGACGATAGTGAAGATGGGGTAGACCTGGTGGAGAGTGTAGGTCGTCTAGAGGGTGCGCGTGTTAGTGGGAAAGGGTTCATGATACGTATGAAGGGCCTGACTGAAGGTGGCCTCGATGGGAAGGAGACAAGGCTTACCCAGAGGATGACGGGGAGGAAGACGATGAAGTCGGCGAGGAAGAGCCAAAAGGTCCAGCCGGGAAGCTCGGGTTCGCGAGGAGACTCTTCGACGGCCCTCTTATAGACGGCGTCGGCAAAGTGCTGCAGCCGCGTGTACATGTTTGCGGGGTGTTTGGTTCCCAAAAATCAAAATTACGATGATATTGCTGAGAAAGGTATGACTGTTGGGGTTCGGAAGTTCTTTTAGATGAATGAGAAAGAAAGAGTCGTCGGGAAATGGAGGGGTGTCAGACGTTAAAAGGGAAACGAACTGTAGGCGGCGATTCACTTGAACATGTCACTGGTCACTGCGCAGGTGGCGCTGTAGACGCAGCGGCAGCTTTTCGCCAGGCAGCAGGCTGGCACAGCCACTCTCTGTGCCCCCTCCCCCCTTCGACCCACTAGATCCTTCCACATTGAACATTTCGCCTCCCCAGCAGCCAACGGGATGGGCGGTAACGTGGAACGGAGCAATGACGATGCGCCGCGCCATACGACTTCTTACTCTCGGACAAGCGACTGGGCTACATGGTTTCCGTGCCGCTGGCGTGCATGCTTGCTTACCCGCGATGTCTACAACTTCACGCCGGCTCCCACTTTTATACTTAGGTAGGTTGCTTCTTCCAATCCATTCGCTGAGATCAGGTATGTGTAGGTGCCCGGCCAGAGTTGACTTTTATTTACGAGGCTGTCGACTTTGAAAATATACCACGCTTTGCATCGCCTTATTTCGTGACGGCTCTGTTCGCCATTTGGTCTTTTGGGATAGGAGGTGCATGAAACTTCGCATCTGCCTTTTCCTTTCTCTAGCGCCAACTTGTACGGCCCCCGTGTCTGTCTATGCATGATCAACATCAGATTCGTTCGTCGGTTTCGAAAAAGTCTCTATGCCATCCGGGATATCGGACGATCTCCCAAATCGTTTTCAAGGCCGTAATAAATAGCGGCGCATGTTCTTGAAGCTTATTCGGTCATGAGACGCCAGACCTCGACATATCCGAAAGGATTCGGACATTTGTTTTGGGGGTCCTCTAATGGCGACGCTGGCCCTCGTTAGCAGTATCTTTGTTCATTAGGTACGTCTACAGCCAGTTGATCAAACGTTGAGCCACGCCCGCTCGGTGTTTGTTGGACTTTTTGGCCTCCATGCTCAAGAAGACTACATCACAGTTCGAGTACAATCATCCAGAGCCGCGCTTTGAAGTTATAGTCTACAAGTCTACGTGCAAAATTTCCTCGAGTTGGACCAACAGATCCATGTGCATTTGTGTTAGCATTATCATGCGCGAAGATATTGTTCTCGCTGCCATGTCTTGATATTGTAGACAAACTGTATGTATCAGTAACTGGTAATGTGTTAGCGTTCAGCATTCAAGGTCAGACTTCACAGTATTCACCTACCAGTGGTCAGTCTTGTGCATACTTTGAGTCTCAACACATTCCCCTTGATCATGTTACCCAGGTGCGCAATTATTTGGTGGCATTGGTCAATGGGAAGATCGACAATTACGGACTGGACTGCCAATGACCTCTTTGGCTTAGTGGCAAGACATTCCCAGGGGTATTGGACCGCGATACTAGAATTGCTCTCCGTAAAAGAAACGCAAACGCAATAGCGATATGACTACATCGGTTTGAGCTGTATTGATTCACTTGAACAGTGATCCGAGGGTATTTATGGTACTACCCGTGTGAAGTCGCAGATGAGGAAAGAATAATTCCGGACCAGGCGATTGTGAATCCCAGAAGTCTTAGCTCGTTATAGCATCAGCGGCAGATTCTACATCGTTTTTACTCCTTAGTCATTGCAGGCCGCGCTCCTACAATAACCAATTCTTGTCCCTTTGATCGTATTGAAAGTTCCGACTTCTGACCCACCATACGAGAATCATTTCCCAGAGTTTATTCAAAGGTGTGAGTGAGTAGCGGCTCCGACTATTCTACTAAGGGAAATTGTGACCAAAAACGTAGGTAAACCTCATAGCCAGGGATGTCATTTAAACCTAACTCACCAGAGTTGAGGCTCCAATATATTTCATAGCTCGAAGGCACCTAGTGATCGTTCGGACACCAGCAATAGAGGGAAGAGAACGATGTTGCGGGAGTTCCTGGCGCCGGTTCCTGAGTGGACGACGGAGCCGGCTCCGGACCGTTGGAGGCGTCTGGGCACGGGCCATACCCTATTCCACTGAATGACACTCAGCGTTGCGCTACGATGCCCCCCACCTAGCAGTTTCCCTCCTACGTCACCCGTACCTACTCACCAACGCTGCTCCCCGGAACATCCTTCACCTCACGCCCGCCCCCCGCAACAACATCTCCCATGTCCGGAAATCCAATACCAAACCTACTTTCCCTTCGCGGAGCGAGAGGTGGCCGGGTCGGTCGCGGGCGCGGAAGAGGTCCCGGCGGTGGCCCATCGTCCTCGGGCCCGACTCATGATCAGACGATTCAGGGAACCGACGATGACGCTGCTGGCTCACGTTGGAGTGCCGTCAATGTGGGATATCTCGCCGACCCCTACGCACACTTCTTCGTCGATAACATCAATGGCCCTCCTCCGAGGAGACTCCCAATCATTAACCGAGGTCCGTGTCTCTGGTCTGCTTCCGCCAAGTATGGAGGCTGACCTCTATTTCAGGCACTTATACGAGGACCGTTGCTCTCGACAACCTCATTGACAGCTTCTTGAACGAGGCTGACAATGCGCAACCTGGTTCAAATGAGAGACAAATCATCTCATTAGGCGCCGGCACCGACACACGCCCGTTTCGTCTCTTTCCCCGGGCAAAAAGGCCTCAGCTGGTCTACCATGAGATAGACTTCTCAATCACAGTTCGCAAGAAAGCACGTATAGTACAGGCAGCCCCTCCATTGCGAAACATCCTTGGAGTCCCCTCGGTTGAGGAAGACGGGTCATGGAGCTGTCAACCATCCTCGTCAGACAAGTACTATTGTCATGCACGGGATCTCCGAGAAATGGTGCAGGACGGCGCAACACCTCTTACGGGCATCAGAACAGATATCCCTACTCTACTAATCTCAGAATGTTGTCTCTGCTACCTAGAGACATCTACAACGAAGAAAGTCGTATCTCTGTTCGAGAAGAAGATTCCTAATCTTGCCATTGTGGTTTACGAACCAATCAGGCCCGACGACCCTTTCGGCAAGATGATGACTTCCAACCTTGCGGCAAGGAGAATACGCATGCCTACTCTGGAGAATTACAAGCTACCGCAGGACCAGACGCAGCGTCTCCGCGAGGCAGGCTTCGAGCACGCCAAAGCGCTGACCGTGGAACGGATTTGGGAAAGCTGGGTGCCAAGTGAGGAAAAGGAGAGAGTGGATCGTTTAGAGGGCCTCGACGAGGTGGAGGAGTGGAAGCTGTTGGCTGACCACTACGTTATCGCATGGGGATGGAGAGGCGCCGGATTTACGATGGGCAATGCCGACGGGGAGTTGTGAGTGACCCAGGCAAGCCGCAAGACAGCTGTGCCGCTTCGCTTAAGCAGAGACATTATTAATCGAGATGTGTCTCAGACCGGTGAACCAACGCTGAAGTGTTAGTTACCCCCTTCTGACAGACGAATGTTTCCCCCCATTCGCCACCAACTCAATTGAGGCTCTGCTTGGCTTCGCGGACTTTGGGTCAAATGGCTCTTTCTTGAAGCCGCCATGGGCATGGGCATGTTACGTGTGTGGCCGTTGGAAAACTTCCCAAGGTTTGTCTATTTCTGAGGTAATCACTTCCATTATTATTATTATTATTAGTACTCGAGCAGCCAAGCTGCAGTTGGCCGTTGGAAGAGCAGAACTCGCCTACTTTGACCCAACTGTCTCGGCCAACACCTTCCCAGCCCGGCGTCTTTTCCGTTCCCACGTCGGTTGGAAGCCGGCCCACGACTTCCGACTTCCTGATTGTCGTTGGTTGGTGACTTTGTGTGCGTTCTTGCACCAACCAATCCTTCCCTTTTCCCTATCAGGACTCCAAACCCACTCTTCTCTAGCAAGCAATGCAAGTGAGCCAACCTCGCCCGAGGTGCTTTTTCCTCGTCCAACACGTTTCTGTCTCCTGTCGACGCAAGCCCACCCACGATGTCTCTGATTATCCTTCTTCATCCTCGTCGAGTGCTTCTTCTGCGACTGCGATACCAGCCGAGCGACTGAAGCGACTGAAGCGACAATGACCGCCAGAATATTGGACATCCTTCCGGCCGAGACCCTCATCAGCATCGCGGGGCATCTCGACGGCATTGCTGGACCGGATTTGTCCTCCTTTTCCCTCACCAACAAAGCATTCCATGCCGCCGCCGCCGGCTTCTTGTTCAGCGACATCCACATCCTCGTCAAGCATCCTCGAAAGCTACAGCGCGATGTCGATTCCTGGCTCGCAGTCCTGGGACGTACAAACTCCGCCAGGCATGTCAGGCGCGTTAGGATGACCTTCCATGACAAAACGCTCCCTCACAGCGATCTCTACTCGCCTGACCGACAGATGGTAGTGCCGACGACACATAAATGGGCATACTACAGCAAGCACGAGTCACCCGAGAACCGACGCCTCCGCGATGCCTTTGTCGATCCCGAAGCGTGGACTCCCATGATCAGACTGCTCGAAGCCCTGCCCGGACTGGTCAACATGGTCATTGAACATGAAAGTAGCTTTTCGCCTCTTCTCCTCGAAACCATTCGCACGCATCACCCAACTTGTCGGCTAGAACTCAGAGTTTTCGATTTCCATTGCAGCGAAGGCGCTGCTATCGATGTCCATGACGTTGCCCTCCTTCTTGCACCCCAACTGCATGGCATCTCGATCAAAGAGTATTTCCAGGTGTCCACTGGACACACAAACGAATCGGCCATTCTGCGTCTCATTGGAGGCCTATCACCGAGCCTCAAGACAGTAGAGCTGGAACCAGTCTTTGGAGGCAGGCATAGGCGAAAATTCGACGCGGATTTCGAGAGTGAGTTGCAAGCGTTGATCGCGCAAGCAGCCAATCACAGTCTCATACCTGGGAAGGATCTGTTGAAGATTTTAAAGTCACCAGAACTGGGCACACTGCGGTCTCTGACACTACAGAAAACCAACCCGGATAGGCTCAGGGCATGGTCCAAGGCGACGGACTTCGCGACACTGCGTCATTTGAGATTGACTGCAACTCCTGGAGAGTTACCGTGGCTTACGATGCATGCCGGATTCCAGCATCTCGAAAGTCTGGAGTTAAACTATAATGAAGTTATTGCGGGCCCCGGAACTGCATGGGAGAAGGGCAGAGCACCCGGAAATGTGGCTGTTGAGTTTCTGGCCATCATGCCAGCCTTAACATCCCTCTCACTCGAGGGCCGGATACCTTCACCAGCCATACAGTTTGCGCTGTCCAAATTCGGAGGATCGCTACGCAAACTAAGCATTCGTCCTTCCTACGGCTCTCATTCCAGCCAAGATCCCCCCAGAGTCACGTTACAGGACTTATGCGTGCTGTCTAAGACATGCATCCGGGCGCAGGATCTAACACTCACGCTCGCTGTACCTACGTTCCAGACGATCACACCAGAGATGACAGAGGCATGTGAGTCTCTCGGGCGGATGCAGAGCCTCCGAAATCTCTACCTAACACTTCGACACGAGACACTTGAAGTGCGGGCTGGTGATGGCGGGTGTAGAAGAAGAGCTCGTGCATATCAGAGAATAGTCGAAGACCCGATAATGGCAGACATGGCGGGGCTGACACCTGCGGAAGTTGCCAAGTCGGTATGGGATACAATTTGTGGACAAGGCTGCCGCCTGGAGTTACTACAGATCGACACTATAGGTGACTGGTGTGGCACACGCAAGTCAGACCGTGTTCATCAGATACGCAGAGTCGGAGCCATGGGTGAGGGGGTGGTGGAGACTACTCTGTTCCGAGTGAACAAGAAACTGTATTGGAGAGATTTGGATTTTCTCGGAAATAAGGTACCATGACAGTCTTTGGGTACCAGTGTTAGCTTCATGGGAGGCAGTGCCCATCTGAGACTCTAGAAGAAAGTACGCGGGCGACGTTTGTAAGGACCAAATCGGGGTTGTGTATAAGGAAGCACGTTGAGCGGGTTGAAGCATTCCGTGTCGGAAAACAGGCGAGACGGCGAGTGTGCTTTGTTTCGTTATAGGAGATATTTGCCACATTCAACATCTCATTTCGGTGTTACCTGCATCGAGAGATTTCGTCAATTCATGGAAATCCAAGTCATTTTATCGTCAAGTTGCTCCCCTACGATGGCATTGACTCTATCAAAAGCGGCCTTTCAACGGGACATAGCTGTCGAGACTTCTCCAATGCGAATGTATGTTCATCATTAAGCAAGGAAGTAGACAATGTTCCATCAGTCAAAAATTTATATCATTGCATGTATGATCCCTATCTGCGTGTACTAGAAAGTCTCAATAGGCTGGATTCCGTATAGCGGAGACTGCTTGACGAAATCGACCTCGCACCAGAGCTACATTGTCAAGAGACGTCACTTCCGACGTTCACTTCTGACCAAAGGGTTTACATGTGTTTTTCAAAGGATCAGAAAAGGTTCGAAATCGACCTTCCATGGGTCTCCAGTCTCTGATATCATCAATCTTCGATTTTGAAGCGAGCAGGTATCATAAAACTTCATCGAGGTCCTCCAGAGGAGGCAACATCCTTTCCCAAACCTGGCAACAAAAGCTGGGGGCCATCTTTCCCAAACTCGGCGCCAACGAAAAACACAAAGCCCAACATCTTTTTGTTTTTCTCTCAGATTAAGTCTGATACACACATTTATCGGAACTCAAAAACAACCTCGTCTTCTTCCCCCTTTTAGTAGATGTATCTGAACCCAGCAGCCCTCTTCTCCTGCTTCAGATCGACGGGCGCCGCCTTCTCGCCGCCTCCCTCGGCCAGCACGGCGGCGTCCAGCTCCGCCTTTTCGAGCTTCTTGTTCTCCCACTTGTGCAGGTAGCGGAGGACGAGGGCGAGGGCGGCGACGAGGACGCAGATTGCCGTGTTGGCGCTGCCGCCTGGGACGTATTGGGGTTCTGTGCTGCTCGGGTACACTTTTTGGTTTTTGGTTAGTCAGTCAGTCGTTCTCGGGCTGCCGTTTCATAGGTAGCAGGAGAGAAACTCACTATAGGATCCGTAGATTGTTGCCGTGTTGCCTATCATGTTGGCGATGGCGATGCAGGCTGATCGTTTGACGAGAGGGCGGGGGAAGGAGTTTGCCACCCAAGAGACGATAATTTGATCTATGGGGTTTTGGATTGTGTCAGTCATGTATGATTCCACTGCTGATAGAGCGGGATTCAGTGCTGCATCCAGAGGACTTACATGCGGAGATGGCGCCCATCGGCATGAGGAACATGGCAAAGTACCGCGCGCCGAGATTGCTCGAGCCGGTGGCGATGGCGTTCCCGACGGCGGAGACGAGCGTGAGGCAGACGATGTGAAGGGAGCGGTCTTTGGTCTTGGCGGAGGACCAGGTGACGCAGAGTGAAATGAGGAACGTCGCGGCCTGTGAAGTAATGGTAAGCCGGAAATTTCTCACACCTCCCATACTAGACGAAGGAACAGGTTATTCTGGAAAGGAATAACAAACATACCCACGCGGGAGCAGTCAGCCAAAGCGTCGTAATCTTGCCGTACCCCAGCGTCCCGACAATGGTTGGGAAAAAGTACTGAAACGTCTGCGAGATGAGGGAGACGTGCTGCATCAGGACAAAGATGTAGAGGCGGTAGTCCCGCACGGCCATCTTGACGCCGTCGAGGACGCTCTGCTCGCCGTACGTGTCGGCCTCCTGGATGTCCTCGATGAGGCGCCAGGCGGCGTAGGCACGCTCCTCTTCCGAGAGCCATTTGGTCGTGTGAGGGTAGTCTGGGAGGATCCACATTGCAACGAGGGAGAATGCGATGGCTGCTACGCCTTCCTGTTGTCGCAATCTCTGTCAGTCATTGTCTTTTCTTTGGACCTGAAGTTCTTTCACGCAGGGGGGGGTCACTCACAATGATGAATAACCACCTCCACCCCGCGATCCCCTGTGCTCCCTCCAGACCGCCGAGGATGCCCGCGCCGAGGAGCCCGCCAAACATGTTGGCGAGGGCGTTGCCGGCGTAGAGGTAGGCTATGCGGCGGGTGAGCTCGGCGCGGGTGTACCACGAGGACATGAGGAAGACGGCTCCCGGGAAAAAGGGGGCCTCGACGAAGCCGAGGAAGAAGCGGATGACAATGAGGTGCGTAAAGGAGTCGGCGGCGGCGTTGCAGGTCGAGACGACGCCCCAGAGGCAGCAGGAGGCGGCGAGGTAGAAGGAGGGTTTTACTTTGGTCAGCAGGAGGTTGGAGGGGAGCTGCATTAGGAGGTAGCCGACGAAGAAGATTGAGGTGGCGAGGTTGAAGTCGGTTCCCGTCATGCCTAGGTCCCGTTCGAGGGTGCCCTGGCGAGCTTGGGCTAGGTTGGAGCGGTCGAGGAAGTTGAGGAGGTACTGGTGGTGTTTTACTTCATGTCAGGACTTTTGAAGCTTTTGATGGAATCTTCTCTTGTATTCAAGTTTTGAGACTCACCATGACTACGAGGGCCGGCATGAGGCGCCGGTCTACACGTCGTAGGAGGGTCTTGTCCATGGCCTTGTGCCAGGCCTCATCCTGGCTTGTGAAGTGTTGAGCCCATTCAACCGGAGTCGGGTTCGATGCCGTGGGCTTTATGACGCTCTCGGTCTCGCCCTTTACAGTATTCTCATCCTGCTCTATACTGGGCTTGTTGGTCTCCATGGCGCCGGTGAGAGCTTATAGTCTTGGTCTATGTTTTCCGGGCGTCGTCGTCGCTGTGTCACGGGGAAGACGATGAGTGAAGGTTGGGATGACCTTGAGAAGCTTAAACCCACGAGGGAACAAGATGAGGTAGCACAAGGAAGCAGAACCTCTCTGGTATTAAGCTACTTAGTAGGATTTCCGTTACCCCGTGGGGAAGAGGGGTGAACACGGGAACTAATTGAATTACATGGGGAAAAGATGAGGGGAAACTTGCGGTAGCAAGCTCGGTAAATGGACTACCGAAGGCAGTTGATGCTATGGATACATGGGAAGCGGCATTCTCGCCGATCTCGAGCATGGGGTTGAGCTACCCGGTAGGCGTGAGGAGGTTGGTTGGAGTTTATGACGCGTGTGTCGCAACATCGCATGCGGGTGAGCTGCAGATCCGAGCAACCACGCGCGACTCCAATTCGCCCGGATGCACACAAACCCAAGACAAAGCCTCTCTCTCTCTCTCCACGTTTCTTTTCTGGGCCCGGCATGAAAGCCGGGCGGGCTTGTTTTAATCTCATGGTCATCTCATCCCCAAGATGTTGTGTTTAACCTCTGTTTGCCTGAGCGTGGATGCGAGATCTGATGCGTGCGCCAATCAGATGAGGGTTGTGGGCGGCCGATCTCTTAGGGTGCGTTTTGGAGGCAGGGTGGTTACCCCTCAAACGGTTGACCCAGCTCCAACTGTTGAAGTTGCCGTATTCGGGAACCCGGTGGTATATCCGTCTTTTCCGTCTTTCGGTGAGACATGGGGATTGTCGGGGTTGAAGTAAGACAATCTGTTGGACAATGTCTCTCCAGCTCCAGGTTGTAAATCCACGGGAAACATTTTCGAGTACTGGCACGGCCTTTGGGGTGTACAGAGACGCGATCGTTTCTCCGGACATATACAGCAATAAGTCGCTCGTGTGTAGACTTTTATATCGCTACGTGAAGGCTCAGGTTAACATTGCGAGCGTAATAATGAAGTAAAGAAGGATTGTGACAGCTTTAGCCCACGACTTACTTCGCAAGGTACCGACCAAAGGCTCGAATGTACACCTTTACGTTTCATGCCGCGTGTTGGGAAAGAAACAGACTGTGGTCAACGTGACGATGAACTTCCATGAACGTTATCCTCCCTCAAATACAAGTCCTAAACCCAAATTTATGCCTTCTACGAGAGGGGATGTGTGTTTACTCCAAGTGGCACACAGGGATGCCTCGACGAAGCTGCCCTACCGCCCGCGCTCTCCCATTTCAGGCCAAGAACGACTGCCTAGAGCAAATTCTCTTGGAGTGCGCTGGAAAGCTTGAAGAGTGGCGGGAGGGTCATGTTCCATCTGATTGACAAGAGACGAAAGTGTGGGGGCTGCGGATGGTGGAAGCTCGGAGGGCAGGCTGGGTGCCTGCCGAAACCTTCGGAGATGTGGATATTTCGGCCCCACCGTTCGGGGCGCCGTGTGGCGCGAAGAAGCTCGGTGCGTCAAGGGAGTACGAAGCAAGATGGACCATTCACTCGGCACATGGGCCAAAAGTCCCGCGCATGCGCATTGTATGCTAATTCTCCATATCCCGTCTGATCCTGCGGCCTTGCAAACTGGAGCGAGCTCATGATTTGGCTCATAGGCGGTGCAAGGAGGCTCGTATGCGTCGTCTATCCCCTGTTTTCCTGCCTACTGAAGCAGGGACCAGACGAACGAATGAATATCTTGAACAAAACAAAAGTAGAAGAATGGACAAAAGGATGGATCGGTCGAGGGTCAAGAATGAACCCCGACATCGAACCGGAGACTTCGTCTAATCAGGGTCTCTACAACCCGGAATCCCTCGATCATATGGCCCAGTGCTTGTATCATGAGGATAAGAAGCTGATCGTAATGCAAGAGAATGATCTCACCCGATGTCGAGGTACTCAAAGGACAGGTATGTATGACCATGTCTTCAACCCAGCACAGTATTTTGTGCAGTCGGGCCGAAACAACGATAATCTGTGATTCACTTCTTCGAAAGCGGATTTCGTCTCTTCAGTAATTTACTGGTCAGAAACCGATCATCTACAGAAGGCTGGGGACGGGGTAGGCTGAGGAGGGCGGAACCGCCAAATCACCTCACTGTGTGAAGTACCTAGTTACAGGGTTCTAAAAGGGAAGCATAGCGTTGGAAATTCCACTATATGGATAGTTTGGTAGGAATTTCCGCATGTTACTTTGAATGGCATAATACGTGTACTTCGTACGCTACGAACTGCTCGGATTGGTCGTGTTCGAGATATCTTGAACATATTCGGGAGTTGAAGTACTCTTTGGGTAGCATTTGCCGAGCACCCATCGCGAATGCCGCGCAGTCCCGCCCGGTGTTTATGATAAGAGGACGGAAATCCGTAGCCCACTGAGAAGCGTGATGAGCCAGTTTTCAAACGTTACTATTCGAGGAACATTTGATTCGAAGGCAGTTCATTAGGAGTGGCCGAGGTTGTTCTTTGGGCTGGCCTAGAGGGCTCTGTCTATATAAGGAGGGCAAATGCTCTGTTTTTTTCGGGTAAAGAGGATATTCAAGACACCAGTAGTAGCCTTGAATCATCAAAAATACATTTTTCCAAGATCACGATGTTACAGACTCCCGGAAGATCCTTGGCTCTCTTCCTTCTGCCTCTCCTGGCTGTTAGTGGAGTAAAGTTTCGCCCTGAAGAAGGCGGCATTCTCCCTAATGAAATGGTGAGATTCACCAGCACAGTCGGTGTACAAAAATTCAACTAACTATCTCCCAGTACCAGTTGCCTACCCCCTTCGACATAGCAGCGACCCAGACAACCAAAGAAGGGACCGATAGCCCCTCCTTTTGGTCGTCTTCGTTTATCCTCGGATCCAACAACCATAGCTATTTGATTCTTTCCCACTTTCTGGCCGACCTCTCCCTATACAGGGCATCCATTCTCGACATCACGGACCCATCGCAGTACACTCAGTTTGATACACTCTCGAATTCTTCAACCTTTTACTCCGACACTGGTGTATTCAACGCGTCGTTTCCCGACCACGGCTTTGGCTCTACGAGCCCCTCGGACGGTCTATCTGAGATGCGAACCTGGAGCACTGTTCCCGGAACCGCATTCGACTTGACTTTCGAATCAACTTCCTCCGTGCTCCTAAATGGTGGTCTCGGGGTGTTCAAAGCCGGGAATGCCACGGTCTACGAATGAAGTATGCCTGCGGGCAAGACGAGAGGCTGGCTGAATGTCAACGGAACGAGGGTCGTCGTGGATATGGCGCAGTCCTTGACGTGGTACGACAGGCAATGGGGCGGCGCGCCGCCAAATTGGTCCTGGTTTGAGCTGCATCTCGAGAACGTCAATGGAACTGACGTTCCCCTCTCCATCTGGGTTTGGGACGAGGAGGAAGGACAGAGAGGCCTTGCGACGATCCGCGACGGAGGCGTACAAAATGTCGTCTCGGTCGCGTCTTTGAAGACGTCTGGACGTACGTATACTTCCGAGGCGTCGGGTGCCACCTACCCGCTTGATTGGATCCTCTCCCTGGCTGATGGAACTGAGCTCTCCGTTTCGAGTGTGAGAGAGGATCAAGAGCTGTACGCGCTGGGTGGAAAGTTGCCAACGTATGAAGGATATGTCACTGTGACGGGTGTTTACAAGGGGTGCCAGAAGGTTGAAGGGTATGGTCTGATTGAGGTCACCCCTCCCGGTGCACTCTGAGTGTAAAAGCGACGCGACATTCTTGACAACTGTCAGAAGGAAGATTTGCTCTCTCGGAAGCGCTCCACTCCGCCCCTTCCGTCCTCATCCCCCATCTCTTGATCCACCAACATCGTTTTTCTTTCACCTCTTTGTTCAGGACGAACATTGGAGTCTCACAGTTATGAAGAAGTTGCAAGGAGATTGTATATGGTAGCTAGATATCGAGAGCCTTGCTCAAAGGCTACATGTACATGTAGTGTGATGCTGAAACTTAGCATCACCCACATATTACACTGAGTTCATGGTCTTGCATTGGCACCCTCTCGAGCGCGGATGATCAAGAAGTCTCATGTCAAGCCAACTGATAGGCGTTGCTTGGACGTGAAGTTGATGCCTCTGCTACTTAATATCATGACCATCACGGCCTTCAACGAGACACGTACTTAACGACATGAGCGGATATCAAAACGCTCACGCTGTCAAACACGTTAGTCACGTTTAAGTACCTATTTCAGGCCACTTGATGGAGTAGTCAAGTCATGATTGACTTCCACACTTGCTTCATGTAAGCGGACAATATGGTAAATCGAACAGACCGCCTTCCAGAAGCCGAGCTGCTCGTGTTATTAGGCTTTCTATCCCAGTGAAGCCTATTACTTGAGAATAGCTTCATGGAAACAGGGGCAATTGGGACGCAGGGCCAGACTAGCTCGAATAAGTCTTCCACACCAAACCTTAGTACTGTCGGATCTCGGCCAGAAACTAAATAAATGATGCCCTACGTGACTAATAACCTAATGATTAATAAACTCATTGATTGCTTGTGTGAGTTGAATCCTGATGCCGTGGCGGCAAAGACGAAACCATATTGATCAACCCATGTAATTAAGATCTTTCAGAAGCCCAGGGTCTTGTGTTTTTGCTTACGTCTCCTGCGTCAATCAGCCCCCAATGTCTAATAAATGCTACTATGCCACACAGCTTTCTGATCGGTGCTGACTACCTAGGAGACGCTTTAGCAAAGGACGCGGGGGTCACATATGTGTAGATCACGGACCCCGCGGACCTCACTTTCGGCCATCCAAAGAACCTATTCCGGGTGACCAGCAACGAATGAGGAGAGCACACCAACCATACATGATTCTTCGTAGTTTAGATGTTGGCGTGAATCGCACGTGTTCTTCTGGCTCGAGAACGAGAGTAATTCGATTGTGGTTATCTTTGCTCGTGGTTCCAGCAACGAGTGAGGTTGAATACTTATGTATCATGGTGCAGAGTCTTGGTTTTGAACATCAACTGTTGAACTCTAACGCGTATCTGGCAACCCAAGACGAGCTGCGCTTGTTGAATTCGCCCAGTGATTAAAGTTGATAACCGAGACCGAGAGGTTATTTTGTCACCTCAACCACGGTCAACAACGGCATTGCCGCGCCGTCCCCACTTGCCTTAGTACTTTAGAGATGCGACGATTTCCAGCGATTTGGTTCAGACTTTTATCCCCCTAAGGGGCTAGATACTCCTTATTACATATCCATACATTGCGTAGTTACATGCACTTTACCATCCACCTACTATACTTAGGCACTCTTGAGGTACACCTATTTCAATCAATCACCATGTGAATCGTTGATTACTTATCAAAGGGCATCGAGGTCTCTTCGAGACTAAGTCAGACCCACAAGACCTCATACGTGGTTCCCTCCTTGCTCGGAGAATACACCTATGGATCAAGAGTCTCGTCGTAGCCGATGGCAGAAAGAGGTGCCAACCTTATCCCATCTAGCTTCATCCCTTCTGGCACTGTCGCCAGCTGATGGATTTTGGGAAAACATCTCGTAACTTTGGGGGCACAAGGGAGAGGGAGGGGGGCTTGAAGCCATAAGTAGCTGCATTTATTTCGACTTTGAACGCTGTCCTATCGCTACCTTTTCCCTTGCAGCCTAGACTGGCATTACCATAACCATTGTCTCCTGGTTGTCTTCAGTACCAATAGTAAAAATGCTATCAACGAAATACTTGGCCGTCAAGTTATCATTCACATTCACTCTCTTCGTCATCATATTCCTGTCCAGAACCTACTACTCTCCCATCCGACTCGGAGACCAATCCGCCAGGGAGCCGAGTAAAACCGTACCCGCGCCAGTACCCTTCTCAAAAGTCACAGACAACAGCACGTTCGGATTCCCCAAAATCTTCTTCATCAACATCCCAACCCGCTTCGATCTCCTGGATGCGGCAACAATCCAAGCCTTTCTGTCCGGTGTTCAATTCGAGGTCTTTCCGGCCGTCGAGGCCAACATGGTCAAGGATAAGGGTATGCCTCCGACACATGACAAGGAGAGACTGACAGGCGCTGAGAAGGGTTGCTGGAGAGCTCACGCCAACGTTAGGAACCCCCCCCCCCCTTAGAGTATTTCTTGAGACCACATCTAGCTAACGTATGGGGTTTAGATCTGGTATCATATGCTTCGTGAGGAACTACCGTCCGCCTTGATCTTGGAGGGCGATGCAGCCTGGGATATCCACGTCCGCACCATCATGACCAACTTCCACGAGCACTTTACTGCACTTCTACATCAGTTGAACTCTACTCAAACTCCCAATGTCGGAAGACGTGAACAAGCAGCAGCAGCAGCAAATGATTCGGCGCAACTTGTCTTCCCGGACCCCCAAGACCCGTGGCACAGCAAACACTGGGATATCCTCTCCCTCAGCCACTGCGCAGAGACCCCGCTCAACCACGAGCTCATGCTCAGATACGACGACGAACACGTCCCCGCCGGGCCCAAAAGCTACTACGGCCTCCCGCTCGGCAGCGAACGAGTCGTCCGCAAGTCGGGCGGCATAGCGTGCACGACGGCATACGCCGTCAGCCGATCCGGGGCGGCCAAGCTTCTCCTGCGCACGGCGACGGACCTCGATTTGCCAGTCGATCTGGTTATCAAATCGATGATTCTGTCCGGGGATCTGGTTGCGTATAGTGTCCAGCCGACCATCATGTCACAGTGGAAGTATGTGCCTGGTGTCGGTATGAATCTACGAGGCTCGGACAGCGACGTACAAGAGAGTACCAGGCAGGAAGTAGACGATGAAGACCCAAAGGCGTGGGAAACAATCAGCCAAACTGGAATCGTATGGAGGCCGATGGAATACTTTATAGACGCGGCTCTCAAGGAGATGACATTGGAGGTAGCCTGGAAGGAGATATTTGGAGGAGAACGACCACCGTTGCAGGTGACGGGAGTTTAGAAGAGAATGTAAGGCGTGTGCGTGTAGTCCTCTGCTCATCCACGTTGTTACTTCATCGGCCTGCTGAATGGAAGCGCCAGGAAGCGGAACCATTCATCAGCTTCGCGCAAAGAAAAGTAGGCAAGTCATTGATAGGGCTACGAATGACGACTGGCATCATCAATAGAAGGGAACAAGCTGACTGAGAAGGCAGTATCCGATATGGTCATGGCTGACTGATACCACAACGTGCAACCCAAAGACGAGGCAGCGACAGGCGCTGCCTCGACCTCGATCGGGACTTGTGGTTGAGAAAACGGGCCGGTCCCTCCCATAATTCCCAATGATTCCTTTGATGCCTGACTAGCTCGATGACCGCGAAATCAATGCTGATGCGCTGCTGGTGACCTTTCTAGTCCGCTTCAACTCACAGGGGGTTAGCCACATTCCTACGAGTCGACCGCAGAGACCCAGCTGCCATCCCATCATTGACAAACGCCGTCTCTAATAGTCATTGAGCACTACTAGGTCACCAACAATGTCGCAAAAGGGTTGGTAGGACGTGATTGTTCTTACAACAAAACCGAGTGGCTCGCAGGAAACTCGACAGCAGGCACACTCAGGGGAGTTGAGATTAGTCTGTTGAGTCAAGCTTAGCCGCTACCCGATGTCGGCCGGCTAATGATCTCCATCGGCATACGAGAGCCGCTGCTAGAGCGGGCCGACACAACGAAACATGCATCAAGAGTTGCTCCAGTACAGGACTCTTAAAGAGCTCAAGTAAGACTGAGGGTAGCTAGTTGTGTAGCAATTAGCGCAGGGCACAGCGCTGCTCAAGTTCCAACTCATCAAACCAAGCGAGTAACAGAGCGGGCGTGGCGTGATCTGGCCACAGGCCGTATTTCTCGGTTGATGGTCAGAACTTGAGCGAGAGTGCAGGTTCCTCCCGCCGAATACTGCAAATGATCAGCAACGGACGAGGGCCACTCTTTGGATACGAGATGTATCCATGGATGGATGATGGAGGAGCACAAAAATCGCTGGCCGAGGAGAAAAGCTTTCAGCTCAACATCGTGAAGCTACTCGGGAGTGGCAAGTGTCGGGAAGTCTGCCAATGGAGGTTAACACTATCCGTACAGAGCGTATCGGCGAACACCGCGAGTTTACGAATGTAAAGCTAACTGGTCCAGAAAGGACGCCGCGCACACCAACACTGGTGCAATCTCGCACAATTTGGTAGGCGCAATTTCCTTGCTCCGTCACCAGTGTCCTAGAAGGGAGTGGCGACAGATGACAGGCCCAGATCTATCGCACGGGCACAGTCGATAGATCGCGTTCGGCGGTTTTGCTGACGACTGACAGACAGCCTGACAGGCTCTCTGCCGTTGGCTCGTTCACCCAGGCGAGATGGAGATGGAGACGTTTGACGAGAAGTTGCTCGGTCTCTTTCCAGGTCAAGTCTCTATCCGTAGGGGTAGAGACAAAGCACGGGGCACGTGAGTTGCGGGTGGAGGAGGATTCGTGACATGAGGCTCATGCAAAACGGCCCACATGGGCAAGGGATGGCGTCTCTTCCTCGAGAGTTGTGCAACAAATGCTCAGCAAGTCGACGACATGGCATACGTAAAGGGAAGAGAAATCCGTCTTGGTCTGGAGATGGCCTGGTTGAGGTTTGAAGATGGCGGAGGATGAGGTTCAAAAGAGGGCAAGCACATTTCGGTAAGTGGTGCGAGCCTGCGAGGCGCCGACAAGCAGTGAACAGTGGACTCGTGGAGGGCGAAAGACTCCTCTTACTAAGTCTTGGCACGAAAGGGGTTCCGGTTAAGATGGAAAGAATGGCCCACTCTCCGGCGTTATCTATGCAAGTACGTACCTTTCCACCTAGTAAAAGGTAGGTAAGGTAGGCACGGCGACGCCTCGGCACAGTGGAATCTGTCCTAGATATTGCGAGTGCCGTCCGCGACAATTGGAGACTTTCTTCCAGAAGCAGAAGGCAAGACCGCTGAGTCGTGTGGCGTTACTGGCGTTGTGTGTTGAAGAAGAAGGCGCTTTGCAGCATTCCAGTGCGGTAGAAAGATACCGTTGAGAGTCGCCCGAGACATTGTGTTCCCCTGTAGCCCGCTGCCCACCCAAGACGTGATCCATGCGGTCTTTTCTCGCCCATTCTTTCGTCGCACTAGAATGCGGGTTCCAGTTCAAGGAGGTGGCTGTGGCACAGCATCAGTCTCAGTCAATGACAGTCAGTCGGTTAAAGACAGCAAGCACTGCTAAGCAGTAGGAAAATTCTGTCGAGTCTGGATCGAGTTCGAGTATTTCATAGGTAGGATGCAGTGCAACCTACAGCCTGTTTACCCCGTGGCGGCACGTGGAATTAAGCTTGAAGGTTAAGATTGGATGACAGCAGGCGCGTGTGACATTACGAGCGGCGGTCTCTCACCAGCTTTGGTGGTCGCTGACTGCCAATTAGTCACTCGAGTGCACCTCTTTGCGCTCGAATTGTGAATGGCGCCAGCAAGCTCATCTCATCAATCGCCCAAAAAGGCAACTCTCCCTAGCCGACCAACGAAGCGGTGCGGTCTGTTCTGCCCCCCTGTTTTCTGAAGATGTTCCCAGTTTCCATCTGGACGAGTCGGCGACGCGAACTGACAGCAAATGGGAAAAGGCACAATACCTAGGTAGGAAGGTTTCAGTCCATGCCGCCAATCAGAGCTGGTGTCTGAGGGATGTTCTGTGGAGATGGGCAAATTGTGCATGACTTGATTGGTTGAGTGTGGAAACAATGCAAACTTATGCAGGTACGAATACCTCCTCAAGGCTCAGGTACCTTCCATGCCTCAAGGCAGGTACGTACCGCAGTCTGGAGTGCTACGTCGACCCCGGCTGGGAGCCCCGTTGGGAACCATGCGTTGGTGTCCTCATTTCATTTGGCTCCAAACGGCAGCAACGGCTTGGATGCGCAACGTCTCTCATTGGCTCTTTCCAGGAACAAGTCAAGCTTTGCCGAGATGATGGCCCTGTCTGATTGGCGAGTTCGTCCAAGGTCGAGGGGCCATGTCATTTTCATTTCCCCCCGGGCCTCGAATCCTTGGCCTCCTTAATCCCTACTCTTCCGACTGCGCGATTCTCCTCAAGCTCGTCGCATCGACGCTTGTCCGCCTCAACCGCCCCCGGCCTAAGCCAAGCATCACCGCTCGCCCATTGCCCAATGTCACCATGACCAGCCAGAATCCTTGCGCCCGCCCCTCAAATGGCCCTGGTCGACCCAGCTCCCTCTCCCCCCGTTCTGGCTAACAGGGGGAGGATCGCGCGCAAGGTTCTGTCAACCCATCTCTCAGGCTCTATCAGTCTCTGCCTTTTGCGGCAAGCCCAGTAGAGACGGGCAAATGGGCCCCTACCACAGTAGGCTGAACGATTCCCACCCCGGATAACTTGCTGCTCTCTCTCATTTTATCGTCGACCCATCCTGCCACCTCCACCCTCGCTCGTTCTCCTCTTCTTTCTCTTGTCCTTGCACCGCATCCTTACGCCTTGTCCAGTCTCTGCTTTGAGACGTTCCGCTCTTTATACCGATATTCGCTGTCTAGTCATTCGCTTTCGAAGACATCACGTTCTTTACGAATCCAACACGCTTGCGCGCTGTTGCTAGTTCAATTCGCCATCTCCATGTTATAGCATTGAATCCGGACGCCAAACCCGACCGCCGTTGTCATCACGTTGCGCGACGCGCCAACCGCCAGGAATCAGCTCCTGCTTTCTTGAATTGTCTTTGGAGGAAACCACGTCGACTCCCGACGAAACCCCGCTTCCGAGATGAAGCTCTCTACTATGAAGGCTGCTCTGGGCTCGGCTTTGGTCCTGCTCTCTGCCCAACCCGCCGAGGCTCACGATGGCTCTCACCGCCACCTTCACAAGTTGAAGTCCGGTCTGGGCCCCAACGAGGAAATCGAACCGCTTGCTGAGAGGGATGTCATCAAGAGAACTTCAGACGGCAAGGCCATTTGCAGCTTGCCCAGCGATGGCGATCTGGTCAAGGTCCCTGGTGCCATGAACAATGGCTTTGCCATGAGTCCCGATCAGGCCTGTGTTGAAGGAAGCTACTGCCCTATTGCCTGCAAAGCCGGCAAAGTCATGGCGCAATGGGAGCCCGATTCGTCCTACACGTATCCCTCGTCCATGGTAAGAATCTAGCCATCTTTTTCCACTGCAGTCCGAAGGCTAACCAGTTCAGAACGGTGGTCTGTACTGTGGATCTGATGGTAAAGCGACAAAGCCCATCAAAGGCTCTCCCTACTGCGTCGATGGAGCTGGTAGCGTTGAGGTCTTCAACAAGTGTGGCAAGACTCTGTCGTTCTGCCAGACAGTTCTGCCGGGCAACGAAGCCATGCTCATTCCCAGCGTCATTGACAAGTCCATCACTCTTGCCGTTCCCGACCCTAGTTACTGGTGCAGCACCAGTGCTCAGTGAGTTCGCCTTGATGAATCTGAGTGGACGTGAAGAAACTAATAACGTCTAGCTACTACATCAACCCTCCTGGTGTTACGGATGAGGGTTGCATCTGGGGTGATTCCTCCAAGGCAGTCGGTAACTGGGCTGCCTACGTCGCAGGAGCCAACCAGGACAGCCAGGGACGAACTTTCGTCACTCTCGGTTACAACCCCATCTGGGAGGGTTCCGCGCTCAAGAACACAAAGCCTGCCTACGGAGTCCGGATCGAGTGCCCCGATGGCGGCTGCAATGGCACTCCTTGCTCTATCGACCCCTCTGCCAATGCTGTTGGAGAGGTGAACAGCAACCTGGCTGGTACTGGCGCCGGCAATGCCAAGTACTGCGTTGTTACTGTTCCCAAGGGAAAGAAGGGTCGCATCATTGTCTTCCCACTTGACGGATCCGGCGGAAGCGACTCTGACGACGACGAGAAGGATACCAAGGTCGAAATCAAGGTCGCCAAGTCTTCGGCTGCTCCGTCACCTACTCCCACTCCGACACCAACTCCTACTCCCATCCCTACTCCCACCCCTACTCCCACCCCTACTCCTACGCCGACACCGACGCCTTCGCCTTCCTCGTCCTCTTCCGCTGCGCCTTCCTCCAAGGCCGTCAAGAGCTCCAGCTCCAAGGCCTCCAGCGCAGCTACCTCCGCTTCCTCGACGTCATCAAGTGCCCCCACTGTCATGGCCGGTATGTTCCACGAGAACGATAACTCAACAACCACTTCTTCCGACTCCGATGTTACGACTTCCAAGCCTGCCACCGCCACAGAGACGGAAGAATCAGCACCCGCAACGACTTCGAAGGAGAATGAAGGGGTCAAGCAAGGCGGTGGTGCCATTGCCGGCCTCGTCATCGCCTTTGTGGCAGCCACTTTCCTCTACTGATTGTGGTCAGTTGATAGTCGTATTCTTCCTTTCGCCCCAGCCAGCCAGCCAGCAGCAGCAGCAGCCGCCGCCTGTCCTTCGCTTCCACGTCCATGCTTGTCAACACGACGCAGCGCCGTCCTTTTGCTGCCATCCGACCTCGATTGTCTCGGAACCAGCTCGCTCGGTCGGATATCCTATTCCCACCTTTTGGGCAAGCTCGCTTGCTACGTATCATTTGCGCTGCTGGCATTTCTTCATTTCAACCAGCCGCTTACGACCATGCGGTAAAATCTTGCATATACGCCGGTAACAGATGGCACCTTCATCCATTACAACTTATCTGGACGTATACATCGAATCCCCGCGATATTATCGCGACAGTCTAGTGTTTATTGTCTTAGCATTCTCGTGTTGACCACACGAGCAGGCAAAGCTTTCTTTCGGGTATTAATTACTCGGCTCTTCTGACGAGGGGCATTTACATACTTTCGGATCGGTTTGCTTCTCATCTATACCCATTTACGCACGTATTATTTTGATCTTATACTATATTATTCGAGGAACATGTGGAGGAAGCTTTTATGTGAAATGGAACATCGGTCATGACTTGGAGGGGAAGCGGGGTATCTTGGACCGGAAAATCTTATTCCATGAGGGGAACTGTATTATGTGAGAACGTGCTTGGAGAACGTGTGGCTGAGCCTTGCCCGACGTCAAGGGGAGGTGATGTGGAGTATGTGGACATGTCATGATGGCTTGTCGAGCGTCGTTTATGTCTGTTCTAGGGTAGTTCAGACCTCGATCGGGACGTATTGGGCCTGACACTTGCTCTACGGTCCAGTCCAACCAATCAACGAAACGTTCAGGCTCAATAGTATTGCGGTGCCTCCAATCAATTCTCAAATCGTCTTTCCTGACTGTCCACCCTAGATTTCGCTGTTCTACAATCACCGGTAACAGACCGCCGTATCGAAGCAAGATGGGAGAATTAAGCCGCTCCTTACTATAGCGCTTGCTAGAGCATGACGGCAGCGAGCTTGTACAGTGTCATGAGGCAAGACATGGATGCTCACGCCTCATGGAATCCATGAGCTGCCACACGAAACAGTCTGAGTCTTGAGGAAGGGTTGAGGCCAATCATTCGCGTATGTACAGGGTAATTCATTTTTCCACGATGCTAGGTACTTCTACTGAGGTGCTCACCAAATCTAGGTACAACGAATGAAGGTAAAAAATCGCAAAGCTAGCTAAAAGGGATGAAAGGCGGGGATGTGAAGGATGACAAAAAGCGCAAATGCAAAACGCCCAAAGCCCATACGATAAGTCGAATGTCAAACCAAATGCTCGCTTGCCAGATGCATGACGCCATGCTCTCTCTCTCTCTCTCTCTCTCTCTCTCTCTCCCTGCAGTCAAGTGCCTCGCCACTCCCAATCTCTCTCGCGCAACCTTTACAAAGCACGCTTCTGGATGTTGCACTTCTTCAAGCACTCGTCAACTCCAAGCGCAATACTGGTAGGAATAGCCTTGCGCACACGATCGATATCCGCACCAGCAATGCTCTGCCCAAACGTAGCAGCAATAACATCGTCAGTCAAAGCAAAGGTACTATCAGCAACCTGTCCGGTACCAAAGTCCTCGGCCGCAAAACTCGCCACGAACACGGCATCGCCGCAGTCCGGGTTGAACTGCGTGTGCAGAGAGCCCTGGTAAAACGGCGTCATCTGGAAGGGACCGAGTTCGGTGCGGATGGCGCGGCGGGTCTTGCCGTCCGCCGCGAGGACGACGCCGTTCTCGGGCGTCATTTCGGTGATGAGGCGGCCCTGGACGACGATTTGCAGCTCGGCGGAGCGGGGGTGGACGTGGAGGGTGTTCATGCCGCAGGGGCCGACGCGGCCTACGGCCATGCCGGCGCCGGTGCCGACTAGGGCGGGGAAGGTTTTGCGGTTTGCGGCGACGAGTTCGCCTCCTTTTCCGGGGTTTTGTTGGGGTTGGTTGAAGTCGAAGATGAATTGCTTGTCATCTGGGAGGAGCTTGAAGCGGTCTGCGGCGCTGTTTTGGGTTATTAGTAAGTTGGGAAGAGAGGGTGAGGGGATGGGAGGAGGCTTACGTGTCGGCGAGGAAGAGCTGCTGGGTGAGAGATAGAGTGGGAGCGGCAGCGGCGGCGGTGGTTGTTTCTGCGCGAGGGCTGTTGTAGGGGGCTGCTAGGGCCGAGGAGGCGAGGGCCAGGGTGGCGGCGACGGAGCTGGTGGTGAAGTACATTTTGGAGTCTTGTTGCTTATGTATGCTGGCTCGAGATACCGATGTCGAAGAGTGCTAGTTCAAGTCGAGAGGAGACAAGGAGATGAGAGTCAAGGAATGTTGAGATTAGATGGTATTGCTATGCGTTCACTGTGTGATGAGATGCAAGAGAGAAGCCACCATGAAAAGGGGATCTGATGTCTAGTTATATACTGGCATCCCATCTATTCGGATGGGACGAACATGAACAGTCCAAGTTGGTGGTGCGTAGTCTAATCTGGGATGTCATCCAACCTCAAGGTCCATCCATCGTCGACCAAAGTCCATAATTCTGCCATCCCGCATGGTCTTGAAAGACGGCTAGGCTTAGACCTTGACCAACATTTGGCTCAACTCTCATCCTGTCCGCAGCAAGAAAAAAAGCCACTCGCTACTTTCAAGATGACAGAACAAACGGACAGAACGGCTCCCGCGTGCCATTGCTCACAAAGTTCCTTCTCGGGAGCAGTGTAGTCCGGTAAGAATTGACAGGGGGGAGCTGCAGGGCTTGGAATTTTGATCTCGTTGTCAGCACTAGCGCGGAGTTTGGGTCGTTGGACTACATCGGCCACGAGGTTGGGGGTTAACCGTGGAGGTCGAAGCAGGATGGGAGGATGGATGTTGAATAATCCTGGTCGGCGTTTGTTTATTTGGGGGGGAAACGTTTCCTGCGGCCGCGGGTCTCTGATCCAATCACGAATAAGCTCAGCCCACACTAGCGCCGCTGTAAATGTTCTCTCATTGGTTGCTGCGCTTCTCGGAGACCGCTACCCGGGCCCCACATGTCGGCTGTGCAACGTCCACCCGCCAAACCGACCTCCCCTCCGGCGCTTGTTTTCTCTCGTCCTTCCAAGCCAAACTAAAAATAACAGGGGGAAGGCAGGATGCGCACGTTTTTGTTTGTTCATCCCAAAGACACTTGTTCGGTAGGAGAGATTCCATTTTGTTTCCTCACATACCTTGCACCGAAGGATCTCCAGTAGGGTCGCAACCCGGCCGGTCGGTCTTGTTTCCCTGATCTACGCCTCGCGGATCAGTGTCGCTCCGGGTTGAGTGGGATGCGACCACGTGGGTTGGGACAGGTGTCTTTGATGTTAGACGGGATTGTGGTCTATATGTTGTGGTATCGGAGGTCTTCTTGTTGCACGGCGCCGGCGGATATCGTTATTCTGGTGAAGTCTTATCTTTGGAAGCGTTTGCCCGCAGTGGTGGCACCTTGATCAATACTCAAAGTCAAGACTTCACAGCCGCTGTCTACGGAATGAGGACTCACGTTTGCTGCAACTGCTGAGAGTTTGGTTTGTTGTACGGATCTTTGGGTTATTGGCTGGAGCTAGTATACGACCCAGTGGTCTACAGACGTCTTACTCACTCCACTAGCAGCTACACACTACTACGGCCAAGCTTCATAAGCATAGTGCTTATCGATCCGGGGAACAGCCAGGAGTCTGAATACAGTCAGACTCATGAGTGGAATTTGAGCGGTATTCTTCAGTGATCCCTCAACAGGACTAAGCGTCGGCTCGGTCAACACCGAGATGACCAAAAGGCGGGACCGGCGGACCCCTTCTTCACCGACAAGAATCTGACTCCACACTCACACAGCCGTCATCGTCATCTGGAAAGAGACACCCCGGTTACTCCAAGGCAACTATGACTTGAGGATAGCAGCATTTCGCACCCGCATCGAGTGGAGCTTGAACTACTGGGCTGGGTCCGGAGCAAGTGGTTTCCGGCTCCATTGGGAGGGGCTACGGTTCCTTCGGGATATTGACTTGCACAGTTGCGACGGTCAGCAAGGTATACCAGCTCAACGGTACGACCGGAACATGGAATCCTACCGAAGAGAGGTTCCCGTGGCCAAGGCACTGCTTGCTGTGAATCCCGACCTAGGAAACCCCGGCCACTCACGCGCAACTGCGGATATGAATCGTCACCAACCGCACAAATACCACATGCGACCATACCCACTGGAGAATTCGGGATCCCGTCCGCTCTCCCATAGACAAGCCGGTGAGGGCCAGAGTAGTAGTCAGGTCGGTGACGACTGGCGAATGCCTGGTGTTGCATGTTGTTTTCTGTTTTGTTTTTTTGGTGAAGATTGGTTGGCTGTCGTTTAGGTACCCGTGGTAAATGTCTCCCTCCATGTCTGTCTATTTTTGGGTATTCCTGCGATTATTCCATGACTGGGCAAGTATGACTTTCTTCTTGTACACAGAACATCAACTATTACGAACCCTGATCTCATCATCGTGCATGCTCTTCATCTGCGCCGGAGATGGGTCGTCTCCAACCCAGACCGCTCCTGCGCATCCCCCTCAAAAAGCCGGGCGAATACCTCATCTACATTTGGCATCAAAGTCCCGGCCGACTTGGTGAATCAATCGAGTGCTTTTTGGAACTTCTGCGGTTTGGCCTCCCTGGCAACATATGCTTCCGCAATGCTCTCAATCTAGTGTCAGTCCTAGTCACTGTTTCCACAGGGAAAACATTTATCAAGCCCGTACATTTAGAGACGAATACGCCACTGCTCTCTTTTCTTCGACTTGAACGTAGAGCCGAGCAGTCGAAGTCTTGTCAATAATTGCGTTGAGTTCCGCAGCCTGTGCGTGTTCTCCGAGACTAGAGAAGAGTTCCAAGGCCTATGATAATAGTGTCAGCATGTTGGACCCCAAAATACAATCACCGCTGCGATTAGTCCATACTATCGATTATTAGCATGATCAGCACTTAACCATATACAAGGAACGCCCCCATTAACGACCTACGATGCCAGCTCGCGCAAGTCCTTCAACCCGTTCCTGGCCAACGAGACGAGGAACTTTGTGCAGGGCGTCATCGACACGCTGCGGCGGTACTCGGGCGTTATGACGGTCGACGACGGGTCTCGGAGCGCTGTATGCATTTTTGTATAGTTTAGTTTTTTCATGCGGTTTTATTGTTGTGTATTTTGTTACCCGCTTTTGAATTTGACTTATCCAGCCACACGAGATGTCGACGGTGCTAAATAGCCATCTAAGTCGACCCCACGAACTATACTTATCGTCCCCAAACCGCCCACGGCCCAGATCCCTCCCCCCTTCCATCGCCTCACTTGCCGCTTGACATCTTGCTCGTTAGCGATGACCCGGTCAGCTCGCCGTTATACACAGGCATCTTGTCCGCGGATCTCGCACCAGGCGCGATGCTAGCCAGATCGCACACCGGCATCTCGGTACACAAATCGACCACGCTGCGGGTCGTCATCTTCATCCAGCCAGACCACATCCCGGCTGCTGCTCTACCCCTCCCCCGGGACGCCAGGGCTCTGTACGCCTCGGCCAAGTCTCCCTCGGCGAAATCAGCCTCGACGCACTTGACCCAGAAGTAGGGGTCCCGGTCGACGCCCTCTAGCACCTCTGCATCAGCAAGGAGGAACGCGCGCTGGTTAGGGCTGTCGCCCATGAGGGGCAGCGACTGGCTGTTGTCGTTGTCATCGTCGTCACCGGAGCTGCGACTGGCCACAGCCGCCTGCTTGTAAATCTCGCGCACCTCGCCCATGGTCTTGTCCGCGAGCAGGGCGGCGTCGGAGCGAGTGTCGAGGACGAAGAGGGACTTGAGCTGTGCGGCGAGGTCCTCCTCGCCGGCCTCGACGTAGCAGTCTATCTCGGAAATGACCTGGTCCCGGATCTCGTCGAGGAGAGTGCGCCACTGCGCGTCGGTGGCCGGGCCGTAGGCGGTGCGGTAGATGGTGAAGCCCCAGCCGCGGTAGTATTCGCTCACGTCATCTCCGGCGGTCCACGAGGTGCAGGCCGGGGGGCGAAAAGAATTCTTGAGGATTGTGGGTAGTTTGGAGTTGGCCATTGTGTGTGTGACTGTGACTGTAACTGATGTGTGTGCGGGGTGTTGGATGGGATTGTGAGCCGGACAAGGCTTGGCCGATGCTGTTCTGGAATCAGGAGACTGAAATGCTGGCTGCTGCCTATGCTAGTCTAAGCGGGCATCTTCTCCAATCTTTACGATCTCGTTATACACATGAGATATGTTTGTTTCCATCCACATATTCTCAACCAAAGAGCGCAGGGACTGGGCACCGCCTTCCACAATCAAAGCCTTAGTAGTTCGGTTATACTTATCCACCAAGGCCTCAAGTTAATCAGGATTTTCGTACAGCCCGGTGTACCCGCTGTACGTTGCGGTGATGTTGACAGTGCTGTCGTCAGAAAACGACACAACGACATATCCGCCCTCTGTCCTCTCGTCGTCATAAACTTGCTCCATGATGACTTCTCCTGAGAGCTTCTGCACAGCTTCATTCCCCACTAGAGTATTGTTGAAGATAAACGGACTGCTCAAGTCCAGCAGCACCGCCGCGGCAAGGCAAAACAAGACGCTGTACTGTGCTTGATCCAGCGTCTTGGGGTGAGCGATCTGATGCGATTCCCGCAAGAGACGAGGACCGGCGTAGGCCGTGACCCCCTTCACCTCCTTGTCCCAGGGATCCTTCTTTTTATAATCTTGTATGCTGGAAACGAGCGTTTGGAATCTCGAGTGCATGGGATAGTGCTTCGCCGTCGTCGCCTCGCAATCCCAACGATCACCAAGCTGATCCGTGAGCGCGGTAGCGTTCGGTTCCGGCGAGAAGGCGTGCAGGAACCCCATCTCGTTCTCCAACACATCAGGCGGTCCCGTGACGCCCGCGCGAGCCATGAGCGCAGCCTCGATTCCCAAAGGTCTGCCGTGGCCCGGATGGATCTGATTCGTCTTGGCATCCGTCGTCTGGAAGGCCACGAGCCCGCCCGAGCTCGACGCCGCGACACCCATGGCGGACGCGATGGTCTCGGCGTCCCAACCGAGGAGGTTGCCAACCGCTGCCGCGGCGGCGAGTTGTCCATTGATGGCCGGGTTGTGAAAGCCGCGCTCGTCTTGTACCGAGGCCCCTGATGCGAGACCGATGCGCGCGCAGACTTCGTAGCCTGCGGCGAGGGCGGTGAGGAAGTCCTCGCCGGTGGTGGTTGTGTTCCTGGTGGAGGCGTAGACTAGTAGAGCGGGCAGGACGGAGGAGGACGGGTGCGCGTTCAAAACGACGTGCTCGATTTGGAATGCACCGGCTGCGATGCCGTTGAGGTACATTGCGCCGAAGATTGTGGTTTCTGTGCCGTCGATGGCTGCGACTAATTGGGGTCCCCCGTTGCCGTGGATAGAGGTGAGTGCCTCGGTTGACGATTTGTAGACGGGTTGGACCATGCCGGTCAGCATGGCGGTGACGATGTCGAGTACGAGTATCGGGAGAGAGCCGTATAGGCTCTTTGGCAGCGCTTTAGAGGTGAGGCTAGCCGCGAACTTCGCAAGGTCCATCGTGTAATTTCCGGAGGCCATGGTAGTTGAACTTTCCCGGGATTCAACAAGAGAAGTATTACACCCAGATGAATGACTACAAAGTAAGGTGATTCAGTCTCTTTATAAAGAAACTCAAGAGGATGTTCAACAGCAGAATCGATAAACTTCGTGTCGTTCATTGTACGTGATGTATAACGATGATAAGATTGCTCCACACGCCTGGAGTCGTAGTCGGAGTTTTGCCGCAGCACCCGCTCGAAGACGGTGAATCTCCGCTGGCAGATGTATTACCCAATGACACGCTTGAACTATACTCCCCTGAGTCGACCTTGAATTTTCTTGTGAGATACGCTTAGCATGAGTTTGTTTGTCTGACATAACTCTCCGGGAACCTAAGTTTTCGCGTTGTGTCATTGGGCAGTCCCACCTCCGGCTATAGGCTCATCATTTGCACAAAGGTCCCCGAGGCTCTCACAAATCATGTAAAGCAGACGTGAGTAATCTCCTATCCTCCACTTCTTCATATCGTCCAATAGACTGGCAAAGTCTAGAAGAACCCGTTGCGCGGAACGAAGCCCACCCAGGCACCTTTCGTTGCACATGGAGACAGGGCCTCCCAGCCGGATAAAGTCCGCAGCTGCGTTACCCGTCTCGCTGCTTGATATCTCATCAATGTTATCAGACAGACCCTCGGTGCCGAGGGACTTCCAGTCGACGTTGCAGAGCAACTCAAACTCCTTGACGCAGCCGCTGTTATCATTCTTTTCCGAGGGCGAGGTGAGAAGATACAACGCCAGCACGAGGGCAGCGCTGAACAAATTCTTGGAAGCCGAGAATGATCCACCGTCTTGGGTTCGTCGCCGAGATGTGGCCCTGAAAGCTTGCGCCGCGTGAAGACAGGCTCGCCTCGCTGCCGGGGTCTGGGTTCAGATCCTGACCTTGGGTGTGGCGTTCTTCGCGGCTTCGACGCCGTTCCGCCCCGCCGCTTCTTCGAAAAGACAACAGTCTGTCGTCAGCATGATGCCTATCCAGTTCCATGTGACTAGGCAGTCGGAGCCAATATCTTCCATCACGGTTCCATAGACCTCCATGATTTCCAATGATAGTTCTGTATTTTCCCTTCCTTTTTCTTCTAGCGCGAAGCACTTCCAAGGGATATAGTGACACCTAGCTAGCGTTTCGTCGTCGCAGGCGGAGAGGTAGGTGCGGTGGTTGTCGTAGATCCGTAAAAGGGATGATATAACAGGCTCCTGGAGAACCGGAAGTTCCGCTTCTCCGCGAAGGAGGCAGAAGCGCGGGTGTGCGGCCAGTGAGTCTAGTCTTCCGAGTCGAATCCACGCACTGACCGTCGTTGCTTAGAAGAGCCCTCCATCGCATGGAAGGAACAGATTGATGTTCCCCGTGCAGATAATCGGGCTTGTCGAAAAATGATCCGAGAACCAAGCGTCAACCAGTATCAGTAGCACGATAATTCTTCGAAGCGGCGTAGTCAGTAATCATTGTTCATTCATCCTAAGTCCACTAGATCAGAATATCTCACCGTTTAGTCTTTTCGATCCGACTCCATGCTATCCACTCCTCATCTTCTTTATTTGTAGTTTTGAGAGCACATGAGCTAGGTTGTTTTGCATCCCAGTATCAAAGAGACCGTGTTGCCGTGCTGCCTTATATTAGGTAAGTATCTTATCTCTGAGAAAGTGCGCGAAGAAATCTACTTACTGTAAGAGTGTTGATGTATAGCAGTCGCATTTGATCGGAGGACGAAGTTCCCTGGCTACGTGTTAGGCCATAGCTGGAGTAGAAGGGAATAGTGATGTTCTTACTCCGTTAAGGATGAAGAGGGCAGAGACAAGGCCCGAGGTCGCAAACATGCTCATTTTCTGCTCTAGGATGGTATCGGCAAAGGAGTTGGCGATAACTTCCGAGTACACTCGGTCCAGGACAAACTGCTCAATGGTGGATGGTTAGTTTCAGTGTTGAAAAAGGAACCAAAGAGGCAAGGGGACGACTCACTGGAAAAGCAATAGAACCAAATGCCGCAGCCTCCTCCGTATTCAAGTAAGTAAGACCCAGTAAACAAATAACACACATAATTGTGGAAGGTGTGTTGTCGACGCAAAAAGTCGACAAATGTATCACTGGAAATGTAGGGTGAAACTTCCTCTTGTACTGCTCCAGACCGAAGCTCAGAAGCTCGGAGTAGCTGCTACACGTTCGACAATAATTGGGCATCTGTTGCGGCTGCAATGAGCCGGGAACAGACGGAGGTGTAGCGTTGTTCTTGGAAGAGAAGCTCAGTGAAGTGCAGGTACAGCGTGAGCCTGCGCTGTAACTGGTTAAGGGCCGTAGTTTCTCAAACAACACGTTCATGGTGTTGACGCCAGGATACTGTGTGTTTCCACTGCAGCTAATCTTCTTGCATGCTGGAGCTTGCGAGAAGAGGTTTCTGTCCGTTCGAGATGCTATGTCACGCCACAGAGTGGACATCATGGGGGCAACTCGACATGGCCTGGCCGGGCACAGACTTCGTAGCTTTTCACACTTTGATTGTGCAGTTCCACACTGCGGCTCCAAGTCTAGAGTGTTATCGGGAGTTGGCAAGTCAGTTGTTAGGTTTGTGAGAAAGAATTGAGGATCGAAAGCGTCACAAGTTTGTGGCCGCAGAAGAGTTGCGACTCCTCTCAACGGTTGCATGGCTCCAAAGACAACATCACTTTGCATTCCGGGCCCAGATGCCCAGAAGTTCAACCCATCGCCTGTCTGGTTAGGAAATATGCTCCATGAGTTCTCCGATAGAGGGAGAGGATCAGGGTCTGTTGAATGGTCGAGGGCCATGAAATTAGGAATCTCATCTCCGAGCCCGTCTCGGTCATGCAGCCTACTGCATGTTGAGCCTTGCTGTCTTGGGCCGGCGCATTCGGTGATCGGCTCTCCAGCTTCACTCAACGGGGATGAAAGGGTTGAATTGGGTCCGGCAGCGACATCGGCCGATGCGTGAGCTCGACAATGACGGACCATGACGTCCCTGATGATTGAAGATGCCACAATTAGCCCAAAACCTCAGTTAAGTTCGGCTTGAGAATACTACCGTCGGGCAAAATGCTTTCCGCACACAGCGCATTTGAAGGGTCGCTCTCCCGTGTCTAAATAGATGGTCAGTGGTGAGCTCGCCGAGAGAAGACATTTACAGAGAGAATGATGAACTCACGTGTTCGCTGGTGTCTCTTGAAATGTTGGAATTTGGTGAAAGTTCAGTCGCATACGGGGCATTTGGCAATCATAGTGTGATCCGGGAGAATCAATCGGCCCAGAAAGAAAGCTGGTACTGCTGATGGAAAGAGTGCAATTGCCAACTTGCTTGAATACTCGAAGCATCATCATGAGTACCTTCACGAACCTATCCCTATCTCACTAGCCAAAAAGGGTGTTAATTTGCCGAGATCTGGGGAACATGCAGGAGACGGAGGCAGGCCGGAGATCCCGGCGCCGTAGCTCATGGACACACGGACTTGACGGACTTGCGACTTGCAACCTTGCCCGTCTCCGCTGACAAACTCTTTGATCTAAGTGGACGAGCAACATTCAAGCACACCGCGACACTGTTAGAGCCAGTCACTCACCGTTGTGAAGTAATGCGGGTAGACTTCAGAGCTATGAACATCCTCAAGCGTTATGATCAGGGAGAAGTTGAACCTGAGCCACGCCCCGATTGTCATGCGGATAGCCAAGTCACATTCACAAGGGATTTTTCAAGCCCATAAGTTAGAATGAATAGCCAGTTGAAAGCTCGGGGGTCTTCAATTTTTTATGGAGAAGTTGCTGCTAGTTTTCGTTCGGGAAGATGACATCTGTGAGTGTGAGAGAACATCCCCTGAAACCCACGCAGTCTCTTTGACCAGATAATCTTTGTATGGTGTTTTCTGTCTCCTAAGGCTCATGGCAGGGCAAGGTCAAACACCAAGTACACATCGCATGTGGCTCTAGTGTCAATTTTACCGGCTCTGCTGGGGTGTGACTTCAATGTGGCTCTGCGATGGCCAACGCTCAATAGAGTGATTGATGTGAGTGACATCAATGATCATTCTTCACGGCAGACTAAGGAGCCACATGTGGTCGTTCCAACTTGACAGAATGAATACTCTCAAGAACCCGAGACGGCGGGTTACTGTATCCCTGTTGAACGCTGAGGCACAGGTTCTCATCTGACTATAAAGTAAAGTTGCTCGAGGCGAGATGTAGTCGCTTCGAGGGAGTAACCAGCAAAGCATCTGAGCACTACCATTAGACTCCTCTATTTAATTTGCTTGATAAGACTACAACAACCAAAATGGTCAGGGCTGCCGATTTCGCTGCTGCGTCACGTCCATTCAGGGCAGATGTCAAGATCCACGATGTCGAGGTTGAAGGAGTAATCCCGAAAGAGCTAGACGGCACTTCCTATAGAGTAAGCCCATCTTCTTTGACATCATTTACCCCTGACCTTATTCTCACCTTCCGTCTAACTACTTCTCAGGTGGTTCAAGACCAGTATTACGACGGGTCCTACTACGAAAATGGGTCCAAGGCCATCCCCTTTGACGGAGACGGGAGCGTCAGCGCCTTCCGGATCAAAGACGGGAAAGTCTCTTTCCAGCAGAAATATGTCTTGACAGAGCGGCTGGTTGCCGAGTGAAAGGCCGGTCGATCCCTCTTCGGGATCAACAAGAACCCCTTCACTCATCACCCGTGCGTACGTGCCGTCGTCGATACTTCGGCCAACACCAACGTCGTGGTGCATGCCAACAAACTTCTGGCGGTGAGCGAGGGCGGGCCGGCATACGAGCTCGATCCCAGTAAGTTCGACTCTAAGCTATGTGTGAAGGGTTGGTTGCTGAGATTTCGAAACCATTAGACGGCCTACGAACCATTGGACACGCACCATTTCCGGACATTCATCCCACCAAGGCGTTCACGGCGCATCCTCATGTGAGTCTCAAAGATCCAACTTCAAGTTTTGGTACTGATGTCATTCTAGGTTGATCCCGAGACGGGTGACCTGATTGCTTTCGGCTAAGAAACCGAAGGACTGGACAGCCCAAATGTAAGATTGAAGATGGCGACTTCCCATTTAATCATTAACAGCACCTGAAACATCTATAGATCTCGATCTACATCATAAGCAGGGATGGAAAGCTCACGTATCAACGGGATATCGAATTCTACCCTACCGGAGGGATGTTCCACGACTGCGCGATTGTACGATCACACCCGCAAAACCATGCATTGTCGTGTAACTAATATTGACAGACGCGAAACTACATCGTCCTCACTCGGATGCCCTTCACAATCGATCTTAAAGACTTAGAGAAGCCAGGAAACCATCAATGGTGAGACTGATCCTCAGAACTACTTGAGACTCGAAGCTTACGCTCAGTAGGTACTATGATGAGGAGTGTCCCGCGTATTTTGGACTGGTGCCACGCGACCTTAAGAAGCCAGTTCGCTGGTTCAAGTATCAAAATTCGATGCCGATTCATACGGGCGCATCTTGAGAGGAAGATGGGAAGGTGTAAGCATTATAACCGAGGCTCCAATACAACAGCTGACAGCCGATGAAAGGCACTCCGACACGACTCTTGCTTCGCACAATGGGCTCAGTTTTCTCCGTAAGTGATACCTGATCATAAGACTCTGTGAACAGTTTTTGGCTTACAGGGACAATCACAGCGAGCCGCCGCGGCCCCAACCCTGAGCCAAAGGACGTTACGGTCAACCACGTCAAATTCTGCATCGACCCCAACAGCGAATCCGATGAACTCCCGGACCCAGGTAGAAAGAGATCAAACAACACCCAGTGAGGATATTAAATGCTGAAAAACGTTCAGAAATTGTACTTCGCGGCCCTTGCGAGTTCCCAAGGATCGACGAACGGTTCCTCATGAGCAAGAGTAAGTAGGCGTGTCACAGCTACGGTACCAGCATTGTACTAACGAACACGAACAACAGCTCGTATCACCTGGCTCGATTGCTTCAACCCAAATGAAGATCCCACCCGCCAGCTCTTCCAAGGCCTCAACACTTTGGCCTGCGTCGACTACGAAACGGGCGAGGTCGAGTACTTCTCGCCCAGCCCCATCTGCCTGGTTCAGGAACCAGCTTTCAGCCCCAGACACCCTGATGCGCCGGAGGCCGATGGTTTCCTCGTCACCATGGTGGATAACATGGAGCTTGGCAGGAATGAGTTGGTAAGTTGAAGAGGCACGGTTTCCTCAAGCTGTCTAGCAATGGTAATCTCATCTCCTTGGCAGATAATTCAAGACAAGCGTGATTTCCAAACGGTTGTCGCCAAGGTCATCCTGCCCTTCCGTGAGTACTATCCGAAAATCTAGCCTTATTGGCGCCACGACAACTAACAGCTTTAGGTCTTCGTTCCGCTGTACATGGAAACTGGGTTGATGCGACGAGGATCGCGGATGCCGAGCCGTACGAGGTGCAGTCTTTCAAGGACCTCTACCCCATATTCCGACAGTTGGACCTGATTCAGGCAGCAAGGCCAACGTGGCGTCCAAGATATGATATTTTGAGTGATTTTTGAATACACATGGCTAGTCTATCACAAATTGGCAATAGTTTCTCGAGTAGAAGTAAAGTAGAATAAATGAAGAAGATGAGTGGTTGCGACTTGCAAAGGCTTGGATGGAGTGAGCGATTGGTTGAGGGTGTGTGAGTCACAGCTCCACAACTATGTGGAATAAAAGTTGCAAAGCCGTTAGAATTTTCACTAACAAGCCTGAGCACAATAGCTCAGGGGTAGAGCGCTGGGCTCATAACCCAGAGGTCCCTGGATCGAAACCAGGTTGTGCTACATTATCTTTTGCATTTTGCGGCAATGTGTTCTTTTTCAACTAGATTGTCATATTTCTTTTGGTTTGGCTCAATTCACACCGTTGGGGGGTGCGGTCTCTATCTTTGAACACTTGAGTGCTGCTTAGTCAGGATATTTCACTCGTCCAGCGACATCGGACTCACGTCCGTGTATTCGGACTACTTGCCATCTCACCAACTAGTGGTCTATGAGTGTATAGGTGAATGCTTGACGAATTGCGCAACACGTTCGGGAAGGTGAAGAAGGTATCCGAGTTCATATAAAATCTAAGACTTTTACTTTACATAAGGTAGTACATGCACACTTTCTATCTTTACAATGCCTTCTCTCGCTGGCCAACAACACGGTCAAAGCTGTCAAACGCCATCGTCATCGAGTGTCTTCCACCAGTCTTGCCTCTCAGCTGCTCGTCAAAGTTTAAGACCTCCTTGAACGGCACCTTGGCCACGATCTCCACCGTCCTCGCCAACGACTTCTTGCCCCTCAGCGAAGCTACAATCTCGTACGGGTCAGGCGGTGCGTAGATGCTGCTCACGTCGATCCGCGAACTCGACTCGGCGGACTTATCATTGACCTCTAGCACATGCCCACCGGCTCCCGAGCTGATGTCGTGCTGCACCAAGCCCGCGACCGCCTCGGGACAGCTGATGTGTAGAAGCATGACGGGCTCGAGGACGCCGACGGCATTCCGTGAGATGTGCGCATCGCGGAGTGCTTCGCGCACGGCGCGAGATGCTGCGCCGGCGAAGTGACCGCCGGATGGGCTCTCGGCGGCTGCGGCGTCGACGGTAATGGTGATGTGGCAGCCCTGGACTGGGGAACCGCGGCGCGGGCCGCGAGCCACGGCTGCGACGGCGCCGTTGATGAGCTGTTGTCGAGCTTCTTCAGGGTCGAATGCGAAGTTGCCCTCTTCAGGGAGATCAATAATGACGTGAATCATGTTCCCGTCGCGTTCGATAGTTGGTTCGAGTGCGGCTTGGCGGTGGTGGTCTTCCAGAGGTTCCAGAGTCGCGGTACATGATACCTTGCCAGACTTGCTTGCGACAACCCTGTCGAACGTAACGTGATGCGGTCCGATGGAAGATGTGAGGCACTCCTTGTAGTCGACCTCGATCGGGCCGAAGTCGGCTTGGACCTTGGGGTTCTGCTTGAGGTTATAGACGGCGATATCCAGATGCAGTTTTCCCATACCCTGCAGTATGAACTGTTCCGTCTTCTCATCGCGGCTCCATCTCAAGCTGGGATCTTCTCGTGACGCATTATCGAGCGCGATTTCTAGCTCCTTGGAAGCCGTGGGTCCGAGGGGATCAATCGCGAGGAAAGCCACGGGCGGAGGAATTTCCGGTGGCCTGATCTGGATATGCTTGAGGGCGTCCGGAATCTGTTTCTGAGCGACGGTCGCGAGTAGCGTGTCGCCCGTACGAGCCTTCTTCAGACCCTTGATAGCGCCGATCTGGCCCGTGGCGAGGTGCTGTATATCTTCCGTCTTTTCCGCGGATATCTGCAACAAGCCGAACGGACGCTCTGAAAGCTGGTTATGCGTGTTCCAGGTGGACGAGTTCTTGTGAAGTTCGCCAAAGTAGACTCGCACGAAGCTCAAAATACCCTCCTTGGGGTGATTAAAGACCTTGAAGACGGAGGCGACTGCTGCCACGCGCTGCTGGCCTGGCTTCTTGTTCGAGTTCTGATCGAGTAGCGAAACGAGATTGTGCTTCGCCGACCCCGCGCGAATCTCAAGGTCAGGTCGTTCATCAGGACTGGGAAGGTAGTCAACGATGGCGTCCATCAGGGGCTCGACACCGATGTGCCGGAAGCTGGCACCTGCTAGAACAGGAATGACATTTCCGTCGCCACTGCGGATGGCGCTTCGGACGCTGTCCTTCAACATCTTCCCTGTGATCTTGCTTGGATCGTCTGCAAACAGATCCATTATGGACTCATCCCACTCAGCGAGGCCTTCAATGAGCCGCTCTCGAGCTGTCTCAATCTCATCAAGGAGATAGTTGCCTTTGAGCACCTCTTGAAGTTCCGCGAACTCGTACTTCGTCTTCTGTTTCTCTGCCTTCCACCGATATCCAACTCTGTCAATGACGTCGATTACACCGACAAACTGTTCGCCATCCCACCAAGGGATTTGGCATACAAGTGGCCATCCATTCAGACGTGACCCAATCTCCAACACGGATTTGCGAAATGACGCGCCGTCTCGGTCGAGCTTGTTGACGAAGACGATGCGAGGGATTTTATGGTCGTGTGCTGAAGCCCACACTCTCTCCGTGTGAGCTTCTACGCCCTTGACTGAGTCGATGATGCACACAGCCCCATCGAGAACGGGGAGGCACCTGTCCACCTCAAATCTGAAGTCTTGATGGCCTGGTGTGTCGATGAGATTGATCGTTTTGGGTGTTATGCCTGGCGCGCACTCCTCACGAAGGGGCCAGTTGAAAGTGATGGCTGCTGACTGAATTGTGATACCTCGTTCCCGCTCCAGGTCGAGGAAGTCGGTTACTGTATTTCCTGCATCGACGTCTATAGTGTTGCGGTCAGCCGGGGGGGCCTTGGCACATTCACAGCCGCCGCTGCAGTTCTCATCCAGTCTCGCGACAGCGAATGTCTATATGAAGATAAAGGCAAGATGCAGTGAATCCTACGTACCTCCAACACGGCGTGTCACGCCGCTATAATACAGCATGCGCTCAGTCGTTGTGGTTTTGCCCTGAGACTGAATCAGCCATCTGGTCACTCAAGCTCCAAAACGACTGAATACGCACAGCATCGACATGGGCAATGATTCCGATGTTTCTTATATCCTTGGTAGGGGACCGGTGTTTCGATTGCACCGGAGGTGTGTGTATTGATCTTCGAAAGCTCACGATCCCAGCGAAATAAGACTGCCCTGGCAACCGGCCGACATGGCCTTGCCTGGGCACTGAAGCTCGAAAGACTAGCATGACTAGATCATGAAAATGCGCGTTTTGGTAGTACAAAATATGAATGGGAAAGGTTTTGAGGAACTCCAATTACATTTTAAAATGCAATGAGGTAAGCGCGAACAGCAATTAGTCGTCGTAAACGTCGTGAAATCAGATCATGGATGAAGCTGCTCAGGATCTGATGGCATGAGAGCTCTCTCATCGACTGCACTTTCACTTTGATCAGTCGGCAATCAACCAATCCGCGCAGCATTTATTCATACATCCATGTCTTCCACGTTGGGAAGGCGGTCAACCGAGCTTTGGCTCGTTCCTGCCAGAGCGGATGTCAGTGTCAAGTCAGTGACCTCCCTCAGAAAAGAGGCTGGGTGTGTGGCTGGTGCTAGTTGCTGCAACCTGAAGGTACCTCTGATGTGCGCTTGCTACGTGTACAAGTACCGGGTAGATATACTTGCTCCATCAAGTATCCACCAGCACACTCCTTCTATCTGCCAGGAGCTTCAGGAGCCAAAGAGTTACGGACCTTGACTCGTCAGCCTCTTGTCCGGACGTCACACCTTGCACCCAACTTGCTTCTTCTTCACACCCACACCCACATCACAACACATCCTTCTCCAAACCTGCGATATCCAGCTGCCTGGCCACTTCATCCACGTCAGCTTCTCTCCTTCTTCTCTCATTCACCTCGCTCATCCTCCACCATCGAATCTACGTCCAATCCCGACAGTACCGCAATCTACAACTCGCCAAAATGGAGCTCTCCGACGCCTTGTATGTGGTCCCTTGTCTTCGGGATGCGGTAGCTATCTCGAAGCTATCCTGCACATGCGCAAAAAGCTAATCAGCCGTCACTCGCATCAGCCGTATTGTCAACTTGGCCACCGCGACCATCATGGTCCTGGGCGGCATTGCCCAATTCTTCAACTTCAACTTGTACGTCGTATCCGATTCCCCCGACGGACCTCCCCTGTCTACGACCTCGATTTGCGCGCGCGCACGGATTCTTCGTGCGACAGCTAAACCCCTTCATCGTGACGGAGGAGACATGTGGTGGAATGGCAACCCAAAGACTCTATACTGACAACTCTGTCCGCGTAGCCAGGGTATTATTGTGGGCGCCTACGTGATCATCTTCGGTCTCTGTAAGCTCCCGCCCCCTCCTGACGCTTGCGTAGAATGCATTCTTGTTCGTGACATGACTAATGCGATTTGACTAGGCACCGCCCTGCTCGGTAATTGACAACGATTCCTCCACCTTCGAAGCTCCTCTAACAAAATCCCAGAGTTCCAAATCCCTCCCCAAGTCTCCCGCTACGCCTCATTCCTCTTCTCGTTCGTTGGCCGTGGTGTCTGTAAGTCTAGAAGCCCTATCGCCCGTCTCGTAGTCGATGCACATTGGTTCTAATGCAGCCTTCTTCTCCCAGTCTACATCTTCATCGGTTCCATTCTTCTCTCCGACGGCGTCTTCAAGATCATTGCCGGCTCTATTGTCGGCCTCATTGGCGTCGCCTACGTCGTCCTCGAGTTTGTTCCCCAGATCGAGCCGCCAGCCAACATGCGCGAGGCCGACGGCGGCTGGGGCGCAGAGCAGGTGTAAGCTAGCAGCCCCTTTTCAACCACACAAAGAAACCAAATTTCATCTCGGATGCCTTTTGCACTCTCCCAACATTTAAACCGTTGGAAGAGCGGGAAAGGCACGGATTCTTTCCCCCGTGTTACAATTCGCGAAACAAGACAATGAACCGGATTTGCTGAGGCTTTTTTTCTTTCGAAACTCAAGATACTGAAAAGAGACGGGGAACTCGACATCGCGCAAACACGATCACGACAATCAATCCTCAGCTTCATCCATAATGGGGAAGAGAAAGAGCGAGAAGAGAAGCGACCAAATAGGAACCACAGTGTGGGAAATTTCGACGAGAAGCTCCCTTATGATGTTTGGCCCCACCGGACAGGCTGTATATTGTGTGTATTCACCACTGTAAGGCAGGAAGGTTGCGAGTGTGTGTTGTGTAGGGAAAGAGCATATGCTTCATTGCGTTTCGACTGTACGACGGAAGACTGTGCCAGGCCTAGTGGCACGGCACCTTGTATGACTTTTTTCTTAGATGGTGTAAAGGAGAAAGGGAGGCCGGGAAAAGTAGGGTATTGTTTGGGATCCGCAATGGCTAGTCGTAACAGACCTGATTTTTGCCCTCCAGAAGCTTTGCCCACACACACTACCTAACGTTTGTGATGTAATCGCCGGTGATACATATACTATTGTGATGTCCACGATTCTCACTTATTGAAAATGGTCCGCTAGGGAGGATCGCACGGGAAATAAAAGCCGTATTTCACGTAAAAAAGGGGGATCGTCCCATTGTTGGGTTGAGATTGTGAGCAACTAAACGTGCGAGCAAAGTACATTGCTTCAGCTTTTGATATTTCGACGCGCAGACTTCTGATGGAAAAAGGGGCAACTACGCCCAGCATCCAAGGACGCGCCTTTACCATGCCAGTTTTTTGTCCCTCTTCATACCTTGGAGCACGAAAATATCTATGTCTTCCCGAATGCTTCTCACCTCTCCCAATAACCACTTTCCGAATGGTTCGGTATCTCTCAATAAAACACCACTGAAATACACATCCGCCCTAAACAACAAAACTCCTAGCTTTGAAACCTCCCATCTTTCTCCGTTCCGCACTCAACGTCCATTTTGTAATTCATTTGGTTGTTGTAAACGGAAGAAAACGCCCTCTTCTTGAGCTGGAGAAAACCACGGTAGAAGAAAGATGCCATTTTTTCGGAGTGGGCGCCAGAATGCGTTCCCAAAAACAATCATCCTCTCCCATTTTGTGTAAGGCCAGACCCTGTCCGTTTTTGTTTTTCTCTTTCGCCCCAGGTGAAGCCAGAAAATGGAAGAAAAAGCTTCAACCTGTTTTGGTGATGGAGAGACGGCCCCAGCCGACCGCTTCGCATAAAAAGGAACTCCAAGCCATGATGTGTGTGTGTGTGCCCATACTGTCCCCGATAAACTCAAGTGTCCGATGATCCCGTGGTTCGTTTGTATCGTGATGGAACTTTCATTAGTTTCCCATATCCGCTAGTTCCTTCTCCTTCGCTGCCAACATCTCCCTCATCCGTTCAGCTTCCCGAATCAGTGCTGCCCTCTTCTCTGCCTTGACTCTTTCGTTTTCTGGCCTGAATCCTGGGTTGCTCGTCTGACTGCTTGGTCCAGGCGATGGAAGAGGTGTCATGTGGGCATTCGAGTAGGATCCTGGGCTCGGTGCAGAGGCGGCCGGCGACATGGCAGATCGGGCGTAGTGTTCCGCGGCATCATCACTGCCTGAATGGTAGGCCGGGCTGTCATCTGCCGTTGTAGGGTTGAGGATTGACTTGATGGACGACAACCGTTTCGACGTATCTGGTCCACCATCACCAGACGGGTTTCCTTCCGCAGAAAGTGACCGTTTCCTCGACGGAGACAAGAAAGAACCGGGTGACAAAGAAGGTTGGCGTTCTCCCATAGCGGCGAGCGATGTGATCGGAGCAAGGCGATTATCGTCGTTTAGCGATCCTGGATAGGGGTTCGTAGTTCGGGAACTCGAAGACTGATACGCGGCCAAGTCATGCGAGGGCAGCGGCGAGCCCTGTTGATTCGGACGCATCAGTGGATCTGGAAGCATGGTGGCAGGATTCTCTTCCCGACGTCGAAAGCCCAAGTTGATGGACCCATCCTCGTTCATCGTGCCCCTTTCCGGACTTCCTTCTGGTGCTACGCTCTGCGTCTCCGAACCCTCCAGCATCTCTTCTGTCCATTCGCCACCAAACGAAGATGGTATGACTCGTTTCCTTCTCTTGATAATCGACTTCTTCATGGTCACAGGCCGGTGAACACCGTGAAGTTTGTAGTAGAGACCTGTATATGTCAGCATGTTGAAAATTTCTCCAGAAAAAAGACGGCACGTACCGCAGGCATTGCAGATCGTGTGGCCACTTTCGTCTCGTCTCCATAGCGGGGTGATTGTAGTGCCGCAATTTTGGCAGGCGATCACAACCGTGTGATTCGGATTTTGTGCTTGCTGAATTTGCAGTGCGGCGATGTCGACAGGAGCAACAGGATCGTCCACAACCATCGGTTCACCTTGAGATTGACTAGACGAACCGCCGCCGCCGCCGCCACCACCACAACCTTGCCCCTGAACGTTCAAATGGGCGGATTTCGATACTCGATTGTTGTACGCAGGACATCCACTGCAGCCTTCCGCACCACCGGTACCGTTGCACTTTCCACCGCCTGGACAGGTGCCTGACGGCGCCTGTTCTTCGGTAACATACGTCGGAGCGGGAGCACTGAGATATTTCGGACCTGGGCCTGGCGCTGGCGCAATCTTTGGGGGAGCCGTCCGCGGTGCTGCAGCAACCAGATGTGGGGGTTTCTTGAGGTTAGTTGGGCGTGAAGCGTTTCTCGCCTTCTGATACAGGCCGCAGGCGTTGCATATCGTCGTTCCCTGGGGAGATCTCCTCCACAAAGGTGTTCGTGTTGTGCCGCAATTACTGTGGCTGGTCAGCATCCCTGTCCAAGGCGGGTTGGAAAGGAGCTCCATCACTCTCTTACCTGCAGACTTGACCCGTCTGGCCTGAAGAAGACGTTGTCGCAGTTGACGGTGCCGGGCTGGGTCTCGGTTCTGATCTCACGTCCTTCGGGGATCCATCACTGGATACTGAGACCGGACTCCTGGCCTGTGACCTTGACAAGGCGTCGCTCGACGGACTACGTCGAGAGTTTGGGCGCAGAGTCGGTGGTCCCTCGAGGCCTACTGGACTAGGGCCTCTCGCCTGGTCCACGGCAGCGTACTGCCCTCCTTCACGGGCCTTGGGGGACATTCGTCGGGATGGGAGAGCGGTTCGGATGGTCGAGAGGGGCTGTTTCGCCGTCCCCTGTGCCGCCGACGACATGCCATCGGCCATAGCCATTCGTGGAGAGCGAGGTTTCGGTCGAGGTGGAATGTACTAGCCGTAGTTTGGTGTTGAAAGCAGCAGAAGACGTGTACTAGTCGAGGCGAAGTGTTAAAGGACCTTGACGAGTAGGAAAAGGAGGTATCGAGTAGGTTGATTTGATGACTTCGTTAGGCAGAGACAATGCTTGGCCCGGAGAAAGGAAACGGCTTCTGAGGAGGAAGGAGATAACTAGCGGCGAGACGGTCGTAGTATGGCGTATAAAGGAGGAGGGAGAGAAGTAGGGCCCGAGTCAAACTTAGACAACCCCACCACGGTGCAAAGGTGGTTCGACGGTCGGCAGTCCGGAGGAAGAGAGGGTCAGGGAATGGAACTGCACCGTCCTCGAGTAAACGACAACGTCAAGAAGTGGCTGTGGAAGACCGGCTGACGGAGCAGGAAGGCGGAATCGGAGGCCGGGGGAAGGAAGCAAGCACCAGAGAGGGTCGCCACCGTTGATCCAGGGCAACAGAGGTCCTCTAGGTGTCGATGCCTCTTTACGGGGTACACAGTGTGGTATGAGAGGCTGAAGGGCCTACTGTACGCCAGGGGTCGGTTTCTGCTACAGACCCGGATTCGGTTTCTCTTGCTCTACCAAGAAGAAGCGGGGTGTGAGGGTTGCAGAAGAGGTGAGAGAGAGAGCGTGTACGACAGCCTAGGAAGGTAATAATGGTGATTTCGAGTGCATGCTGGGGAGAAAACAACGGGCGTTGCTGGCGTTGACAGACATGTAAGAGCCCCTCGTCGATGGGAAGGGCAGCGAGTTCCCTCTAGAGGGTTCACCGGGCGGTGAGAGAGGTATCGGCGGGTGTTTGGTAGGTAGGCCTTGGGGGACAGCTAGGTAGGTGGGAAAGGGGGGGTGGGAGGTTGCTTGATGTCAAGAAGCAAGCCAGAATTCTGGAACAGTGGAAGCCAGACTGGAAGCGTAGTGAACCTGTGTTGATCTTGGACAGGGGCGGGTGTTGGTCTAGTCTAGACTTGAGTGTGTACGGATACTGCGTAGGGCGGCGATGATGTGAGGGACGAGGAGGAACCGCGGCGCTGGAAGTGCGTGAGGTGGTGGCAGAAAATCACGAGAACAGACTGGACAGCCCACGCTACGGCTCCTGCCTGCGACTAAACTGCTGCGTCCGCGTCTGGGCTCTCTCTCGCTTCCCAATGACGAGTGACGGACGACAAATGGGGGAAAATCGGAGCCCAGGTGCTAGGTCACCGAGGGTGATCTGGGCTGAGAGGTCACGGATTACAACAGGTTGTCGCTGATTGGCCGTAAGGGGGAATGTCGCTAAGGCACAACGACAAGGGTGACAGGGGGGGGCTTCGATACTTTTGAATCCACCCGCTGGTCCAAGAGTCCACCTTGATGCGTCCAACATCGCGGCATTGATGGCACTTGGGTCCAAGAGACTTTTTTTTTCTCTTCCTCCATTTCTACATGGATGGGACTCATTTCTTTCTACACAGTAGGTATCAACTTGTCACGGTTTCCGCGTATGACCGGAGACTATCTCTCGGGCTGTTTCGTCATCTTGCCTGCTGCCACAAGGCTACGTACCTCTCCATCCGTGAATCTTGTCTCGATATCTGGCCATATCTCACTCTCTCAAATGGAATCCTTTGACGAAAGCAGATCGTGACCAAGACACCACAACCAAGATCCCTCCAGACCAGTCACCAAACATCTGGACCACGATAGCGATAGGCAGGGGCCCTATGAGACGATAAGTACCCAGAATCCAGGTCTAGTCCCGAACAATACGGCGTAATTAGCCTTTCCCGGGCTGGCGTCGCCCAGACTTCCCTGCTGGTGCTGGCCGCTGGATGCTAGCGACTGGGTACTGGGGGGGGGGAAGACGCCGGTTCGCTGCGACTCCATCTAGCGGACGGTGGACACCCCCCTCTGATTTGCTTGACTCTGGAATGGATCAATCGGCACGTCTGGCGAACATACGCCGTCTCCATGTCAATGCTGCGCCAAACCCTTGGAGGGGGGGTCCTTCGCTGTCCACCCCGCGAAGGACGGAATTGACGAAGAATTTGTTGCGGTAACCTTAAAGCCGAGTGTGACGGCCCTGCCTAGCGCAGCATTGGGTTCGACTGACACGCGCGTGTTTGTGAACGTAGCACCAGTCAGGTTAGTCCCATCAAGTCATATTCCTGTCGTATTTCAGGACATGCTTCACCGACTGATACTGCAGTGTGCTGACATCCCCTATGAGGCGTCAGCGCGGCTCGTGTAAGAAGAAAGGATATCATCCTACCTTACCTATTCCTGTATGAATAGGCGGTATGGCAGCTGAAAAGGCACCATTGTGCGGCCTACGAATAGGTGTGTCTAGGAGATCTCGTGAGGGTGCGCCAACCCAGGTCCCAGCATCGTACAGCTGCATCATCTCTCACATCACCGGCACTCTTCCGCCGGCCGAAGCGAGATGCAGCACCTCGAATGGGGGTGGGCAACTTAACCCAAGACGACGACCCCAGGAGCCCAGGGGCCATCTCCTGCCCGCCAGCTCGGTCTCCGGTTCCAGTTTCCAGAGGACAACTCGCCCATGTGTTCTTGTGTCCACGATTGTGTGTCTGCCCCCCCAGTGCTCTGGAATCGAAACAGGGCTGTCCGAATAGTGTAAGCCAGCCGCCGCCCCAAAGATGCAATGCAACACACCCGACGAAGGTCGGCTCTCCGACACTGAGCGGACGTACGAATAGGTACAGGTGAGATGCTGTAAGCAAGGCAAGTATTGTCGAAGCAAGGTCTCTCCCGGGGATGCGACTTACACCCTTCCGCCACCGCTAGCGCAGGCAAAGTTGAAGAGACCGAACAGAGGAGAATGCGAAATTTCACTTTCCCCGATTATGACAAAGGGCAAATCGAGGATCCCGAGGATTTCGTTCAACTTCGGCTCTTGACCTATCATCCCACCACACGGCATGATACACGTGCCCGTTCCTCCTATTGCAGGCTGTAGGACTTTTTTCTCCATTAGCGCCTCGGTACCGAAAGAAGAGAACGGAAAGAAAAAGATGACAAAAAAGTACGCCAGAAGTCCCAGAAGGCAAGAACCATGGTCCATCAAACCTGCAGCGGGTGGACCATGAACCGGAGTCCGGGTCCGAGTAACTGGCGAGCCTTCCCTTCCCGTCCAGTGACAATCGACATGAATAAGCTGACAGGGTCCTTCTACCGCAGTAAAGGCGGTGACGAATGAGGCAATCGGGGGTCATGCCAGTTCCCCCATTTCCACCCCCAAAAACGCCTTGTTCTTTTTTTTTTCCTTCTGTTCCTTCCTGCGAGAAAATAGGTAATCCCGAGGTCTGGCAGGGTCCTCCCCTCGGTGATAGGAGCACCACATTTGATCAGACCGGAAGATCAATGATAACAATGCAACCCGCAACGGCGTTGTAATTTGATGTGTGTGTGGCTTGAGCTTCCACCTCCTTCCAAGATCCGAGATCCATGGATGCGTTTCCCAATCGACGACCCCCTCCGCCCTCGGTGACCGAACCTCCTCAACGTCCCATGGCGCCGAGATGGAATCATCGCCGAGCTTGCTGCGGTCTTTTTTGTCGTTTGTCAATTTGTCTATCTGCGGAGGTTTCGTGTAACTGGTGAGACATTCGAAGCGGGCATCATAAACCATGACGAAGTCAAAATGCCGGATCCGAACCAAGATACGCGGTCTTGTTCGGTGATAAAAAAAAAAAAAAAAAGGCTTGATGAAAATCTCGTGGATTGGGGCACTTTTGTTCCCACAGTGCCCAGGGAAAAAAAAAGCTGAGGGGCATGCCGAGGCTCGCATCCATCTCCCGACAATTATTGGCCAATCGCCTTATTCTAAAATGTCATCTGGGGCCTTTCATTCATCATATCATGCCTGCCGCCTTCCTAACTGAGCCAGCGGACTCTTTTACTTAGAATGGAAACAATGGCAAAGCGCGCGTCAGGTGACCTATTGTCCTTCGACAACGTGCTCAGTACTAAGGTAGCGCGGTAGCTTGGCAAAGTTTGTGTCATTATCAACTAAATGGGTATCTGCATCTAGTCCGCCCGTAATCATGAAAGGGGTATACGCATTCAAAGAAGTCCCCGTCGTACGAGTCATAAAAAAAGAGCCCGAGGCCTGCTGATGACCGCGTGCTAGCCTCATTCCTTCGTTCCGTCGTATCAAGCGTCAGGGTCGCTGTCCCCGTTAACGATTGAAGTGTTGAAGTCCTCCTTCATTTCCATCATTGCGTCTCTCGCGAGGCAAACCACTATAGCGATGGTAATGGCATTCCAAACTGCCTGGTAGTTTTTGCTGAGACCAACCTCAACTTGATAACTGACGTAGGCCTCATCCCCTTCTTTCGCAGAGTCAATGGTGAGAACCATGACAGATGTGTTGACAATGAAAAGCCCGTATATCACGGGCGGCTGACGGGTGTACTCTTCTTCCTGCCAAGGCGAAGACTGCCTCGCCGGACTGAGGAGCTTCGAGCCCAGTATTTCGTGCTTCTGGCCATCGTCGTATTTGGCTCCGTTGCTTGGAGGAGTAGAAGGGCGCAACGTGCGCGGTTTCTTTGGCGACGGTGTCTGATACGTGTCAGGCACAAGGACAACTCTATTGTCCTCGATGTCGGCATCTTCATCCTCGTCTTCTCCATAGTCAGGATTCGCTGCATCGTTCCTCCAGTGAGCGCGATGCGTAGCGGCAGCCGCCTTGAGGCGAAACTGCATGTGCTCTTCAATAGCTTGAGGCGACGTTTTGGTGTCCACCATGTCGATGACGAGATTTGGCAAATACTCGAGGCTGTTGTATCCACCGTCTTGTTCGGCCCATTTCGCATATTCGTGGAGTTCCTTTTCAATAAGAGCGCGTGCTCTGTGTCTTTGGCGTGTTTGGCACAAGCCTCGCACATGCGCCGTCAGCTCAATGAGCCGAGCAAGTGCTCTCGTCGCTTCATACTGTTAGCCGTCATTTTCCTCCAAATTGTCTTGATTTCGGAACCTCACCCTTGAAGTCGTTTCCACTTCTTGAGTTGATGATGGGCGGGTGCGCATCAGAGCTTGCAAAGAGAACATCCGGGATGGGGATGCCTCGGAAGTCCATGTCCCAATGCGATGGGAGTAGAGGACTGTACTGCCTCATATACAGAATCTGGAAGAGCCTGTTCTCTTCGTCTGTCCAGTCGTCGCTGCCCGGGAATAGCTTCCTTTCCTCGTCCATCTCGTCCAGCTGCCGCCTCTCCTCTTCCTTCTCCTTTTCGCTCAACACATCTTCTTTTCTGTTGGAAACTTTGCGCGGTGTCTTCTTGACACGTCCGGTCAAGATTTTGTCGGATGCCGGCGTGCCGTCTCTGCCAGCACTCGTGCTCGTCGGTGGAGTTTCGGTGAGCGGCGTTGCGCTAAGACGACTGCGACCGAGTGGTCTGTTGATTTGCGGAGTACGCGCCGGTGAGGCACTCCCCACGGATCCCGATGATTGTCGGTCCATGTTAAAGGAAATTGTGGTGACGTTGACTGCGCGGTGTAGAAGAGATATTCAAATGGCAAAATGCCAGTTTCGTGGCGGAAGTTGAAAGCTGGATAAAGTTCAACAATTGATGGCGCTGCGGGAGTTGCGCGGTTTTTGTCATCTCACGAAGGTGGTGTGTGAGAATAGCAGCTGCGAATATGCATCTCTTTGTCAAGTCAATTTCCCTGGTTTCTTCATCTGGAGACTACTATTTTGACAACCTACTTGCAGTGACTTGGCGAATACGCAGGAAGCAAGGAGATGTCCGCTCCTCGTCGCATTGACCCTGAGTTTCAAGGACGGCAGCAAGGTCCTCACTATCGTATTGTCTGCGACGGATGCGGCGACCAAACAAAAAAGCCGTTGATGTCCTCTGTTTAAAGTCGATAGTGACGCGGTGAGACAATAGCAATTGAGACAAAAGCCGCGCTTGCTGCAGGCGCTCTCAAGGCAAGGCAGCACTTGCCTGACAAGGTGTAAGTAAGTGTAAGGGCCCGTGCTCCTTCTTTACTCTTTCGTCATCCAATATTTTTTGGTTGCAGGCCACGTGACTGATATCCCGGCAGATAACCGGCCTAGCGAAGAATTATGGGTCCGCTGGCAGAAATGACATCTCTCCCAGACGGGATCGATCACTAAAAGGTGGGAAGGAACCCCTGCACTAGTGACTTCCCTGCTTTATTAGCGTGCCCGTTTACAGTGGAGAGGCTCTGGTTTGCATGACGGGGCAATTTTTCAGGTCGCGACGACGCGCCTCAGAGCAATCAAGCGCCTTCACTTAGGCTCATCACGTTCACGTCCTGCAACTACAACCCGAATAGGCCAACATCGCTTTTTCCATCATACGAGAATCATCTTACCAAAGCCGAGCGCATCTTTCAATACACGCGCCTGCTACAGAAACATTTCTACGAGTAGTCTAGCTATGCGCCAGCTTTTGCGCCGAGCCAGCAGTTAATTCATCATGAATTGGAGCAAGCAAACCGTTGTTCAACTCAAGGCGGAGTTGAAACGTCGAGGACTCGCCACCGCTGGCCTCAAACAGGAGCTCGTCGAGCGACTGACCACCAGCGACGAGGCCGCCGAGGAAGAGACGCAGGAAGAGGCCCAGGAGGAAGAAGAAGAAGCTTCCCCAGAGCCTGAGCCACAACCCGCCGAGTCTGCGGAAGCGCCAGCCGAAGCTGCCCTCATCGACACCACCACCGAAGATGTTGCCGATAACGAGACCACATCTGCGCAAGCAGTGGTAGCAAGCCCAGAACCCACCCCTGAGCAATCAGCAGCCGAGCCGACTGCCCAAGATACGAAGACGACCATTCCGGAATCAATCGCCGCCGCGAACCCTACGCCTCCTGCCCCTGCCGAGATAGCGCAAGATGCGCAGAAGCGAAAGCGCCGATCTCAGAGCCCTGCCGAATCGTCAGAGTCAATCACTCGCAAGCGCATCAAGGCAGACCAAGACCGCATCGAGGCAGACAATGTCGAGGAGGCACCGAGCTCAGAGTCAACCGGCGTCGCTGGTGTCATAAACCAAGTCAAGGAGGGTGTGAAGGGCGCTTTGAAGGAAACTCTGGAGGGAGGTAGCGGTCTTCTTGAAGATGTTGCGAAGGAGGCAAAGGACACGTCGAAAGACGTTGAAGAGCTCACTGAGGGCCACCCTATCGAAGAGGATCAGCCGACAGAAGCAAACGCCGAAGAAGACACGGAGATGCAAGGTGAACTCAACGGAAAGGTGGACACAGTCTTTGCCACCGGTCCTGACCATCACCAGGCCTCACTTCACGGTGAAGAGCAGCCCGCGGACGGTCCGGTCACCGATCAAGAGCGACATGAAACTGCGCCAGCGGACGACAATAACGCCATGGAGTACGAAAGAACGGTGCAGCCAGCTACCCACCCTGCCACCAGAGCCCTCTACATCAAGAACTTGATGAGACCACTTAAGGAGTCAACGGTTCATGATCGTCTCGTTGAGCTAGCAACTCCTCTTGGCGCACAACCCAACCCGGATGATGTCGAAGACGTATACCTGGATTCCATCAAATCTCATGCATTTGCAGTGTTCAGAACTACGACACTGGCCTCGCGTGTCCGCAACGCTTTGCATGACGTCACCTGGCCAGACGAAAGCAACCGCAAGCCATTGTCAGTGGACTTTGTGCCACCGGAGAAAGTGAGGGATTGGATTCACGAGGAGGAGGCTGAAGGAAAATCTAACAGAAGCGCTCGATTTGCAGTGCGTTACGACATCGAGGATGACGGATACGTCACCGCCCGCCTGGTCTCTGGTAATGGCCTGCCACCGGCTGAGCCCACTAGGGGTGTACCTGCAGGCCCTGCCGTCAAGGATGTCAACGCCATTCCTCTCGGCCCTCGTGGCGGCCGAGGATTCGAAGGCGCTCCCCTGGGCCCCAGAGGAGACTCACAGCGTGGGCCTGGTCCGAGACCTCCACGACTGATTGAAAACTTCCCCGGGGGCCCTGTACAAACCACGCGAGCTCATCCTCCTGTTTCCTTCCAGGCCGTCTCAGATGACCTCGTCAACAGACGACTGCGAAACATGCGTTCTTACTACACCAAAGATGTCGACCGAGATATGGGCCCGGAGACTGAGATCAACCGCTACATCTTCGAAGAGGGCGACAAGTTTGTTGACCGCGGTCACGAGAACTTTGTCGGCATCCGGCCCCCGCACAGAGAGGCTGAGCGGCGTCGACAGATGGGTGGCGGAGGACCGCCGCCGAGGGGACCGCCTCCTCAAGCGCGCGGCGGTGGCGGCAGGCGCAGTGGCAACGGCCGTCGCGGTCCCCGAATGGTCAGCGACAGGTATCTGCCGGGAATCAATGAGAGTGGCCCTTACCGCCAGGGCGACCGTGGAAACTTTGGTGGTTCTCGCCCCGACGGTGGCCGCCGTTTCCGTTCCGACGACCGAGGCAGCCGGTACTAGGAGTCCAAATCATCTATTCAAGGTGATCAGTTGGCTGCTTCGGCTTTCACCATGTCTTTGGCTGCGTCTCAAACGCCGCATATGACCATGTTCGGGCCTCCGTTGCCTCTTGGCATTCGCGAGTTCAATCGTCGCCAAGTTCATGAACCCGGGTGCCCCAACTGTTTAGAGAAAGACTACTGCGACTGCCCGTGGCGTGCCGATGACGCCAGCGATCCTCAAAACCAAATTACGGACCACTTCCCATACTGCAACAACGCCGCTGACTGTGGCTTATGCTTTTGTCCCTCGCGCACTCGCCCTCTGACGCCCCCGTTGGTACCTCCAGACCGACCTGGGTATTCTTCACCTTCAGTGTCACCGATAGAGGTGGTGACTCCATCTCCACCACGGGGACCCGCGTGGCAGAGACGACTCGGGGTGTTGGTAGTAGAGGATGATTTTGAGGTCGACGACATTCGGCAACAGATTTGGCTACAGCAGGCTGCTGACGAACTGGAACGATTACTCCGAGAAACCCGTTCTTTATAATGGCCATGGAGAAACGGGATGCCCATTCCACAAACCCTCTCTCTCTCTTCCTCGGGGCCATTGGGAATACCATGGCTGGCAGTCAAGACGAAGCGAAGGAATCGGTCACCAGTCAAGGGGAATGAATCACTTTAATGGAGCATTTGGTAGAATTCCAAACTGCTGCTGGGCGAAAAGGACGAACACAAAAAATAGATTAGGTCTAGACTGTATGATTCTCTCTCTCTCTTCTTCTTTTCCCCCCCTCTTTTACCAACGACGATCGAACTCATAGAGAGACGTGGAGCAGGCACACGCCCACGCTGCGATACCACACCATGACACTGTTTCCCAGGAGGGGAAGGGACACTTGGATCTCTCTCTCTCTCTTCATTGGGAGTAGCTAGCTAATTGAAGAAGCTTCCTTGAAAATCTTGTTCGATTGTTCGTGATATCTTGGCTGTGTAGTATTTCTTGTTGGGGTGAGTTGACATGATTCTGCAAGGGATGTGATGTCGCCTTGTGTCGACCATCTCTCTATTCCCTCGAACGTGAGTCTAGATCGTTTTATAGTTCTTCTTCTGCCCGTCCCCCCCCCCCCTTCTTTTTAGACGACCGGTTGAATTCATATTGAGACGTGGGGGTATACACCCGACCATGCTGTGATACCACACTGCCTTGCTGCCAGTGAAGACACGCAGGGCTTTTTATCCATGTTCTTTATAGGAACTGAATCCCTCTTTTAGTTTGGAGTATCTAGCCAATTAAAGAAGCTTTAAAGCAACCATGGTTTTACTGTACTGCCGGCGATGTTTTTGGGCGGAAAAAGTATTTCTCGTGTCGATCGTAGCTAACGGGGAAGATCATATCGCGTCGTTTTGAGATCAATCCTTTTCGTACATGTGCCCCTCCTGGTTTCTTCTCTCTAGGCGGAGATCTCCCCCGACATGCCTATCTGTGATGACCCTCATCCTGCCTGGGCATGGCATCTTCGTCCACCTCAGATGCATTGCCACTAGACTGAACCCAGAAAGAAAGAGCATCAAACGCTCTTCAGTCAACAGAATCCTCCACAATCAGTATGAGATGTTAGGAAGAAGTAAGTCCAGGATTGATATGCGCATCCAATGGAAGCGATCTTCGAAAGAAACTCGAGTGCGATTTCGATAGATTTGAGTCCATATACTTCCAGGTTCGATCTTGAGAACAGAATTGGCAATGATTTCAGCAAAGAAGAGGAGTCCTTGATTAACAATGTCTGAGATGCATTCTGGAAGCCTCGTCTCCGTCGGTATATTCCATCGGCATATACTCAGGGTACTAGGACCAGTAGAGAGGGCACCTACAAGAAGAAGGGGGTCTGAAGGATTGCGAGGGCTCAACGTGAAGTGACCTCATAACCAGCCCCTCAGTGAGAAGTTGTTTCTTCCACACTCTCCCCTAGTCAATCTGCCCCGGCAATAACCTGCTTGCCTCGGGCAACGCCTTTGGTTGCTTTTGTCACCAGCTTCACTGGTCTCCTTGTTTCCCTCGGTATTGATTCCTAATTCCATTCAACCTGAAAATTTGAGATACAGCCCATCTCAAGAGCTCCTTGTGTGTCGCGTGTCTCAATTCATCATTCCAAGACTCATGGTGAGCGTGGTACGCCTTATAGGCCGGCCTATCATACCAGGAATCATTATATGCACTTTTCCTTCACCACCACGATGTACTTACCAGGCGATTTCGTCAAAGTATTCCTCAGCCAATTCCCTTGCGGGGTAGCTGAACACACTTTTGTGCTGACTGTACTGCTCATGCCGATCTAATGCCCACATTCTTGCAGTTCGCATTGGAACGTTGGGACACAAGTTGAGATCAATTATCGTTCGCAAAGCTTCCTATGCTTTCTGTTGCGCATCGCTGCGAAAAATTCCAAATCCCGACTGTCGAGGCGGTAAGGCTGTAGGGCAAACAGCGTTCATGAGGGGGCCTTCGATCAGTATTAGCTGTGACGGCAAGGATGTCGAATTCTCTAAATTGTCTGTGAGTGTCTTGGAACAAAAGCGAGCTAGCCAGAAGCTCCGAAGACCTGGTTTGGTTGTCTTCGAGAGAGTTGTCTTTCTTTGACGAACAACGTCATTAATATCAATAGTGCTCATATGCGGCATGCTAGCGTTGCAACCCTTTCCGGTGGCTTCTGTCTCCCTGATTCGATCCGGCCCGGAACTACAGTTGCCTGCTTTCAGATTATTGACATCTTTTATCATGTCTTCCCAATCAACTGAGAACAAGCAGTCTCTGTGAACAACGCGCTTCCCACTTTGTAGAGTTATTTGTGGACAATCTGCAGACGGGAGGAGGTAGGCGTCTTGCGAGATTATAAAGACTCTACTGAGCGGTCCAAATTTTTTGAAAACGTAGCTGAGGTGCGAGGCTAGTGTTGACTTGCCACTCGAAGGGCTACCGCCGATGCCGATGATGTAGGTTGGGATGTGAGAGGCCTGTCCTTCGGTTGCAACATCTTTGCTCGACGAAGGATGCATATGCGAAGGTAGTGATGGGGTGACAGATTCCTCCAAGAACGGTAGAGGAAAGTAAAAAAACGGCAGAGAGGACGACTGCCATGGCGAGATGTTTTGATAAGCGCCTATTTCCTTGTAGTACCTTTCCGAACCGCGTGCGGTTCCAATCCGGCCACCCGGATCACCAAAGCACATATTCGCTTGGACAAAGGGTTTAGGAGGAGAGGCGCCTTCGCTATGAAGAGGCATTTGCGCCCGCCATACGTGTGAGTTGACTGGTAGTTGCCCGTAGCTTACACAGGAGGTTCCTGGGTGCGAGCCATCGGTAGCGCAGAAGTCCGCCCGTTCACCATAGACTGGGTATACCGGGACGGTTAACAGGGAGTCGATTTTCTTCGACTCTTCTGACGAGAACAACGGACCTTGGTGCGAGGCGTCGGCAGCGTGGAGATCCGCCCAGTCATCGTATAGAAGACAATGCAGATTATCCATGCTGGTGTATGTCGAAGAGCTATCCTGTGGTTGATGTTGATCTCTTATGCTGACGATACGGATACGGAAAAGGTATGAACGGCCAAGAGAACGAGCAATCAAGAAAGGCAGAGGGATAGCTGTGCTTTCAATTCGTGTGGATGTATGTGCCAGAGTGATGTTGAAATGAAGTGCGTACGGAGCTCGGTGTCTGAGAATTGAACGACATCCGTCGAGAAGTAGGATGGTTATCGCTCTTGCAGTCGTTTCCGTCGTGCCAGCCTTCACAATGGCTATCTATGCCTGCCATGATCAGCACCTCTTTCTTCCCCGTCGCAACGGCCACATTCATACTCCACGCCGCACCTACCTTCACCAGTGTGTTTGTCATTGGTTGCTTTAGCATCGCATCACATGAGAAGGAAGTGAGGAAGAGTGATGTTTCCAGATCATGAACGTTTTTGTGTTTCAATTTGGGAAGGTAGCTTTCTTGAGAGCTGCTATGGAACTGTGTAATGAAAAAAAGCGAGGAAGGAACCACCAAATCCCACTTGATGATGTGTATGCCCAAGGTCGAAAAGAGACCCTAAAACCAACTGCCGCGACACCCATAACTACAAGACAAAGAACCAGAAACCCCATTTTGCACCAGGACGCAAGTAACCCCCTATTCACACCAAAGCACTACGGACTCAATTAAGCAGCCGCGGCGAGGGTGGTGGGCTCAACACCGACACGCTCCCTGCTGAGGATGTCGAGCATGAGCTGGGTGGGACGGTTGTCCTTGAAGATCTTCTCGCTGTCCTTGAACATCTGGACGTTCTCAATGTACTTGTCAAAGAGGTAGGAGCTGTCCATGGGGCCGCCCTTGGCCTCGGGGTGGAACTGGGTGGAGAAGATGGGGCGGGTCTTGTGCATCATGCCCTCGTTGGAGCCGTCGTTGAGGTTGACAAAGTACTCCTTGAAGTCGCTGGGGAGGGTGGAAGAGTCGACGGCGTAACCGTGGTTCTGGCTGGTGATGTGGCACTGGCCGGTGGTCAAGTCGAGGGCGGGGATGTTGTGGGCGCGGTTGCCGTACTTGAGCTTGATGGTGCGGGCACCGACGGCCAGGGCGAGGAGCTGGTGGCCGAGGCAAATTCCCATGATGGGGACGGGGGAGGTCTCCATGAGGCGGCCAAGGTTGTAGATGGTCTCCTGGCAATGAGTCGGGTCACCGGGGCCGTTGGAGATGAAGACACCGTCAAAGTTGCTGGAAACCTTGTGGATGGGGTAGTTGTAGGGGAAGACGGTGACGGAGGCGCCACGGCTGACCAAGCTGCGAAGGATGTTCTCCTTGACACCGCAGTCAATCAGGGCAACGTGGAAGCGAGCACCCGGGGACTCGACAACGAAGGGAGCCTTGGTGCTGACACGCTTGACCAGGTTGATGGCGCCGGGGTCGATGAAGCTCTCGTCCTCGTCGGCGTCGTACTCGTCACCAATAGTGATCCTAGCGAGGGAGGAACCCTGCTCACGGAGGTAGGTGACGATCTCACGAGTGTCGACGCCCGAGATGGCGGGAACACCCTCACGGGCGCACCAGTTGCTCAAGCTCTCAACGGCGGTCCAGTGGCTGTACTGGGTGGCGACGTCGGCGACGACGACACCGGCGCACTGGATGTGAGGGGACTCAAAGTACTTGAGGAGGTTCCACTCATCACGCTGGTTGGAGGGCACACCGTAGTTGCCGATCAGGGGCTGGGTGAAGACCAGAATCTGGCCGCGGTAGGAGGGGTCGGTCATGGACTCGGGGTATCCAACCAGGGAGGTGGTGAAGACGGCCTCGCCGGAGATGTTGGAGTTTGCTCCGAAGGCTCGGCCCGAGAAGACGGGGCCATCCTGAAGGGATTGTTAGCAAGCTTGTTTCTGTATCGCTGGCACGACGTAGATATCTCGGCGGTGACATACTCGGATGGTCAGGGTAGCGTCGAGGTTGGCGACGGGGGTGGTGGCACGGGTCTGGGTGAAGGGCATCTTGCGGCCCTTGCTACCAGCGGCCTGGCCGGAGAGGAATCGGGTCTGAACTCGGAGGCCGGAGCTCAACCCGGCGGCACCGTTGGCCGCGGGCTTGGTGAGGGACGCCAATCGGGAGAACATGTTGGCTTGGGTTTAGGTTGAGGTGATGTAGAAGAAGTTGCTAGTGGTTTGGATAGACACTTTAGGGGCTGGCAGCCTTCCACAAGTGGTCTGTTGGGGGGTGGGAAACATGGTCAGTCTCGCGTGCCACGTTGGAGGGGCGGTGAGTCAATCGAGGGTATTATGCTAACCTGAGAGATAATCCTGAAGATAGCGAGTCAGCAACCGAAATTTAGCAATATTAATGGTTGTAAAGAAGCAATGCGTCTTCAGTGCAAGTAGACTGGACACCCGAGAGCTTCAATTGGGCTATGGGCACCAGCTTGAGACAGAGTTTGGCAGCGGGGTCAAGAGGTATCACGAAGACCGTGAGCTCAGACGAACCAACATGGCGGGATCTGATAAGAGAGAGAAAGACGAAAATCATTTGACATACCTGAGAGGTGAAGACTGAAGGACGCCCGTTCATAAGGGCAGCTTGCAAATGGTCAATCAGTAGAAGAAGGGTAGTGAAGTGCTCGAGGCGAGGTTGTGGATGGATGATGGCTGGATATAATCTGTGACGAGTGTGTTGCACGATGTTGCAGGATTTTTGGATCTGGAGGAGGAAAAGGGAAAGAAAAAAAGAGAAGGGAAGCGGTGGGAGGAGATCGGGTAGAAAAATAGGAAGCACGAGCGCCGGCACACGGAGTCACACAGCGCGCAGCAAACGGGGCCCTTTCCTCTCCTCCTCCTGCTCCTCCGCCTCCACCACCGCTCACCCCGTCCAAGTCCCAGTTACCCAGTTCCCAGGTATTCAACGTCAGGTCAACCTGGGAAAGAGTACCGCAGTAAAAGTCCCCGCCGCCCAAGTCACAGCCAGCAGCAATACTTGGGTTGGGCAAGGCAAATTTTTTTGGGGAGCTTGTCATTGGACCCTTTGGGGAAAGATCGGTCGCTGATTAGCCAGTAATGGGGTCAACGGGCCCCCCCGTTATGAGGATGCCTGCAGGGGAAACTCTCGCCGCCCAGCCCCAAGCACTGGTATCCGTACACCAGGGCAAGCTGTCACCAAAGCACCGGGCACTGGCAACCGGGCAGGTAAGGTAAGGTACCTCCCCGCCCCAGCACAAGGGCGCCCGCACCGCCGATGTCGTTCCTTATCGCGGGGCTTTACATAATTCGCCCAGCCTTTTAGCAATTCCGCCCTTTAATCACTTTCTTCCCCCCTGGTTCTTATCAGCCCTGCTGAGCCGAATTGGACTGGTCTTATCCGTACTCTTGGACAATTACATCACCGCCTCTCGCTTTGTACTTTGTACGGAAATACTCTGTTCAGCACTAGAAAAAATCTAGCCGTGCCATTGAGCCGGCATTGGGCTGCGGAAAGACGCTTTCGACCCAGGGATCACCTTTGCAGCTACTCGGCACATTGTTCCAATGCTTCATTCTCCCAAAATTGACGCAATATCAGAGTTGGTGGGCTCTTTTTTGTCTTGCTTTTCTCTCGCGCCCTCCCCATCCCGCCGCCGGGTTCGGAGTCCCACTTTTCAGCTGGGTGAGTTAAAACTGCTGACATTGCATACCGTAGACAGCCCTGTGTTTCCCTGCATAAAATCGCCTACATGCATCAATCCATCCATCCAATTCATCCAATTCATCCAATTCACCTCTCCCCGGTTGGGCTAGACCGAGTGAACAACTCTTTCTGTCTCTTCCAACGGGACTGTCAAACGGGGACGCGCATTGGCGGCCAGCCTATCGCAAGCTATCGGGTCCTCCCTTGCCAACCAGATACGGAAACCATCAAACTTGAGTCCCTTTCAACCCTTTCTCCGGGGTCCTGCAGTCTACACCGACTCGAGTCCCGCGTCCCTTTTGTTCCTGTCTGGAGGGGCGCGCGTTTGAACTTTGAAAGAAGACAGATGCAGGACCTTGCAGCACCCATCTGCTCGGAAACCCCGGCTCACTCAAGGCGGTCTGTCTCTCTCAACCAATTGAGATGATACAACATGATTCTGAGCACGCAACCATGCGAACACGCACAGCGGGCCATCATGTTCGAGTCTCTTGTGAGCGGTGGTTTTTCTTTTTCCTGTCTTTCTGTCTCATTCGTCTTTTGTGTTTAGACTTGCGAGATTCTGAGGAATGCCACCTCAACTTACATGTGGTCTCATCGTGTCAGCAGCTGTCCGGTTGAATACGCTTGGTTACATACATGCCAAGGATGCAGTCGAAGAAGTTTGGCTTCTGATTGAGTGCCCTCTGACGACTCGACCCCTCATCTCGTGTTCAAGAGTTCTAATTACGCTGCCGCCCACAGACGTCAAGTCAGCATTGAAGATGGAGAAGTCAACGTTCGCGGCAGAGTCACGACGTTCTCACACAGCGTTTGCTGTGACCCTCTAAACTCTATATGGATTGTGAAGCTACCAAAGTGGGGACGGACGCTTCACCTTTAAGGACCACTCCAAGGACATTGCAGTGAAGCTACGAATGGCAGTCAAGATGAGATATCCTCGTTTCGCAGAGATTCACAGAAGTGATCAAATTAGTTGCTGCTAGCCAATGACCTTGCGCTGAAGTCAGCTTGAGATGACTGAAGACCATGATGAAGACATTGCTGGGATGCTTTCATAAAGTTTCATACTCTTCATTTTCTATAAGCTTCGTCAAGTCATACATCAAGTGATGGTGCCCCCGAATCGAAAAAAACTCTAACTCCAACGCCAACCCCCCATTCTACCCTCTTCCATCCTCTCATCAGAGTATATACAGTCTCACTCTCCTCCCCGTCCCCTCAGCCTCATCCACCATCCTCCGATTCGCCCTCCCCAGCGACCACCTCATCCAAAACACAGTCCCGATACACATGGCCGAAAAAACCATCATCAACAAGAAAGCAAGCAAATACCTCGGATTATCCGCCGGCCTAAAGAAAATACGGACTCCAAATATTGCCCACCTGCGCCAACAAACACACAATCGACGTCGCCGTAGCCCTCTTCTCAGGCGTCTCGCTCGCCACGCTCGCCGCCCAGCTGAAAATCAGGCCCGTCGACGCGAACGCACCAGGGAGGTACAGGAAACTGGCAGAGTACCGCGCGGGCCGGTTCGTCGTCACCGCCGAGATGAAGAAGCCGAGCATGGCGACGCACACGGGGCCGACGATGTGGAGACCCCGGTCGGCGCGGCGGTCCGAGGAGACGGCTACGCAGAGGGCGACGACGGCGGCGAGGAGGTAGGGCGGCGCTGTGAGCATGAGGGTTGTTGTGTTGGAGCCTAGGCGGAAGCCTTGGACGATTGTCGGGAAGAAGCTGTTGAGGCCGTGGGAGGAGAGGTAGAAGGCCATCATGCAGACCTGCCCCCAAGTCAGTCGAGAACATACCTCTTCTACTTTTACGTTTCTCAGGGGGAAGCTACGCTCTCAAAGAGCGGCAGGAGAAAAGAGAGGGAAAGGGGTGTAGAGTCGACAAAAAACTCACAAAAGCCCACGTCCTCGCATCCTTAACAGCAAGCGCCAACCCCCTCCACACACTCGACTTCTCCTCGGGCACCGAAACCCGATCAGCGTCCATCCTCTGCGCCGCGACCTGTAGCTCCCTCTCCGACATGAGCCACGAGCACATGCCCGTGCGAGACCCGACGTAATCCGGCAGGAAAGCTAGCGCCGCGAACGCGGACGTGAAGCTCCCGGCTCCTTCGATGATGAAGAGCCACTGCCAGCCCGCGAGCCCGCGCGCGCCGTCGAGGTGCGCAAATACGGCGGCGGCGATGAAGCCCGAGAAAGCCGTCGCGATGAGCATGCCCGAGTAGAGGATTGCTGTGCGGAAGGCGATTTCTTTTTGGGTGTACCAGCAGGAGAGGACGTAGAAGATCTATGTGTTCCCCGTGAGCATAGCGTCGGCAGGAGTTCAGGAGTCTTTACGCCATGAAGAGGGGAACCTCCAGCTCGGGTGCCCCTTAAAGGGGGTTTCACGAGAAGAGCAGAGGGCAAAAGAGAGTGTGTTCAACTTACCCCTGGGAAGAACGGGGCTTCGACGACGCCTAGAATCACTCTAATAGCGACGAGGCTCGAAAAGTTCTTTGCTGCCGCCGTCGACGCCGATACACACGACCACAGGAGCACGCAGCACGGCAGGTATATGCTCGGACGCACGCGGGTGATGAGCATGTTGGGCGGTAACTGGGCGACCATGTACCTAATTCGCCAAGACGAAAAAGGGGTCAGCGGCAGTCCCAAATAGAGAGAGAGAGAGAGAGAGAAACGGCACAAAAGGATCCCCAATAGGACTCACCCGACGTTGAATATCGCTACGGCGGTATTGAACTGCTCCCCCACGAGCCCGAGATCCGCCTCAAACTTATTCAACTTGGCCTGTCTATACCGCGAACCACCATCATACGTCAGTGTACTGGCGACAAGCTCTCGTGCGGCTGCGAAGAGCGAACACCCACTCCATTATCAGAGCGAACCTCGGGGGAAAAAGAACGTACGCGAGATTATTCCTGTCGAGGTAGTTGAACATGTACAACGTCCAAATCACCGGCATAAGCGTCATATCGAGCTTTCGCACCAGCCTCTTCTCCGCCGCGCGCCACTCGGGGTGTGCCATGGCCACTTCTTCGGGGGTCTCGAGCCGCGGTGACGAGGGAGATGCCGGCAACGAAGACGACATTGGTGACGCGTCGGGTAGAGGCCCCTTTTCGATCGTGTCGACCGAGACCTCCCCTTTACTCGTAGAGGTGATTTTACCCATGTTGGCGAACTCCAATTCTTTTCCAGGCTACGATTATCAGAGCGAACAATAATCGATGGTTGTCTGACCTGAGGTTGGGTGTGTATAAGGGTGACAGCGAATATGAACCGTTGACCAAGGAGTTTGAGGTGGGTGTGGCAGCTTTTGTCTTTTTGATATATCGAGTCGAGCCAACCCAGTCTCGCCTCGCTTTCGGACGTTAGCATGACCTGCAAAAAGGTTTGTATCTTTCCCCTTCCCCCCTCATCCACACTCACATCCATCACTCACGTGGCAGCACATGGGAAACTGCTCAAAAGCAAGACAAACAGCAAAACATTGATAAGCCGAAAATAAACGTCCCGATAACGAGCTTGGCTTCCAGGTTTTGCCGGGTTGCCATTATGAGAGTCGAGTCTCAGCAATATCACCATACATGAGCGTGTTCTCACCACATTGGGCGGGGGTGGACGGGAGTGCCCATCCAACGTTCCAGGCTCCAAAGTCAAAAAAAAATTCAGTGATCCGCCGCTACCCCCGGGGCCCGAGATGCTTAATTTGCCAACAACCCAAGTGTATGCAGACTATTGAACTCTACGACGCGTCGCGGCTGCGACGTTGGGGGAGGGAGGGGTAAGGTTGTTCTCAGTAGGTCATCTTCGAAAGCTTGGACTTCAAGCTGTGGAAAAGTCTGACCGTCTCATACCGTCGTCTACTGTGGTCGTCTACTGTGGTATGGACGAGCGTGTGATCGGACGGAGACTTTTTTGACTCGGCCGATGCGCTCCCGTGGAGGGGTTAGGGGACGGACCCCTCTAGAATCGTGATCTTGGTTTGCGTCTTTCTCTTGTGTATAGTGAACGGTGGCTATCATGCACGCCATGATGAGCGAGTTCTTTTACTATGTGGTGACAGAGGACGAGAGATGTGCTTGTGATACCAATACATGAGTATACTCAACGAACTTACATCACAAGTTTCCTATAGTTAGTCACTAAGAAAGACTAGATCAATATTAGACATGTGATATTGAGAGGCTATGCCGAACACCGAAGCCATCGCACTAGTAAATCTCAGGGTAACATACCGTATACACATCGTCCATTCCATCCTGAAGATTGTGACACTGTCTTCCGAAGCTCGCAGTGAGCCGACGGAACCCAAGACTATTCCGCTCACCACCAAACTTACATACGTACCTATTTATCCACATCTCCGAGCCCATTTCAGTTGACAAACTCGCCGCAATGGCTCCGATGTTTTAGAAAGTAGAAACCCACGCAAATCCCGAACCGACTTCGGAAGTCTTCCATACGCAACACACAGCAACTCATGTCTATTATTCAGCAGGAAACCCTGCGAACCCAGCGAACAAGACGGGAATAACACCGGCCTCTCCATCGCCTAGTGCCGTACAACAGTCCTAGCCCCCCCCCGCCCCCCGCGCAACGCAACGTGAGGCCCTCTGAATGGTCAGTCGTGGAAATAGACTACTCCCAGCAAGCCGTTGCCGTCTGCCCGAAATGTCCGAATGGCGAGTTGGCCCTCATTTTACAACGGGGAGTCGTTGAAGAAAAGGAGGGAAACCACGGGAATGTGGGGATGGGAATAAATCAACGCAACACTAGCACTAACTGCACCCCACGGCAAGTTGCGTCATGAGGAGGCAAGATCCGTTGAATAATCTCCGGATATAAACTATTTCGGCGCGTCTTGGCGGATTCCTCGGACTTTGAACTTCTCTCTTTGCCTTCGTCCTCAACTTCCTGAAAGGTCAAATTCAACGTATATTAGTTGATAGATTATTCCAAATCATTGGTTCAGAGATCGATATCAATTAGACTTCCATCACAGACAATTGATCCAGCTCGCTCTTGATAACAAAAATGGCATCAAACAACGACAATACCCCAGCCCCAATCCCAGCAGCAACAAAGTTGAGACAACGCCTCAACGAGACGGACGACTTAATCCTCCTACCAGGCGTATACGATGGCTTCAGCGCCAGAATCGCACTCGAAGTCGGCTTCGACGGTCTCTACATGGTAAAGCCCACCCACAACCACACTCAGCCCCTCACTCTCACTCTCACTCCCACACATTCACTAACACCAAGAACCTCAGACCGGCGCAGGAACATCAGCCTCAAAACTAGGCCTCCCAGACCTAGGCTACGCCACTCTAGACGACATGCGCTCCCACGCCGAAATGCTCGCCAATCTAGACCCTTCCATCCCCCTAGTAGCCGACGCAGACACAGGCTACGGTGGGCCCAACATGGTCGCCCGCACCGTAACCCAATACGCCCGAAGCGGCGTCGCGGGTCTCCACATCGAAGACCAGGTCCAGACGAAACGCTGCGGCCATCTAACAGGCAAACAAGTCGTCGACACAGACGTCTTCATCTCCCGCATCAAAGCCGCCGCCCTCGCGCGCCGCAAAATCGGCTCCGACATTGTCGTCATCGCCCGCACCGACGCGATCCAGACGCACGGCTTCGACGAGGCTCTGCGCCGGCTTCGGGCGGCTGTGGAGGCGGGCGCGGATGTCGCGTTCCTTGAGGGCGTGACGTCGGCGGAGCAGGCGAGGACGGTGTGTAAGGCTCTTGCGCCGACGCCGGTGCTGCTGAACATGGTCGAGCACGGCGCGACGCCCTCGTGGACGGCTGCTGAGGCCAAGGAGCTTGGGTACCGCATAATGATTGTGCCGTTTGCGGCCATTGCGCCGGCGTACGAGGCGATTCGCGATTCGTTGGCGAGGTTGAAGGAGACGGGCGTGGTCGGGACGAAGTCTGATTTCTCGCCGAGGAAGCTGTTTAGCATTGTTGGGCTGCAGGAAGCGATGGAGTTTGATAAGGCTGCCGGTGGGAGCTCGTACAGACAGGTGTGATGGCCGAAAGACTGATAACCACCGAGGACTAGATCCAATGGAGAGAATTAGACGACGGTCTCTGTGATCCCATGTTTGCTCCTGTGGAATATACACCCGACCCACTCAGGCTGACTGCCTGCCTCTTGAATACTTTCCTGCTGAGCACTTGCCTGATGAGTGCTTGCCTTACCTTATATTCAAATTGAGGTCCCTTTTTTTCAACCAAGCCCAACTGATCCCCGTGGTCAGATGGTATAACGTCCAGCTACGTTAGTATACAATATGAACTTGGTATGAAATCTCACCGGGAGGTTTCGTAACGCGTCCAGTTCGAATCCCGAACTGGGTGCCTGAGCTTTTGCTTTTTTTGCCCTTTTTGATACTACGAGGTACTGACAGGCTGCGGCGATGAACTCTCCATGCAACCGACGTCATTCGTTCGGAGATACACCTAGACATGCTGACGTACATCGCGATGGTTAATTTGGAAGATTCAATAAGTTCGGTACGTCAGACGTTCATGCCGGTCGAGCAATTATCGCGTCCCATGTGCCTTCGCATTCCGAGATTTATTTCCGAGATGCGTCACATTCTTAATACACTCTCGCCGGTTCCGTTGGGGCGGTACATTACGTGCTCGGTTTCAACCTCGCTGACCGGACCGTTCCGTTGACTCCCCTGTGATGCGTAACCGCCCACTGAAGGGTTGAAAGCGCAGCGGACGGTTCCCGCGCAACATCTACCCGAGGCCGAGCTCCTCGACTGAGATGCTAAGGGGGGCAAGGTATATCAGCTTGCTTTTCCATCTTAACAATTGATGGATATATCGGTTCTCGTTCTCGCTCAACCTCAAGATGGCAGAAGTCAGCCGATTCGAGCCACGCAAGGTGGTGTGGTGACTGGATTTCTTCATGTGATAGGTAGGCCCTTAGGCCCAGGCCGGGACCCGGTACATCCTTTTGACGCAATGCGGGGCTCGGAATACCGCAAGTCTAGTTTGTAGTAGTATGTGCAAGCAACTGTGATATCAGTATCCTTACACAACATGCCATAGGAGTTGAGCTTTGCCATGTATATTGAGAATGTCTCGACAATGCATTCGTACTCCGAACGCTCTCCGTAATCACGTCCGAATGTCCGAGAAGCCTGCGTTTGAATCGATTCTATTGCAAAAAAGGGTCTCTTCGTACTGGTACAAGCCATTACACGCCCCCTACAAGGCGCCGAGCTCCTTGAGCTTCGCAACGAGACCGTCAACGTCCTCGACCTTGCCGCCACCCTGGCGTTGAGGGGGCTCTGTGAAGATTCGTTAGCTCGCAATTCTCCAGAGGAAAGCAATGCAAATCCAGTTTCTGTAGCAGACGCATCGGGGAAATAGACAACGACGCCATAAAGAGCGCAGAAGAAAGACTCACCAGTAACCTTCAAAACCTTCAACCTCTTCTCGACACCAATCCCGTAATCGGCCAGCTTCTTCTTCTCAAGCGGCTTCTTCTTCGCCTTCATAATATTCGGCAAGCTCGCGTACCGCGGCTCATTGAGCCGCAGATCCGTCGTAATCACCATCGGCAACTTCGCCTTGACCGTCTCCACGCCACCGTCAACCTCGCGCGTGACGCTCACACTATCCCCCTCGCCAAACTCCACCACGCTCGCCGACGTAGCCTGCGGCCACCCCAACAGACCAGCGAGCATCTGGCCCGTCTGGTTCGCGTCGTCGTCGATGCTCTGCTTGCCGAGGATGACGAGGTTGGACTTGTGCTCCTCGGCGGCCTTGCGCAGCAGCTTGGCCACGCTCAAGGGCTCCAGGTCGTCGCCCTCCTTGGTCTCGACGTGGATCGCGCGGTCGGCGCCCATGGCCATGGCGGTGCGCAGCACGTCGACGGCTTTGGGGGGTCCCGCCGAGATGACGGTGATGTCCTCGACGCCGCCGGGCGCCCGCTTCTTCTCGCGGATGCGGACCGACTCCTCGACCGAGAGCTCGTCAAAGGGGTTCATGGAGTGTTTGACGCCGGCCGTCTCGACGCCCGTTTGGGCCTTGTTGACTCGGGGTTTGACCTGTTTTGTCGCGGAACACATCCAATGTTAGCTGGAGGACCATAATCACAAGCCAATTTTGCGCAGAAAGTGCCAATTGCGGTCGGGTAGCGTGGGCAGAGCTTTGGTAGACGTACGGCATAGTCAATGACCCGCTTCACGGGAACGAGAATTCGGAGGGCGGACATGGTTCGGGCTCTCTCTCTCGCTCTGCTTCTTCAATGGCCCGTTGTTGATGCGTGGAGGGGGTTGCTTGTGGGATTGCGCAGATGGGAATTGGAGGGTGTGGTGGGAGCTTGAGGTCTTCAGTGGTCAAGGTCCGTGTCGTCACTGGGGAAAATGGGACTCCGTCGTTAGCGATACCGGCTAACCTCGGGTCACCGCCCCACCGTAAGCCCTTTTCGGTCATTCGAGCGTAGACGCTGACTTGCGGGCTCGTAATCCCGAAGCTCTGTTGATTTTGGTCGTACTGCTCCTTTGGACGTTCCGCCCTCATCTGAAGGCATCTCGGCTTTGAGATGTTCGCTTGTTTCAACACTACCCATTAGGTAGGTAGGACACTGTCACAGTATCACTTCGAGGACCATAAGACATGCTCAGCTACACGGTTGCAAAGTCAGTGGCACTTTAGGCCACAGCGTCTCCAATCTCGAAATAAGTGATATTGCAGTCTAAATTGATATTCTTCGACTAGCAGGCCTGCCAAAGCACAACAACCGCTCACCCGCCCGCCCCTAACACACTCTCCGGACACCGTATAACGCCCGAACTCACCAGTCATCCCACCCATCATTCTCCTTCTTCGTAGCCGGTGCCGCGGCACCTCCAGTCTTCTTGCCCATAGCAGAAGTACCAATCGAGCTTCCGCTCTGCGTCTGCCTCTGGTCTGCCAGATTGCTAAAGCTGTCCCAAAAGTCCTTTTTGCTCTCATCCAACGGCGCCTGTCTCGAGGCTCCGCCCTGGCCCCCTTGGCTGGGACCGCCCTCGACGAAGCGGTTAAAGCCGTCGTGGGCATTGCGGGCACCCTGCTGCGCGACGCGGCCCGCGTTGGCCGCCGCGATCTGAGCTTGCTTTGCAAAGTCGGATTCCGCAAGCTAATTTCAAGGAGGGCGTCGGATTAGTCCGGAGTTCTTCGTTCGGGCCGGCGCCGGAGGAGATATGATTGAACTAGAAGGGTCACCCACCTGTTTCGCTGTGGGCTGAATGTAGCCATCGTTGACCGTCTTGGCCGTCTTGGAGACGGTGGTTGTGAACCAGCCGAATCCCTTGGTCAGAGCGGCCACTGGATCCCTTTGCAGATCGTCCACAGTCGGGATGCCACCCTCCTTCTTCTCGGGCATGGGACTGCTGCCGAATCCTGCGTATTTGCCTCCCTGACTGGGAGGCAAGTCCTCGGATCGGGAGGCGTTCTCGGCGCCGAGCTTGGAGAAGTATTTATCGTCCACCTTGACCTTCCTGCCGGGACTGGCGGAGCGGCTGTTCGTGCTGCCGAGAGGTGTGCCCGTTCGGCTGGCGGGCTTCGCCGCCGGTGCTGGTGCGGGCTTCTTCTCGCCGGGAACGTACTCCTTGCCCTCTACCTTGGCAGAGAGCCTGTCCTTCCACTCATCGCCGACCTCGCCACTGTATCGCTCCGCGATCGTCGCGTCGTCCCACGAGATGCCCCTCATCTTTGTGTCCTCGTGCTGTTCGAAGAAAGTGCGCCAGTTCTCGTTGCCACCCAGGCGCATCCGCTCGATCTCGACCTGCTTGAATGCGTCCATTGAAATGCTGCGTACGAAGGAGATGTGCACGCCGAGACCGCGGTGGACGCCGGCGCATGACAGGCAGATAAAGATGCCAAACTTCGGAGAGGCCCATTGCGGGGATGGTGCGTTGCAGTCACAGCAGACGTTGTTCTTGGCCTCCTTTTGGATCGCGGCCAGCTGTGAGGAGACGTTGGGTTAGCGGCGAGTCGCGAAGTCGCAAGCAAGGCACTCGACTTGGGAGAGAACTCACCTTGGCGCGCGTCTCGGGATCGACCTCCCACATGGCCTTGGAAGCCATCGTGGGAAGAGCTCAGGGCTGGTGAATGGGTATGAGCGGAAAATACGTGGCAAAGAAGGGCAGGTTGAGGTACGTGGGAGGTTGTCGCAGTGAGGAATTGTGGAGGGGCTTTCTTGATGCCGATAAGGGGTTTGCTGGCAGTCGACTAGGGTGCGGGAGTCTGGGCGTCTGGCCGGGTACCTTTTAGTGACTGACGTTGCCCTCAATTTCATCCATGTATTTGAGTTCCTTGGCCCAGGGGAACGGACACGTGAGCTACCAAGTCTCTGGTAACACCAACCAGCCAGTATGTGCTTTAACGTCTATGGAGGTATTGTTATGCTCGAATCTATGGATTTCCCCTCGAGCAATCGGAGCATTATTGACTCTCACAAGTTAGACAGGGGACTTCGACTCCATGGGGCTTTGCTGGAGACTCGACAGACAAGGAAAGGTCCAGACTTCGATCTGGGACACTTGGCTTTTGGGTCTCTGCCGCCACCCAATGATAGTCCTCGAAACGCCATACATGCACCACTGAAACCAACCACGGATTCCCACCGAATGGACGACGAAAAGTGTCAAGGTCCAAGGAACCACATGCTTTGTTTTGCATGGCCAACTCTATGTGCAAACAGTGCAAAGCAGCACTCTGTTATTAGCCATTCAGACGATTTCTGCGAACTCGAACCACATAGCACAACCTTAAAATCACTTGACAACAATAATGCACTCGCTCAACGATTTTTTTGGTGTTGCACCGCCCTTTTTGTTTTGTTTTTTTTTAACTGTAAAAAGCTACCCGATTTGAAACGTTTTGCGCCAAACTTTTCCTCTTCCTTCTAAGCCGCCTCCAGCTTAAGCTAATTTACAACCCAGCAGAGGGTGACGGAGAAAATGGGAGGTTAGGTAACAGGTACAGAAGAGGTGGCCGGTAAGATCATGTGTATTAGTTTAGGGATGGTGGCAGCCCTGCACATCTTGTTTGGCCTATCTACCGAGAGCGAATCTGGTCAAAAGGCAGACGTAGATGTCGTTGGCCACCTTTTTGGTGGGCACTTCCAAAAAATTGAAATCGTCGTAACAGGTACCGCATCGTAAAGCTCGTAAAGGCAGTGTCTCGGGAGGTTGGGCCGAGACACATTGCCGGGGCTGTAGGTTGGTCGTCTACATTTAGGCGGTGGTGGCGGGAGCGGCGGCGGCCGGGGTCTCAGTAGCAGCAGCAGGAGCAGCCGCGGCCTCGGTGGCAGCCTCCGGGGTGCCGTTGGCCTTGGTCTCCTCCTTGGGGGCGTTGGCCTCCTCATCGGTCTTGTCGGGGCTATCGATAGCGACCTTGACGGCGATCTCGCGGCCCTCAATCTCCTTGCCATTCATCTCGGAGACAGCCTTCTGCTGGAGCTCCTCAGAGGCGAGGGTGACGAAGCCGAAGCCACGACCCTTGCGGGGCTCGCCGCGAGCCTGAAGCTTCTTGATCATGAAGCGGGGGATGGGGCGGAGAGCGATCTTGGCGGAAGAAGGCTCGTAGGCGGCGAAGAGCTCCTTGAGCTATTGGAATGTGTCAGCACGGGGCAACAAACAGAGCGAATAATGAGATAATACCTTCTCCTCGGTCAGGTCGTAGGGGAGGTTGGCGACCATGACCTTGGTCTTGGAGGCAATGCCGTCGGCGGGAGGGCCACGCTCGCGACGCTCACGGGGGGCACGAGCCTCAGCGGACTCGCCGGCCTTTTGGGTCTTGGCGGCATCCTTGTTGGTGGCGTCGGTCAGAGGCAGAACCTCAGAGGTAGCGGGAGCACCGGCAGGGACCTCGGCGGCAGCGCCCTCGATGGGAGTGCCATCCTCCTGTACAATTGTAAGTAGCTCCTCGGCGACTATGTTTTGACTTCAACTTACGTTGCGACCACCGCGGGCACCACGACCGCCACGGCCGCGGCCACGTCCACGGCCACGACCGGAGGCGCGGCGGCGGTTACCCTCACCAGCACCCTCACCGTTGACACCCTCAGTCTTCTCTCCAGCGGGCTCAGGCTTGCGGGCAAGCTGAACAGAGACCTTACGCTCGAGAATCTCCTTGCCGGAAAGCTCAGAGATGGCGCGCTCAGCCTCGGAGGGGGTGGAGAGGTCGACGAAGGCGTAGCCAACAGGTCGGTCGGTGCGAGGGTTCTTGGGAATGGAGACGGACTCGCTACGGGAAAAGGCGGGTCAGTATGAGTTGGCATGTGTGACGCAAGTGGGTGGAACTTTGCGGGGCAGGGAGGGATGAGAGGCCACGCTGCAACATCGTGACAGCTGAGAGAAGCGGTCTAGGCAGCAGCAGCAGCAGCAGCAGCAGGGCAGCAACAGACACAACGCGACGCCCAACCTCGATGCATCGTGAGTCAAGTGCAAACGATGCAAGCAAGTGGGCATCGATGCGATGTCAGAAGCAGTGCCGTAGAGGATATGTGGGGAACAGGTGCTTTGGGAAGGTACAGCTTCCACGGGGACGAGCTCGCACTACCGCGTACAGCAGGCCCCAGGATGATATGACGACAGGTAGGGGATGACAATGAGGTCGGTGACGACCAAAGTGACGACGAGAAGATTCGCAACAACTTACACAAGGTAACCCTTGAAGAACTCCTTCAACTCCCCCTCCGTTGTCGCGTAGGCCAGGTTGCCGATGTACAGACGGCGTCCCTCAGCAGCGCTGGCGAGGACGGCATCGTTGTTGGCGGCAGGCTTATCGGCGGCCTTGTCGGAGATAGTGGCATTGCTCAGAGCATTGGTAACGTCATTGACGGCTTCGGAAACCTTCTCGACGGCAGCAGACATTTTGGCGGTATTGGTCTGGTGGATGGAGACGGAGGTTTGTGGTGGTTGAGGCTGCGTTTCGGTGAAGTGCGTGATAACAGATGACGTGCGAACTTGGACCCGGTGACAGGAACGAAGATTCGGATTGATGGAGAATGGAAGTTCGGTGGATTAGAACTCTGAAACAATGAGGGGGAATTTTCTCAGGGTAGCTTGGTGCCCTAGAAAGCTTGAAAAAAGTTGACAGACGACGTTGCGTTGCGCGGTGACACAGGATCTTGAATTTGTGATGTGGAGGGAAAGGAGAGAGGAAAGGGATGGCTCAAGCCGCGACCTCAAATACAAATATTTTTTTTTCTGGTGAGCAGGGGGAACGGCGGACGAGGGTAAGCGAGGCGCAAACCCACCGAACAGCAGGTGCGGCCCACGTTCTGGGTACCTTGGGATGGCAAGAGCGGGCTCCTAGGCTGCTGTGGCGGTGCGGAAAGACGAGGGTGTGGGTGGGTACTTGCCTATTGTGTCTGCAGCAGCCGGGCAGGGGGTATGGGGTAAGGAGAAGGGGGAAGGGGAAGGCACGAATGGAAATGACGGCAGGGCAGCAGCTTTCCATATGTTTCTCGCCGGATGACGTGATGGACCTGTTGTTTTTCTGTGATTACGATATATTTATCAATTAGAACCTAAGGCCGAACAGTGCTTTTGTGCAAACGCGAGATGACAGCTTCGTTCCTACTTTAATGGATCAAGTTGTTCATCTCCTTCCTCGCGCGTCAACTGTTACAAAGGTGCACAGGTGCGAAGGTGCCTTATTAAGCCGAACCTTCCTGAAAGGTGTTCTCGCCAGTGATGAAGTGGAAGGAGGTCCCCTTACCAAGACTGGGGAGGCAAGGCGGTGGAATGCCATCCATCCAGGAAAGACCCATACGATAGTGTTGGACATGGCAGGTACCTGACAAGCCATCTTTTCAAGCCACAGAGCACGGGCTTTTCGAGATGGGCCAGACGGCAACCCCTGCTAGGAGAAGAAAGGTGCAGCTTCTTCATTGCTTCTTTTTCTTCTTCTTTCTTTCCCCCCCTTTCCATCGACGTAGGTACCTTGCTGTACTCTTTAGCGATGCCGTGACATTCATTTTTATATCAGACCTTATCAGCCACATTGGTCGCCAATACAGACGATGACTGGCTGTAGCACATGCTGAGCAATACGACCATCAACAAAAAACATGCAACTCACACGAGAAGAAACCTGTGTGATCTGCCCAGGCGGTGACAAGAGTACCGGCCTATCAGGGCGGTGGTATGACTCTTCCCCGCAAAATGGTCGCGATGGGATCCCAGCCAAGCCAGGCCTGAACCAGTGCCCACCCGCTGATGTGCGTGTTCGTGGAGCCACTGGCCGCCGGAAGATGCGACAAAGATTTCGGCAGCTACGGTCTGGTCTTTCCAGAGGGTCTGGTCCCGACCTGTCTGTCTGTCGGCCCAAAGTTTGCGGTTTGCGCCCACTGTGGTTGCTCACGTGCGATGTTCAGTCTACAAACCTTGGGGTCTGATATTCTGGCATCTTCAACATGGCCAGGTGCTTGTCGACCCGATTTGCTCAAGTTTGCCGCATCCACAAATCCCGATTGGCCACCGGTATCCGTACCTCGCAGTTCTCCCCAACATCGGCAAGAGTTGCAACAATCAACTTGGCTTTCTTGGGACCCACCTGTCAACTATTGGGAAGAGTCACCAAGCGATACTCTCCTGATCCATGACGACAGCTATGATATCCGAAGAATGCTCGTCTTTATCTGGTTACAGTCCCTCATCTTTATGCTATGAGAGCTGCCGGATGGGACACTCTCGTGCAAACATTATCTCGGAAAGCTCAGAATCAGCCCAACATCGGCAAATCTTGCTGGTTGGTCTTCTACTGATTGGTAGTTCATCCTTTCTGGTACAGGTCGAAATCATACTCGTCCGCCGGAAGACGAGTTGATTCCTCTTGAGGCTAAGGCTGTGCAATTGTCCTCTTTGTCAATGATCACGACCAACCTTTTCTCCAGACTATTCCGTGCGAGAGACACATATCGGAGATTTAAATCTACGGCCTGCGTGGACTAACTGCCATGCATGTGTACGTCCATCGAACGTTTCTGTCTTGCCTAACCTTGCCTCACTTTACCTGGCTCTACTCAGCTAAAACATCTGTCAATGCAGTTTGTTTTCTAGGTCGGTCTGCACCTTACAGTAGTCAACTAACTAGACTGGACGGCGAGACTAGAGCAAGCGACACAGTCAGCAGTGTAATTACACGTCGCCAATTCCAAGCTCCAGCCACGGCAATGCAATGGCAGCTCGCACACACATGCGAGTGACGCGACGGCTGGTCCGGCCGGTTCAGCAATGGGGCTCCGGCGGATGCCAATTCAGGGCCCGTCTCCCGTCCCCGGTCAACATCGTCCTCCCGTATCTATGGGACCGCGGAGAGATGCTTTGGCGTCCGGAATGATACAATTTCCCATGGCCCACTGGATCTCGCGGAGCGCATGAAGACTTTGGTGAGGGTCCCCTAGCAACCTACGCTAAGGCTCCATGGGTCCTAACGGTCCCATGCAGGGGGGTAAGCCAACAGTGCAAAGAAGGGACGAAGGCAGAAGTTTCCCCTTGTCCCTTGTCCTAGACTCAGCTTCTCCTATCAATCCCGCGCTCTCATGTCCGATATTGATATCAACACGAGCCAATATCCGTACTCAACCAACACCAATCAGCAAGGGAATGACTGTCGCGCGTACAGATCGACAGATAATCTCCCAACCAGGATGGTAATGAGATTGTAGCGCAAAGGGCATCTGCCCGGGCAGAACGGATGGCCCTCGTCGTCAAACCCGCACATATTATTTCACTCTTTGGTCGGCATTGTCAGCAGCAATTTAAGCTCGCGTGGGATTCGGTGAGGACGGAAACAGTCGTGTCAGCAGCTTGAGGCGTGGTGAGGCGGAGACCTGAGTCGTGAAGGTTTTCCCTGACTTTGCCTCATCTGTCGTCTCGCAGTAAGGCGCCTCAAGCTTCTCCACAGGAGCTTCTTCAGAATGGGGAATGCTGTCACTCGCCTTGCCTGGGGAGTGACACCAGCGCCGACCTCCCGTGTGTGAGGTGGTCCCAGCCCGCCCAACCGTTACCTTGCATGCAAGGCAGCACACCGCCGCATCTTTAGTCCTTAGGGGGTCTCAGCCCACGAATCGCCGCTCTAATCTGGTTGGGATTAGTGACTGTCTAGGTTCCGGCACTGGGTCCTGGTGCCCTGCATCTCTTCGATGGGATTCTCTCGCATCTGTGGCGCATGTGAAAAGGTACCTGAATCTTGGGAGTCGGGTCACTGGGTGTTATCCATGCTTGTGGCTGACCGTCACACAGGCCTTGACAGGCTACGCTCGCAGGAGCATTTGCCCCAGACAATGCCGGGCACTCAATGACGTTTCGAGGGTTGTCTCTAAACTCGACTATCACGACTTGGACTCTCTCTTTTTTCGACAATTACATCTGAGTGAGAATCAGAAATTCCGACTTGTACCTGGGTAGCTCAAGACCAAGCAAGTGCGATAACACGTGACTTCATAGAGCACATGCATTTTTGCATTTCCGCGCCTTGAGAGCCCGAATGGCTCCTGCAGCTCCGATGCCGCTTGGAAGGCAAAGAAAAACGTTTCTGAGAAGCTGCACCCCCGCGCTAGCAGACCCAAGAGCCGCACCTTCTTAGAGTCACGATTTTTGAAAGGTTCCACCCGGACCACGCTGCTGTTCACTTCAACGTTACAAGCACGTACGGATGAAACTTGCCATCAACTTTTCACAAGTAACAAGTTCCCCGCTTCGAAGTCGGTCCAAGAACATGACCGCCGAACCCACCAGCCCCGAGCCGGCTGTGGTGGCTAACCTGCCCGGCCGGTCCATGTTGGTTCTTTACGGCTCGGAGACCGGCAATGCTCAGGACATTGCTGAAGAAATCGGTCGCAACGCCCAGCGTCTGCATTTCAGGACGAAGGTTGATGAAATGAACGGGGCCCACTTGGTGAGTTTTGCTCTAGGCTGTCAAGACAAAAGTGTGCTGCTGCGAATCCGCCTAGGGTTGCGGTCTAATACACACGGATCAAAGTCTCTGGACATGGTGCCTTACACATGGCTGACTTCTCTGGTAGAGCATGTTACTCCAATATTCGCTGGTCGTCTTCGTCATATCAACGACGGGCCAGGGAGATATGCCCCGCAACTCGATTGCCTTTTGGAAAAGCCTTCTGAGGAAGAAGCTACCACCAGGCTGCCTTGGTGCGGTCAAGTTTACGACCTTTGGACTTGGCGATAGCCTGTACATCAAGTATGTCTTTTGGCTCTCTGACGTTGTTCCCCCTTCTTTCACTCCTTGGAGAACAAGGTAACTGTTGTCGGTAACGATTTCAATGGCTGACATTTTCTGCAGATTTAACTGGGCTGCTAGGAAGCTGCATAAGCGGCTAGAGCAACTAGGTGCCGTGGAATGTTATCCACGTGGTGAAGCAGACGAGCAAGACTCGGATGGGTAGGTTTATTTCGGTGCTCTTTTACTTCGCCCTTGTTTTCTGTCTTCATCTCGGGGGCTCCCCATTCTGTTCAGTGACAGAGTTGTCCTCAACACTGAGATACGAGTTCGCCCTCACCTCCTGGGATCCTTTCCACGTGAGCTTCTTGAATATTGGATATCCTTCCCATATTAAGCCTGAACAAGCCTTGTAGTGGAGTTCCTCGTCAACCCCACTGCTCACGCTAGAACATGTGTTTCAAAGTATCGAAATGCGAGTGCGTTCGAATAGGCCTACCTTTGGATTCGATTGCGCTTGAGTTACTGTCTTATTGGCCGAGGCCTATGGTGACTGTGTCTCCCGAGCCTTTTTCGGAACTTTTTGACATCCCCTTGCCCTTCTCTCTATGTCATTTGTTATCCACTGCTGAACATACGGGAGGAAGCAAAACCTCTCTCTTATGTTGAGTATCCTAGCAATTACCCTTATCACAGTTTGCTTCAATGATGTTTACTAACGCAAGAGCAGAGCGGACGAGAGATACATGCCCTGGGCTGCAGACTTGCAAAAGAGGTTACTCGAGCTGTATCCTCTTCCAGAAAGCGTCTCTCCCGTCCCAGACGGCGCTCTTCTACCCCCGAGATACACGGTCGAGCTAGCCACGAGCTCAGAGACACTACAAAACGGAACTTTAAGCAACAGCTTCGAGCACAAAACGAACGGGCATGTGGTAGAGACCGAAGGCGATGACCAGCCCAGCGGAACTTCTCTCAACCCAGACACAGCAGCCGCTATCGAGGATCTGACACATGCGACCGATGCAATGACTTTTGCCGGGCCTTCGCCAACGGTAGACGAGCTCGCATCTGAAAATCAGACTCCCCCAACAACTCTCCTACCCATCCCTAGCGGCCATGCTGCTTCTCTCGAAGTCAATAAACGAGTGACGCCCACGACACACTTTCAAGACGTCCGCCTCGTCCAACTCGCCCTCGACCCATCCCCCACCGGACCTCCTACAATAAACCCCTTTGATAGCCTGACGATTTACCCAAAGAACTTCCCCCACGACGTTCAAAAGCTCATAGATCTCATGCAATGGAACCCCATCGCAGACCTTCCCCTAACATTCACCTCCTCTTCTTCTAAAGGCACCGATCTCCCCCGTGGCCTCTACATCAACCACGACCGCCCGACGACCCTCCGCGACTTGCTCACGCACAACCTCGACATCACCTGCACCCCGCGCCGCAGCTTCCTCAAAGAAATGTACTACTTCTCCGACGATGAATACCACAAGCAGCGACTCCTCGAGTTCACCATGCGAGAGTACACGGACGAGTTCTTCGACTACACCACCAGGCCCCGGCGCACCATTCTCGAGGTCCTCGAGGAGTTCACCTCCGTCCGGATACCCCTGAGCCGCGTCCTCGACATGTTCCCCGTCATGCGCGGCCGGGACTTTAGCATAGCCAGCATTGCCCATCAAACTAGCCTCCCGCCATCTCAAGAGACGACGATGACTACAATAGGAACGAAGACGAGCATAACCCTCCTGATAGCCCTCGTCAAATACAAGACCATCCTCCGCAAAATCCGTCAGGGCCTCTGCTCCCGCTACCTCGAGTCCCTGACCTCACCGGGAACCCCTCTCCGCATAACCCTCAACCGCAGCTCCGCATCCCTCCACGGACCCGTCCACGCCCGCCGCCCCCTCTGCGCCATCGCAACCGGTACCGGCGTCGCGCCCCTCCGCCTCTTCATCGAAGAACGCCTCTCCCACCTCGCCTCAGCCGTGAGCGTCGGCGATACCGCCGTCTTCTTCGGCAGCCGTAGCAGAGAAGCAGATTTCCACTTTAGCGACGTCTGGGAGAACCTCAAGACGAGGTATACCCTACCTTCTTTCACTCCTACTACCGATGCTACCACTCCTGCTATCGACGACACCGCCTCACCCGCAAGCAGACCCAAATTCGACGTCTTCACAGCCTTTTCCCGCGACAAGTCTACCCCGCGCGCCTACGTTCAGGACGTGATCCGCCAACACCCAGAGGCCGTCCGCGCCATGGTCGCTTCAGACGCCATCTTCGTCGTCTGCGGCGGCAGCCTAAAGATGTCGCGTGCAGTAAAGGAGGCCGTCAAGGATTGTTTGCGGGGCGACCCGGCCGCGGCGGTGAAGTCCCCGGACGACACGGCCGTGGAGGCTGCTTTTGCTAGGTTGACTTGGTGGGAGGAGATTTGGTAGTTTGTTCTTCTAGAAATCTGCGTTGGGGTGGTTTTCGTTGATGGCGGCTCCCTAGACGACCTTGGCATTTGGCAGGAAAGATTATGGCCGCTGTTGAAAGTTTTGGGTTGAGGACTTTTGCAGAGGTGTTTTTTACATTTCAACGCATACTTTGCAATAGATTAGATGTAAAGCTACCCCCAAATCAAGGCTTGGACGTGCTGTCTCGCCTATCAGACAATGCATGCAGATTATCGTTCTTCAAGGCGAATTCTCTCCTCCCTGCCAACAACACCATCCCGGCTAGATTCGATAACCGTGCTACGTGCTAGGTGTTGGACGCTATCGCTGTATACATGTATGTATGCTAGAGATGACCAACTATTCCTATCCTTGGTGGAGAGGGGATTAATCTTGGCGGCATTCTTGTCCCTTCCTAGCGTTTTCTAACCTCCACGGGACCTCACGCACATGGAAATCACGGAGGGAAGAGATGGATCATTCATTTGATTTTGATCTTGATTTATTTGTTTTCTGTCTCTTGTGATACTGCAAGCTGAGACTAGACATGACACGTCAGAAAGTCTTCAGAATGTAGTAGCTTGAGGAGCCCCCCCCCCATCTTCCTATATCGCTTCCTTTTGAGCGTATTGCTAACAGAACTCAAGCTCCTGTTCAAGTCTTATTGTAGCTTTCCTCTGTACCGTCATCTTCAAATGGAAGATGGAGCTTCCCGCAGGTAAACACTTCCCAAGACCATTGTATGGGCACCTAAAACGCCGGCAAGTCTGCATGCTGATATCCCTGTGCCCCCCCCCTTTCTGGGGAGAAATCCTATCCCAAACTCCTTCGCTTTATTTTGATTGATTCGAATGTGAACAAATCAGACTACTGAGAAAAAGAAGAAGAAAAAGAAAGAAGTAGAAATAGTGCCGGCCGCGTTCTGTGCGGTCGTGCATTATAATTGGTTATTCGTAAAGATCAAGTTGTTTTGAAAGAATGGCAGGCTTTTGATGTCGTTAATTCTCCCAGCTGTAGCGTCGCTCTGCCATCTGAGGAATATGGATGAATTCGGAGCCGTCGAGGCGTTGTAGGCTTCGTAAGGAGTTTGACTCCGCTTGCTGACTCCTCTCATCATCTGGTAGGCTCACTTGTCTCGTCAAGTTGTCTTGAGCCATCAGCTCCTCCTCAAACTCGGTCCAGTTGCTTCCCAAGGTATCGGTAGATAGGCGATGAGCGGTGAGGTCCTCGGGGATAGCAAGTTTGGTCCCTTGAGAGTATGCTAGCGGAGGAGGAATCACCTCGGGCTTTGGAAGAGACACGTTCTCTGGCAAAGGACCCAAGCAGACGATGTTGGATGGGTCGATTGGTGCTCTTTGATGAGTCGAAGGAGGCGGTGAAGGAAGAGCAGGCAGAGGTACGTTTGGCGGCATGGGCGAGAAGGTGGAGCGGTTTGCTGTAAACGCCTCGCTCTCGGGGGACACAGGTTGAGGCAGTGTGTTGCCGGGGTTGCTGACTGTGAAGGTTGGCGACGGGTACGACGGTCCTTCTGTCAGGGGCGATGGGAGATCGGACAGGTGGTTCGTCCATTCTCCTACGCGGGGACTCATGGGTGACGGCAAGGATCCATGGGTCGATGACGAGTTCTCGCACACCGTCGGAGACGATGGCGAAGAGGCAGATGCCGGGGACGAAGCGGCCACTAATCCAAACTCTTCAGGTCTGAAAGGCGCGACAGGGCTCATGTGCTGCATCGGCTTCTCCGCAGGCGGGAAGTCGGCCGGGTTCTCCGGAGGGGAGTACGCCGGAACGGGGCCCTGCAGCTGAAATTCGACTTTTCTTCTCGCCAGCTCGTAGGCGCTCACATCTTGTGTGTCTTCCGTGCCGAATTCGGTGTGCTCATGAACCGACTTGTCGTCGTCTCCATCCAGCTCAGCCGGGCCTATCGGTGCAGGCAACTCGTACACTGCGTGGTTCGCATCAGCCGCGACCTCCACAGGTTGAGCCGTGCTGCCCATTACTTTGTGTGTCGATACGCGCTGAGTCTTCTTTTTGCCCCGCACCTTGGTAAAGAACTTGGCCATGGGGCTTCTTGGAGACTCTGGCATGATTGATGACGCGGCATATTTCCCATCTTCCAAGGACCTTGTCATCTCCTGTGTCTTTCTTTGGCGACGGCGATAGAAAAAGAAACAAGCGAGCATGATCAGGCAAGCGGCGATGACGCCTGCCGCAATGCCACCCATTTGCGCTGTTGAGAGACCTGTATGAGTGTTCACCTGGGCCGGTGGCGGGAAAGGGCTATTGCTTGGCTGCACGACGCTCTTCAACTGATATGATTGCAAAGGCGCGTCCGGGAATAGGGCCTGATGAAGAGAGAACACGCCTGTATCGTACTTGGTGATCAAGTAAGCTTCTTGAAGAAATGATCTTCCAATGATGAACGTGTTGGTCAAGTTGGACGCTCTTCGAAGAGGAAAGTAAGGCACTGAAGGTTCGCCATACTTGATAGTCTCGCTCTGAAATGGATATCGCAACACTTGCGCAAAGGCTGCAGCTGTGATTGTGATGTTGACCACGCCTGGTACGGTGAGAGGGTGACCAAAGTCGTCGCTGTTGTCGTGGCTCGAGAAGGAGAAGGTGAACGAGTAGGAAGATGCGCCGGCCTTGAAGTCAGCGTACTGTTCGTCGGTGAGAGTATATAGGTTGAAGGTGTTGTTGTAGGTCAGATTGAATGCACTGGCGAATTCATCGCAAATAGCGTCAGGGAGCCAAAGAAAGGGGGTCGAGCTGTCAATCATGGCACTGAAAGACGTGGACATGCTGGACAAGATTCTCGTCTTGGCATCCCAGCCGCTCGGCATTTCCTTGCTTTGAGGCACAGTAACTTCGACGCCACGGACCAGGGCGTGAGGCAGGCCATCGCTCGGATCCAGAGAGAACTCGTTGTTATGCGGGACAAAACGGCTTGCATCGTAACCTCCCAAAGTAACAGAGCACGGCGTGCCAGACATACCCACTGCAAGAGTCAGATTATTACCGGAGGAGGGGGGTTAGGTGGCATGCACTTACTGTAGTAGGCGCCAGCAGTATAGCCGTAACTGTAACTAGGAATCCATCCGTAATTCTTGACCGCTTGCGTTAATGGTGATTCGGCAACCTGATTGCCAAAACTTCCCTTGGTGATGCCGAGTCCGAGATATCCAAGATAGTAGTCGGTGCTGTTGATTGACGCGGTAACAATGTTGTCCATGCTCATTCCATCCCCAGTCAAAAGCGTGCTTGAAAGCTTGTCCAGTCCATAATCGCCGTTTCCACCATAGCCGAGATAATCAAGACCAAGTTGCCATGCGCCCAACGGATTCCAGGATTTCGAGTCGGCAATGGTGAATACGTTGCCTCTGGCGGTGTTGCACAGGGGCTCCTCTTGATGAGATATTAGTTCTGACAAGTCTAGGCCAGAGCCAGGGCTGGCACCTATAAGCTGAAGAACGGCAGCTGGAGAGGACTTACTTGCAAGACAGCCACCGGCCCCAATGGCCCAGAATTCAGACAAAGACGTGCTCGCAAGAACATTGACAGACTGTCCTGGCGTGCCGACCTGGAGCTTCACCGTTGACCAGTTGCCGTCGACGCCGTACCTTGATTCAGTTAGAGGTGAGGTTGCGGGCCAGATTTGGGGTATCTCTCAGCGTACCAGTCGTTTGAAGGGGTGAGAGCCACTGCGGATTGACTCTGTGCGCAAACGATGCCAGCGAGCACCGTTGCGACGAAGATTGTTGGAAACATGTCGTCGATCTTGAGGCGGAACGCAGTGGGTGGTTCGTTCGAGGTGGGCCGAGTCACCAAGGCGTCTTTGCGGTGTGCATGAGCGTCCCGAGGGAAGGCTGGCCGTGTGAAGGGGCGTCTCCATTAACCAAAACTGTCGTCGAGCCGTGTTTACGAATCGCTTTTCGTATCTTCGTATGCCGTGTGCCCGTCCCAATGCCTCACGGTTTCCGAAGCTAAGAGAATTCGTGTCGAACGAGTGATCAGCCGTGAAGAGCAGAAAAATTGGGAAGGGAAGAGGGGGACACGGGCAATTGAACTCTGCGGGATGATCAACAGGAAAAACTAACTTCTGCCATCCATCGGATTGAGTGGGTGGCAGCCAAAGCAAGATAGCGTCCATGGTTATCCAAGCAAGGACAAGCCCGCGCTCTGCCAACTACGTACGGCCAAGGGCTGTGCCGCAACAAGCAAGGGAAGGCCGGAAGGCCAAATGGCACAAGGACCAGGCCCCCGTCCAGCACCGGTCTGGGGGTCCCGTCGTTCTTGGGAAAGCTGGGGACCGGGGTACAAAGCAGGTATCCCTGTCTTCTTATCGACACACAGTGCTTTTGCCTGCTTCAGGAAAAGTGCAGAGTGCGGCAGAGCCATGACAAACCCTCCCTTCTCAGCATGGCGCTGCCGCCGTCGCGCCTCATCGACGACCATGTGTCCGCCCCGCAGATGGATCGAGACCTCCCGCGCCGACAAGAATCAGCAGAGGTCCGAGGGAATGGCCGACGGGGCCTGATGAAGTAGCCGTCGCGGGCGGCGAGAGGGGTCTTTCGACACGGTAGCGTAATGGGCCAGTGACATGGGAAGAGGGGAGCATCCGTAAGTTGACTGGTTCTGGAGACGACGGGGAGAGGCTCCATTTGCTTACCCGGTGAGCAGGGAGGATTGGGATTAGACGCGGTAGGCGAGGGCAGCGGAACCTCATCCGTCGATTTGAGGAGAGAGTCGAGACTTTGGACGACTCGCACTTCAGTCCGGAAGAGCCAGACTTAGTGTGGACGCCTCCCGTCTGTTGGCAATGGTCTGGCGTCTCTCTTGGTAGCACAGGCATGCATCTAGCCCACCGATTCCATGATGGACTCTCTTTAAGTTTTGGCCATTCCCGTAGCGGGACGCTCAACCGGTGGTGCAGAAGCATGTACCGTATTACTCTGGCGAGTCTGACAGCGGTAAAGGATTCCATGTGAGGTTAAAATAAAATAAAAATAAAAAAGAGGGTCAGGAAACCCGCTAGTTCGGCCACAGTCGACTTTTCGAATGTCTGGACCTCCTTTGTCCCTATCCGTAGTGTTGCCCCTCGAGATGCGACAGAGTAGCGGCAGTCGGGACGGCCGAGCGACTTGCTAGCCAGGCATGTTTGTAGACAGGCCACTGCAACGGATGATTCAAGGGGTAGCAATCTCGATAGACGTTGAAGGGTTGCGATGACAGCCTTTGGTTTGTGACTAGTCAGTCACATATATCAAGTCGCTCCTTCAGCCTTGAAAAAGAGGGCGATAGGTCCATGACATAGCTTGAGGCAGTGTGTCTTCATACAGCGGACGATGGGATGCTGCCGATGTATTCGTACGGATAGTAGTGTCTGTGAATGTGCCTCGTCGGGTTGTCTGGCGATGATCATATTGCCAAGGACGTGAAGGCGAGGCAATCTACCTGGGGGCATGGAGCTGAAGGTCCGAGGCGAGGAAGTCCCTGGATTCTCCCGCCGGATCTTATCCCCGTTGGCCTGCGAGTGAGCGACGGGCGCGAGGAGACACCTCAGTATATCCGTAAGGTACAAAGGTATCCTTGGAGTACGTATTAAAGTAGGTGCAGATACATGACTTGGGATGCTTGAGAAAGAACGCCCAACTGTCTTACATAATAATGGGGAGGAACCGGGGAGATGGCAACAGCGACCCATGGGCTTCCCGCGACTTCCAACTTTTGTTCTTTCCCAAACCCCAAACGGCGCCTCTTCTACCCCAAGAAGGAAGGAAGCTGGCGACCCAAGCCATCGGTTGAACCGTGCACTCAATACTCGCGCACACACACACACACGGCAGGTGCAGGTTGTCGCTACGTACCTTGGTCACTGCCGCATTGATTGTCCACCCATGGGCAGTGTGCCAGTCGACCACACTTGGCCGGAGTCTCCGTCTCTTCCTCTCTCTTCTCCTTCTTCCTGCATATTCAATACCTACGGATACTCAACCATCGTCATCAACAACGACTAACAAGACGCTATCTTCTCAACGGCACTGGTGAATCGACTGACAAGCCGCCATCAACATCTCGCGAATCACAGCTGATGTGGAGACGAGTAGCCGAGTGTAACTGCATCTTCACTCTTTTCCCCCTCCTCCCGAGTCCAAGAGATCCGGCCTGCGACATGCAGACCAAGAACCGGACCACCAACCACAGTTGCGGCCACACGGCGTAGCAACAAATGCACATCACGGTCCCGCAGAGACGGGTTGGCCTCGACCCCCAATGTGACGTGGGCCAACTGATGGATCCTCAATGCGCTTCTTCAATTCAATTGTCCCAACAGGCTCGCACCATTCATTGCCAAACATCCGCGCCACAGCTGAACGAGGACCCTATGTCTTATCACGCCGCTTATATGCTACTCACCAGGGACACCTCTATTCTGGGTTCACCTGCTTTCTCTGACATTGAATCGCGATTTCGACTTTGTGCTTCGCTTCATTCCATCGTCATCCTCGTCGCCTCGTCTCTCACGTTTTACCTCTGTGACTAGGTGTTGGGAAGGCGGTCATCCCAGAGATGTTCGTAGTGTTGACAGCTGCCGCTTAGACGTTTAGATGACTGCATTGCAGCCACACCTACCGCCACTGCCGACCGGCCCGCCTCCTCCAGACTGCCAGCATCGACAACGAGGACAACGAGGACAACAACGACAGTGCGTTGAGTGTTCGGCGCCTCCCCACCGGATGAAAGCCCAGTGCCGGGATGTGGAAAAACGCCCGCGCGTGGAATCTGTCATTCTCAAGCTCCAACTCCTGTCGATAATTTCAAACCTAGAGAATCTATCGGCTTCTTCGGACCTCACCTCACTTCTCACTCGTCGCCAATTTGAATTATAATGAAGGCTATAGCTGACAGCCAAGAGCCGTGCGAAAGAGAGATCAACAAAACAAGGTTTTCACTTTCAATGTTCGAATTTCATCAACATGATACACCCCATCAGCCTAGCCAAGCACAGAACCTACAGTACCACATGGAGCGCGCTAGCCAAAGGCAAGCGGAGAGAGGGGTGCCGCGGAAGAGAAGTTGGAACTCAAGCTGCGTGTCATTCTCAAGCCTGTTGTTCCGCCCTCCGTCGGCGCCCTCCGTCGGCGCGGGGCCTGCGTCTTCCGGCACATCCTCGCTTGCCGTCCCTCTGGACTGGAACCTCGGGCGGCATCAACGACACAATTGCATCTGCACAAGTACTCCGTAAGGATTCGACAGTGAAGGCTAGGCTTACACTTTCGGTATCGATTTTCTGTCTCCATGTCACTCACGAACGTACAAAAGTCGTTCCGTAGAGCGAACTGCAGAGAGCCAATTTTCGACACACCTGACTCGCAGTCTGTGCCATACAAGCTGTCATCGGCAACGTCAAATTGATCACTCCCATGCCACTAAAGTGTCTTGTCACAGTGCCATGGCTCGGCAGTTTTCAACTGCATCGAGGTGCCTTGGCTCGCTGCGTTGGCTGAGTGCCGCTCCAAAGTGCGACGCGATACACTGAAAAGAAGTCAAAACGCGTCATCTAGTACAACGTATCAGGCCGCTACGGCGCCATGGTCTGATGTCGGTCTTCACCGCAGCTGTCAAACGCAGGTCGGAAATGGCGAGAAGCATTTCATGCCCTGGCGCCCGCTCATTCATTGCCCCCACGCGCAACGGTGCGCTAAACATGGAGGCCGATTACGGACGATTTATTCGTCATTTTGGAAAGGCAGAATTGGATGGTATCATCCAATCTCTCTCCCAATGCCGAGCGGAGAAGATGCGCTAGTCCTGGCTTAATAGACCTGGGTTGCCCCTATTCACAATCGTTCTTGCACCGGATGACGAAGTCTGGCATATTGAGTCCACGAAAACAATGCTCAAAGTCCGAATCGGCATTTTAGAAGATATTCAACTACTTTGACGCCGAGTTCCCATACCACGAGCAGAATCAAGATCACCAGCCATACAGTGCCTGCATACCACCTTTTCGATCAGCCCTATCTTAGGTATCATACATGCCAGCTGCTGATTCATCCGACGGGACATGGAGCCGACTTGCGGCGCCAGTACTGCAACATTTGCCAGCATTTTTGGCAGTCAATCTCATCTGGCTGATAATCAAGCCGGGCATCTCTGAAGTCTTATCACTTTAAAGACGCACAAACAATTCAAGAGGTCTGCGTGTCCTAGACATGTTTGCACTCCGCACATTTAGACGCACATCTCCCGGACGCACGGTGGTTGCACCCGTACACACTAAGGTAGGCAGACTTTGGCACAAGCGGGCCACAACAAATTGTCTCAAGCCACCGTCATCGTCGACAACTATGCGAAGTGTCTCTCGGAGGAAGGACGACGTACGAAGCTAGTTGAGACTACCAACCGACCACTTTACGGATACAAAATGATATAGGCTTGGCCTTTCGAGCACTAGCTGCAAAGGCATGGGTAACGAGGGTTTCTCGGTGTGCCTGGGCGATCATCCCGGGTGCCTTTGACATAATGTCAATCATCTCTCACCCTCGCCGCCGAATGTTGCTAGTCACTATTGTGGCCATCAGGTCTTCGAACCTTTTCATTGCCAGTCATGAGGGAGCTCTCTTGAAAAATGGATTGCTCGTCACTGTTGTCACAAAACCACAATTGATCCGTCAATCGCAGACCTAAGTTGCCACCAAGCAAATCTGCGTGGCTGGACCCTCCCTTCGACGGAGGCCGGATTGTCTTAGACATTTCTAGCTCATGGCCAGCACTGCCTTCGGTTGACACTAAAGACTAGAAGGAGAGACACTACAGCACGTTTCTTGACTCGAACATCAACGAATGGATGCGAACCAAGACGATGCTTTTCAGCCGTCATCGACCAGCAATAGGTGCCTAGTGGTCCTTCTGAGAAACTTTTCTCCCTTGCAGTCGCACACCGTCTTCTTCTTCGAGGAGCACTGACGCCAAAATCTTGCTACCTAAACAGAGCTCAGTGTTAAAGACCGAGTCTGCGAAGATGCTCTCCTGCTTCGTGCAGCTCGAGGAAGAGCTTGGGGCTGGCAGTGCCGCCGCCGGTACCAGCTAAAGCTCCGGTGCCACTCTGTTGCGTCGGCCCCTTGTCCTTGAAAGGTAGCTCTTGGTAGTCACCGCGACGCTAGAGGCCCAGCCGCGTCGGTTTTGATTGACGGCGGGCCATTTCAAATGAGATGGCTCCTGTCACTGCTACACTACATCAGTGGCGCACACAAAGCCGGGAAGTTAAGGTGCAATGGTAAATGAACTAACTGGCTGGCTCCCCTGTTCTTCCCCCCCCCCGAAGTTGCCAGGTTACGCGCCGGCGCACCCACCTTACGGTCCGAAGACAGCAGAGAATATGAACCCCTTCTACGCCCCAATCGCCGCCCGGCGCCCGGCGCCCGGCGTCCATGGCCGTTTCCTCACAACTTCATCGCCCGAGAATTCCGCTTCGTCTCAGACCTCGCAATGAGTGTGTGGGCTATACGTGACCACTTGAGAGCCACGAGTACTTGGTTGTTGTCGCCGCGTCAGTTCGTGTGTCGCAGTTACGAATAGAGTTGAACATCAAAGGGGGCAAGGATGCGTGGGAGAAGGACAGGCTGCGACTCGAGACGACACATCGATATGAAACTCCTCAAGCTGGCGTTGCTTTCCCTGGTGGCATTCTCGAAGCCAGTCCAAGCTCTTCAATTCGGTATGTTGGCTATTGTTAATTTTCTTTCAAAGACCGGGAGACTGACTGCGTGGCAGCAAATCACATTCCTCACAGTAGGAGACAGGTCGTCGGCTTTAACAGCACAATATCATCGGCCGCAACAAGCTCAGCACTGCAAATTACGTCCTCGACTACCAGCTCATCCATCAGGCAGGAAACCCGTCAACTAGCACAGCCGGGACCGAAACTCTTTCGTCCGCTTCAATCAGCCAATAATTATCAGGGTCTCAAAGTTCAATAGGGTCCTCAGTCACAGCAGAGTCAGGGATAGGCGGCTCATTTTTTACGACATCAGACGAAACCAGTTCGCAGATCTCGGCCGCAGGAAGCACACTGACACTAGCCAATGGGACAACGCAAACCACGGCCCTCGTCACCACGACAGATGCGACGACCTCGCAATCCGGCAGATCATCTTCGTCCATTGGAGCCAGCACTCCTTCCATTGCTTCTACCCGAGCTTCGACGACAGTAGGTTTCAACGTTGCGGCCTCGGGCAATCAAACTCGTACTGTGTTCACGTCGTCTTTACTGGCAACTCCCACGGGTATCAGATCTTTCTTTCCTATCAGCAACGTTTCAATATCCGCGTCACCCAGCGGAAACTACACGAATGGAAACTACAGCGATGGTGGCGGGGATTATGTGTCTTTGACACTCAAGGGTGGTTACGAGCCATCCGTTGTCTGCATAACGACCACACAGGGTGCCGTACCGACAACTTGGTCAATCGTATACACGACAACGACGACAATCTATGGAGATCCGACGGATTACACTCCACCGGAACCTGACATCACGATCCCAGTCACATGCAGTCCTCCTGCGGGCCTGGAAGGCAACAAGGGGAAGACAAAAGTGTCTGCGAGTGTAGCATGTACCTCGGAGGATGGTGTGGACATCTGCAGGACCGAGGCGCCTGAACTCCCAACCTTCAGTTCAACACTTGGTCCAGAAACGACGTTCACTTTCGTCACCACAGCCAAGAATCCTTCTGTCGTCTTCTCGCCTATCAGCACACCCCGATACGGCCACGATCCTGAGACACAGGCCCCGCAAGAAAGGCGCTCATCTACGAAACCCACGGGAAAGCCCACACCGAAACCGACGGCCTCGGTCCAGTCGCCGAACAACGATCCAAGGCCACCCGGCTCGCCTGGCTCGCCACGTGAAAGTGCCAAGGTATCGCCGAAAGCGACTTACATGATCACCGTAGCGCCGACCAAGATCATCATCAACGACCAAACTTTTACGCAGAGCGACCCCTCAAAGACGACCAAAGTGACGGTGAACGGCGATGAATTCACTATTAACCCGAGTGAGGTCATTGGTGGTGGAACGATCGTTGATCGGCCCGGCAACGTCGGTCGAAGCACCATGGTCCCATCTAGAACGATGGTGGGCGACTTGCCCATTGTGATTGCGCCTGCAGGAACGCAAAACGTTGTTGTCGTCGGTGGGACGACGTTTGGGGTCCAGGCTACCCCCATAACGGCCGTGGTGGAAGGCCAGACGATCACCATTGAGCCGACCGCCGTCATTGTCCCGGATCAAAACGCTCCAAGCGGCGGTGCAGCTCCGGTAACGACGGTGGTGAAAGGGCAGACTATCACACTTGTGCCATCAGCGACCGGTGACCCCGGGGGAACTGCTGTTTCATCCGGCCGCGCTGCTCCACTGACGACCGTGATCGATGGACAGAAGACGACAATTCAGCCATCCGCAGCGGCCGTCCCCAAACGAACCGTTTCGATCAGCCGTGCGTCCCCGGTCCAAACGGAGATCGTCGTGGCAGGCGGCGAGATGATTACTACCATTGGCCCATCCGTGGTTGTCATTCGCTCGACCACATTTACTTACGGACTAGTTTCAACAATCATTACAAAGGTTGTAGATGACGATACTATTTCGATTGGACCCTCAGGGGTCACTGTGCGCAACATCACCGTGGGAGGGCCCGGGGCCAAGGCAACGGACACCACCTACGAGATTGTAGGCGGTGCTTCAGTCACGCAAGTCGGGGCATCGGTGGTGGTTGTAGACGGTACAAGCTTCACCGTCGGGCCAGGAAAGGCAACGACAACAGAGGTGTTTGGCGGCGAGACCATTACGATTGGTCCGTCTGGCGTGGTTGTTTCGACGATTACTCTCCCGTACCCGTTTGGGCCGACGGTGATTACGACAATCGACGTGCCTTCGACGGCGGCGGCGCCGTCGCCGGTGCCGTCTGAGACGAAGAAGAATGGTGGTGGTGCCGTCAGGCCGGCGAGGGCATTGACAGGGTTGCATTTAGATCTTTGCATAGCGATCGGCGTCTGGGTTCTGGGGCACATGTTTTGAGACACACCAGGGACATGACATGTGCATGTGCACGTGCTGCTGGCGTTGAACGCGTTCTTCTTTGGGATACAGTGCAAAACAGGGCACAATAAGACAAGCGAGGGTTGTATACATAGATTTGGGAATGGGGCTCTGCAACCGCGGGAAGGGCTGAACAATGACACCTCCAAGGGGAGGGAAGGAATCATGATGGATGGCGCGATACGGCAGGGTCCGGCACAAGCGGAACCCGGGGTTCTGGTGCAGTGCGACTCTGTGGTCAACGACGCCGACGAAAACTGTATTATTATAAACTTTGAAACTTTGAAATGTAAACATAATCTACACGGTATATCACGAAGACCGAGAAGCAAACAGGGCCTCCAGCATGGGCGGCAGCGAGGCCACACACGATCCAATGCACACAGCACACAGCCTTCCGCGGGTTACAGGAATGCCGAAAGCCCCCACCGCCGTGCCGATGGGGCCGGTCTCCGTCGGCGCCGACGGGCTTTTTTGGCTGACACTTACAGAATTGGAGGGTGGCGAACGATGAATATGACGCGCATTATATCATCTCATCTTTGTGCGTCCTGTCCTGGATGAATAACCTGCCAAATTTGGGATGGAAGGCTTCTGGAAAAAGGGGGGGGGGGGCACGAGTGATGTGATTGGTGCACCCGCGCCTTCGGGTCTATGTGCCCATGGGCTGGGAGTTTGGGGCTGAAGGCGAGATGGTTCAGATGATACACTTGCGCGAGTCGAGGACCAGATGACGGAGGTATGGTGGTGAGCCTTGGGGTGCAGGATGGGAAAAGAGCCTCTTCTTTAGCGGGTGTGGTTGGGGTGGTAGACACGGTGTAAATGGTGTGAATGTGCTCCAAGCGAGGTGGATCTAGATTCTGATGCGGGCGGGAAAGGCATGGAGGGGTAAAGAATGAGGGGTTCGAGTTCGGGATTCTCACATGGCTATAGACGTCACGGTTCCCTTGTCTCGGGGAGGACGAGCGACGGCGAGGGTGGCTTGTTTTGACTTGCGGATCCCTGGAAATCGGGGGGCGCATCGCGACCGTTTGTCCTAAAAAAGGATGGACCCATGTTATTTTCAGCCTTGGTGGTTTTCATTGTGTCCATTGTAATTTGTCCCTCTCTCGCCGTCCGAGTCTCTCAGCCTTGGACGTGGAGTTGACATGGGGTGGGATTTGGTTCTATGGGATAGGGATCGTGATATACCACGTTCATAATCCCCTGCCTTCGCGCCCGCGGACTCCCGCGCGCGTCTTTCTTGATGGAGGGATCTCGAGGCCGGAATATCTGATGGATGGCTGAAACCACGGCCTTGTCCCCCAGCCTAGCTCACCCGCTACCTCTCCTCTTGCCTCCAGAAGAAACGTATAGGGCTAGAAAGGGAAGAAACCAGCTTCTCCAAACGAGTGTCAGAACGCGGGAGCAGGCTGTTGACGTGGAGTATCTTGCCTGCTTGCATCCCACAGGACAATCTATCCACGACCCTCACTGTGTGGGGTGGGGGTTTCGAACGCCAAGGCATCTAGACTGGACTTGAGCACTCGGACGCTATGCGTTCACGGTCCACATGCTTTTGATGGATCTGGAAATGGCTGGTGATGGTTTTGTATAGATTGGATATTCACTCTCAGCCTTGTTTCGTAGTTTGAGGGTCTTGTAGTGTCCACTTTTCTTTTTGTTGCTGTTCTGAGTTTGGACTTGTAAGGCGGATGGGAGGTGCGACGTTGAGGCGTGGGTTTGGGGTTCTAGTTTCTGTTCTTGTCTCCTGTCAAATGTTACTCTCCCGTCCAGACGAGGCTTAGTTTGTGGGGTGAGTGTAAGTAAAGCTGCAGGAGCATAAGAGAACGGAGAATGAGACTGGAGTGAGTATATAGAAAAAAGGTTCTAGAACTTCTTTTCTTAGACGATGCCACAGCATAGGGTGAATGTTTGATGGGGTATCTACCGACTTGGACCCCTTCCAAGAAAAGGTATCCAAACCGCCTGATTTTCTCGCGCCGATACTCATCCCATCATGCCACATTCCTTAGGGGGTTTATTATGCTATGAAGACTCATATGTTAGCAGGAGTGATATGTACCTGAATTTGAGAGGTTTAGAGTAGACTGGTTTTCTCTTGGGATGGGGAGGGAGCTACGGGGTCCGGGGTCTGGGGTATCGGACCTTTTGAGGGCGTGGAGGTTCGGGCCAGAGATGGAGGTTTAGGGACCGGTGTCCCGGGGATCGGTAGAAATTGTTCTCCGGGCATGGCGTAGTATTTTCTTTTCGGTTTCTGGGTGACTAGGATGTCTCTTGGGCTAGGCGGGCACTGTGTTATTGGCAGTGTGTTGCTGTGTACGGACTAAGGGATATGGTCGGAGCCAGGAAAGTTGGTTCTCCAGAGAGAGAGGGCCAATTCAGATTAATTCAGTCTCTCCAAAGCTTCTGTTTATCGTATCGTTGGGTTGAGTACGAGTAAACAGAGGTGGTTAATGATAGGTGGTAAATGGTTGACACTGATGCTCTCTGGCGTACTCTTTCCGCCTCTCGCTCCTCGCTCCCACTGTGACCATGATGAGTTTAACACAATAGTGCGATGTTGGGTCGCGAACACTTCGCTTCTATACCTATATCATAAGCTACCCAGTCTCGCTCGACGCAGAAAGATCGATCACCTATGGCAGCTTTTACCGGGGGCCGCCTGATGAATTTAAGTATGCTGATGATACCCAGCGGCGTAAGAGTGTAAGCCTGGTGCTGACTTCTTGCAGCACCCACTGAGTGAATTCTCGGCGATTTTACTTGATTTTGATGTCTATTATAGCGTCACTGAGATACTTGGTCCTTGGCTGTCGGGCCGCAGACGTTCGGTCATTGAGCCAGTCGTGCAAGTGATTTCTTACGTCCGGAGACTTCCGCGACTAAAGCTTTTACGAATGAAGGTCATGACAAGTGGAATCCTTCCTGGAAGCAGTTTTCGTATCCCGGAGTCTAGCAGACTGAGACGACTTGACCTCGTAGTTCACCCATTCCACAGTGCAGCTCAGCCTGGGGTCAGTGGCAGGAAAGCTCGGAGTAGCTCTTGATATCAAAGCATATGTAGGCAGCTTCAGTACCTCTACAATTCCAAGCCCATATGATGCGGCTGCCGGGTTTGACAGGTGAGCCTGCAGCAGAACGCGTGCTGACCTGCGGAGATGGCGATTCGTCGAGCCGTTCATGACGAGATATGGGGATGAAATTCCGATCCAACCCTCTCACCTGGCCGTTATCTCTTGTGTTTACTTCATACCAAAGACACATGTTCTTCATTTAGACGCCTTCACGATGCACAGAGGGCAAGTCTCTGTTCGCCGGCGCTGATTCCCAGACCTGCTCCGCAAAAGCAGCACTTCATTATCGACTTACATGCCTCAAACCGTCACATACGACCATACCCATTGGAAAATTCGGGATCCCGTCCGCTCTCCCATAGACAAGCCAATGAGGGCCGGATTAGTAGTTGGGTCGGTGACGACCAGCGAATACCTGGTGTTGTATGTTTTTTTGGTCGACGCACGTTATGACTTTTCGTTTTGGTGGTTCACGATGTTCTTCAACCCCACTTCCACGCCCACCTATGCTTCAGGGGTACAACGGCACGTCAAGACTCAGAGCGATTGGTGACGAGGAAACTTTTGATAATGATGATTGTTTTTTTTGGGGGGTTTTTGGGGGGGTTTTTTTTTGTGAGTAAGTATACTATTTATAGGACTTGGATTTCGTTCTTTAGTGGAGGTAAAGACTGTGGTGTTGTAGAGACCGATCCGAGGAAGTATTAACTAATCATGGTGGAATGTAGAAGTCCAAATGATTTGATATGCAAACAAGCAGCAAAGACAAGCTCGTCTAGCCCATAAGAAGCCCACAAGATAAGAGGTTGACCATGTTCGATACCTCTGGCTGACGTCTCAGGTTGCTTTTCACCAAGACGACTTGGCTACATGGCGAGGAGCAAAGCGGACTGAATGACCTTGACACCATTTTGCGTACGGAATTGTCTGCTTGCCACCGAGTGCGCGGAATGATATTCCTTCCTTTGTTTGGCTTATCTGGCTTTCTCTCGAAGACTGGCCAGGTCCCTCTCTATTCCATGTATTTCGTTTTCAACGGCTTCCTTTCTCGCATCCAACTTGGTTTGTAACCCCAAAATGTTTACTGCCACTGGGTCTAAGACTTTTAGCACTTCCTTTACGACTTCTATTCTGCCTTCCTCTTTATGCTTATTTTTCTTGAGACTTTTAATAGCATACTCCAGCTGCTCGTCATTGACTTCCATGTCGGTCTTTGTCGCTCGAGTGTTTGTTAAGGTTTTAGAAGGCCGAGTTCCGGTAGAAGGATATACGTGATCCTTTTTTGTTCATAAGTAATACGATTGTGAGCTTCGGTGGGCCTGTTCAAGCTTCGGTGGGCCTTTGCTTTGTACTCTTGTTTCTTGTTATTGAGTATGCTGCGGTGCTTTACTGAATAGATTTGTCGGTAGATGATCTTGCGGCGTACGTGCTTAGATCTAGTAGCTGTGTAGAGATGACTCAAGACAGAGAATTTGAAATGTATTTGGTAGATTATCAATGAACAACACATGGTATGAGGCGACTGTTAGGTTCTTATAGTCAGTATGCCCAGGGCCTGGGACTGTCTTAGACGGAGCGGCTGCTTTGGGTAGGCTGAACGCGTAATGCAGTAGTGGCAGGGCCAGGTGATCCGAGAAACAGTGGCAGATGAAGTTTCCGAAAGGATAAAGAGAATCGTGAAGGGGGGGGAGGGGGGGGCGGCTAAGTTTGTAGGGTGAAGTAGATCACCCAAACATAATCATCGTTCACCCAATGAAAAGATGAAAGGGCACATCTTCCGTCACTTGGGAGCGTCAGATTTGGAGCCAAAAAGGCGTTTACCGGCAATATGTCTGGTAGATACTCATGGTGAATTCCTTTGACTGCTGCAAACATGTTTTTACACCCGAACAGTGTGCTTTGCCCACATAACATGCAAATTGGCGCGTAGCTTTGGTCTGGTAGACAGAGTCTTGTTACTTTGGGAAACAAACTGATATTTGACGGGAGACTTTTGACATACACGTCAGCAGGGCACAGAATCCCGGCTGGTACGAAGCTCAGTCATCGTATGTTGAACTGCGTGATTGGGATGTGCAAGGAGTAAGGAATGGGTGAATGCCCTGCTGCTCGGTATTAATTCGTCTTACATCTGCTACCAATGTGTCCAAATCTACTCCTTAGCAGGCTCTTAGTAGCTTACGGATGTGTTTCAGTTGCTCAAGTATTCGTTGATGGTTCCTGAGGT